GATGAAGATGAGCTGTCCCACGGGGTGCGGAAGCACAGCATCTGTAGAGGCAATCAATTAGTCCAATCATGGCAAACCCTTAGCCAACCAGCATCCCACCATGTCGGTTTCACGGTCTTTTTCCTTACTGGGCCGGCTCTTTGGGTCGCCGCCTTTCGTTGCATGCTATCCATTGATGCGTCTCCCCCTCCGCCCAGGAAGTAGTGTAAGCAAGCACTTAAGCATGATCGTCATCTTCGTACCTACTGTTTTGTTGTTGTCGTGTTGTGTTTTCTTGGTCTTTCGATCGGGCTGTGGGTGACTTTCAATTGTATGCCGGCGGCCGCAGATAGCCTGCTCGGTGCTATGTCCTATTGGTAACGGGGAAGCTTGTACTATGCGATGATCTGACATGGTTAGACCTTCAAACGTGCATGTACGATACTAGAATAGCCATCGCGTGCTAATGGAGGCAGGCTTGTTAAACCCGGTCTTCAAAGCAGACGAATCGATGGAACAAGAAGGTGTGTTTTGCGTAACAAATTCCCAAGGGTAAGGTGAAGCATACATAGCTACCTCATAGCGTACATAAAGCAGCCCTAGTGCTAAGTTTGATGTGATGATAGCTAGGGAGTCAGACGCAATAGGGGCTGGATCCCATTACACATGACACGCATGATAAATTGATTTTCAAGTCGTGTAAGACCGCGTCAGGAGATCTTGATTGGTTAAGAGGGATCGATGATTTGGTTTACTGGCGCGACATCTGCCTTGTATTCCTGCAGAATTTCATGGGCTGAATGGGCGACACTAGCCCGAAGAGAATAGCCCCTGTCCAAGCTCCGTTCATAGCTCCACGCGAACTGGGCGTAGGATTTTTGCTCGACATTAGAAAAGAGTTAAGGAGCGACAGGACCATACCGTGTACCATATACAGACATAATACAGTGATGTTTCTCCTTACTAGGGATTATTGTCTTTCCTAGGAAACATCATCGGACGATATGATGATGAAGTCGTAGATTGTGATTTTTTTTTCGCACGTTTTTGGTATGCATTAGCATCGTTTCTCACCAAGGCCGTCGGATCGACTTAACTGGCTGCTTCCTTGTAGGCAGATCTGCAGTAATCATATGTAAAGTACCTGTAGCCTGTTGTATGCCGTGCTCACTACCAAATGCTGTGCCCTGGGCATGTCAACTGACGAGTGACATCTTACGCTTCTTCCGTAGCTACATCCAATGGAGAGGTGAGGATTATCCTTCAGCTTTCTAACAGAATATATGCCAGTAATGTACCGTATATAAGTATTCAGGGGTTATCACGTTGGGTGCGTATAATACGCTCGATACTGTGTAGCAAAAAGACTCAGACTGGAGCACGCACAAACACGGTGCGACACTCATCCGGATTACAGGAGCCTCCGCTATTTCATCATTCTATTTTCAACCGAAACGCTTGCATCACGCTCAGTGCCTCCGAATCCTCTCTTACTGTGCTGAGGCCTCGTCACAGTTCGGAGCACTGTAAAAGATAGGAGAGCCTTGAGGATGGAGAGTGGAGTAGCTAAGCAAGCCGAGTATCAAATACACCCCATATCCGAATTGTCGCGCCCTGGTCGTAGTGGCATAAGTCCATGATGTTCATTCGACGATGGGCTTGGCGACCCTATCTAGTGATGTACCTGGGCAAGCTGGCATACAGGCATATTACTGGCATTCCATCAACGAGAGGCGGCCTACGAAATGGGCTAACCTGCCCTAAAGAATGACATTACGTGCATACGCCTATCAAATCTCGACTGAGGGTACAATGCATTATGCACCGAAGGTCTATAATAAAGAGGCCTTCCATTACCAAACAAACAAATAGATCTGTCAAATCGTGGCGAGTCATGTAGGATACAATGACAATAAACAAGAAGAGGCTCAAACACAATTCGAATAGCGACATTTCATGAGAGACGAGACACTGGGCCAACCAACCGGTCAACCAACCACCAAGGGTCCGAGGCTTATGCCGTCCATAGATCCTTAGATGCTCAGTTATACCTCTAATATTGAAATTTGCATCTGCATATTCATTATCAAAGTTCGTTTATTCCGACGGTCTGGGATACTGTGGTCCCCCGTAGCAAAACGTACCGTTTGGTTTCTTGTACACCACCGACGGCAGCCTTCCATCTTCGATATTGTCAGCATCGGGTTCGTTGGGCAGTGTTCCTTAAGCGGTCTGATATTAGCATAGCACATAGCAAAAGTAGTAGCGACAGCAATCGCCAGTGGCTGTTTTCTTTGCCGTTCAGCCCATGTACCTTGTGAAAGACCCTCCCGACTCCGTCAATCAAAAGAAGCCGAAGAAGCCAACCATTTTGAAAACCTTTCGCAACTTTCGGTAGCTGGATACTACGCTTTGGAAACATTTAAACAGTGTGTTGCTCCACTAGTATACGTACACACACGCACATATACTGCGTACACCAATTGTCTGGTCTCCAGTCTCCATACGCGGAGACCAGTGCTAGGTTTAGAAGAAACCTTACATACCTACCTCATACAGAGTGCGTACATGTATGCATGTATGTATGTAGATGTAAGGAATAAAAAAAAGAGACCGGGCTAAAAATTGCTTGTTGCTTTGCTTGCGACTTACAAGGTCTTGGTTGCAAGGTGCAGCTGCTCTTGTGTGTCAAAATTAGGAGGCAAGTGAGGAAAAGTGGCGGAAGGGGGCGCGCAAAGTAAGCTGGGAATTGGGAATTGGGAAAGTACAATGCTAGATACCCAGTAGCATAGGACACACTGCTGCAAGGCGGCCGCAGCCAACCTAGAGCCAGTTGGAACCTTAGCTGGATACTCGAATATAATAGGCTGTCGCGAGCGCGGTGCCTTGCTAGGCTCATCCTGGGCCACCCCTGGCTTCTTGCTCTTTTTTTTTCCTTTCTTAATCTGTGGCCCTAGGCTTGTACCTAGTACCTGGTACTTACTACTTTCTTAGCGTGCCTACCTACTCTGTTCGTACCTGTGGGTTCAATTACTGGTGCTTTTTTCCCTCTCTCTCCGTTTCTAAACTACGACCCGTGCTGGGGCCGGTTGTCTTAAAAGTATCCTAGGTACCTGTTCAACCAATCCATCTGTTCCAATCCTTTTTCATCTCCTCCATCCTCCTCCAACTTGAGGCCATCTCTACTCTCTCCTTCCTTTCCTCATCCTCTTCATCCGATCCATTCATTTCCTCTTTCCTCGACACTCATCCTTACCATCATTCTCCTTGTTCTTTTTTATCAAGGAGGAAAGGAGGAGAGAGAATCCCGGGCCTCTACGACCAGAAACTAGACGAAAAAACGGGCTAGGGCCGAGAGATAATAGTAGAAAAGAGAGAAGAAGAGAGAAGGGAGAGAGACGCAAGTCAAGTCACGAGTCAAATAAATGAAGAGAGAAGCAAAGGAATTATAATTATAATCTCCTTTTAGCTTTAACGCAACTTCGATAAATCGTCCTCTTCAAATATTTTCCAGGTAATAAAAACCTACCTATTATATTTCTGGATTTCCTGGGAATTCGAATTCCTCGGCCTTTTATTTGGGACTAGGAACTCTGAATCTCCCAATCTAACACATCGCACTCTGCCATCTGCCTTTGCCTATCCCTCTCATCGCCCTTCGTCGCGCCACCCTCTCACCCTCTCAACATCTCAGCCTCCAAGCCTCCAAAGCCTTATCGTTTCGTCCCTCGAGGCGGTCGATTCACCTTTCTTCCATTCCTGCCGCCGAACCAATCCTTTCCCTTTTCCCTTCACTCGATAAAATCGTTCCCCTAGGAGAGTAGTCTTGTCTGTCTTTGCTGGACGGACACAAGGCAATTCGAATCTCCTAAATTCTCCTTCGTGCCAACGGTACTAGGAATCTGACTCTGGCTCATCACAATTACTCCAGAAGACTTATCGGTACTAGACTCCACAAGAGTCTGCTATCGATTCGAGGATCTCGCGAACGAGCCCTACATGAACCCAGTCGCTCGACTATAATCTATTAGAAGCGTGCAGGTGTAAGAGGTACGTTCTATCATCAATTCCTGGTAAACCCCCTATAGAAGTAAAGGAGAGGGAGGAATGAAGAAGGGGGGGAGAAGGGTGTATAGACGAACAAAGTATTCTGATATTGGATTTTTCTCCCTTCGCAGGTACATACCGACGGTCCACCTTGCCTAGGTACAGTGTTCCAACGGTGTACTCGATCACTCACGCACGCTTCAATCCGACCGTCGAGCAAGACGCTTGCCTTTCGTGGGACTCGTTAACTCGCTGTTCCCACCAATTCAGTCAGGAATCAAACTAATTTCCTGTGATTAATCGTGGCGGTAAGGGAGACCCTTCTTCAGCAAAATTATTACACAGACCAACGTCATTTTATATGCACGTATGCTGCATTAAATGCTCCATCGAGAATCAATTGCCTGCCAGACGTCGCTCGCCGCGTGCCAGGAATTGATCCCCACAGATTCTCGGTCGAATCAGAATGCCTGGTATTCTGCCCCTGATCGTGTGGTTCCAGAAGGCCGTGCCCTGATCCGCCTAGTCTGCCTGTGGTCCATCATTGTCTCTCCTGCTCTTCTCAATTGGGTTCCTGTTCCTGACGCTAATAATATTCCACTCCAGAGCCCTTTCACTCGACGTCCTCTTTTTAACGGCCGCCTCTCCGGCCCTCTTTCACCTCACCATTCCGCCGTCTTTCCGTAGCCATTCGGCCACAGTCATTCATTTATTTTTATTTTTACTGCATTTACTGCATACAGTTCATCACGCTCTTTAATATAGTAATAATTGTGTTGTTCGTCCAGCTGGAATAATTACGCTCTTTCGGTTTTCTACCTGCGACGACTACCTAATACGCTCTCTCAGTATCAAGATTCCTGGAGAACCTAATCGTCACTCTTTTAAAGAACACATCCTGATTCTGAACGAATCCTGCGATAATCAATCACCCTCACCGAAATCTCGAACATTTGCACCATCATACCGTCAATATGGCATACTCAACCTCGGGAGATTGCGGCTTCTTCGTCGAGTCCGACGAGCCTCGTCAACAGCCCCGGATCAGCATGAAGGATGCGGCAAAGATGTTGGCACGTAACAGACAAGAAATGATTGCCAATGAATTGTCCCGTCTGGCCGGAGATGAATATCTGGAGGATGTAATGCAACATATGAGGCACATGGAGGTTAGTGTCTTCAGGCTTCCCGCCCCCCCTTTTTTCTAGGCTCTGGTTTATCCTTACCGGAAATGGATGGCGGTTGGTACACTGATTTGCGGCTAACAGTTGAACAGGACGAGACGTTGCCGGATGCTAATCTAATTGATATGCAACGGGAGATTCAGTGGTTCATGAGGCCCTACCTGATCGACTTCTTGATCGAGGCCCACGCTGCCTTCGCACTTCTTCCCGAGACCCTGTTTCTGACTGTTAACCTGCTAGACCGATACTGTTCTAAGCGAGTAGTCTACAAGCAGCACTACCAACTTGTCGGATGTGCGGCCCTTCTCATCGCTGCCAAGTACGGTGACAAGAAGGATCGTGTGCCCCAGATCAACGAACTGAACAATATGTGCTGTGGATTATACGACTCTGGAATGTTCACTCAGATGGAGATGCACGTTCTCAACACGCTTGAATGGACTATCGGACACCCTACTGTTGACTTCTTCACCCAGTTGATCGTTGCCGAGGAGGCTGATGACCGAGAGGTTGAGCATATGGCCGCTTACCTCTGCGAGATTGCCTTGTACCACCGAGACTTCGTTTCCACCAAGCCCTCGATTATGGCGCGTGCCTCGCTTGCTCTTGCCCGTGCGATATTGGGACGACCGGAGGTCAACGATGGAGAATGGGACCACCTGGAGAACGTCACCGTCCTCGCCCTATCCCAGCACTTGCACCAACCATCGGTCACGCTGTCGAGGAAGTATTCGTCGCAGCACTTGTCCCGCGTTTCTGGAAAGCTTGCCGAATTCCTTGCCCAGCAGGCGGCTATCGCCCGTCGAGCGCAAGGACCGCCGTCCCCTCCAGCTGAATCCTCCCTGTCTGCGCACTCTAGCATCTACAGCACTCCCCAAAAGGGACACGGCGCTGCTATGGGTGTCGCGGATGGGTATCTCACACCGCCTATCACGCCCGACGGAGTCAACTTTGGCGTCGCGGATCCGATGAACAAGTATGTCCCGCCTCGTTGCCCAGTTACTCCCACTCCGCAGCCTCCCAGCATGACCGGGTATCCTCAACAACCACAACCACAACATCAACAACACGCGCAGCAATACTCCGGCTACTCGTATGACGAATACAGTGGCCCGATGGTCTCGTAATGATCATGATGCCCCGACCCGACACTTCTACAGATTCAACGTAGATTTACCCAATAAATTCTTTGACATATGAACGACACCAACTATCTTTGAGATTATCGCATGGATGTGTATCATTGGAAGAAAAAAAAGATTGTTGCATAATTGACGGTTTAGGCTCATTCTCCATGGCATTATCAGCGACTTGCTTGATTTCAATTTCTTCTTTTTTTCCTTTCTCAGTCATACCCATTGAGCGTGCTGCCATTGCATCAACCACCAAAACGAACGATTGTCAACCAAAAAAATCTGATTTCTCCTTTCTGTGCGTTCGGGCGTTTTTCCACCATCGACCCAAGGACCAGAAGATGGCGTCCCAATTTCGGCACAAGAGCTACGGTGCGCAAGGAGAGGAACAACAATACATAAAAATGGGCGAGGCTGTATTTGGTGAAAAAGACTGGCAATTTGTGAACAATTTTCGGTGGAGGATGATGAAAAATGGGGTGGGCGCGCGTGTGCGTACTGGCACGTTTACGGGCGAGTGGATTCGCCAATTGCTTTCGGAATGTCGAGAGACGCTTGACTCTCGCCTCGCGAGGCCGAGGAATTTATGAAAGCAGCATCACGGCGTGCCACACGATACGATACACCGATCGGCTCCCTAGTCGGGAGGATCTTAATTCTTGTGGAGGACCTTTGCTGTGGAATACCCCTAAGGCATATGGGACGATACCTTGGATGGCTTCTCGTTCTCATGGTGGACTTCATGTCACATGATAGTATGCCTACAGCACCCGTAAATAAACATGGAAAAGAGTAAAAATCTCTGCAAACTCACTTAATGCTACTTCGATTCTTGCTTGTGAATACCTTCAAATCCACCCCCTTTTCTGAACGAGTACGTCTAATTTAATCTTACTGATTCTAAATTGAGTCTTGAATTTTATTGTCTGCTGCATGTCTTTGCAGAAAACCCACCTAATTGGTCCCCTACATATGAGCAGCGAGCTAATGCAGGCGGACGGCTTTGTCCCACTGCGAAACGAGCGACGTTTATTGCGATTTACAAACGTATTACCATGCCACATTTAAGACTTCGGGTCCTTCGGTCTACGATGACTTTTTAGTTAGCCCGGACCGTTCTATAAAAGCCTTTGGGTATTGGACAATCGAAATCAGAATCCGGCTTTTGGTATGTACATAATTAGACGACAATATGAGAATGCCAAAGCTCTTTATACGATAACCGTACCTTAGCTGCCTTGGGTAGAGAAATATGATGTGACATCGTCGACCCTCTATCCTACGCCTGAGTTTCTCATCAATTCTAGGCATTGCTAGAGTCATGTATGTAGGTCTCAGAGAACCTGGCTGTCTTGCTACCTTTATATGGATGTGTAAGTGGAACTCTGATCTCGCTTAGAAACATTTACACCGCATACCGTTTTTTTCTTTGTCTAAAGTCTGATGAGTAGTAGCCTTTGCCATTTGGACCAATGCAACAAAGGAGAAGTGGTCACGAGAAGACAGGAGCAATTTCTTATGCGCCTGTCACATACATACCTATCGACATGACTACACGCTTCCTTCTAGAAGCCAGATCTCACCGCCGCAATGACCTTGCAAAACCCCGGCCGGCCTTGTCAGCGCTGCCTATTTAGGCAGCACGCAGCGCCAAGGTCCACCTCATGTTAAAATACGATAGAAAACCCGGTCAGGTGAAGGGAGGGACCTTTGGACGGCACGCATCGCATCGCATCACGGCGGATCTCGCATGCAGTTCCCCTGAATACTACCACGCAATACATACTACCTAGTTATAGTGCGTGCATACATACATACGCACATACGTACCTGCAGTTCAAACATACACACAGATAACATACCATACCAACCCCCTAGGGACAAAAGAGCCCAGTAGGGCTAGCCCGCCAACTCGACATCACAAAGTCGCGGGGGCAGAATAATAACGCAGGTTAGAAAAAAAAAGGAGGCGGGAGTAATGATCCCAGAACCTCCCCCGAACCCCGGCGCCGCACCTTCGGCGTCGGGGGACTCGGCGAACCTGGAGTCCTATATCCAACACACGCGCAGGCCCCCACCAGTCATGATGATGACCTGGGGACCGCCGCCGTACGCCGCGATACCAGCGGCGGCAACGCGCCCGATCCTGCGGAAGGGCCGCACGAACAGGATACTGCTGTACAACGGGTGCTTCAACCCGCCGCACCGCGGGCACCTCGCGCACCTGCGGCACGCGTTCCGGTACGCCGGCGCGGACCTAAACGTCGTGGGCGCGGTCATCCTGGTTGCCGGGGACGAGTACCTGAGGTGGAAGCTCGGGCGGGACAGCGGTGCGGGTCTGAAACTAGACGAGGGGGATAGGATGGTGTTGTGGGAGGAGGGGTTACAGGAGGAAGGGATTAACTGGTGCTGGGTTTTCGCGGAAAACGACTGGATGCGCGCCGTGGAGATACTAGAGCGGAAGTTTGAAGAAGACGGGTTCGACGTCGAGTTCGTGCACCTAGCGGGCGGCGACAAGGTGAGCTTGAATTTCGTCCAGCGCGGGGTCTGGGGATGTCAGATGGCGATCACAACGGATATCAGTCGACCGGTCGACTTCTACGATTCTAACCCCGGAACCACGAATTCGATGCCGAAGAATCTGCGGAATCATACCCAGTGGGAGCGCGTGTCGCAATGGCCCGAGGAAGAAGCGCGGATTCGGGGGGTATTAGAGAGGGAGAAGGAGAAGTTGCTGGGGCCATTTGACGAACTTCCCCGGACAAAACCGAGCTACCGCGCGCAGACTCCCGTTCGGCCTGTCTATACGTGCAGGAGCGTTAACCAGCACTATACAAACACCGTCTACACATTGCGCTTCGTCAGCTCCGCTCCCGCAGAGCGTCTAGACCCGACGCTTAGCTCGACGAACGTGCGGGCGATCATCAACGAAGCGCAAGCCCGTACCCGCGACGCCGACGCCCAGACACAGGTAGACGAGCTCGCGGGTCGGCTCAGAGGCGTGGCGCTGTGTCCGGAGTTGTTGGCAGAATGCGTGGTAGAAGAGTGGAAGAAGCAGAAGCAGAAGGATAATACGTGGCCATGGAGAGGAGCTATCGGGAACCCTTGCCTCTGGAGAACGTGAGATCTGGAGTCTCAGTACCTACTTAGGTAGTTACTCGAACTGTTTACTTTGTACGTTCTTCCTTATGTCCGGCATCATGCTGCGCGAAAGGTTGACATGAAGTTACATACCTAGCTTTAGAGTGTGAACTTAACATGCTCCTCCACTGTTGAGGGCTGCAATATAACGACGATTTCCCCCATTGGCCCCACGGTAGCATAGGAGCAAATACAAGAGATAATTACGTGAAAGTAAAGGGATGAATATTTCCCATTCATTAATTGCTAACAGTATCTCGACATATCATCCCTAGCAGGCTATGTCTCTGTCTAAGTGTAACTGTAACTGTAACTGTATGCAGCGTCAACCAAGACTGCACGACTCCTGACAAATACAATCCCAATTCCAAAAAGTTCCAAAAAAAGAAAAGAGCGAGTGACTCTCACCCCTTAATAAATAGTCGGAAAGCCTTCTCACTCATAATGGTACCCAAGGTCTCCTAAGCTTTTAATGTCCTCTCCATTCCATTCCATATGTTCTCTTTCTTTAAAGGCTTCTGTAACCTTCGTTGAGGCTATGCCTTGCTTTCCTTTTTACCACACCACTACCGGACGTATGCGCTGCCAACGTGGATCCGTTAGCATTGACGTACTGAAAGTTGTAGTAGGCGCCTTTTCAAACTCTAGTTCGGGAGTATCGGAGACCTCTATATCGCTGCTCATTCCGTGATGTAGTGCGGTGGTTGGAGGTCCCCTGCTGCCATCGGGCTCGGTCCACGGGATCATGGACGCGAATGTGGTCATCGAGGGAGAAGGCCGAGCGCTATACGGCACCGCTCCGGGAGGAAGTGAGGTTGGATTTGAGCCTTGCCCGGGAGCAGGGCCACCAGCGCCGGCGGGGTTAGAAGTTGGGCCCGATCCTGGAGTTGATGGGTTGCCACTTCCGTTACCTCCGTTGTTAGGTCCAGCACCACCATTCCCAGATGGGTTCGAAGTCGGGTTAGAGCCCGGTGTCGATGGGGTACTATTTCCGTTTCCTTGTCCGCCTGGGCCGGCTCCCCCTCCGTTACTAGATGGATTCGTTGTTGCTGGGCCGTTCGTGACCGGGCCTTGGCCTCCCGTCCCACCTGGACTAGTGTTTCCACCATTTCCAGGGGAGGTACAGTTTGGGTCATTAGATCCTAGCGTACATGAACTACCGCTCGAAGGTGAATTATTTGGACCAGAGGCGGTCGGTTGGTTTTGCCCTCCCGGACCAGCGCCAGCCCCTCCATTATTCGGTGATGTGCAAGAAGGGTCCGAAGATCCTTGCATACAACTAGCAGTACCAGTGCTCGGACTTGACCCAGACGGCTGATTCTGTCCCGGGCCGGCGCCGACACCACCACCGTTGTTGGGTGATGTACAGGCGGGATCGGTAGATCCTGCGGTACAAGTGGAGGGGACACCGTTGGAATTCGAAGTTGTAGGCTGGTTTTGTCCAGGCGCAGGACCACCGGCCCCATTGTTGGGTGATGATGAGCTTGGGTTATTGCCAGGCGTTGATGGATTGGGACCTGCTCCACCATTGCCATTCGGTGAAGTACTTCCCTGCGTTGCGCCGGGTGCTGCAGTACCTGCATTCCCTGGTGAACTGCAAGCCGGATCGTTCGAACCAGACGTGCAGGTAGATGGGTTCGGGTTAGCATTAGGTGCTGCTGTCCCTTGGCCTTGGCCGGACGATGTTGGTGTCAACGAGCCCTTATTGCCTGCTATGCTCGTACAGGCAGGATCATTAGAACCAATTGAGCACAGTTTGCTTCCATTTCCTGTTGGATTAGGTGCTGCTGTCCCACCATTTGAGGGTGAATTTGACCCCTGGTTCTGGGATGATGGATTACAATTTGGATCGGTTGAGCCTGAAGTACAAGTGCTAGGAGCACCATTGGGGGCTGCTGTACCTTGACCGGGATTAGGAGCTGCGGTTCCTTGGCCCTGGCTAGTGGAAGGTTGAGTTGGGTCACCGCCGCTTCCAGGAGCAGGAGCTGCAGTACCCTGACCTGGACCTGTAGGAGTTTGATTTGGGTTACCGGTGGGGTTGGGAGCGGCTGTTCCTTGACCTCCGCCTGATGCCGTCTGACTCGGGTTGCCATTAGGATTGGGAGCAGCAGTGCCCTGGCCCTGACCTGGCGACGGCTGTGTTTGGTCACCTCCAACTGGTGTACAGTTTGGATTTGAGCCATCACACGGAGGTATTTTTCCGGTATTACTACTCGGGCCAGTTGGAGATGCGCCGGCGGTCCCAGCACCAACGGGAGAAGAAGTTGGCGAATTGGGATTTCCTCCAGCCGTCACCGGGCCAGCACCACCCATTCCGCCTCCGGGACTAGAACTGGAACCACCTCCTTGACTCGGTGATGTATTCGAATTGGGACCAGAAACTGGACCGGCGCCTGCTCCTCCAGTCGAAGACGAACTGGGACTACTCCCCTGGCCAGGGGCCGGACCACCACCATTACTATTCGGCGTAGAACTCGGATTCATCCCTGAGTTGGTATTCCAATTCGGAGATGTCGTGGGGTTGCTCCCGGGTGACATCGGGGCTGCTCCCCCGGCTCCATTCGGATTTGAAGATGAACCACCGCTACTACTGGGAGAGGTAGGACCGGTACTAGAAATCTCGTTTGGATTTGAACCCGATGGAGAGCCCTGTACTGGACCAGCACCGCCGCCGCCTCCATTGGGTGAGGTTGTTGGTGATCCTGGAGCAGGACCTCCCTTACCGCTAGGTAACTGACCCTCGGGTTGTTTCGTTTTGTGTCCATACTTACTTACTAGCGAACTCATGTCTGCACCGGGTGGAGGAAACACTTCCGCCGGTTGAGTGACTACAGTCTGAGCAATGCCGCCAACAGCCAACGAGATAACCTCAGGTGGCGAGACGGTTGCAGGTAAAGGCTGAGGGCCGACGCTTGCCCAGCCGTGAGCTTCATTGTCAGAACTGTAACAAGTGAGAGCTTGGTTGCCACCGCAGGCTTGCTTAGGGTCGCCCTTACATGGCGTCGAACATACGGAGTCATCCAAGTGCTGTGTTCCATTAAGGAAGTTTCCGCAGTAGCAACTATCACCGCCTTCCGTACCCGCCATGAGGAAACCACGGGCCATGCAATGTTGAACACACGCCACGTTAGTAAGGGGCCCTATATTGGTGTGAGGTCCTAGACTGAGTGCTGGCTGATCAGGTTGGTCAGCCCAGCAGCCGCAGTAGCCCCAGCCCGAGGCTCCTCTAGGGCTCTTGGGGCTAGGTCTGGGCCCACCTGTTCCCGCAGGGCGCGTCGGGCTCGCTTGAGAAAAGGTAGCAGACCGAGAGGATGGTGAGGAGGTTGTGCTAGCGCTGTTAGGAGTTGGTCCACTGGTGCTTGTGCATGTTTCCGAATCAGGTGGTGACGTTGGTCCAGGAACACAAAACCAGCCTCCATCACAATGGGCACAAGGCCAACCGAACCCACAAGGGGCAGATTGAGCAGGCGTTTGTGGTGGTGGGCAGAACCACCCGTCAAGACAATCGTGACATGTATAACCCGATCCAGGACACGGCCCCTGTGCTCCATTACCTCCTGGAGGAGATGTTGTCGGACTGCCAGCATTGGGACAATGACAAGTGGGAGACGCACATGTTGGACAAGGCGGGACCGTTGGACATGGCTTTGGGGCATAGACAGTAAGAGTTGAAGTTTCACCGGCTCTGTACGATCACGGTTGTTAATCGCGTAGAATACTTCAGATATCAACAGGACTAACTCACAAGAAAACCGTTTCGGTTGTGACGGCAGGACAATTTCCTAATACAGGAATTAGCCCATCAGAATTCCCAATAAATTACAATCTGAAGACAACCTACCCCTAGAAACTGTTGTCTCAGGGCTTCCACTGCTTTGCGGGCCTTGTGTTATGGAAGTTTGTGAGATAGAACCGGAATTGAAAACTTGAGATGTCTCAAGGCTTGAGGTAGTTAAAGGAGCTACCGTCGGAGTTGTTGCCGTAGTTATCGGAGTAGAGGTTGGAAGCGGAAATAGAGTAGTTTCGGATGCTTCCGTCATAGGCCCATTATCAACGACTACCGAAGCCGTATTGTCACACATACCGGTAACAGTCGTAAGGCTTCCATTAACAATAGCTGTAGTACTGCATATAAAATCCTCAAGCTGGCTACCTGCCGAGAAAGTATAGCCTTTTGCTAGTCCCGGGGTATTCTTGATAACCCAATTCAGAGAGGTAGAAGTGGTCTTCTGGGCGATGCTAAGCGTGGCTTGAGTTATCTGTCTACCGACGAGGCTGCCCGTCTTCTCCACAACCGTCGTAGTATTCGTGTTATTTGTCTCCAGCGGCGCGGAAAATGTTAGTATCGGCTGGTCCGTCAACAAGACAGACGCACTCTCGGATGAGTCGATGCTAGACTGGTTTGTAATAAGTGTCACGTTGGTTGAATCACCCTTCATCTCTGACCTCGTTGTTGTCAACCCACCCATAATGGGATTGTCAACTCCATTAGAGATCGAGTCGGCAATGCCCATCGAACTAAGACCCTGTCCTCTCTGATCACGTAGCGTTCCAACATCTTGGGTGAGTGGCTTTTCAGGTAATGAGTAGTCCTTAACAGACAGGTCACGTCTCTCGTATCTCGTGTTGACAACGTTGGTATGAAAGTAGATGGCAGTAAGGAAGCCGACGCTGAAGGCACAGACGAGGGCAAAGAGAAAAGACCTCGCTAAGCCTCGAGGTTCAAAATGTGAGGATATCATTGGAATATAATAGGGCCCAAAAGCGTCCAGTCCAAAATAATTGGGCAAAAACCACAGGTCCAAAAATTCCAAAACGAGGACGGCTTGAGTAGCAAGGACTAAAAAGAGCTCTTAGTTGGAGAAAGTAGGTATTGAAGATACGATACTGTATAAGCCAAGAATTATGCTGGTGGTATACTCGATCAATGTCATATTGGCTCCTGCTATTTCTTTACTTGATATTAGCGTAGCAGGAAGTACCTGCATGGGATTAAGAGGAAACAGTAAAATGGTAAAAGGCATCGCGCTTGCTCGCAGAGATGTTACTCCCATACTCCTTCTTGGTCACTTGTGCTCGATTTTCTTTTGTAAAAAAGGGGCGGTTAGAGCTTACTTACCCCTTATAAGGTACGGCTCATTATGACCAAATCGAATTTAGAAGGTTCTAACCCGCAGATTCGATATTTGAAGCGTGCTGAACACTTTATTATGTAGGTAGTATGTCACAATCGTTCACTTGACGATAAGACATCATCGATTATGTCCTAGGAGTTGCACAATGCATTAAGTGAACGGAGTTAGTTGTTCATTGTCAGAATGAAGCTGCCATTTTTGCTGCCCTAGTCTGATGCCTGCCTACCTGGCACCGATGCAATTAGAAATCAAGAACGAATCTACGCCGAATGCCCAGAATTCCGCATTTAGTATCTCTTTCCTTCTCGGAGAGTATCCGCGTACTCCTCCAACGGGCTTCGGATCAATTTCGTCTCAGACCACAGGTTGGGCGTCAAGAACCCGTAGCTGTTGGAGATGGCAGCAAAGGTAGCCTTCAGGGTGTTCTCGAGAGTCTTGGTGGAACCGGATGAGGAGGTGTAGGCGTCCTCAATACCGGCAAGTTGTAGGAGACGCTTTACGGCGGGAGATGCGACAATCTGGGTACCACGGGGAGCAGGGATAAGCTAGAAAAAGTATTAGCATTGAATCATCCTCTGATTATTTCATTTCATTTAGGCCTTCAACATACTCGGACAGTAACGGAACCGCACTTTCCGCTCTCCTTGACAGGCAAGGAGTGAGGGAGACCAAGGTTGGTACCCCAGTAACCACGTCGAACGGGGATGACGCTAAGCTTGGCGATGATAATCGCGGCACGGATAGCGGTAGCGACTTCCTTGGAGGTCTTGATACCAAGACCAACGTGACCCTCGGAGTCACCAATGATGACGATGGCCTTAAATCGGGTTCGCTGACCAGCACGGGTCTGCTTCTGCACGGGCTTGATCTATATTTGGAATTTTCGTTAGCATTTTGATCTATGTTTTGAAATAACTGAAACAAATTTCCGCTAGAAGGTAGAAATCTCGAGTTCTTCGTGGGCAATGCCGTACCTTCATGACCTCATCCTTCAGCTTGGGTAGGAAGAAGTCGACGATCTGGTACTCCTTGATGGGTAGAGAGTGTAGGTAGATCTCCTCCATGCTCTTGATCTTGCCAGCCTTCACGAGACGGCCGAGCTTGGTGACGGGCATCCATTCCTTCTCGCTGTCCTTCGCACCACCACGTCGGCCACGGCCTCTGCCACGACCACGGCCACGATCGCCGCCTCGGTCACCTCGAGCACCAAATCCGCCGCCACGGGCACCGCCTCGGTCAGCCATATTGTATTGTTTTCTGAAGGGAGTTGGCTGTTTAGTTGTTATTCAGGTAAATTGCGCAGTGCGAAGCTCACGAATTGAGCTTTTCGTGGTCGCGAAATTGGGGTTGACTAAATCGAAGTTTGGGAATTTTCACGACATGGAGGGGCCAAATAATAATTTTTGATTTTGCACAACAGTTTGTGGGAAACAGCCCCAGCCGAAATGGTCTGTGCACTAACCTCCAGATTCCGATAAGACGATAAGGTGTACTTATGTACATATATGACCCATAAATAGTACCTAAAGGCAATGATGTACCTAGGTAAGTATCTTACTTAAGATCATGCAGATGATACAATCCTTACGATAGCTTCATTTTTGGGTATTGGTATTTCAAATATGCATATAGCGAATCTTCTAACTCTACAATATTGGCATAGATAGGAATTGGCAAGATTTCAGGCCTCAGTTATCCTAACCTGAATGCATAGGTAAGTTTAAACCTCTACAACGATACGATATTTCATAGGGGTTGCTTGCTGCAACTTACCAGGTTACGACTCATACGTACCGCAATCATGGAAATACATACATCGATGTTCATTATTTGTACATTAACGTAATACGCCTATGCAGAGTTCGGGGCCTAGTCCCATGGTGCCGTAGCCGTGAATACCTCGCGGCTGCACCGTAACGGTCTAGGTCATATTTACACAATAGGGATTAGAATTTTGGTACCTGAGAATAATCCTGGACCAAACTGACTGTCCCAACACTAAGTGGAGTAAACCATGTAACAATCATGGATGTTTGATGCAAACGATGCACGATACGCGGGATGAGGAAGTATGCGTGAAGGACGTAGGCATTTAAATCGACAAAAGCACAACGAAGTCCTGAAAAAGGAGGGTATCTCATCGTCATCCTCTCTCCGATTTACACCACTACCTCCTATTCATCCTTGCGAATTAACGAATCTGAAGTACTGACTCGCTGTGCCCACTCACTATTCATCTGTTAGCAACGAGTAAAAGAAATTCAAAAGAAATAAGGGGTTGGACTCACGTCCAGCTACCATCGTAGACTCTTCGGGTCTCAGGGGTACCATAACCCGCCACTTCAAGAGCGGTGTCGATGACGACGGCTGTTACTCCAGTACCGCAAGTTGAGATGATGGGCTTTGATGGATCCACTCCCTTTTCCTTGAACAACTTTTGTAACTGCTCCTTCGGCAAGAATGCTTTCGTCTTAGAGTCGAGAACAGCAGTAAAAGGGATGTTGATGGAACCCGGCATGTGGCCAGAAGAGAGACCCTCTCTCGGCTCAGGATCCTTGCCAGTGAATCTGCCATTGGGTCTTGCATCAATAATCTGGACGCCCTCCGCACCTTCTTTGTTAGAGTCTTGGGCGACCTCCCGCACTTCTTCGAAGCTTGCGACCTTAACTTCGTCTGGTTTCGGGATTGGGTACGGGTTGCACTCCACACTGTAGAGCTCGCCAGACTCTGTAGGATGTCCTTCGTCCACCCATATCTTGAAATTGTTTAAGAGGTGCACCCTAGGATGCCCGAATACTCTAAGTGTCCAGCCCACTCTTGGCGCACTAAAGATACCCAACTCTTTTGAATCATATACAACCACTGTATCTTCCTTCCGGATACCAAGGGAACTCATCGCTTCGGCAAATGTCTTGGGACTTGGAAGCATATGGGGATATGGGCTTCGTTTGTCGATAACCTTGTCGAGATCGAAGAAGCGAGCTTTTGGTATTCGCTTCTCTCGGAAGACTTCAATGCCTTTTCGTTCATCGTTTGGTAAAAACCAAGCGGCGCATAGGGGAATAACTCGAGGTTCGGTGCTAATGGGTGATGGCGGGCTTTTCTTGAGGGCTTCTGCTAGCTCATTGGGTGTGACTAGGTAGGAAGAGAGATTTCGTCGTAGCTCTATGAAACCAATTTGGCATTTTTGAAAGCTTTGTCGTGGACGGAAGGCTCTTGTGGAGCGGAATATACCGAGCGTAGCCATAGCTAGATCGCTCAACGGGAGCTCTCTTATGCGGTTTATGCACGTAAATGCTTAGGTGTCGATCGTGAACATCCGCGCTCGGGTGTGGTGACACTTTGAGATAAGTTTTCTGTTCGCTCACCGTCTGGAAAGGAGGAATCCAGATCAGCGCCTCGTCCGGAAAGGCCGTTGAACAATTCTGATTGAAGTGGACAAAGTGATGTTCGGATGAACGAATAATTCCCAATTTGCTCGGTAACTTATGGAATTGTGAAATGCGGGGTCCTTATAGAAATCTGCAGTCGTCACTTCCTTTGTCACGTCCAATCCTAAGACAGTAGATGCTTATATGTAAACAAATCGATGGGTGGTGAGGGAACGGACTGCAGATAAAGTTTGCGATGGCGTGAAGTGTAAATTCTACAATCGCCAATTACCAATAGCCCTGGTTGTTGCCGATAAGCAAGGTTTACCTGGCCGAAAAAGGCGCCTGCCATACCTCAGATTGTAATGGTGGGGTACATCATGCTAGCAGCAGGTGCGGTGCCGGGCTAATGCATATATCGCGTGCGTGTGTGATGGTTTGTTGCATATATAGGTAGGCATAGTTTGATCTAGCGGAGTTGGTCACTGTGACGGTTCATTTCACTACAAATCCTAATAATAATAATACATCAACAACTCGGAATAAGTCAGAAGAACACCTTCTTGATTCACTAGTCTTTGCTTTAAGCCCTGATAATTCTTTTTCAAAGGCAGTGTTAGACATCACCGGAAAAAAAAAAAAAATACATTCACAATGAAGGTCAAGATCAAGCAATGGAACGCGGTTGCAACATGGAGATGGGATCTTCCCGAAGATGATGTGTGTGGAATTTGTCAAGTCCACTTTGACGGGACGTGCCCAACCTGCAAATATCCAGGAGATGATTGTAGTCTCTGTAAGCTACATACTATTGCGTCTTATTATATTTCCTTCATTGCTTATTCGACTAACTCTTTTTTAGTATCCGGGAAGTGTGGCCACAACTTTCACATGGTTAGTGTTGAACGATGTGGCCTTTTTAGAGACTCAATAAACTGACGCTATGGCAAGCACTGTATCATGGAGTGGATAAAACAAGACTCAGCCAAAGGCCAATGTCCAATGTGTCGACAGAGTATGTTGAAACACCTCTATAATTTCATCATTAACTGACATGTTATACAGAGTTTGAATGGGGACCAGAGACTGGGGTGCCGCAGCAATCCGTCGAAGATCAGCAAGACACAATAGTTGAGGATTAGTGATGATCAGCTTTGAGTATTGCTATACATGTTTTAGAGCTCACCCGGGCGATGGCTCATCAGCTTCTATACGATACCTATTCTCTATAGGTACTTACCTATATCGTACCCTTACATTAATAGTCTAGTAACAAGGTTGCGATGGAGTTTAGTTGGTGAAAGTAAGTGATCTCCATGCCATTCACTCCTTAAAATTAAGTGATCATCTAATATAAATAGCATTTAATGGAATACTTGTCTACATACCTACTTTAGTATTATGATAATTGGAGTTTGCTAATGCATCTTCTGCCTATTCGCCTCCAAATCAAACGTTCTCCACGACGATAGCTTTGTCCCTGCATATGGCATCTCTTACCGAAAAACGCCAAGACCCGAAGCTTTCCTACTTCCCCACATGCAGATAAGATAGAAGCTCCAAAGGGCTGCAAAGGCTACAACAACCCTGGACATACAGCTAAGGTTAGGCAAGCTAGGCTTTCTCTTAGGTGGGTACCTGGGGAGGTACCACTCTGCCACTTCCATGGATGTCACTGCTTTGCAGCTTGCATGACACCACTTGGACACTTGCACCTGCAGTCTTCCATTGATCACTTAAAGGTACCTACTCCGGAGCAAACCATTTAAAGCGTTTGGGGCCATTTCTTATCCATTAACTTCTCAACACATGGAATCCTGGAGCCACGATGCGCCAGCCTTCTTCTCAATATTTCCATCCTAACTTCTTCTCCATTTCTCCATTTCCCGACTGCGAACAACCATCCTCATGACTTCCGGCTGCCAATCTTCGAGATGACAGAGCCTGTACCGGAACGACCGCACATGGCGGATGATTCCCGCGATTACAACCACGATCATGATCAAGATCTCGATGCCCCTCCGTTTGCGCCTATCTTTACTCTTGTGAATAATACGTCGACGCGTACAACTCATCATCCTCATGTGCGCTACATCTTCAGCGACGATGATCCAGACATCCTAACGCAAGCATTAGCCGAACTTGATACCGGTGTCGACGAATCTACCTCCGACCCAGCCCTAAGGCATAGCAGGGCCATGATACTGGACCTAGCACCCAACTCTAACGGCGGATACAGCGTCGCTTGGGCCTCGAGTCTGTCGGCATCGTGGGCGGTGCTAGATACTCAACTGAGTCACATACCACCAGCTTCATCAGACGGAAGCAACGATGGTGATGAAGGTGGAGACAACAACGCTCGAGCTGATCGTTTGATGCTGCGGATCGATGGTATAGAAACCAGCGCTCTAGGCTCAGAGGGCGGAACGTCCGGAGAGGCTAGCAGGCAAGGCTCCGGCATCGCAAGTGGCGGTGGAAGCGGCCATCATGATCGTGAAAGAGGAGAGACCGAAGACTACACTAATATAGTGGATAAATTTGAAAGGCGAATGACCACGTTACGAAAGATCGTCGAAGCTGGCGAGGAGAGACGACGAATCATTGCTGCGGCGTATACCACCGAGCCCATGCAAGATGCAACAGAGGGGAATAATCCGGCGTATTGACGGCGTTAAGAGGGCCTTAGATCTGTCTGACATGGAAATTGGATTATTACGTTTGCAATATGTTGCACTGTTGGGCTATCTCTGAATTATTGGGACGACGACTTGTATCACCGACCAAAGACCACGAAGAATGTTAATCAGGAACACAGAACTGCAGATCGCCACATCGATCGGAAGAGCGTCATACGGGATTATAAGGCTAATACTATGTGTTATGTGTCATGTGCTTTAGCCATATCAAAGGAAGTTTTGCCTTAGACAGTCTACGAGTTATTAATGAGGACTTATGCATTCGCGCCAATCTTATGATATTGGACACCACCACAAATTCCCGGAAGATGTTCGATATGTTAGTCTTGTAATTGACACGACATGCATTACGCGGATGGTATATGGTTTACGAGGTCACCTTATAATTAGCATCTAGGATCTTCCTGGGCTTCAAAACTTACAATCTGGCCATATGTTTGTGCGACCTCGGTATTTCATACCTACTGATTTGTCCCCTTACCCATTAGACACACGTAGTCGAGTGGATATTGAGGACTGGTCGGCTATTTGCCTGGGTTCATTCGACCCATCTTCTCCTGACTTAGGATGGCGTGGGAGTAAGACCACAAATGGTGATACTAATGGTTTATAAATGCCCCTCAAGTCAGGGAGAGACTGAGAGCATCTCTTGTGTGGCTCAACCGTTACCTCGAATCCGCGTGGGAAGGTCAAGTTTCGTAGTAAAGATTATTCATATTTCAAAAGGTTTCGCGATGCCATCCCACCTACTATATATGTGTATTGGAGAGACGTAACACCAGTCAAACAAGGCATTGAACTATTGATGACGAGATCGAATATAACAACAAATTCGTGCTTATCACTCTGGAAAACAGGATATATATCGTCCGAAGTGGTCGTATCGATCTACCTCCCTGGTCAACTTGATATGGCTGAGCCGTCACTTTAGCAAGTCAGGGGTTATTATGAATCATGATACGGGCCGACCTGCCATACTATTGCATTACACTTAATATATTTACTAATCAGACAGGTGTTACATGTGAAGACATTGATCAGAGGAGAAGGAAGTTAAAATAGAGCCAGCTTGGACAATTATTGCAAATCGCTGTTTCCCAATGATTCCCAAACGACTTCTCAAGATCTGAGCACGGGCAGGCACGGCGATCCGATCATCGCCAATTCCCCCCCTTGGCGTTCTGTTTTAGGAATTTCGACAGTGCGTAATTCGTACTACGTAGTCGACGATACGACCCTGACTACTGTGACGACGTTTAAAAAGCTTGTAACACGCGTCTCTCCCCCTTCCCCGATCCGTCCCATCCCCTGACCGGACCCTCAGCGACCCTTTATGAACTAGCATCGGCCAGCCAACCACGCCCCGTCGCTCGAGACCTCTTTGAAACGTCAACTTTGTAACAAGTCTGCCGCAGATTGCGAGGAACGCCACCGAATACAATACAAAGCCATTCAATTCACAATTCACTTTTTCACCCAAGAACAAATTGGGCTCCCTCATCCCTCATCGATAAAATCGCTTTATCTTAACTCCCCCCCTGGCCTAAAGAAATCCATTGAAATAGCGATCTCCCTGCCCTTTCACCGCTGGGCAAAAAGCTTGGCATTTCAATCTTCTCATTCTTTTTGTTTCTTCTCCCGTTCGTATTATTTGAAGAGTCGGCTGGACCTGGACCGTCGATCGCAGTGCAGTGCATTTTTCAATTCAACGACCGCTGGATTCTTTCGCTTCTAATCAACCTTTTTTTCTCTTTATTAATCGGTTCTATTGATTTTTTGCGATTGTCAACTGTTATTATTCAGATCGGAGACCTGAAGGCAGAAGAAAGAAGTCAAGTTCATCATGTTTGGGAAGACACGCATCCCAGTGTACGTCCCGTCGGCGGACAAGTTGGTACGCCGCCAATACGTCGAGGATAATAATGGCCGCCTTGTCTGGTTCTGGTATACTCGGGTACGTATTGAAGATCGATTGATAAAGAATAAATAACTAACACTACACTAGACAGGCGTCATCGTCAAATGGTCTCTATTCCTCGGCATCACCGTCCTGCTGGCGCTGTACCTCGTCCTCGGGCGCATGCACGCCAAGCGCCGCGTGAACAAAGGATTGAAGCCGATGGCCTACCACAACGTACGTACCCCTTTTATTTCTTTTTTCCATCCCCTTCACCCCAACACTATCCCCCTTGAACGCCAACTCCATAAAAATCCATCCGATCGGCAAACCCGAACTAACAACCGATGTCCTAGTGGCTGCTCTCGCGCCAAGAAAAAGCCGGCGTCGACCCGCGCTACGCCTGGCCCCAGGCCTCCTACACCAACTACCCGGCGCCGGGCTACGGGCCCGCGCCGCCGGGAGGCATGTATGGCATGCACGCGATGCCGCCCCCGGTCTACGACCCGAACAACCGCCCGCCAACGTACGAGGGCGGCCCGCCGCCCATGGGAGGCACCAAGGTCGACCCCATGCAGACCGGCGTTACTAGTGGCGAATACGCACCGCCTCCGGGACCGCCGCCCGCTGCGCAGCGATAAAGCGGTTTTGCGTTTTTCTTTTTCGGCTGCGTTTCATTTTGATGACGAGGATGAGCGTGAGGGGAAAAGGGAAAGGTGATGGAGGTGGCGTGTACGATGATGGGACGACGTATGGGAATGTGTTACATTAGGGACTTGCTAAATAAGCCTATGGTACAGAGTACAGGGCAGCAGGCAGGCAAGCAAGCAAGCATTAGTCGGGCAAAAAAACATGGATGAACCGTTGTGCTGTACGATTCAGGACCAGAATGAATAATCCTATTGCAAAAATCCTATTGCAAAAAAAGGAACTACATAAACACACCGAGTTACCGTGTTGCCTTGCTTCACATCGCACGTGCTAAGAGAAATATCTGGACTCCGGATTGCGCCTGAAGAAGTTATTCAATCACACCCGAAATAAGATGTTTCCCGCTAAAACCGCCTGGGTATCTAGTTGAACGAGCCAAACTCCGTATATCGCGTTTATAATTCGTTACTTTCCCTTCAATCTACTTCCATTGCGTCCGGGTCGTTGTTGTAGCTTGTTTCTATTCCGTTATAGTTTGTGAAACCGTTTGATGTGCCATTGGGGATGCCGTTCGGCATCGAGGGCGAAGTTGCAGGAGTCGATGTAGATGTGACTTCTTGTTCGTGCTCCTCCTTTTGCTTCTCCCTGATCCTCTGCCTTGCCTCGATGATCGCCTTCCTTACGCTATCCTGCTCCTTTGGGACGGTTAGCGAGGAGGGCTCGCTGTATAGGACCAATTGCATGCCAGCAAGCTCGCCGTCTTTGTTGGCCAGCACTGACGGCGGAATGCGGTTCTGCATGAGGTGCTTCTCGATGTCCGGTATAAAGACCAAGCGGCCTTCGCTGTCGGACTCGCTCTCGGAGAGCTCGTCGTCTATGTTGTAGATGTACACCTTGTGCTTCGAGTCGTCGAGTTGCATTGTGTCGTCCTCGGGGATCTGCGTCAGCGCGCATTCGGTCGGTCTGAGCTTCGGGCTCTCGACCGGGACGTAGAGTTTGTGACCATTTTTTTCTGCAAGAGGGAAAGTGATGTTAGAAGCGCATTTCTCGTAGTTGGCGTGGGATGGCGAGTGAATGGAAGCAAAAACACTTACCAAGGTTGAGGAGACTCAATCTCTTGGATAGTCTTTCATTGTCCTGAGACTCGGCTTTCCTCTTGCGCATCTTGCGCATCCCGCCACCGACATCGAGAGTATAGTGCTGGTTGTGTTGTTGGTATTGCTGGTATTGTTGGTATTGTTGCGGTTGTTGCATTGAGGTCGAATTGGAATAATAATAGCGGGAAGCATTTGAATTGGAATTCGGATAATTGGATATGGAAGCCGGTGGAAGACTGATCCCGGCAACGGCAGCAGCGGCGGTGTTAGCGGGGAGGTACATGGCTCCAGGATTGGCTTGGTGAAAGGTGGAAAGAGCGATTGCGGGAGAGCTTGGTCCAATTTCAACGTCCATGCTTTCGCTCTAACTTCGTCTAACTTCGAATTCCACTCTTATCGATTTCTCTTTCAACTACCGCCGGCACATGTGCACCACCTGAGCAGTAATTCTTTGCAAGTACCACGGTACTATGTGCTGCTGCACCGAGCTGTAGTCACCGACTCAACCTTGGAAATAATTGACTATTGATTATCCTCGCCTGCAACCAATCAAATGCATAAATTCGAGATCCGATCGCGCTCGTAGGAGTCACTACGTATCAGTGGTTTCATAGGAGACGGGCAGACGGGGTCTAAATTGAGTTTTTAAGTTTGGTTGTTTAGGGGTGTCAAAGGCGAATGAAAATCCAATGCGGCGGACCGTCGCCGTTTATAGGCGGCGCATCCTTGAGTCACGCTTGTAGAACGTTCTATCCTTTTTCTACGCAACCACAACCAGCAGGACCGACTACAAACATTCTTCGATTAACTTCCAAAGCTAATTACTCCACAACAACGAACAAACTCAGACCCTCGTCTCGTCTATCATTATTTCTTTATCCTACTTCCCCCAACTCACCCCGATTCTCGACCAAGACAACCCGCAACGCCCACGCCAACATGGGTGACCCCAAGTGGACCGGCGTAGGGGTTCGCAAGACCTTTCTTGAATTCTTCGAGAATAGAGGACACAAGATAGGTATGCGACAACAAAACACCGTCACCTAATGCTTCGTGAAGTTTTAGACGCAAATATACAAATATTTCAACATGTCTCTACACAACTACCAATTCAAAAATACTAATTTACTTCGTTTTTGCCAGTGCCCTCATCGTCTGTTGTCCCTCACAATGACCCCACCTTGCTCTTTACCAATGCGGGCATGAATCAGTTCAAGCCCATATTCCTCGGAACCATTGCGAGTACGGATGATATGTCCAAGGTGAAGCGTGCCGTCGATACTCAAAAGTGTATACGCGCTGGTGGCAAGCATAATGTACGAGACCCTGCAACTTAAATCTTCCTATGTATTTGGCTAACCAAAGTTATGCAGGATCTCGACGAGTGAGTCTGGTGGTGGCCCTGGTTGATCGCTGCCAAACCCCTTAACACTTGCTAATTGAAATCATTGTTTAGTGTCGGCAAAGACAGTTATCATCATGTAGGCGCATGCGATTAACTAGCCCTCGTTCTCGGAAACTAACTAGGATTGCAGACATTCTTCGAGATGTTGGGTAACTGGTCCTTCGGTGATTATTTCAAGAAAGAAGCGATCGAGTGGTCATGGGAACTCCTGACCAAGGTTTACGGACTGGATCCCTCGAGACTTTACGTCACCTACTTCGAAGGCAACCCTGCCATGGACCTCCCACCCGACCTAGAGGCGAAGGATTTATGGAAGTCTGTTGGCGTGCTGGAAGATCACATATTACCGGGTAACATGAAAGACAACTTCTGGGAGATGGGCGACCAAGGCCCCTGCGGTCCTTGCTCGGAGGTTCACTACGACAAAGTTGGTGGCCGCAATGCCGCGCACTTAGTCAACCAAGACGACCCCTTAGTAGTGGAGATCTGGAATAACGTTTTCATCCAATTCGACCGCCAAAAGGATGGCTCGCTCAAGTCCCTACCCGCCAAGCACGTCGACACAGGAATGGGTTTTGAGCGATTAGTATCGGCGCTTCAGAACAAGAACTCTAACTATGCGACTGACATCTTCGCCCCGCTCTTCGACAAGATCCAGGAAGTCACGGGAGCACGACCATACACTGACAAGTATGGAAAAGACGATGCGGATGGTATCGACACCGCTTACCGTGTGGTTGCTGACCACATACGATTGCTCGCTTTTTCCATCTCTGACGGAGCTGCGCCCAACAACGAGGGAAGAGGTTACGTCGTTCGTCGTGTGTTGCGCCGAGGTTCACGCTATGCTAGAAAATATTTCAACGCCGAGATTGGTACCTTCTTTTCCAGGATCCTACCTGCGCTTGTAGATCAGATGGGCGAGCAATTCCCGGAGCTCGTTAAGAAGCAGCAAGATATCAAGGAGATATTGGATGAGGAAGAAGAAGCATTCGCCCGAACATTGGATCGTGGAGAGAAACAGTTTGAAAAATATGCGGCTCAGGCGGTCAACAGCGGAACAAAAAAGCTCTCGGGAGCGGATGTTTGGAGATTGTACGATACCTTTGGTTTCCCGGAAGACCTTACCAAGCTTATGGCTGAAGAGCGAGGCCTCGAAACCGACGAGGACGAAATCGCGGTCGCAAGGGAGAAGGCTCGCGAGGCTAGCAAAGCAGTTAAGGAAACAGTACAAACATTCGCCAAATTGAACGTACATCAAATTGCCGAGTTAAAGGACACACTACAAATACCCGTTCCCGACGACAGTCCCAAGTTCCTCAAGGGCGATACGACTGGAAAGGTCCAGCTTATTTACACTGGAACGGATTTCGTCAAGTCAACAAAGGACCTTCCACCGAATACGCCTTTTGGACTATTACTTGACCGAACTAACTTCTATGCTGAGCAAGGTGGACAGGTTGCTGACACGGGAAGAATTGTTATCGACGATGTTGCCGAGTTTGATGTTCACGATGTTCAGCAGTTCGGAGGATATATAATTCATAATGGTTTCCTGAAGTACGGAGAGCTCAAAGCCGGCGATAAGGTTATCTGCGAATATGATGAGCTGAGGAGACAACCTATCCGCAACAATCATACGGGAACGCATATCCTCAACCATTCTCTACGGGAAGTCCTAGGCGACGAGGTCAACCAGAAGGGTTCGCTTGTCGACCAGGACAAACTCCGGTTCGACTTCTCGCACAAGGCGGCGGTCACTCTGCCTGAACTGAAAAAGATCGAGCACTTGTCGAACGAGTACATCCGGCAAAACTGCAAGATCTATTCCAAAGACGTTGAACTCGACGTTGCGAAGAAGATCAACGGTGTTCGCGCCGTATTCGGCGAGACGTATCCTAACCCGGTGCGAGTAGTCTCGGTTGGTATTGACGTTGACATGCTACTCGAAGCACCCGAGAATCCCGACTGGCGAAAAGTCAGTGTTGAATTCTGCGGTGGTACACATGTCGACCAGACCGGTTATATCAAGGACCTTATAATCGTCGAAGAAAGCGGTATCGCGAAGGGTATCCGCCGTATCGTCGCTTTCACGGGAAACGCCGCGCATCGTGTGCAGCGCGAGGCCGAAGAGTTCTCCAAGCGCATCTCCGCCATTGATGCTCTACCGTTCGGCCCCGAGAAGGAGGCTGAAGTGAAGCAGTCCACTGTCGATCTCAACCAGCTCGTCGTCTCGACCCTCACCAAAGAAGAATTAAAGACGCGGTTCGCTAAGGTCGTCAAATCTGTTGTAGACGAGCAGAAAAAGCGACAGAAGGCCGAGAGCAAGACTGCGCTCGACACCGTCGCCGCGCACTTTGCTAAGGACGAGAATAAGGAGGCTAAGCACTTTATCGGACACCTGCCTATCTCGGCCAATGCGAAGGCCGTCGCTGATGTGGTGAACCACTTCAAGAGCAAGGATAAGGATAGGTCTGTGTACGTGTTCGGCGGCAGCCAGGCTGAGGGTGCTGTTGTGCACGGTGTATACGTGGGAACGGTAAGTTCAACATTGCACCAATACCAATTCCAACGATGAAGACAACATACTAATAGTCACCATAGCATTTCGCGTCCCAAGGCGTCACGGCCGAAAGCTGGGCCCAGGCTGTCAGCCAAGTCGTCGGCGGCAAGTCAGGCGGCAGGGAACCCACCCGCCAGGGCCAGGGCACGAACGCGGATAAGATCGAGGAGGCAGTCGCTGTTGCCGAGAAGTGGCTCGCTGAGAAATTGAAGATCTGATTGGCCCGGTCTTTATTACCATGCCATTTTGCGATTCTGTCGAGCCGCATCATTGAATCAGGTTGATACTCCGACCGAGTACTTCATTGCCTTGAGGACTGTCTTATCTATGTGGCCGGGCATACGAGGAGAGCAGATGAGTGGACATGACAGCGTGAAAACTCAGCTCGTAAATGTGTAAAGTAGAGAGGCGAGGTAGAAGAGAGCTGAAGTGAAAGGGGATATTAAGGAACTAGGACGCTAGGTACTTAAAGAGATGAGAAGTAAAAGTCGCCGCTATAGATGCCAGGCTAGGTAGACTTTGAAATAGGAGTCGCAACGGCTCGGGAAATGCAATGCAATGTCATAGTATTTGTATTTGCGACCTAAGGGGTTCTGTCGCGGCCTTTAAGCAAGATGTGCATTGATATCTACCTACTTGGGTGGTACGTAGGTCTATAAGCAGGCCATAGACTTGGGAGCCGAATAGGGACAAAGGCAAGTCCTGTTAAGTAGTTATCTCCATGGACATCCTACATTCCCACAGCTATTACAAATAGGTTTCAAACAGGAGTCGTACTGAGCAAGTGTTTGTTTAGCCTCATAGGTGGCTTTCACCCGGCGATTTATATACCCTAGGTAGCCTACCTACCTACCCAGGCCGCTGCGTATTTATGTGATAGGTATACGTACATGCTATGTATAAATAAACACATACACAACCCGTATGTCCCCTTCCGTTTCCGCTCCCAATGCGTCAAGGCTCGATCAGATCAAGCCTACCTATGCATACGCTACACCATAACACCATCCCCATGCATAGTCTAGTAGTCTACCCAAGCCCAACATGACCTCCGTCCCTCCCTTCCTATCTACCTAGATAGGTATGCATACCATCAGCCATCCCGCACCAAAGCCCACTCACCAGCCAGCTCCCCTTACACGGTAACCAAGACACTAGCATTCCGATACCAGCTCAACAAGGGGTTCTCGCCGCTCCGGGTCCTCGTATCCTCGACGTAGGCCCAGCTGCGCATGAACTGCTCGTGGCTGAGGACGCGGGTGAGCTTGCCGGTGATGGCGCGGTAGACGGCCTCGACGACGGCGAAGTCGGTGGGGAAGAGGATGTCGAAGTAGCCCTGGTGGACGAGCGGGGTGGAGACGGGGACCATGCGGCGCTGGAAGCGGGTCTGGACGACGGGCGCGTTGAGGCCGCGGACGGCGTCGGGCAAAGTGTGGAAGTCGCTCGTCAGCAGCCGGTGCGCGGGGAAGTACTTCTCCAAAATGTCGAAGAACTGCATCAGCCGCGTCGGGATGTACTCCGGGTCCGATAGGTTCGGCGCGAGGGGCAGCTGCTTCTTGAGCCAGCGGACCGCGCGGGACGTCGGGTACGGCACCCGGTAGAGCCCCTGCGTCGCGGCGTGGCGCACGCGCAGGTACCGCGCCGCGACGGGGTCGAGGGTCGGCTCGTAGAACTCGTAGAAGTCGCCCTGGGCGTCGATGAGCACGGTCCCCTGCAGCGGCTCCTCGGTGTCGAGGTCGTAGCGCAGCACGTCGTGCGCGAAGTTGTCGAAGACTTCCATGGCTAGGAAGAAGCACGGGGACGGCACGCGCTCGTTCCAGTCGAAGATGGACTTGTTGATGATCTCGACCTTGCTGGCGTGACCCCTGGTCGCGGCCGTCGACAGCAGTTGCGAGTTCTGGAGGGCGGCGAGCGAGGGCGAGATCTCGATGATTTTGAACTTCGTGCGGTCGTACACGGCGGGCTCTATGTCGCGGATATAGTCCAGGATGTTAAGCATGAGGGTTCCGCGACCGGCTCCCATCTCGTAGATGATCAGGTCGTGGTAGGGGTACGTGGTCATGAGGTAGTTGGACATGAGATACCTCGCGATCGCCTCGCCGTAGTAAGGGCGGAAAAGCTCGGTAGGAGTATGCCATATCTGTCGCGTGTCGTTGACTTGCTTGTCCTTAGCATCCAGCGCATCCTCGAATTCGGTGTACCGCCTCCCGAGCTCGGAGTAGAAACTCGGTTCGTCTGGTATAGAGTTGAAATCGAAAGGTTCCCCGGGCGTGAAAATGACGACCTGTTTGGAGAAGTAGCCGTAGTGAGGATTATAGAGGCTGTCTACGAACAACAAGTAAGCTTATTTGGTCTTTATATGTATGATATATGGCAATATATGTGAAAAGCAAACCTTCAATGAAGTCCCGCATGAGCATCTTGACCTGGCGCGGACGCTCCCCTTTCGATCTCAGACTGTTCGCCGTCACCGTCGGATACGCCTTATACTCGTCGTACCGGTCGACGGAGAATAGATCGTTCCTCTGCTGCCAATGGAGCTCCTTATCCGGCAGTCCCTTCTTCGCCCCTCTGACGATGTGCGGCCGAGTGGCCTTGTGCCGCCTCTGCTGATGTTGCAGCTGGAGGATATGTCGTCCATATCGAAGGCAGGACGACAACGTGACCAGGTTTCTCCTCGATTGACAAGCCGGGTGTCTGAATAGCTGGCGGAAGAGTTGGGTCACGATCGGGGAGTCCATATTTGGGACTCTTGGAACTCTTTACTAGGTAGGTATTGTTCGTGGCGTGAGGGAAAGACGGGCTTGTGGCTTGCGGGAAGCTTTTTTCGATGGGTGGTTCGGGTTATTGCCGGCTTTACAGGGGGGTTGGAATTTAAGGTTGAGTTGATTGGCGAGCTGGTTTGAGGTTCGGGTAAGGTACCTAAGTACCTATGATCGAATTTAAGGTGGGATGGTGGGATGTTACTATAATAACAAGGGCAGTAACACTCGAAATTTTGTGACTGACGTATGTCGCATATGAAATATTCCCAATTTATCACACAATTGTGTTCTCAAATCGAGTAACAGGTCACTTGACCAAAGGTACGAATTGTACATTCACAAATTAGACGCAAAGAGGACCTTCCCTTATCCAAGTTGGATTGCAATGGGTTGGAAACACGCAGGATCGACATAACAAGTTGGTGAACGGAGGTCCGCAAAAAAATGTCTTTGAGCGATCATCCCCGCGCCTATGGCACCGCCGCAGTCGCACTGGCTTTCATATCCGGGGTCCTCGTGACCCTCGGCCTCAAAGACTTGTACCCAGACTTAGAACAACGATTTCGGCAACGACCGCGAGCAAGAGCACCGCGGGGCGCAGCGGATGCCCGCCGGCGATCCAGCCTCTTCTGGGGTCCGGTCGAACTAGAAGATCGTGAAGACTCTGACGGCGTCGCCGTGCCCGGGGCCTTTATCCCGCGGGACGAGGGCGTGAGCGACGGCATCGAGGGGTGCATCGGGCGCACACCACTAATCCGGATCCACAGCCTATCCGAAGCCACGGGCCGCACGATCCTCGCCAAAGCCGAGTTCCTCAACGGCGCCGGCAACAGCCCCAAGGACCGCGTGGCGCTGAACATGATACAAGCCGCCGAGGAAGCCGGCATCCTGGTTCCGAACCGCGGGGACACCATCTACGAGGGCACGGTCGGCAGCACGGGGATCTCGATCGCGGCGCTGGCCCGCGCCAAGGGGTACCGCGCCCACATCTGCATGCCGGACGACCAGAGCCTGGAGAAGTCGGATCTGCTGCACCACCTCGGCGCCACCGTCGAGCGCGTCCCCGTGCAACCCATCACGTCCCCCGAGCACTTCGTCAACCTCGCGCGGCGCCGCGCGAAAGAGCACACGGAGTCCGGCGCCGACTCCAGCGTCGGCTTCTTCGCGGACCAGTTCGAGTCGCCCTTCAACTTCCAAGCGCACATGCGCACCACGGGCCCGGAGATCTACGCCCAGACCTCCGGGAAGCTCGACGCCTTCGTGGCGGGCGCCGGGACCGGGGGTACCATCTCGGGGGTCGCTAAGTACCTGAAGGAAGTGGCGAAACTTACTAAACTAAAAGTGGTGCTCGCGGACCCGCAGGGCAGCGGGTTGTACAATAAGATCCGGCATGGGGTCATGTACTCGTCGACCGAGAAAGAAGGGACGAGGCGGCGGCAGCAGGTGGATTCTATCGTCGAAGGTGTGGGAATTAACAGGGTGACGGAGAACTTGGAAGAAGGGCGCGACCTAATCGACACGGCGGTCCGTGTGACGGACGCGCAGGCATGCAAGATGGCGCGGTGGCTAGTCGAGCACGACGGCATATTTTGCGGCAGCAGCAGCGCGGTGAACTGCACCGCCGCCGTCGTCGCGGCCCTAGACTTACCTAAGGGGAGCACGGTCGTGACGATCCTGTGCGACTCCGGAACCCGGCACCTAAGCAAGTTCTGGAAGAAGATTGCGGAGTCGGGGTTGGAGGATGAGCCTAAACCGGATGACTTGCTCACACTGCTGGATATCAAGAAGCCGCGATGATACCCCTACTTTTTACTTGAGCATGTAGATTAAACAATACGAAAAAAAACATTACGAAGCTACGAGACCACGATGTGATATCAGACGGCATGGAATAAAAGTAGAAAATCGATTAAAATCGAATGCATTCGTATTATCAGAATGGAAAGGGGGGTGTATTCCTTAGCAAATGTGCCATGCCTGTTCATCTATTTGCCCGAACTCCTCGCGTAGAAACATAGCCATGGTTGCGCAAAAGTCACTAATAATCAAGTCGTCGACCGACTTCCCGAGACGCCCGGCATACACCACCCGTTCTATGGGCATGGCGTGTGATGCTTTAATGAACCTCATGTACCTCATGAGAAAACCGTATCGCACGTGGCTCATCTCGGAAGAAGAAGACCCCCCTTCTCAAGTTGAGTCAAGACGGATAGGGCCCAGAAGAAACCGTAGTTAATTAAGAGAACTGTGTATTACCAAGATTAGTACGCAAATAATATTAAGCTTAATTAAACGAGTGGATATAAGCTTACCTTCCAACGCTTGCCGCAGTTCATACACTCACAAAAAGTGGTCATCGGCTCATCGGCGCTTCGGGTCTGGGCCTGCGTGTAGCTGACCATCTTCTTCTTGCAGCCGCCGCACTCGAGACTGTCGCTGATCGACTTCTCGGCCATGGGTACCTGGGCCTTCTTCATGTTCTCGAGCTCGGCCTCGGCGTCGGCCTTGCGCTGGTGCGCCGACATGAGCTCTTTGCTACCCATGACGACGAAGCGGTCGGCGGTGATGGCTCCCGACATCACGTTGCGGCCGAGTTCGGCGTTGGTCTTCACCTTGAGGTTCTGGAATAAAGATCGTATCTTGTCTTTGTACTCCTTCGTCTCGCCCTTGTACACCTTGAACGCCGCGCGCTCTACCTCCTCTGCGCGTTGGATCACGTTATCCTCCGATTCGCGCGAGCGGTAGGCGAGGCCATTGTACAAGAGACCGATGCAGTTGTCGCGGGTCGTGGAACCGGTGATGGCGATCTTAACGCCGTCGGTCTTGAAGGTGCGCTTCTCCACATCGCCCTGGTACGCCTTGTTATTGCCTACGAGGGGTTTCGGAGCCGGAGAGGCGGCCTTGGAGGCGGGCGACACGGAACCCTTCTGGACTGCTTTGGCCGGCTGCAGACCCTTCGCTCTCTTCTCGGCTTCGATAGCCTTCTTCCACTTAGAGACCACCTCGCCAGCGACCTTGGCAACTTCCTTGTTAGGGTTACCTCGAAGCTTGCCGATAACAATACCGGCCTTGGTGGTCTAATACAAGGGAGTTGTGATTAGCATATATAAGTGAAACATACGTACACAAATGACGGCATTAACAAGGAGGGGAGGGTAGGTCACGATGTTTCAGTGTAGCTAGATAGCTGGATAGCTATTTCGCAAGATAGTCGCAAGGGTATAGGATAAGGTAGACATGTCTCGGGAAAAGGCAGCAGGAAGACTGGAACGGATAAAGTCAGATAACTTACGCGCAACATCTCCTCGGTGGGCAAAGCACCACGGAGCGATTCCATGATGGCGAGGAGGTTTGAAGCCGGCTCGTTGGACTGGGCGGCCTTGTGAAGTGCCTTGACGCGCGACTCAAGCTCTCGTTGATCCATGATAGCTAGCCGTCGAAAACCGAGAATTCGAGATGAAGGGATGTCAGATCGTGGATGGATAGAAGAAGAAAGTCGGCGACGGGGGTGGGGGATGAAGTTGGAATGATTGCGAAAGAACTGGAGGCGGGATGCAAGTTTTGTATTTTACGAATTGGCGGGCGGTGGGCCAACTGTGCGAAGTGACGTGTAAGTGAATACCGTCCTTTCGAAGAAGTTAATACGGTTTGGAAGGACCTTTGCAGGTCGGACGGACAAGGCTACGAAAAGAGTACATATGAAAACGAGAGAATGAATCCTCTTCAAAGCCGCGAACGGTCCGCTTGGGCAGCCGCGACAGCACTAGATATGACGCACGGACCAGTCCTGCATTCTACCGCCATTTAACCGATCGATACGCACGGCAGCGACGATAGGAGAATTAGTAACCATGCACTCCACACTCCACGATACGTACCCCACGACTTCCTTTTGGTCTTTGTCAACCACGTGAGAAATCTAAGTTTAGACGAAGGTGAGTACCGGTAAGAACCAGTCAGCTTCGTTTTAGTCGAAAATTCTTGCAGATCATCTTTAGTTCTCTTAAAGTTTGTACGTAAGCTAGATTTCACGACGATCACGTCGCTCTTTCCACCATCCCAATCCTTTCTCGTCTTCACTGCAACCTTCTACACGTGCCCGCTTTCCTCTTTGCTGAGCTCAAGAAAGCTGCAGGTATCCTGTTATGTAATCAAAGTTTGATGTCGTCAAATCATACGGATGTTACACCAAGCTAGCTATGTAGGTACGTACCCTACATAGTTCTATGGCACAGTGAACACACATGCAGCGTCTCTCCAAATTTCCAGACTTCCAAACTTCCTACAAGCTACAGTCACAAGCATTCATTTTCTGCACAGGTGTTTTTTACAGTACTAAATTCTTCATAGCCAACTATACAGTCCTCATTCAGAGTATTGTCGTCTTCTTTCAAAAAGTCCAATAAGAAATTACCACATTAATGTATCCTACTAAAACATAACTCCATGGGTATAATCCATACATCCCCCTTTCTTCCTCTCTACTTCATCTCTCTTTCCCAGCCTCCATAGTAAAGTAACTTCAATACTAAAGTCAACAACTCGAAAAAAATGTTAAGCCAGAAACCCTGCGTCATCTGACATGTTCGGCAAACAAGAGCAGTTTTCCTTGAGATATAACCGCTCACATGTTTAAAAAGTCGGTATTATCGTTCAAGAAGTCCAGGAAACTGAAATCCTCGTCGACTATGGAGTTTTGGTTACCGCTAATATTGTTGCTAGCTTCAGCCAATGGTTGATTCAAGCAAGCAGAATCCAAACCATGGTTATACCCGGGGTTTTCAAATGAAAAGTTACCCGCGTGGTAGTTGATATTTGCGCCAGCAGCGGGTAGCGGTTCCAAGGAGTGATTGGCTTCAGCAGTTCGAGGCTGAACCGAGGTGGTTGCTTGGTTCCCTGCTATCGAATTTCCGGTTAAGCCAGCAATGTTTCCAACGTTGTTCGGCGTTGCTTCTTCTGCCTGGTTGTTTGGTCGACGTTGCAATCTAGATCCAGGGGTTCGTGCTGGAACAGTTCCTTCATCCGTCGAGTAGGGCCCATGAGCCATCCCTGATCTCAACGCCGGATCTATTTGAATAGACCCGCCCGTTTGGTGCCCGTTTCCTTCCTGGCCTATTTGTCCATAATTTGGGTGGTTGATCGCACCCGTGTTCATGGTCGTAGCATTCTGCCATCCGTAAGGGACGGTAGTAGGAGGGGTCGGAACGATTTGCCTATTCTGTTCAAAAGTGTTAGCTTGCAGAGTCTTTTTTAATCATGATGTGATATTTTACCTCTCCTAGTCCTAAACTCCATGCTTGTCTACTCTGCGGCTCCTGATCCATTGTATGTCCCGCGCCATTCCAAGTACTGGTGGTTTGGAATGCCTGATTTGGGTCAACAATGCGTTGCAAGTTACTATGGGCGTTGTTGCCGCCCATAATGGGTGGTGCTGGACCTTGAGGTATACATTGAGGTGTCGTTTGAGAGACCTGACCAGGATGTGATGAGCCATGGTAGACATGTGGGACAGGAGCCATAGTCGATGGGGCAATCACAAACCCAGGGTCTCCAGTAGACGGCTGTAAACCCTGGTAGGAGTTCGCACCAATGCCCGGGCCTGGGTTTATAGCACCATATCCTCCATGGATTATAGGCGATGGAGGATCCGCCGCAATGTCTTGGCTCCCTCGGAACACATCGTCCTCGTCTGCTATTTCCCCGGCCTCTATAAATCCATTTCCCTCACAATGAGGGCACAAGATGAGGTTTCCACCTCCGTTCTCGACTGCTCGTTTCGCCCTCATATGTGCCTTCTTGTTTCTGGTACTTCCTTTCCCTTTCGCAGGATGCACTACCTGCATCTTACGATTCCTATGCGAAAATTAGTCATTTGGAACCTTTACCATCCATCCGCTATCGTCTATTACTTACCCGAACACAGGGTCCGACCCATACTTCTCTGTTACATATTTAATCCCCTTGGCATCGGCCTTCCGCTCTCCGAAGTCAAATCTATCGTTGACCTCTTTAGCTACTTGGGGATATAATTGTCGATACTTCCCACGGGGTATCGGGTGCTCTGGAATCGTCCTTCTCAGGATGAACTTAATCGCTTCTGGGTAGTTCTTCCAGCGCGGACGACCGGTCAGTGTCTCTTCGCTGTTTTCGATAGACCCAGGCTAGTTCCATCTTAGTGTCAGTCTTGTTCAAGTGTTGAGTGTTGGTTTTGTTGCAGTGTAGCGAAGATAAAGGGTGATGAACATACCATCTTAGAAGAGTATAACTGTTACGTTGCTAAAGGACGGCTTGATAGAAAAAGAGATGTAATAGAGATAGGAAGATGCTTGAGCAAGTGCTATGAGAGCTATCTTTGGCAAGGCTCTTTGGTCTCAATGGTGTGATTAAGAAAATTAAAAGGAAATATTTCCAAGCTTTCTGGGCAGCTTAAATAGAAATTGATTGCTCCCAACGAGAGCCCGGCTGGCACCGGCTACCGGTTGAGGCTCATACGGATGACTAGGTTGGATCGATCTCGTCTACAGAGGATGGGATGAATGTCGCTAGTATAGCCACATAGTCTGGAAAATGTTGGGAAGTCATACTGTAATGATCGATGTTTTCTCATATGGGATCACGTTACTACTGGGAAGTGCGTAGATACTTGGATCACTCATGAATATGAGTGATTTTAGAGCCCATAATGCGGATCCTTATTTGGTGACGATGAGGATGTAAGATCCCGATAGTAGAGGTAGAAATATTTTCAAAGAAAAATCCTCCTTGACCCTGAATGTAGTGAGAAATTTCGCCTTAATTTTGTCACGGAGAATCTCAAGATAGGTAGGTAGTCTATGATTCCATGATACCAAATACCGGGAAGTGACAGAATGCCAGTTAGTAACATACTGCGTGGATTAGAAAGCGGCGGTGTTATATCTTGCACATCACCCTTCCATCGCTGTGTAAAAAAAGAGTAGCACATAATAACACCTTCCTTGCATATATCTAATTCTCTGTGGCTATAATTACTTAGGGATGTCTGTCTTAACTTTTCCCCTAGCGTCTATTTATATATTCAAGAGCTTTTTATTTCCCTACCTACTCAATTACCTAGGTAGGTAGTTTACCATATCAAAACATGGATTATAATGACTGATAACTCCGTTGATTATAAGTTTGCGGCAACTACATGCTATGGATATTTAGGTATACACCTAGTCATTGCTGGATGTGTTCGGCAGTGTCAATAGGGGTTTACTTGACGTGTAATCATGCAGAAATTGGGAAAATGCCATGAACATCATGTAAATGGAAAATTTTAGCAACTAATTCATCATTTAGTCATTGAAGGTATTAAGGGGAAGCTATTATGGGCCGACAAGCCGTGAAGCCTATCTCACTCTGCCATGTATGTAACAATTCAGAAAAAGATTACAGGAAACCTAGCTGACATCACCTGTATAAGAGACGCTTTACCCTCTCATTTTTGTTTTCATCAAAGTTGCTACTCCATGAGGCGATTATCTCTATTATGACACAGAACGATTAAAATGCACCCCTAAATCATAGTTGGTAGGTGATTATATCCATTGACTTAGGAACCAGCATCTCGGACACATGGCCAACAGATACAAAGAGAATTGACTAGTATCCATAGATCTGGTTCCTCTAGCCTTACTACTGAGTCTAGTATGTAGAGCTCACGGTTCAATGGTGATAGTCACACAAGATAAATTTTACCTACTAAGTCACATACTGTATGGAGACTACTCGTTTAGCACAATTTGGCAGACCTCAGGGGGTCCGAGAACGGCCCTAGCATCAATGTCCATCCCCCGTGATTCATACGAGGTAAAGGTGGCAATGGTTTATGACAATTGTCTTCTCGATCATCTGAAATTGCCATGCTATGTGGTTCTAGGCTCTTGTTGTTGGGGATAATCCATGCCTTCCTAGTTTGTTTTCTGGGCGCGAGGGATGGGGGTAAAACATCATTTCGCTCTTTGTTAGAGCCACGATGAGGAGTCTCTTGATGTTCTGGCCTCTTCGTTCTTGGTAAGATGAGTGTATTCATCTTGTTTCACGCGCTATTTCACTTGGCTCTACAAATATGTCAATGGGTAAAGCTACACATATACATTGCAATCATCGTCAATTCACAATCATTGGATCGGAAATAAAAGTGGAGAGAAAATGATGAAGTGGAAGACAAAGAGGGAAAAAACAACAATTGGATAAAGGGGTCCAAGGGGGCTTTTCCGTGACCAATGCGCAGAGAGATATGCGGTAACTCTATTCTTCAATCTATCAGTCTACTATTAGCGATCTATGGTTCTATGGATGATTCTGTCTTGAGTGGGGACTAGTAAGTCCGTGAGTGGATAGGAGATATGGTATGCACCATCACTGTCTCCCGAAGACTGCCCACCAGCATTCTATTCCTGAGTCTTCTCCATCCTCGTCCCAGTCATCTTGACCGGCTAAAGTATGTTCTTCTAGGACTTTCAAATCGGAAGATGCCATGATTGACAGGAATTTTGCTATTAATCGCTTCGTGACCAGGTCTCTTTGAGGGACCATTACGACAGCTCTAGCATCATTATCTATCATCAAATGGTCATGTATAGCAGACGACAGCAATTCAGGGTGATCATCATCGTAGAGAGGGTCTGCGGCAAGAACGATCTACTCAAGTTAGTAAAAATATACTCGTTTAGTGACTGGGTAGCTGACCTTGAATTGGTTCTTCTCGCCAAATCGCTCAGCGTTGTCTTCGTCAGAGCCCCATGTCAAAGCACCCGATTCAACTCCACCTCCTAGGATCTCGATGGTGGAACGATTCCTCTCAATGTTGAACCCAAGGTTAGCCATGATGCTCGGGAGATCAGTCAAAATAACGTTGGTCTGCCAGATTGCAGCAGCAGCCATTCCCAAGAGCCCTGTGCCAGAACCGAGTTCGAGAACTTCTAGAGACTGGTTCGGGCGTCCTAGTTGCAGTAAGTGGGATAATGACTTCTCTGCGATCTCCCCTAAAGATTGTGCTAACAGATAAGAGGATCCCCAGGTTTTCAGGCCAAGACAATCGCCAATGATAGGAGGCTCTCGGATGATCAGTTCAAAGGGAGATGACGTTTGGCTTTCCAGTGGCCATCTCCGCGTGATTTCCCCCATTGCCGCTCTACCACAGCGTTCCGAAAGGCGTCGGCTTGCCTCGTCCCACAACGCCTCCTTTTCATCGTCGTCCTGAATCCATCCGAGACTGCTCGAGACTATGCTAGACAGGTAGGCGGCGACTTCGCGACGAAATTGAGCAGCATTTTGACAAGTTTCTATAATTATTTTCCGTGAAGTTTTGGGATTCCATATCGGAGGTTCGACCTGAGTTGAAGTGAGTCTTCGGCCGTCTTGTTGGGCATGATACTTCAGGCGCTTTTACCTGAAGCTTTTTAAGAGATGCGAGAAGTTCCTCGGCCGAGGGCTTCTGCCAAACTTGAGGGAAGTCCGCTACGGAAATGGACATTGTATTAAGAGATAAGATATTGTCTATCGTCTATGGAAGTCTAACGGGGATAACAGGGGTAAAGGAAATAAAACAAATGAAAATGAAAGTAGGTAGGTAGTTAAATTTGTCACCGGAAGGAAGGCATTATGAAGATATCACGACGGTTGTTGTTTGACATTATGTGTTGTATAGATCTGGTTAAAGGGGAATAATGGAAAGAGTAAGATTCCCACTATGGACCAGCGATAAATTTATTAAATATTAGAAGATTATGGACGGGTCTAGCCAGGCACGTTTACGATAACATCAAGCTGCCGATTCAGGGCTGAAGAAAAAAAAATACAAGCCACATATGGATCCCTGCAAAGGGTTTACCCGCTGTGGACTCTTCCCCCTAGGTTTCCGTATCTGCTATTGGCTAATGCGAGGCTAGTGCATGTGGCTGAACGTGGGTCGTGAACTTAGATTCACTGGCTGATCCTATCGATAAGCAACCCCACTGTGAATTTTGACCATAACTCAAAAATTCACCGGCCGCATTTGCTTTTTGAATCTTTCTTCCTCAAGCATCGTCCTCATCAACGCTGCGTTTCTGAGCTACAAACAGAGAAGCCGCGCAAGCTGCTTCTCATCGTTTCTATTCTCCTTGGAGTCTAGATTGATTTTATCCGCTCATGAGAAATTCGGAGTAATCTTCATCACTACCTTAGTCGCCCGCCCGGCGTGGGATTGACGGGTCTGCCTGTAAAGGTCTGGCGTGATGATTTCACACGTTTGCAATTGGCATCAGAAAAGCAGGGCTGACACTTCGTGTATATCCTCACGGAGAAGACGGAGGAGTTATGTTCCTATGGGAGAGTCGTTGCGGAGATTGTGTGTGAGACCACTTAAGTGCGATACGCAGCGTGGGAAGCTTGTTTCCCTTCGGGGGAACAAGGTGCCTACAATTCGATTCTGATTACTCTGATGAGGACGATGCTTCACCCTTTTTCTTTTTAGGTGAGTCAAGAATAATATCAACCCCAAATCTGATACCCTCTAAGTTAAGGATACTACTAACGATACATTGATGAAATCACGACAATCAACCACAACAACGACAGCTTTGCTCTGTCTTTCGACAACAACACTCTGGGCATATTGATCCGCCTTTTTAGATCAATTCCAGCCCCCTTCATTCTTGTCCCCCGCATCGACCATTTCTTCCTGGTTGAGTAATTCCATTACGTCTTGAGGTGTTGGGTTATTCGAGGTTACACCTTCATTTTCGTCTTTTACGTCCCTAGACGTAGCACTTTTGCTTTTTCGCTTGTCGAACCGGTGTAACACTTTAGCATCCGGGCTTTTCGGGTCTACGAGCTTCTCAAGGTTAGATGCTTCTGTGACTAGATTTACGCACGACGCACTGTTCGACGCAGACTTCGTAGCCAAGCCGAGAACGAGGACCCCGGCGTCATGAATCTTGTCTAGCGCAAGATGCCGAGGATCATGATCAGAATGGCCATTTGGTGGTCGGGATCGAATAAATGCCTTTGCAGCTTCGTTGACTTGGTCTAGACACGTTTCTAGCTTTATCCGCTGAATGCTGAACTCTTCGTCGTCTTGGCTCTCCCCACTCTTGTACTCGCTATTATACTCGATCCTCTTCTGCCATATCAGCTGAAGGATATCATCGCCGACGTAATACTTAATTCCAGCTACTTCTTCCTCATACTTCTTCTGAAACTTGACCCAGTACTTCTTGCTCTCGCTGATCTGATCCGCTAAATGTCTCGCTGCGAGCGAGACTCTTAGCTCTGCACTGATGCTTGCGTCGCTTCTAGAGCTAGAAGCTTTAGAGGCAGGAGAGGTAGAATGCCTCTCTCCTGAACGTTCCAGCTTTGGGGAATGCTTTGATCGTGACCCTTGATGACTACCATCAGGATTTCCGCACCGATCGTCAGAGCTCCTGGAGTGATGGCCACAGGGATGTTGAAAGTAATTTGTCCCGTTCAAGCTGTACGCGGCCATGAGAGGGGACTGTGGTTGCAGATACATGGGTGGTCCACCAGGGAGTGGCCTTGCTTGTTGATGGCGAATAGGCCGTGGCTCTCGAATATGTCCATCTTTATTTGACTTGCCCATTCTGTTCGCTCCAAGACAATGATATTCAGATGATTACGGAATTCAACGACGCCATGGGGAAGTCTGGGCCATCTTGTACCCAGAGTGATTGCTAGACATTGTATCTGAGTTTATCATGCTGCAGATTGCATTGCTAATCCTTTGTTCATAGCTTGTGGCAATCATTCCCAACAAAGAGACTTGGCAACATCAACTATTTGCGCAAACGCTATAAATCAAACAGAGCATATCATGGACAAATTCAGCTTCATCTCTTCTACTCGTTTGCTAAGAAGCATCTAATCTTTTGCTATCACATCTCTAAAGATAGGCTAGACCGGTTTTCTCTGGGACTATCACAATCTGTCGCAAGGCCTACTGTCTAAGGCTTGCCATGATACATTCAGTCGTCGAGATGGCCGTACCGATACAATAACCCACCTCTCGTCAATGTACCTGTTCGAACTATCCCCCCCAAATGGAGTCTTCTCCGCCTTTTGCCGGTCATATGCACTTAGATCTGCAGCCACTTCACACTTAGCCGAATTAAAAGGGAATACCAATGTGCCACACGCATAGTAACGCCGGTAGCTTCATTATAGAGGCTCCTTGGTTATTTTAATTCCTACAAAGGCGGAATCTGCCATCCATAAATCAAAGGCTGATGTGAATATCACATTGCCATTGTCCAACCAGAAGGACTCGATCTAAAGACCGCCCTGGCCGTAGATATATACGAGTATGGTCTCATTTCCCAGGTTCCTGGCCTGCGGCGCGATAGCTCAAGAGGGTGGTATGCGGTTATATGACGACTCGGAGACGGGTTTGGAGAAAAGTGGCATCCACGGCCACGTTAGGAACGAGAATGCGATATAGGTGGTTTACACGACATAAGCCGTGCCACCTACGACATGCTGGGCGTTCACGATAGGACGATGTGTGCGAAGTACGTACCATGTGTCGAGCCCATTGGGCCCCTACTGTGTGCATCCACCTGTCAAAAAAACTTGACCCCAGATAGCCCAAATTGGAGTGGGTGGTCCATGCGCAATCGCCCGCGCTAGGCGATTAGCCGACCCGACAGTATGGTTCGGTAGCACCCTTCCCTCTCAATGTTCGCGTTCGGCGCTAGCCCGTTCTTGGCAAAGGCGCGCCCGAACCGGTTAGACCAATTAGGCGCATGCACGCGCAGCCCCAGTTGAGGCCGTTTTTGAGGCGCAGTTTTTGGGCGACGAACCCAGGAACGTCACCCCCTTATGTACGGTTACCTAATTCGAAACATTTTTGTCCAAGTGCCCGTTCGATCTGCAGACAGGGCTGCCTCAACGCAAAACCCCTAGGGGTTAAGACACTTAGAAACAGCGCGAAACGAAACTGGCGAGGCTGTGATACAAGTGCCCTTGGGATCTGGATGTCACATATTTGTACTGGACTGGGGTTCGGTGGTTGAAGAGCTGGGATGCGGATTGGCTACTTTTATTCTTTTTCTTTTCTCTCGACACCTTTCGCCACTGAGCTGCTCGGGGCCGACGAGGGAAAATATGCGTTGTGTTGTATGGTGATGGTGGTATGGGGGAAAAGACGACGAGTCGATTCGAGCTGTACGATATGATATCAACAATACCTGCCTACCTATCCAAAGCAAGTAAGCATGCAGCCTGGTTCCCGAGATGGCGTTCCACCCCGGCCCCCCCCCCCCCCCTTGCCCGGAATGGCAGCGATCCGGCAAGGCTGAGCTGCGGTTAACGTACATATCTGCAAATGTATGTAACACCCCCATCACCTCCCTCCCTGATCTGCAGCGACTGGCAGCCGCGCGTTGGTCGTTTGGACGTTATCAAATTAGGAGTTGGGACGGTGACCTGCGTCGCAGCGCGCCTCGGCGGTACCCAGCCTCATTGGACGGCGTCGATGTCACCGCGTTCTGATGGCGACGAGGCCCGTTATGTCGGGTATGCGTACATGTATGTACCATTACTTACCTAGGTCGGCACGCATGGGCAGATGGGGTAACACGGCCAAGGCTACCTCACCACACCTGCTGGAAGTTCGTCACCGAAACTGGAGGCCTTGCGCTACTTAAAATTGCAGAGCACGGAGGGCCCTTAGCCTATCGTGTCGCCGCCATGTGATGTGACGGGGCGCGATGGGCTACCTGAGATACCGGTCGATAACGGACTCCCAGGCGCTAGAGAGGAATAGGCAGGACTTGCTTGCAGGTGTCGATTTTTGGAAACATTCTCGCTGTTTATGGCGTTTGCTGTTCGTGTAGAGTGGTATGTCATCTAGGCAAGTGGTGATTGTGGTTTGGAGAATCAGTTTTACGTTGGCGTATATTCGGACGTACATCCATCCATACACGCATACATATGTAGTAGGTACGTATCTAGGTTAGAACACACACACATATCCATATAGCTGTGTATGAACAAACAAGATACTCGCAAACGCTAGATACGCAAGTCTATGATCCAGAACCTACGTTCCTAGTTCTTCCCATGTCTTCGCCATCTCTCGGTATCGTCACATCCATACCTCATACCTTCCAACCTACCACGCCACCGGTATCCCACGCGGGTGCCTACTGGAGCACGGAGCAACCACTCCTCCTCACACACCTACCTACCCCTCGAGTTCCCCAGATAGTTTTGACATAGCACAAGCACGTAAACTAGAAAGAACGAACGATCTCATACATAGATGACTACACGCCTACACTACCGGCAGACAGGTACGCCGATGACTCTTCCAAGTATCACTGCCGACTAACCGAACTGACCGACCGGCCGATATCCGTACAACGAGCCGCGTCAGCATCGCTAAATCCAAATCCTCTATCACTGATCCCCTCTTACCCCCTCTATACCACCTCCCCTTTTCCTAGGGTATATCTCTCTTAGCCATTTGTTTGTGTAGGTATCAGCACGTTTGTTGTCTCGTCGTAGTCTCTATTTTGGGGAGTAATTACTGTATATCATGCTGCGTTTGCCGCCCACTTCTATGGATGTTCGATCTCTTCAACCACGTACCTGGAAGATGAGAATGTACGATACCTAACCGGCCCGCAGTATTCCTTCGTTTGTTAGTGGCCAAGGCATCCAGCAACATCTACGATACCATATCTACGTAGACGCATATACAAATCACTCAAGCAATTCGACCATAATCAATGACTCAAGTTTCAAAATCAGGATATTTCATTCCATGCTGGTCTCATAGTAGACTTAAAGACGCATTGCATACGCCCGTGTACATGCCAACATTATGTTAGATAACTAGGCTATGTCGCCTTTAAAAAAAAACTCCTTACGCTCAAACTGTCCGAGCATCAAATAATCCACGCCGCTTTTTTGTCCTATGCAAGGGTAATAAGTGTCCCAAATGCCTGTGCCAGTTGTGTCATGCTGTTCCTGTTTCGACCTATGCCAGATCCTGTTGTATCAAAAAAAAGCAAGTTGACCAAAAAAAATGCAATAACCAATGTTTCGCCAGATGGTATTAAACCATCAATAATAAAAATGCAAAATCCCGCCGCCCCTGGATACGCTTTCATTCGTCATAATAGATATAAGGTGACTTCGTTAGATAAGACGAGCTTGCTTTCCAAAATTGTAGCCGCTGTTTGTCGCTTCTCACTTGAAAAGATTATCGATGCGACTCGGATTGACTCCGATCCAGCTGCTTCAAATGCCCCTGCGTGGCGTGTAGGCAGGAGACACTAATGAGCAGCAACAGCCTGCGAGATTTCGCTCTTCATAATAGCAAGTCGCTCCCTCATGTCTATCAAGTCCGCTAGTTTGTCTTCAGGGGGTTCCTTCAATCCGGATATCTCATAATGCAACGCCTCGTATCGTTCATAAAACTTCGTGAATATCTTCGCCTTTACCAGGACGTCTCTTGGTACTTGCTGCTTCTTGTTGGGAGTGGACTGTTGCGACGAGTATTGGTCGGCATCTCGTTCCTTCCGCTTCTTACTCTGGACGCCCAAGGAGCCACCATTCGCCACCCCATTTGTGTCCCTCTCCCCGTTCCGAGCTTGGGGTTTCGGTTTACGTTGGGGTGGCTTCTCCTGCTCCTCAATGTCGGAGGCATTGGTCGGCGGCGATGATGCGAGAGGCGAAGATTTGGCCGGTGATGTGTTCTTGCTCTTTGAAAAGTTCGAAGATCCCGTTCCCGCAACCGCGTTTCTTGAGCTTTGGCTTGCATCAGATGGGCGATGCTTTAGAGTCGTGGTGGTCGAAAGTGGTTTAGGAAGCTCCTTCGGCTTGATTCGCTTGCTCAGTGGCGCCCCTGAACTGGAACTGCTGTCATCGTCTTCCCGAGCGCGCTTCTGAGAAGATGGGGCGGATGTCTTGGCAGGCGGTCGGGGTGCTCTAACAACAGGCTTGGGTTTAGGGAGAGTGACGGGCGCGGGCTTCTCCTTCGGCTTCTCTTTTGGCTTCTCGGCCGCTTTCGGAGCTGGCTTTTCAATGCGCCTTTCATTAAGTCTCTCGGCGACCTTCTCGATAGGCTTCTCGACGGGTTTGGGTCGCGATACGCTTGAATTGGTCGTGCTTGATAATGGCCTCTCATCCCCGCTGCTCTCAGAATCGATGACCTTCTCTTCAGACAGGAACTTCCTTCCCTTTTCTTCTGTCGTAGCAGCCTTGGGTTTGGGGGCAGGCTTCTTCGGCGCGGGTTTCTTGGAGCTCGTGGAGAAGAGGCGCTTCGTCTGCGCTTCGCGCTCGCTGACCTTCTTTGTCTTGTTCCCTACTGGTTGCGAATTGGATCGAGCCATAGCTTCGCCCTTTGCCTTGGAAGAATCGGCATCGCTCCTGTTTCCGCTGTCGTCGGTCTTCTGTGATGATACCCGAGGAACCGGAGTAATATTTCCCTTCGCCAGATTTGTTTGAAGTTTGCTAAGGACAATACCCTTTCCTCGTTCGGAAGGAGCCAGCAGTTTCTCCCATTCAGGCGCAGATGTCGAAATGCGTTGCTTGTCGTATTGCTTGATGGCGTTCTCTATGGCCGCGGCGCGATCGTCATTGCGGTAATCATAATTCCATACGTCCAATTCCTTCCAGTAGATCTTCTTTAGACTCCACTTCTTAGTTGACGCATCGAAATTTGCCACCTTCTCTACCGTCGGCCTGAGGTCCGCCTCTGATCCCTTCCATACATCCGCTAGATGCTCGAATGTTTGGTCTCTTGACGCTAATTCGTGGACGAGAACAGTCCTTTGGTTCTTGTTCTTTTCAAGCAATTGCTGGGAGGCGGAATAGGCCGGGTTCGGCGAAGAGACTCCGTTAAGCGCAGGACTCGAAGGCAATGACCGGGTCGCTGAGTTCGATAATACGCTGGCCATGGCAGACTTTCCAGCGGGCAGGGGTTTGTTCTTGACTCCTCGCTTCACATCCTTGGATTTGCTATTGGTGGTCTTGTTCGATAGGATGTTGGAAGGAGGTTGTTTAAGTATGGACATGGTAGGGTTTAGTAATCGCTGGGCCTTGTTTGCCGCCTCCTCGGGTTTGGTAAGATAGAGGTCGTAGTTGTATGAACCAGGGGTTGTTTTGACTTTCTGTTCTCTCGAACCGATGAGGAAGCTCTGCGAATAGTGGTGTTAGGAAATCCATAGTATTATTCAATTGAGTACTCATTTGTATTTATTGATGAATGTAATTATGATTTCTTCGTTGCGGTAATTTGGCCATCGATTTGTTGTCCCCCCTAAGCTTGAAGGATCAAGACATATCATGTATGTGCCGGTTGTGTGTTGAGGATTGTCGGCAATAGCAATGGCAGTAGTTTGAGAAAAACAACCAAAACAAACTTACAGGAGTGCTTCCTAGGGTCAATTCGATCTCTTGCCCGCCTTGTACACATTTTATCATGTCCTCAATCATGCTGTCGCTCAAGGTGACGCCGAATGCTTGTAAGGGCAGTTGGTCGCTCGTGGCCGAGCTCTCCAGAAGGAGGCCGGTATCAGGAACCGCCAGGGCCGGCATATTGCGAGTTTGGTATATGCCGACTTTAGAGTGGATAATTAATAAGAATTAAGGGAATTTATGATTTCGAAATGTCAATATGACTATGGAATGTTATGACAATGCTATGTCGTGAGGTAATAGTCGAGGCAAGACAAACTGCACGAGTTCTGCACCTAGCCAGACTATCAAGAGTCCAACTTGACAATAACCCGACTATTCATGCAGCTCCGTCACATGGCTATGTAGGTGGAATTCGAGGGTGTCAGTATCCGTAGAGCAAAGTAGAGTGTGAGGAAGTTAGGAGGTAGTATGATTGAATTCTGGGATAGAGTGTTGGATGGGTGAGGAGAGGAAGTTGTGTAGGAGGGAAGAGGAAGAAGAGGAAGAGTACGGGAAGGACGAGGTTGTACGGAATAGTCTCGTTGAATCTTGGTCAAGAGGAGAAAGAGAATGGAAAATGAAGGCACAAATGGATGGATGGGGTGGGATGTACCTAGTAGTGGAGCATGACGGGGGTGGTCCCAGAAAGTACTGGCTAAGTACCACGCTTGCTTAGTTCATCCCGTCCCCTCAGCCTAGTGAACTCTAGGGGACTAAACCTTATTAGTCAGAGTGCAAGAGTCACTTATTTCCACTCAAAGACTAACCTGTCTAAATTTACACTGTGAAAGAAACTCTAAAGACAATAGGAGTAAATTGACAAGAAAGAATGACCCTAATTTACCTGTGGGCAAGCCAAGATCTACTTGGCTGCAGTTTTAAAAATATATTTCCTACTCACAACGACAACAAATCTCTACCTTTCATACACTGTAATATTATATTTACAATACAATAGCAACATAGATAAAATCCCTTCACACAATCTGTTTTTGGTAAAGTAGGTCAGGTACTTAATTACCCGACCAGGTGTCATAGAAGAATTGAGCGACAACACAGCCTGGGAGCATGACTATTGTTATTATTATCATTATTATTACCTAGGGATTATTACATAGTACCGATAGATCTTTGTACGATACGAAGCCATGTATGTACAGGGCACAGGAGGCCAGTATGTAAGGCAAACCGCTGTAAGGCCCACGCACTAGTACCTACATAGCACAGCACAGCACATCCTTCGAATGGCGTGTAGGTACATCCGAGATACTTTGTACTTGGGCTGTGTGAGACAGGGGTTATGGGATTTGCGGATGGGCAGATGCATGCATTTTCCCTTGGACGAAGCAACCAGTCAGTGCCCCAGGTGTAGCCAGTAAAGCCAACTTGCCGGGCACGCTGGGCAGAGAATCTCTGGCAGGAAGACTTGCCGTTCAATTGTCAAGAATGGCGGTTGTTATGTCCTACTGTATCGTGTGTTATATCAAGCGTAAGCTGTATGAGGCATGTACTATGTGCAGTGTGTAGTGTGTAGTGTGTAGTGTGTAGTGTGTAGTGTGTAGTGTGTAGTGTGTAGTGTGTAGGTTCAAAAGGTGGTACGCGGTAGAGTAGTGCGTAGCAAAAGGCGGATCTACTAACCCAACATGGCTATTTCTCTGGAAATACGATCTTTCTTTTGTCAGTCCGTCTTCTATTTTGATACAAGGGGGAAACTTTCTCCTACATAGCATACAGAGCAGATCTTCCTACAACTTCCAAAATGTAGGTAAGAATATTACACACAGATCCAATAACTATCAACATGGCGAACGTGTAGGTATGAATCATTGGCCGGCTTACTAGTGACGAAAGCTGCTCGAGGGAACCCTGGCCCAAGATACAGTTCAGTTGGTACCTATCTGACCAAGAGGGATCTAATGCTGGAAATCTCCAAGGCCTAAATTACATCATTTTGGCTTGGGCGCCGGAGCATTGCCATAGCATTTCTGGCATCCAATGCCAGCACAAACACCTACCTACATAGTAGTAGCCTAGCATCGCGGCTGCGGCTCATACCTTTGCCTGCTAGTGTGTAAAACGCAAAGGCAGTGATGTGGTCAAAAGGCAGGCCAACTCATCATGAGTATCCATCCATATCAGATGACAAGTGACAATCTTGCAGAGAGAATTCGGTGAATGTCTTCGTCGAGGGCAATGACTTGGGTTGATACGTACGTCGGTCAGGCACTGCGTATGAAGCAACAGGCAAACTGGTGCATCCATGCTTAGTTGTCAGGTCCAAATACGAGGCGAAATAGGACAACCCTTTTTCTTCATGCGGTGACACTAGATCTTCGAAATGTTCACAATGTTCTCTACTGTTAAGAAGTTTATCCTATGTATCTATGTATCGTACATCGTGCGTGGGAGGGTAATCTGATCTTGTTAGGTTAGGTTACATACATATGTGGTTATGTAGTATGTCTGCGAAGAGCGCCTCACCAGACTAGCTACCTGAACAATTTGGTAGATGGGTAAAGTAAGTAGGTGGATTTAGACGTATGTAATGTATGAATGGTGCCATATCTAGCATTTTAAGTGCTAATAGTGCCATTCCTAAGCTACGGTGATGCTTCGGTACCTTTTTCAATAGGCAATGCAGAGCGGTGGTCAGCAGGTTGTAAAAATGCAGCTATTCTTCGCGCGCCTGACGGCCCCGGCCAGGCTGATTATCCCAGGGCTTTGTTCGTACGAATGAGAATCTCAGATACAAGATTTTCCTGGGTGATGGATCATGGACCCCAAAAAGGTTCGCCAACGCGCTGACATGCAGGGCTTTCGAATCCCGATTGGGTATGATATGTCATTAAGTATGACGGTCGGAGCCAATGGAGGACGAGTCCAACCGGCATAAGAAAGACATAAAATCTACTGGTAGTGTACACATGCTGATTATGTCCCAGATCTGACTGAAACAAATAGAGCTTATGCTCTGCAGCACTCTCTTGTTTTCTTTCTCTTTTTTCGTTCGTCTCCGCGGTGGCGGCGACTGTGCGTATTGCCCAATCTTGACTGTACCGGAGCTCTGGCAGACCTGGTGCCGAAATAGACGGGCATCCCGTAACGTCAGACCATCCCACCACACGTACATACATAGAAATGGGCCTCGACGCCTCTTGGTATGATTCTGGCTTTGCTAAGTTGAGAATACGACGATTTAGTAATTCGGGATAAATTTTATCGTGATAATATAGTAGGAGAATAGGGGAATACGTAAATACAACTTGGAACTTTCACACACTAGGTACTTTACAGCACTTAGGTACATATCTCAAAAAAGATACGGGAGAGAGAGACAGCCAAAAAGAGGCGGCGATGGATCTATTTACAGAAGGTTAAGTCGGAACTTCTAAGTACGACGGGGAACGGCCCCTAAAAGGTAGCTGTGAATGTATTGCTAATGTATCTCCAATAGTAGCCGAGGGAAGCTCTCCACCAAACTCAACCAATGGACTTGTCTCCGGCTGGTGGGACTTCGACTGCTTGGATGCTTGAATTCTTGGCAGCTTGGGATAACACATAGCCTACCAGCATTTTTCATACCTTCCCAGCTTTCCCTACCAACCTACCTACCGAATCTTCAAGCCATTACATGCGAGGGATTCTTGGTCTGGCGTGTTCTGCGAGTTGTACCTGACAATCTCGCCTGATTTGGACTCGTTACGTCCTGTAACTCTCTTTATTAATTAACAACCTTTTTCCCCAACATACAATGTACATATATTGTAAGTGTCAAATGTCAATTCCGAATTCGTACGTATCTAGAAGTCAAGGTTTCCGAAGGGCCAACACTAGGACGCCAAGTACGCGAGTGTGCGAGTGGGAATTCCCATGCTAAGATCTAAGACGTAGATGGTGGAAATGGTCTCAGTCTAGTGAGTATCTTTAAACGATGGATACAAAATAGTATGAATTTCGTGCCAAGCCAAAAAGGGATTGTTGAAGCGAGAAACGGTGTCGTACACCACATCCGTACATACATAATCTTTAATAGATAGCCGGGCGTCAGCGGGTAGTTGGTAGCCATGATATTCACAACCAGCGCCTCTAGCGATGAAACCGCCACACACCTTGACAGCGGTCGGTGAGTGAGTAAGCACCTGGGCAACCTTACGTGCGGTTAGTATATGTTGGTTGTATGCTGTATGTTGTACTATGTTGTATGATGGAATATAGAGGTTCCCCAGTTTATCGCTCATCTACCCAGGATTGTAGCTGATATTTCCCGAACTGTCTACCCAGAGGCTAGCTGAGAATCGGTATGCCCTGACATCATTCAGCTGATATTGAAGCACGCTCAAGGCTAATACTATAAGAGACTATTTTATTATATTGTTACTACTATTCATCGTGGTAACTATTCCGGAAATCGACATGTCGATGGATATACCTTGATATGTAGTAATTGTCATCAATATCTCTCACATCGTGACATCTACCTACTATGTTTGGATAGGTAGGTAGGTCGAGAGGTATGTATGGGCACGGTGCGATATCAGCTACGTGCCACGGTCCTCATCCCATCGCTCTCGCTTGCTAAGTAACTAGCTGCAGGTCATCCACGCGAGAATCTGCACGGGCTAGAAGCGCCACGAGGGGCCGACGACCGAAAGGAATTGGAATCTCCGTCTGGGTAGGTAACATGGGCGTGGCGTTCTGCCCCACACATCCTCTTCACACATCCTAATGTATTTCCATACGTAGGTGACCTACTTGGGTAGCGTAAGAGGTAGCATAGGACACATAGGACTGCCCTTTCAGCTTTCCGCCCATATTGCTGTCCCCGCTGTTGACGAATACGGAAGATCATATATTACTCAAATCATTGCTTTCCACGTTATCGGGAGACTCGCCCCAACACACATATCCTCCGGGGAAAAGCTAAGATGTCGTCACTAGTCATATCAAGACAAATTGCAGAGCCCATCGTACAGTGCGTAGATGCGGCCAGCAGCCATCCGAGATTGGATAGTTGATGCGGTGCGTTGCGTTGCAACAACGACATCTGCGCTGGAAGGCCCGGCATTGTGTGCGGGAGGATTTCGCCAGCCAGTTCGTGCTAAGTCAACCAACCTACGACGACCTACGGCCTACGTACGGGACATAGGTACACACCCTTCCCCAATCTACCTGTGGTTTCATCCACGAATCCCGGATGGGCGTCTTGCAGAGAAGTTCGATAGCTAAATTGCTGTGCGTGGCCATCGTCTCGAAACAAGCCGTAAGGTCCGAAAAGCGAGATCTATACGCCAGATTATCAGGATTATCAGTCGATTACTTAAGGTTAGATGCCATAATCAGGCTTAGTCGGCATGATATTTTTCTTGCTATGCCCAATTTCCCTCATAAACAATGCTGTGCCTCCAAACTTATGACGGAAACGATCTCAGTTCGGCCGACGCTTGGCTTTTAGTCGGGACAGAAAGCGGATACGATTTATAGGCTATTACACATGCGGTTTAACTCCTACCATTGAGAGTCCACAATAGCTCCTCGGTGTTCTAGATCCTAGACTATTTCTCCAGGACAACATATTCCTCTTGTCGAATTATTCGAAGGTTTGACTATGTAGAAATATGTCCTTGGCAGATCTATGAGTCTTTCATACATTTATTTTGACAGCAAAATAAATACGAGACTGTCAGAGCTAAGTTTCGTGACGATGGCGGAGCCACAAGGAGATTGTTCCTCCTGCACCAATTTGACGATGCGGAGGACGGGTACCTAGGTAAGCAGAATTAATAAAAGATTATTATTGGACACATGTAGGTGGAAGGAAGCGGGTTGCGGGAATGCAAGCTCTTGTTCGAGATTGTCCGAACGCCCCGCTGTCACATCCCTCGATCCATCCCACTAGGCCCGATAACTCCAGATGGAATTACAGGATTCTCCGGACTGGCTGCTGTAATATTAGTGTATGAACTGGTGGGTGTCATGAAGGTAGCAGCAGTGTAGCTCTCGATAGACCGGGTTTACACCACCTCGCCCCTCCTTAAGCTCTTGCATACCTAGTACTGCGTGCTCGAGTTCCCATACTTAAGGCACGGTCTGCACGCTCCAGTACTTTCTTAAGCTAGCAGCTGGCTAGTCGTTCAGGAACTTTGTTTGCTTACCTATGAATAGCTTGGCTTGGCACGGCTTGAAATGGTTTCGCTTACCAAGATCAGTAGCCTCAAGCGATGGACGGTATAAGTTTTATGGTCGACGGTCAAAGCATACACGGTTGAATCGGATGGGTTCCCCTCTTGAATCGGCGAAATATTCATTCCAATCATGCCGTACCTACATCGACGAATCCCCTTGTCACATCCATCCATCCAGGCCGGTGGACGGGCGGACGGAACTCGGGAAGAGAGGTTGGTGGTGTGCGACTTTGCAGCTTTGTAAGAGGCGGAATTGGAATTTGGATTGAGGCCCTTTTTACTTTTTCCCTCTCTCTTACGATTGACTATCACCTGAACAGAATATGGATACCTCCTACCTGCGTCCGTAGGTGGGCAGGTACTAGGGACACCATGGACACCAAGGACAATCAAGGACAGCAGTGGTCACCATGCAAGAACCTTGGAACCTTAGTATGTATAGTATATGTAGTTGAATGTGATAGATAAAGTTCGCAAGGTTCGGTAGTGCGACACCGGGGGAGCTATGGTTCCTCTCCCGTGGTATGATTGTTTTGTACATCTTAACACATCACGAGGCGAAAAATACATTCATACCTTGGAATACCTTAGGTCGGTACGAAAAACCCCAGGTTTATGTTACTAGCCCCTCTTTAGTCCACGCAATGCCAATCTGGAAACCTTATTTAGTAACACGGAATAGACTTTCCTATACTCAGTTACTAAACGAAACATCGCAACGCAATATATTGTGCTTACGTATTTCTGACCCTGGACTACACACATTGAAAAGGGCCTCGTCCATGTGATAGTTTCTGTTTTCTTATGTTGGTACGCTATGATAATAGAACCCTAATAAGGACAAGTCGTGATCAAGTGAGGCGCCACATAGCATGCGCTCTGTCGTGCTTTGTTATTCGTCACAAGATTTTGAGTGCTGAGTGCCGATCCGTGGACCGTAATCGGTCCATACTCATTCGCCCGACTTTTACACATCTGTAAAAGGTTCGGGAGACTGAGTTGAGGACACGCCTTGGAAAGACGTCACTGAGGGTTGGCTAATCTCGTACCCCTGGTCTATCTCTAGGTGTATTTAACCCGGAGATATACAGAATGCTTAATGTTTCTACCCGCTGCTGGTCCCCGGGAAGGGGACCCTGCAAAGCTACATTGCCGCACAGAATTAATTTCATATCCTATGTATACGCGTCACTTGGAGACAGCAGCAATGGAAAAAGGAAAAAAGAAACCTCGCGAATAGTCCTTGCTGGCGTGGCTATTCAAAGTTCGTTACTGCACTTATATGAAACATCTGAATCTGGGTAAGCCTTGCATGCTTTCACATTGCACATCTTTCGTTTTCGTATACCCATATGTCTTCTTTATTGACGATTTATGGAGATGACCAGCGTACATCAACCCAATTCGATGCTGTGACCGAACTACGTAAGTAGCAACATTAAGGGGTTGAGTAATCACCGAATTCGTGCCCTTGAAATTCCTGTCCTTGCAATCCTGACGATCGTGCACGTCGTCGCATGTTACGAATGTTACGGGCGACTGCGGCTAAGACTCTGACATAGTGGGAAAGGAGTCCGAGAGGTACAACTAGATCCCTTATTCCAGAGTCACAGCTCTACTGCGTCTTGAATAACAAGATAGCGCAGTGTCCCAGATAAAAGTAGATGAAATGCTTCGTCTCTGTAACGTCGTTAGCCCATAATATGAAACCAGGTGGATATTGTTGGTGGCAAGGAGGACATACCGTGAGTGACGAAGCTTCCGAAGTTGCGTCCCACTATGCAATGCCAAGTCGGGCCCTTTCGTTCGTCGAACTAGTATGCTAGAATTAGTACTCTGCCTGAAAGCGACAATGATGTCAGAGGATTAGGTTTCGTAGACGGGCTTACCGTGCGTTTGATGTGTTGTGCGATGTCCTTCTCGATGGTGTACTTGCCCATAGCTTCCTGAGCTGTTCACATAACGTCAGAATAGAATATGGATACGCACACCCTTTAATGTTGATACATACCGACATCGATAGCCTCTTGTTGCATATCCTCAGTCTGAACTTGTAAGTTAGCCCATATCGAACCCTCGTTTATTATTCAATGATTCTGACCATATCCGCCGACTTGATCTGAGCTATAAATCGAAGGGATTAGTCAGTTAAACGATCCATTTGTGATTCAGCGACGCAACGGACCTTCAAGCTTGTCGCGGCTTCCAGCCGGAGGGGGAGACTGTTGCTCAGCCATGGTCTCGATTCGACGTCGACGGTGTGATGATTAATCGGTTCTATTATAGGTACGACGGTTAGCAAACAAGGCTCTGTATATAGGTGAGAGTTGCACCAAGATTAAAAATACGACAAACATACCCGAATCAATGATTCAATCGCAAAATACTGACGGTGCGAAAATTGACGATACCGCAGTTAAGCGCAGGGATTGGGATTCAAGGTCTCCAAGGTTGTTGAGTGGAAAATGTCAGGTAAGCAATGGAGTTTTGTTGACGGTCGGTCTGTATGGTGAATGATTTGGCTAGTGCCCAAGGTCGCGTTTGTCCATCGAAATCCAATCCCGGGTTTTGTTTGGACGATCCCTTGTCATTGGTTCCTGGGACCTGAGAATTACATAAACCCTGTCAATGCTTTCGTCCCTATTGGTGAACGTAAATGCACAGGCCATCCAGCTGATTTACGTAATCACAAAATGAATCATGGGGGAAGTGGGGCTGAAGAGCCGCAGGTGGGATATATTCCATCACGTGATGATAACCGTTTAATTTTCTCTGATACGAAAATTGGGAACTTTTTTTTTTGACCCTCTAGATTTTGTTATGCCTCTCATTGTCCTCCATAATGTGTAGATTTAATAACCATTCACAAAACATCCACCGGACAACCTTACCCTTTTCACACTTCTACCAGCCTCTGATAAGCCCATAACAACTAAATCAACCACATGTCATCATGGATTCGTCTCGAATCTTCGTAAAAGGTCTGCCACCAAATCTCAACGAGGCCGACTTGCGCAAGCACTTCGCATCGAAAGGTCATATCACAGACGTCAAGCTGATACCCCATCGAAGGATTGGATATGTTGGCTACAAGGACTCGCGGGAGGCTTCTGCTGCAGTCAAATATTTCAATCGCACCTTCGTGCGGATGTCCAAGATAACCGTCGAATTAGCAAAACCTGTCAGTAGGGTCGATCGCAACTTTGATCGCATTGTATTAACATTGTTTGCAGATCGCAGATCCATCGTTGTCCAAGGCCAAAGAAAGAAGAAGTGGACTAAAGGCTAGCACGGAGATATCCCGGGCTACCAAACAGTCTTCGGAATCGGAAGTAACCACTGACAATGCAAAGAAGAGGAAGCGGGATGCCCTCGACGAATCGGACCCCAAACTACAAGAGTACTTGAATGTTATGCAACCCGCGAAGGCTTCTGCAAGCACAATACATGGAATAGGCGCGGAACCCACAGACGAGCCTCCTGCAAAATATGCAGCGCTTGCTGTCGACGAGGGAGGGTCAGACGATGAGTACGAGGTCGTACCAAGCCGGCGAAAGAAAAGCCAAACCTCAGAGAGCATGAACCAGTCAAAAAGTGTGGTGGACGGTGTGGATAATCAACCCCATGAGGAAGCTGAGGAGGCTGAGGATCCTCCCATAGAACAAACGTTGCCAGACGCACCTATCTCTACCGAAGCCGCGACTCATGTACCTGCTGCCACGGATGACGACTGGTTAAGGTTACGGACAAATAGGTTGCTTGATTTGGTTGATGATGAAGATGTCGTGCCTACAGCCGCGTCCTCAGCGAACCCATCATCCAAATCACCAAACCAAGAGCAAGAACAGCCCGAGGTTATCGATGCAACTGTGGACGAAGATCGAGATATGGATGATCGAAGTCAGCATTCGGAACCAGATGAGCCCATTGCAGAATCAAAAGACGACGATATCGATACTGTCCGCAAGACGAAAAGATTATTCGCCCGAAATCTACCCTATTCAGCCACCGAGGATGATCTCAGATCGTACTTTGAGCGATACGGTGTCGTTGAAGAGGTAAGGTTTTCCTGATTTTTTTCGTTATCTTATTTTTTTGTTATTGCTTTCTATGATGAACCCCAGATAGGGACAGCTTATACCAAAGGTATATGATGAGAAGTCTGGGCCAGTATTTTAGTAGATGCTTCGTATCTGAGAATAATCCCTTCGTCATTAATTTCCGCCAGTTAACTACCTTTCATTCCTGCTAAAATGACGATAGGTACACGTGCCAATGAAAGACTCTAGCAATAATCGGGGAATCGGCTTTGTTTTATTTGCTAGTCCAGACGATGCAACAAAAGCATTCCAAGCAGATCGATCTTCCTTTCAGGGGAGGATCCTTCACGTTTTACCAGCTTCGGCGAAACGTGATCATAATCTGGACGAGTTCGCACTGTCTAAGTTGCCATTGAAGCAGCAGAATCTCATCAAGAAAAGAGCCAAGGCGGCGGAGTCCAGATTCAACTGGAACTCGCTCTACATGAGTCAGGATGCCGTGAATGCATCGGTTGCTGATCGTTTAGGGATTTCCAAGGCAGAATTGCTCGATCCTACCAATTCTGATGCGGCCGTGAAGCAAGCGATCGCCGAAACCTCGACGATTCAAGACACAAAAGCCTATTTAGTAGCCAATGGCGTTGATCTAAATGCTTTCAAGTCAGGTCCGCGAGGTGATACAGCTATCTTAGTGAAAAACTTCCCTTACGGCACTTCGATTGAGGAGATCAGGGCGCTCTTTGAAGAGCACGGGCAGGTGCTCAAAGTGCTCATGCCACCCACGGGGACAATCGCCATTGTTCAGTTTGCGCAAGGTCCTCAGGCTAAGACGGCTTTCACAAAGTTGGCATACCGCCGATTCAAGGAATCCATATTGTTTCTCGAGAAGGCACCAAAGAACTTATTCGTTGGTACGGAGCAGCAAAATGATGCGTCCCAAACTAGCAAGGAGTCTAGTGGCGTACAGAAGTTATCTGCGTCAGAGCTGCTAGAACAAGACAGCCAAGAACCGGTCGAGTCGACCTCGTTATTTGTGAAGAACCTCCATTGGGATACTACTACCCAGGAACTTGCAGATGAATTCAAGCATCTCGAGGGATTCAGATCTGCTCAAGTGAAGACTAAAAAAGATCCCAAGAAACCCGGCCAAGTGTTGAGTATGGGATTTGGATTCGTCTCGTTTGCCGACAAGAGAGCTGCTGAAGCGGCTCTGAAGGTCATGGACGGCCATTCTCTCAGGGCACACAAACTTCAAGTCAGGGCTTCGCATCGTGGACGCGACGCTGCTGAAGAACGGAGACAAGAGGACAATGCGAAGAAGGCCGCGAACCAAAGGACGAAGATCGTAATTAAGAACGTCCCCTTCCAAACTAACAAGCATGATATTCGGACACTTCTAAGCACGTACGGACAGCTCAAATCAGTCCGCATACCCAAAAAGTTCAATGCGACTAGTAAAGGTTTTGCTTTCGCAGAGTTTGTCTCTCCAAAGGAGGCAGAGTCTGCGATGCTAGCCTTACAAGACACCCATTTATTGGGACGAAGACTTATCCTTGAATACGCAGAAGCAGAAGCAATTGATCCAGAAGAGGAAATCGCAAAGATGCAGAAGAAGGTGGGCGGCCAAGCTAGCAGAATGGCCCTGCAACAGCTCACAGGGGGAGGTCGCAAAAAGGTTAATCTAGGAGGGGATGAGGACGAAGGGGAGATCTAACGAGTAATTAATGTCTATACTTCTGGCTCCGTGCCTGACTATGCTACTGAAGGAGTGTAGCGATTGCCACGTTGGGAGCTAGGGGGTGGTGGTTCGTTGCGTTATCCCTTGTTAAGGAGAGGGCTGCATTGGCGAATCTGGGGCCGCTTGACTGACACCAGGAGTTCGGCACTGCAATAGCTTGCAGAATCCACCCCTCCTTTGAGTGACTTCGAAAACCCCTCCCGATTAAATGTCTACAGGTCCTAGACTCGATGATCTTGTATGGGTACGTTAATCAAAGTCACATTCCCCCCGCAAACCTCACGAGGGTTTCAACGACGACCGGCCCGAGAAGGGCTAGAGGACGTCTCCATAATAGGAAATTGGTGCATTCCCACCGTGAGTCTATTGCTGCTATTCGTTATCACCTTGTTCCTAGTTTCCTTGCGTGCCAACTGCGCGCACCCCATACAGAAGACGTCAAGCACCTATCTTCTTATCTCGATCTTGTAGATCATGGCGTCTATACTATTTGGAGCATTTTCTTCAAGGCGCCCTTGAAAGCCTCCTAGGAGGGGCTCCTAGGGCTTGGATGTTCCTCCAGGGCACATCTATTACTGTCCTCCTAGATAGTCAAGTAGCTACAGAGCAGCAATGAGATATCTATAAGATATGATGATCCTCTCTTCCATACCAATACCCTCGTCCAAGATATCATCTCTAGTCTTAATAGTAATAGGCATTCTCTTTTGCCACTGCCATTCCTTTCCACATATCTTGTTCTGCTTCCCAACGTTCTTGAGGTCTCTCGAGGCATTCTCTTGAATTCTCGCTCCTTTCATGAAGCATTCTTTTTGTCTTTCGTCACACTATCGTTCAAGATGGAGCACCCACGAGCTGTCCTTCCTTCTCAGAGATACTCCCCAGCATCAGACTATGCGTACGAGACAGATCACGAAGTAATACCCATAACGCGAACGCCGCTTGGTGAATCTACGGGCAATATCCAACCACATAATCTTGCTGCTCTAGCGCTTTGTAATCACTCCTTATCACCACCTCTTCATCCTATACCAACACCACCTATAGTCCCTACGCAGGCTTTGACCTCGAGTTACGGGACAAGCCTTCGAGGCGGACGTTCTTTACACCGAGATGTATCATTACGAGAATCACCAATGGGTTATCCGAGGGGTAGCAAGAACCCCATCTACGCGTACAAACATTTCGCCGATTATCGTAATAAAGTAATGCAAAAGGAGCTCGAAAAGGAACAACCAATATGGCCTTTATGGTTAGAAGATGCCTTTCTCGATGGTAAGTAATGCCTCTTACTGATGTCTAATTTCCGGGCTTTATGGTACGAATGCTAACTCTGTCGATAGCCCTTCTCTTAATTCCCCAGATGGGCCGGAAGAAATTCAGCTCGAAGACTATTCTATATGGGCGAAACATGCTCATCACAGAATACCTATGGATCTACCATTGGTTGCTACATCCTCCCCAGAACGGTGAGGTTATCCCGAACAGACAACAGAGGGAGAAAGGTCCGGATGGCAAGCCTCATCCTATGTACCGAGGACGAAAACAGGTATCGAGCCACATTCAAGTTCTGAAGGGCTTCTTCGCCACGTTAGTCACTTGTAAGTAACATCATTGGCTTCTAATGCCAACTACATTTTAGCAAGTACTCAGCTAACCATCTCTCAAGTCCACTTCATCTTCCCAAGCAAGAGGGATGCCAAGGAAGAAGACAGAAAATTAATAAGGGATGATGATGACACCGAATCCTTCAAGAACAACAGGGTGTTAATATCCATAGCCGACGGGCGTTTACCGGATGAACGGCCCAATTACGAATATTTCGCTCGCCTCTTAAGCGCCGATAACGATGTATTTTTGCGTCCAAAACAATGCTGGATCTTCGTTTCGTCGTCCCAGGTTAGCCTCAAGGAGAAGCACGTCAAGATGGACGACGGAACAACTAAAAAACAAGTCACGGGCTATACATCCAACGGCCATTGGCTAGGAGAGTCTGACTACCCCCATCTTAAGCTTAACGACGGCAAGGACTACAAAGACTTACCTCGAAACGGTGACCAACCAACTGTGCTTCTGCATGAATACACCAGATCAATTTCACAGAAAGAGTCCTCTTCCATCAAGGACATCTCCAACAGATGGGACGTCCAATTTCCAGAGCTAAAGGAGAAACTTCTCTCGGCGCTAGATGACACGCACCCCTCAGACGAGCGATCATCTCGCTGCGTAGTCGGGCCCTGCGACACGTTCCAGTTCGAGGTGACACTGGATCTGCATGCGACATCAAAGTTTCCCGACGGCTCGGAGCTCAATGGCATGGTCGAACTCTCGATCAACCGCCCCGAGCTGCACAACCACAGCTGGCGGTCGGTGACCTCGGTCATGAAGCCGGATGAGCTGCACATCTCCGGATCGGAACCTGACTTCTGGGATCGGAGCAATCCAGTAGAGGTCATTGTCTCGCACCGCGTGGGATGCAACGGCGTCGGCAGATGCGATTGTGCATCCCGCGGCAGCAGGGACACCATTGGCGTCCCGTTCCCGGCTGCAAGCTGGGCTAACACATTTATTAAGCTAGCCCCTTACGTCACTGCGGAGCGGGAGCGAAGGGCGCGCGAACAAGAGTCACGCAAGGGGCAGCGGCCCTCCCGTGGTGACCGTGCGATGAAGAAAGAGGATGATGCCACTAGTAAGGCGGGCGGCGCAAAAATGCCAACGCCTAAGGAGCTCCTGTCTCAGGTCGCCATGTACCAAGAAATCTGGTCCGCACCCAATGACGGCACCACAAGTTCCGCCACCACCAGCAACGAGGGCAGCAAGCGCGGATGGACACGGCGTGCTGTTGTCCTATGGACGTTTACCCCCGTGCATGAACACACGGACGACAAGGGGAAGACGGTCACCGTGGCCGCAGGCACAAACTGGAAGTTCCTAACCAAAGTCGATCCAACATCCGAGTATCATCAGCAGCGCGCGTACCAGACCGGCGCCCCGTCTGTCTCTCGTGACAGCGTCATGTCGCCCAATCCCGGCTACCAGGCCCACGTTCACGCGGCCATGCACGAGAATCTGAGCGCGGTATACGATGCGCCGCTGCCAGTGCCTACTACATTGCCGGGACACTCACGTCAGCACCAGAGCCATAATCAAAGTCATGGGCAAGGGCACCACCAACAACATGCACATATCCCGCCGGGCCTGGATTTACTAGACGGGTTCGACAACGGGCTAGTCACGCCGCCACCCACGGCCTCACTGACGGGCGGCTATCCACATAGCTTTGACGGAAGCGGCAGCGCGGACTCTGCGCTGCATCATCACCTCAGCTTCATATCGGACGGGACGAGCGGGGCTGGATCGACAGAGATACCAGCCACCGCGAACCACAACCACAACACCGGCAACAGCAGCACAGATCCGTTTCTCTCCGGCCTCGGGGTCCCCGTCTCGACGTACGAGGACCCGACGGGAACGGACTGGACGGCGGCCCACGGGACAGGAGGTCTAGGTCTCGACGTAGGAGTAGGCGGAATGGGTGTAGGAAGTAGCACGGGTTGGAACCCCGCATATGGCGTGACCTGGGCCGACACCGCGGGTCTGACGAGCGCGACTACCAGCGCGGGCGCCGGAGAGCCGCTGTGGGCTACGGCGCCGAATAGCGTCGTCGGCCAGGACTCGCGCGATAATAGCCTCAGCGGCGCAAGCACCGGGCACTGGAGCGAGGATAAGTACACGCACCACCCGCACCAGCAATCTTCTTCCGGGGTGCACCCGGACCCCTGGGCGTGGCAGGGCGGTGAGCACGCTGCTGCTTGGGACGTGGATACGCAGGATTTCTCGCTGAATATGGGGAATGCTGGGAGTGGGAGTGGGAGTGGGACGGGGTTGACGCCGCTACGGTCCGCGTATCATCATCAGCAGCAGCATCACGGCGGCGGTGGCGCGGCGCAGCAGGTCGCGGGACGGAAGCGCTCGCGCGCCGAGAGCGCGGATGCGGAGGAGGATACGGTGTATCCCGTTCCTTCTATGCGGAAGCTGTCGCATCCGCACCCGCATGTGAGCGTGAGTCGGGGACAGGGACACGGACAGCAGAATGCGCCGACGGCGGTTATGGATGATGGGAGAGGGTTCTTGTGATGATCTCCCTGTCTCACTGCTGCTATCTTCTTTTGCTATCGCGATTTTACCTATCTACATCGGATCTACGGTCTACACATTGGCGCCAGCCAGTTTTTTGGAGTTCGGCACGGGTTATAGGGTGTTGATTCCATTGTTCACACTCGTATTTGTATTTGTATTATATATCGGGGCTTTTTTCAAGGGGCGTTGACTGGTATAGGGGTTTGGGTTTTGGTTTCCCTCGGACTTTGATCAAGTTCCGCTGGCTTTTTGGGATTGGGAAAATTAGGGTATGGCAAGGAAAGGGGCTTTTTGGATATACAATACATATCATACTATTTACAGTACAGTTTTTCGGTGTATTACTTACTCGTGATTACAAATGTTAAATACGTGCTTGTTGATTGGCATCGTGACATTGTTTCATCGTTCCACTAGGATGATTCTCAAAACATCGGACCAAGATACTATATAGGAGGTAGGTATACGAGAACCACGAAGATAACTTAAAATCAAATGTAACACGTTAAATTAGGCTTACGACAGCAGGATAGAACTAATCGACTAAACGTCCGACCGACTCGGAGAGATAAAGCGATGTTGCAAGATCTGATGTTTCATGATCGAATGCTTGGCGATGGCAAGGGAGCATCGTGAGGTCTTGGCAAGCTGAAACTTCCTGAACTTCTCAATTGGAGTTCGTTGTCTCTCCGATGCTACCGCGCGGATCGACAACATGGTGGTGATTTTCTTACCCCTGGCAGCCCTGGACACTAAAACCGCTAAAAACGAATGGGCGATCGCCTCGACTAACAAGGGTGCTTGTGTCGATTACGCAACGATATGTACAAGGGTGACGATATGAAACGGTGGAGATGCAGATATCGGAGAAGTCGTCTGGATTTGTTTAACTACTACCCCATATTCTTCAGGGCTGAGATAGGAGACTTGGGATGACAGTTCCAGCTTTGGAATCGCATCACCTATGGTAGGGGGGACCAAGAAAAGACCTTCTATTGTTAAAGACAATAAACTGTATCAAAGTGGTAAGCATCTTAGTCAATCATTCATGCGTGAGGACTTCAGGGGCTTTCACATGTAGAAATTGCCTGTCGGTATAAAGTATAATACCGTGTCTACGTGCTTAACGCGAACCTTGACTTTGAACTTGAGATGATGGGGCCTTTATACTCCCGGGAGGGTGTTTAAGTTAAGGTTATCCCTTTGCCAAGGAAAGGCTATCGGCGTAGTTTCAGAATTAATGCGGCGCTTAATGGTTACACGCGCAATTGACAAAGCGAACATGCAATTACCTATTAGGTATTTACCTAGGTACCTAGGGAGGTATCGCTTGTATCTACTCTGACACGGGTAAAAAGAGTCCTGTAATTTTCGAGGTACGGCGCTTATAGCAGGAGCACGAGACAATGGGCGGTATCGAAATTGAAGAAGCCGGTGAGGAAAGAAGAAGAATGCGGATATGTGCTCAAATTTTTTGCCAAGACGGCGGCAATGCAGCCAACCGTGTCGGCCATGTTCGTCTGCTAGGAGACTGATGCGACAGCCACCGCAATGAATCCTGCTACTGTCATTTTGTAGGCTTCGGGTATGGAGATTACCTAGGTCACGAAAGAAAGGCCATGGGCAGCGAAAACCGGGCATGGCTGGCGAGCCGCCGCATCGTGGTTTTCTGGTAGCCTCTCAATGCAATGAGGTTCGGTTGCATTTCGTCGCGAGCTGGGGTGGGAGTCGTCATTTGATTGGTCGTGATGCAAAGAATAGGAAAAATGGAACACGGAGACCGTGCTTTAGATGTTGTGGAGAATGGAGAATTGGTGCCGAATGGTTGGGCTAGGTTGAGCAAGTTCTCGATACCACGTGAGTATTTCCCAATTAAGACTCGTAAAGTCACTTTTTGCCGGCCAGACGCTAGAAAACTACATAACCTTATCGTTATCATTCCTCAACAAACCCTGATAAGATCCCGCACTTTTGTACTGTGTACATACCCATACTAAAAGTCTTGTGCCACTAGTGCCACAAACACCCCTGCCACCTCCGGACTTCAACCCAACCTTTCACGCAAATCACGTAAATCACATACTTTTACATGCTCTACTCACATCCATCTTGATTACCTATACTAAGTATGTATACAGGAAATAGATCCGCTTCCCGTCTACTGGCGCGCATGAGCCATCATTCCAAACAAAACAGCCGCTACAAACAATGTCAGCCTATCGTATATCTCGTCATCAACGCTACTTCCGTAGACCCAGACCAGAATTACTCCACGCTATCCATCTTACCAACCTTAGCAGAGAACTTATCACATAGAATCTGTAGCTGAGTGGCTAGAACCCTCACATGCTAGAATGAGGCTAGAAAATTATAGCTAATGGCCTGTCTGGCTATATCATACGGCCGCGGGCCGCCGTGTTCCAGAAATCGAAGTCCCATGTTATGCATGAAGCTTGCATATGGTACACTGTACGAAACAATACTATAGTCCTCTATTCTCTTAGACAAATCAAGCGGCTATCTCTACTAGGGTTAGGTACTTGAGATTGGATCTTAGGGTACCACTACTTTTTGACTCACATGCGTCGATATTTTCCAAACTTCCCATCCTAAGTACCACTTGAGCTGGTTGACTCACTGGAAGTCGAGAGGCAAGAGTTAACTAACAATTTACATCCTACGCCTACTTTCAGTATATCGATCAACGGACAAGGTGAACGACTGATTAAAAGACCTTGTCACATGGCACTGGCCGTTTATAATCAGCCAGTCTCGCCTATCGTTCACCTTGTTGGTGGGTCCTAAAACTCACCTTGCCGCCATCGCCAAACCTTCTTCATCTCACACATCAAAATTCACGGCGCCTCCCACCTACTTTCTCGACTTACTCGTTCTACTAGTTCACTTTCTCACGCCTCTTTGTTCACGCGGGCTCGTCAAAACGATAAAACAAATCGACTTGTTCACCTTTGTCGATTGTTCAACAACGAGGCCTATTGTTCACTCTCTTACACCATACCATTATTGCCCCTTGACAAAGAAGATAGTTCTACCTATTTCTATTTGACAAGTCGGCCTGACCTCGCCTGCGGCGACGCGCCTTAGTTATTCGTCCATCTGGAAATCCGCCTACGAATTCGTATTTTCTCTTCTTGCGCAAGTCGACCAACTTCACTTCACTTAATCATTCTTCTTCTTTCTAGAAAACACTGAATCCATTTAACTACAATTTCGTTGTCCTATCGAACAATATCCTTCAATTCCTAAGACATAAAAACTTATTTCCTACACCTTCCTTCTACATACATACTTCAAACTCCTAGCGTTCTATTTTTCTTTTCTTTTCTCTTCTCGCAGGCGAGACAGATCAAGTCAACTTCAGACAAGGTCTCATAAAAATTACTACAATCTACTTATTCAAGATGTTGTCCAACGGCATTTTTACCACCGTCGCCCTCCTCGCTGCTGCCGCGCCCGCAGTCCACGCCCACTCCTGGGTCGAGCAGGTTCGCCAAATCGACCTTACCGGCGCCTTCACCGGCAGTGTGGGCTATCCCATCGGCTACATGAATCGATCAGCTCCCGACTTCAACGACAGCTTGGCCCAGAACAAGATCTTGAACACGGCAACCAACCCAGCTATCTGCAAGCCCAAAGCCGGTGCTTACGACAAGGTCAACCGCCTCAGCGCAACTTCTGGAGACTATGTCGCCATGCTTTACCAAGAGAACGGCCACGTCACTCAGCCAAACCTGACTCCTCGTCCTTACCGAGATGGTATCGTGAACGTTTACGGCACTCTTAACCACGAGGACTCTGATGGCATTAACGATGTTCTCAACTCGTGGACTGCCGATGGTAAGGGTGGAAACGGTAAGGGCAAGCTTCTTGCAACCCACTACTACGACGACGGTCAGTGCTACCAGAACGCCGGCCACAACTTCGCCATCCCTATCTACGCCACTCGCTTCCACGAGCACGGACTTGAGGAGCTTTACTGCCAGACCGACTTTCAACTTCCGGAAGATCTTCCCGACTCTGGCACTTACACTGTCATGTGGGTGTGGGACTGGCCTCTCATCACTAGCGACACTCAGAACACCACCGAAATCTACACTTCGTGTGCCGAGATCGAACTTGGTCCTTCTAAGAATAGCACCAAGAACGCTCAGGTCAAGTATGCCGGCAACAACAAGATCCAGAGCGCCGGTATTAAATCTCAGCTTGCCACTCAGTTCGAGGCTACTGGTCTCGGCATCGGTACTCACTCCCCTCTACCAGGACCGAGCAGCGCCGCAACTTCTACTCAAGGCTCGGATGCCACCACTACGTCTGGCGTGACTGCAACTGGTTCTGCCGACCCTACCTCTTCGTCGACCAAGAAGCACAAGGGCCATCAGAGTGGAGTCGCTACAGTCACCGTTACCGCAGCCGCCATGACAACCACAGCATGGAAGACCGTTACCGTTAATGCAATTGGAAGTGGTCAGCAGACTTCAAGCTCAGCCTCGGCCTCGGCTTCGACCAGTGCCTCGTCGGCGGCAGAGCAGGCTTCTGCCTCAATCAGTGTCACTTCAGCCGCACCTACAAACGTTGTCCCCGTCACTACAATTTCTAAGTTCATGAAGGCGCGAGCGACAGGACAGGCACGCCGGATCGACCAGTCCTAAAGCGCGCAAGTATCTTAATCCTTGAAGGATCATGACACTTACGACGTTTCGGTTTATTCTTTTATGATACCCCTTCCTTTACCAACCGAGCCAGTTCGCGTTCAATTCAACTGCACATATTCAACTTTCGATTCATTGTCCATAATTTTTTCACACACTTTTCCACGCCTGGTCGCGTTTTCTTTCCTTTACTTTTTTCTTTTATGAAAATCACATGAGAACACGACATGGGGCATATCATCGCATTGAATCGGGACGAAAGTGTCCTTATCCAGGAAAGCATTTAGGAGGGTTTTGCATGGGAGGGAACTTGTACTATGGGAGAAAGTCACAACATTATGGTCACACACTGCCTTGTAGGGATACGTCAAAGTTCTACTTGCATGGCAGAGGGGCAGCATTCCAATGTACGGGCATTGAATGACACAACTAACTCCTCCGGTGTGGCAAATCGACTTCTAGGTCAGGCGTTTAGGGCATAGGTCGATTAGGTTTGCATTTGCAGGAAATACGGAAAGGAAAGGAACGGAACGGAATGGAATGGATGGTCTACACAAAATGTACGGACGTTAGCTACTCATACGATACCTACTTGCTAGATTTCCCTTAACACGATCAGTCAACGAATTCGACTTCGGCTTCAGTAGACCGTAGTTAGAAGCTCCTTAAACGGGGTCTAGCTAATCCCTTCGACTTCGGAGACCCGTAGACGGAACAGATATCCCTTCCAGAGTAGTACTACTGCATTTACAGGTAACGTATAAGGACACAAATGGGTATATAACAAGCGAGGGAAAGAAGGCTACGTAATATTTAATTCATCTAGTATACATCTTATCTAACTATTAATCTTTAATTAATTAATACTATTCTACTCTATATCCAGTACCTAGCTAGGTACGTTGTCTAGGCAATTATTACCGATCTATCACATTCCCAGGTTTCAGATACCGCAGCGCAGCAGCTGAATCAAAGAAAATATGCAAGTCTGCAGCCCTATATGCAGGTCATTGTCTTGGCAATGTATATTACAGCCTATGATAGTACTACAGTACCTGTCTAGGTAAGCTTTAGCTGCGCCTCTTGATCCAGGGACACAGCCAATCGGATGAGACATGTCTTGGCTATGCTGCGCAGATCCTGCGTGCTTGTTGACGGTGGTACGGGATGACGTTGTACATTATCGGAGACGTCATCATTTTCTGCATACCTACATAGTATAGGTCGCCGACGAAGGCGCAGTGCAAGTAAGCCTTACCGCCTTATTTTGAACATAGATCGTGGTGCGGCTGAAGGAGCGTATGCGGAGGGACGCCTCGTCGCCGACGTCGGGTCTTTGTCAGCGCGGGAAGATCCTGTGTCTTTGGGAGACGGGGAAGGGGTTGAGCAAAAAAGACGTCGAGGATATTTCGAGCCTCTACGTAAATCCCGCTTCGCAAAACTAGCTGATTCCAATTTTCGTTCTTCGGTTTGGGCTTTGCGAAAGTATTCTGTCGGTCTCTGCCACCTATGCGAAACCATTGTGGACGGACCCTCTCCTGGAACTGGGAGGCTTCGGCTTACTCACCGAGAGGTACTGTTTGAATACGAATTGATACTCGGCGGATACGGACCCGTCATTTCTGAGTAATGAAGGTTGGACATATCGGTTGCGGAGACGAAAGGGATCCCCGGCGTCCTAGGTACTTACGTTCTCCTACGCGGAAGACTGTGTCTAGCACGCCGCTTTATCCTCGAACCAGACATCTACGGGGTTTTTCTTTATTAGCGAGGAAGATACTATCGTAAATAGTCAGGCCAGTTGTAAGTTTTCGAAAGGGCGGCCGGATTTTGAGCGGGTGCTCGGGAGCTTAGGGTAGGCAGAGCTAGGTGATACCTAGCAGTAGCCAACAGAAATAGAAGTAGAACATTCAAGAACGAGCTAATGGTCTTTGGTAAGGATTGTTGTGATAACGCGAGTTATGATGTACTAGATTGTTGTGCCAAGTTATACCTGTATCAACATTGGACGTCCAGCCAAATATCTCGATATTTTATGTGAAAATGGTGTACTCTGTCGGCGCCTTCGGTTCAAGCCACGGCAATCTCCAGGAATAGGGGCCTAATTCCGGAGAGTGAATGAGCTGATGATGAGCCTAAAGATGTGCTGCATCTTCCTGCGTAGTAATGCCCAAGCTTGGATACGGAGTGAAATGAGACTAACTTCTGCTTGATAGTATGAAAACGACGCTTTTGCCTACATGTTTATTTATGATAACGTCGTTATTGTGTGCTGAATAGTATGAGAATGGCGACCTCTAAGAGCCGTCTATTCAGCCCGAATCATGTAAAGCAATGAAGATTCCAAGATCCTACAACAGTCAGAAACCGGAATTTTATCGCTACTATTCCGTCTCCCACTTCTACGGATGGGAACCTACATAGGTAGTCGTCCAGATCAGGTATCAATTCGCGAGATACCGTATAGATGGCCTTGGCGGAATGAGGAGATGAGATATCTAGTCGAAGAGAACGTTAAAATACGCACTTGAACTGCACATTTCGTTCGTAAACGGGGAATCTTTTTTTTGATAATACCAACAGTAGCATGCGTATCTCCTTGGTTCTTAATCCGAGTAGAAGAGCAGCTCAGAATCGATTATTTCTCCTTGTTCTGTGTGCTCTCCTAACAAAATTCCCGGATGTCAGGAGAAGCTCAAATACGTCAGAGGGTCCGTTTGAATAGGTTGGTATGATCTACTTTTGCTCCTTTTTTATATCTAGGCATAACGTTAGAAACCTAGTGGTTTTACGATTTGAACGTCTTTATCCCCTAATATTACTTGGTACCGCACGGCGAGTAACCCCTCAAAGAGCCAAGATGATACAATGATATCTTTGTTCGGTATAAGGGACAAGTTTCTATCCGCGGGGTCGTAAACCATCCCAACCAAGCAGTCAACCTCCGTAGCAGCAGCGCAGCCACATTTATAAGGCGGAAATCGAAGCAACCCTACTACGAGTATGGATGTGGCACAGGTCCTAAGGTTGGATAGAAGATAGGCGAGTGGTGTTCTAGGTAGATCGGCAGCTCATATGGGGTTCACTCCATGGCGTAGGCTATTGTTCTAGAAAGAAGGATGGTGGCTTCTGGCTTAGTAACATGGTAAACGTGGGTCGAATTTATCCTATCCTGTCCACGGCCCTAGACACCACGTATATCGAAAGGTCGCGAGAATTTAGCCTATAGCTCAAACGTACTGCCCAGCTTATGAGGATTCGAGCTGTTTCTAAGGTCACAGTCGAGAACGGCTCGAGCTCGGAATCGTTTATGTCGCCGCAAGATATAGTAAACTGCAGGTATTGTCCTTTATATCATGGGATAGCTAGTGGAGCCTCAGATATAAATCCGACCTCAATCTCCCGCAAAGATCGAGTGGAAATCCATACCCAACCTTTACCAGCATCCTCGTTACAATCGTATCTTCAGCAAAATACCAAAACTTGCAAATCAAAATGCGCTCCTCCACCCCCCTCTTCATTCTCTCCGCGACTAGCACCCTCGCCGCACTAACCCCAACCTGGGCCAAACTTGCCCTCTCCCTGAACCTCATGGAAGCCAACCTGAACACGGACCGCAGCCGCATCGACAAGCACTACATCGACGCGAGCAAGCGGGCCGCCGACAACAATGCCCTGAACACCACGCAGGGCGTTGTCGCCGACGCCCTTCTGACCAAACTGATGGCGGCGAACGCTATGCAGATCAAGGCCTTGAGCGACCTGCGCAGTTACTTGTTCTACCCGGAATCGAACCCGGAGGAATACTACGGGGCGGCTAAACGGGGGGTGGAGAGTATTGATTTCGGGTTGCCGGAGGGTTTGTTAGAGACGCAGGGTGTGTTTAATGACAAAGATGAGGTGAGGGCTGTTAGTGATATTCCCGGGTGTGCTACTTGCGTTGTTGATTGGTGAGGGTGGTTGAGGTCTTGACTCCATCCTGTCTATTTTTCAACGAAGGAACCTGAAGCCATGACTCCTTCACTATCCTTTACGCAGGAGGTATGGAGGTCTTGCTAGTCTTGGCGAAAGACAGGTGATTTGAACTCGATATATGTCACCTTGTTCAAGATCAAAGGTACCCAGACTGCAAAGCCTTTTATCTGGGATATTAATACCGGCCCTAGGCTTGTGATCGAGATCAGAGACTTAGTCAGGCTTGCTCGCCTCAAATGGACTCGTAATCAAAAACGTGCTCTTAACGCTTCAAAAATGATTCAAATCGCTGTCCACAATATCTAGTGTCGTAACAACATAGAAATCAATGTATTTCGAATTGCTCGTCGTCCTCCGAATCCTCCAAATCACCATATAGAACTTCGCAAACGCCGGCAAGGGGCACATCCATAACGGCGTCCGTGCCTTCGTTCCAAATATTCTTCCAGTCGAGTTGCTTAGCCTTCTCCTCCGGGATGGGTTTCTTAGATTCGCCTAGCCGTATCCTGCCCTTACTATCGATCGTCGCGATCTTAGCTGCCTCATCCACGATCGTCTCCAGCGAAGTCAAGGGGAGAGTCAGAATCTCCGTGTTGTAGGCCGCGAGCGCGACGTAGATGTATACTATAAGCATGACGAGGAAGGACGGGATGGCCAAGGCCCACCACCTGTTAGGATAGTAGTATATGCCCAAGGCGTGTAGAAACGGCGACGGTAGGTAGGCCCACAGGAGGTAGATGAGGAAAGTCAGGGATGAGAAGAGATATAAGACGAAGCCGTAGTACTCGTACGTGGGCACCTTTGGGGATGCGCGCGGCACCGGCTCGAGCTCGTCGTCCGAGGCATCGGGTGTGGTAGGCCGCGAGGGGCGAAGTAGCGATGTCAAGGACGGCGATGGAGGCAATGGTGTTGGAGGTCTCCCATAGAATGGAGGAGCGAAGTAATTCTGCTGTAGCGGAGGTGGAGGCAATGGCTCATCGCTAGAAGATGATAGGTCGGACTGATCATCTGAGAGGAAGTCTTCCTCGTCCGAAATGAGCGACATATTGGCTCGTATACCTAGGTGTGTATCATATGAATTCTTTGATAATCCAGCTGTGATATCTTCTAACAAATTGAACCATTGTTTGTAGTTTATGCATACTTTTTCAATTGTGTCCTGACCGTCGCGTAGGAGCTTTTATAAAAGTTAACCGTTCCAAAGTTCACATTACGTATTAGCGGAGGACCAGGGGTACCAAGATTCCTAGGTCCCTTAGCGCGACCCCCACTTACCCCAGCCACAAGATATAGGTTCAGGTACAGCCCGCGTTACCAGCCACAGGCGCGACTAGAGGAAAGAGAAGCTTCACCTGGAACGCGACCGACCAAAAATTCGAGGTTGCCCTCAGTACTCGCCGATTCCCAAATCCCACCAAACTTCATCTCCTTGCCACCTCCATCCGCTCCTTACCATTGGGAACCGACGCCATGGCTCAACAACCACTTCCCAATACGCAACAGCCCCTCGATGTTTATGGCGGTGGTAAGTACAAGCCTCGTCTTTAGCTCCAGCTCCAGCTTATTCTATACTCTATAACTGATTGCATGTGCTTGCTTTATACTAACGCGCCCGCGCCCCACCAGATGAAGTATCGGCCCTCGTCCTCGACGCCGGTTACTGTCACACCCGAGCAGGTTTCGCCGGCGAAGATGTTCCTAAATCAGTCATACCCTCTTTCTATGGCAGCTTCAAATCCGGCGAAGGCGACAGCGCCACCGACCATGAGGTCTTCGGCGACGAGTACCTGGTTCCCCGCGCCGGCTTCCAGGTCAAAAACTACATGTCGCGCACCGAGAGCATAGTTGAAGATTGGGACACTGCTACTAAAATGTGGGAGCACGTCCTCATCAAGCGTCTACAAGGCGAAAGGCCTACGCCACCCAGTAAGAACGGGCTTAACGATCCTTTCGAAGATGGCGAGGGAGACATCGCGATGGAAGACGCCGAAGAACAGGAGAAGCCATTGGCTGAGAATCCCCTGTTGATGACCGAAGCGCCGTGGAACACTGGTAAGGCACGAGAGAAAGCCATCGAAATCGCTATGGAGAACTGGGGATGCCCTGCGTTCTGGCTATCGAGAACACCCGTGTGCGCTGCCTTTGCGGCTGGCAAGGCCTCGGCATTGGTGCTCGATGTAGGAGGCGCGAATACGAGTGTCACCGCTGTTCACGACGGCATGATCCTGAAGCGCTCTATCCAGAAGTCGCCCGTTGGAGGCATATGGCTGTCGCAACAAATCCGAACCCTATGGGAGAACAGCGACCCGAAAATTGACATCATCCCGTCTTACATGATCGAGAACAAGACCCCCGTGGACGCAGGCGCGCCAGCTCAGGCTACGCTGCGCAAGTTCGGCTTCGATCTCCATCCATCTTTCCGAGCTTACGAGGAGGAGCGCCTCCTAACCGAGTTCAAGGAATCGGTCGTCGAGGTCTGGCGAGGCCCCGGTAGATTTCTCAATAATGAGGAACTGGCTAAGACCCAACCCGGCCGCGTGTTTGAGATGCCGAACGGCTCGAATCAGATGTGGAGAGAGCAACGATACAGAGTCTCGGAGGGCATGTGGGACGAGACGGCCGCATTGCGGACGGGTGCATTACCGACGGGCGAGGCCGTCACCAAGGCCCAGACGATCCCTGAGTTGATCAAGGCCGCCGTCAATGCAGTAGATGTAGACCTACGACCTAACCTTCTAGGAAACATCGTGGTGACGGGAGGCTCGAGCCTGCTAAATGGATTCAATGACCGCCTTAACCAGGAGTTATCGACCATTTACCCAGGCATGAAGGTCAAGATTCACGCTGCTGGACTCACTACCGAGAGACGCTTCGGTGCTTGGATAGGAGGAAGCATCCTGGCGAGCTTGGGAACATTCCACCAAATGTGGATCTCGCGCAAGGAGTACGAGGAGAACGGCGCCGGCATCGTCGATAAGCGATGTAAGTAATCGTCAAGATCGCCCGAACCGTCCCGCGGAACTTCCTTCAATCTTGTTGTTGCGAATTCACTTTGATGGAGGCGGAGCTTTTACGTATCTCCCACCTCACCCCCAGGCGTCCGGAGTCGGTAGATAGCCCAACGTAGGTAGGCAGGCTTAGGCACGTTTGTTCTTTTAGAGGGACAAAAAAAATAGGAACAGGGAATAGCTTTTTTTCTGTGACCGCAAGAGAAAAGCAAAATCGAGAGTGAAATTTTCATCCAGATGTCCAAGAGAGCTAGATGTTGTTTTTTAAGTATCCAAATCGTTCCCCTAAATCGCCCTCCTTACCCCTTAACCCCCTGATCCCTCCCTGCCCTTTTTCTTACGTATCTTTTCTATAACTACCTATATATATGAACTGGTCTCAGACGCCTAGAATCACCACCCATTCCACCGCACCCACACATCCACAATCTCGTCCTCCCTCCCCGCATTCCGCGAGTCAACAACAAGATAGTAAGCGTGCGCCGCGCCCGTGATGCACGAGTGATTCGGCCAAACGCGCACGCGCTGGCCCACGCGCAGCGCCACCTCGTCCTCCGCCTTCCCCGCCCACCGCAAGATCCCGTGCTCCTGCGACAGGCTCGCGACCTCCCAGCCCTCGTGCTGCGCGGGGAACCCCGGGCCCGGCGCCGGTAAAGTGTCGCTCAGCTCGCCCCACGGCATGAGCACGCCCCAGCCTACGTACGATTCCCCCTTCACGGCTCCCAGGTCGGCGACGGGCTCGCGGCCTAACGCGATGCAGCCTGCGTTTACGAGAGCCTCGGTGGAGTGAGTGGGGGAGCGCGACGGGTATAAAGAGCAGATCTCCGCGAGCACGGTGACGGCGATGGAGGAGGCGTTTAGCGTGGCGGAGTCCCGCGCGTGCGCGCAGAGTTGTTGGATGTCGAGGGTTGGGTAGACGCCGGCGTGGACTTCGAGGGTGAAGGTGCGTGATTTTAGGGTTTTTAGGAGGGTTTTGAGGTGCGTTGTTGGGACGGGGGTTAGGAGGGACGGGGATGTGGTGTTGCCGTTTGTGGTGGTGCCGTTGGTACCGTTAGCAGCAGCTGCTGCGTCGCCGTTGGTATCCCCATTAGTTCCCGCAGCTTTAGCGTCACCGTCCGCGCCCGTGCCCATCAAATCCGGATGCTGGATCGTAGTCGCCGTCGGCGTAGCGCCCACGCTCAAAACCAAGGGATCGCGCCCGGTTGCCCGCCTCTCCTTCACCTGCTCCGCGACGCGCCGCAAGCCCTCGAATTCCTGCGACAGGTAGTTCATGGCCTCCCAGTCGCGCCGCGATGCGTACGAGTGGCCCGCGTGGCTGTACACGCCTAGCAGCTCCGACTCGCCCTCCGCCTCGGACGCGAGCAGCGCGTCGATTAACTGGGAACATGAGGGCGTGTCCGGAATCACGCCTGCCCGGTGCCCGCCGACGTCCACTTTGAGGAAGACGAGAGGCGAGTGTCCCGCGGAAGCGCGGAGGGTGTGGAGGAGTGGTACTTGTGCCGTGTGGTCGACCATCACGGATAGCGCGCCGGCGCCTAGCGCCGCGGAGACGGCGGCGAGGCGCGGGATGCAGGATGGGTAGAGCGGGAAGGAGTAGAGGACCTGTAGATGGTATGAGATAGGTTTCCGGGTGGATGGGAGCGGGGAGCGGGGAGCGGGGAAGTTCTGCTCACGTTGACCTTCCGCCCATTCTCCTGGTACTCTTTGAGTAAGGGGATGAGCTTCTCGGCTTCGATTATGGTGGACACTATTAGGTTCACCGGAGACGAGGATTTGTCTCCTACTTGGAGTCTTGTGAGCTCCTCTGTCTGTATTTTGAATTATATTAGCTTTATCCTTTAATATAAGCTGTGAGGTAACTCGAGATCTGAGAGGGTGTACCTTGTGAGTCTTGATATGTGCTCGCCAGCTAAGTTGTAGTCTTTCCGCAGCCTCGAGCATCAAGTTGCAGTTCGCCTCGACTTTAGCCAGGTCCAGCACAACTTGGGGCGTAACCACATCGTTCAGTGTCTTGCCTACGAACTGGTCGCGGAGGGTATCCTTGGATAATTGCACAGCCATTGTGGTGTTTCCTTGCTTCCAATCCTCCGTGTTTTCTTTTGATATCCAGTCTATGTAGATCTAGCCACCATATAAGTCCTATAAGATCCAGTTATTCCCAATCCAATGTTTCTAAATGGACCCGACGTTCTCGGGAGGGGTTCGAGAAAGAGATAAGTATATATACTGGGTTATATTATACACGCTCGGCGCCTTACATCCTTAGACCAGGACTAGGTGACGCCGAGAGCGGGATGTAGCCCGTGACCCACTAGTTAAGTGCGGTATACTTCAGTATACTAACTTACGCTAGTTGGGCTTTCATGCACTGTCGACGGACTACCTGCATCGCAAGCGTGGATCACGATGTAACGAACCCTACAGGAGGAGCTTCGTATATCGCGTCATATTGGACCGATCGTCAGGTGAGTAGCTGGGTATTCGCGCTGAAGAGTTATTGTTATCCAGGGACCAGGGTTGTCGATCAATTAAGTCCTAGATTTCACTTGCTTTTTTGCTTATCCTTTTTCCTAAGCCGCCATCGTCAGGATAACATCATCGTGTCTCCTCGTATAGCGGTGACGAGGATACCTTATACATACCTAGTAAGACGAAAATAGTCGAGCAGGGAATTATACTACGTAGCATTCTCGCGTTCCACCCATTCGGGACGAAGCATGCAAAAGCGGTTATCATTGACGAGTGAAGACCGAGGTAACAAAGGCTTTTGAAACTAATTCCACTAGTGGACATTCGGATCCGTGCATATCTTGTTTTTTGAACCATGATGGTAGAACTAAGCTATGGTAGACGCCTGACCCCCAACTTGCGTGTTGGGGGTATGGGGATCGTGACTTTACGACGCTTCCTCTAATAGGGGTATTTTGTCGGTGGATTCCTCTAGAGAATGCCTCTACCAATTGCCTCAAGAACTGCGATTACCGTAGCTCAGGGCATCAATAATGTGCTTAGGTACATTGGATCTTCTCAGTTGATGTCCTGAGGTCGTTTGGATAGATATTTCTAGCAGCGTGTCATTATACGAAGATATTTAGAAAGGGGGAAAGGGGGAGATTCAGCTCAAGCGCAGGAACTTACTCAAACTCCCCAGCCTGCCGGTTTAACTTACGATTAAAATCCCCGACGTAGCAGTGATATAGTGAAGACTTTTTATGGTTCCGTTACATACGTGGTTGGCGGTGATTTGGTACCAATACTTTCCATCCACATGACTCCGGTAAGCTACAGGCGAACATGCAGTCCTTCACTGCTAAGAGGTTGTAAGTATCGTCAATAAATTGCAACTGTTGCACGTATTTGGCCAGATATCCTGTGGGGATATTGCTCGACGACGTCGCGCTAACTGTCTAATGCAGGATTCCCAGAGATGGTGCGGATAGAGGTGTATTCTGTTAGTCCATGATTCGAAGGGCAATCCCCAATATGGGTCCGACCTTGGGCTCTCCATGAACACAAGGTTGATATTGCGGGGTGAGTACGACTCTAGTATTGCTTGCGATGTATAGAGAAGCGGAGCAGAAGCTAGGAAGTTGATTCAAATAGGAGAAGGTGAAGGGTTGAGTCTTGCTAAGCGATCTAAGAAGGGACCTTCTAACTTTCGACCGAATAAGATGAAGAACTATCTTCTCAAGCAATGCAATGATCGGGTTTGCAAACTGTAGATAAAAGACAGAATCTATAATATTGTAGATTGTAACGAGCACAAGTAAAACTTGAGATTATTGGCCATAATATGGATACTAATATTGCGAATAGCAGGTAGGTATTATGGATGTGTAAAGGTTTACAATGGCACCTTTACCTTGTCCACGAAAAGGAAGACAATATTCAACGCAGTCAGCGAAGAATTGCCATGTTCCACAGCATTTGATTTGCATTGATTTGACAATTTCTCTGTTCGAAGGAATTAGGTGCCGAGCCTAGAGAAATCATAACCCCAAGAACCCCCCACGGATCTACTAGTATCAAGCCACATCCAACATGGAACCTAGGTACGTACCTTATGCCACACAGCCACAGCCACAGACCCACATTTCGCAACCGATCAGCCTCAATCAAAGGCACCAAGGAACGTTGAATGTGCCAGTGCTTAAGTTTATTTCTTCACCCTTCAAATTTTTTTTTCGCACCCCTCACAAACAACTTGCACTGGTACAATTAAAAGCACAGTATGTATCAGTGCTTTTGATTGTTTTCATCCATACTACATTCTTTACAAAACGATATCGTTTGCGCCACTCTTTTCCTGTTATTTTATTCTATTTTACCAATCGATCTGCGATTTTGATCCAATTCATTTACTCGCAGCAAGCCATATTAAACACACGCCGAGGCGTAAAATAGGTAAGCAGCCTTGGCAGTACTTTCTTATGTACCCCGCTGGGCGGCGCTAAGGCGTAATCACCTGGTTACCACTTTAACGCGACTTCTGCCTTCTCAACTTCGCGCCACCAAATCTTAAACTCTCTCAATCTTCAACCTGAATGCATCACTTCCCACTCCGTCAGAACAACTTTTCCCGTTGAGACCCTCAAGCGCGTGGTTTTCGCTGTATACAGCGCACCTTGAATATATTATTTCCGATGAGATCCAAGTCGTGATCCTCATATGCTTCGATTGACATGAAGTAGCCAACCTGGCAGCTTCACGTTTGCGAACGTCCGCAACAATACTGACCAGTGCTTCAAGTACTCCGACCTTCCTCGACTCGCATCCTCCACTATGGATACCTTCCTTTTCGACGAGCTAGGTTTCGGCCGGAGCTCTGCAGACCCTGACAACCCTAACAACCCTGACAACCCTGACAACCCCGGCGTCACCATTAAGGAAGAGGATGTCGACTTTGATCAGGAGAATGGACAGTCTCTTCAAGGCATTAATTGGGCCTTTCAAGAGGAGGAAGATGAGAAGCTGATTATGGGATTGACCGGCGGCCATGGTGAACCGGGAGCTGGTGGAATGGGGATGCCTCAAGAATTTGCGGGCTTCGGCGATAAAGAGATTGATCAAACCGGCAAGGCGGAAGATGCCATCGACTTTGAGGATATTAGTGATAGCGACCTCTCAGATGTTGGTTCTGATTCCGGCAGGGGCGCAGGTATATCGCAGGTTCCCGGCCTTACGGAGGATGAGGGCACCAGCCATAATACCGACAATATGGAGAACTTGGAGGATCTATTTGGTTCTGACGAACACGACGTCCTCCCGTCTTCGCCCCTTGCTGCCGAAACTACGGCAAGCCGACTATCCGGTGGCTTAACCATGCCTACTGGACTTATGTTCTCCAGTACGCTGACTATGCCTACCGCTTCGGCTGCGCCGCCTACCTCGACTATACCCAAGGTGGATACTCCAGTAGTAAAAGATGGTGATGTCTCGGATGACGTGTGGAATAAAATGTCTTTCGAGGAGAAACAGCAGCTTAACTTTCCGACATACACCCCATCTATCGACAAGTGGATAAATCAGGTGAGTAAGGAAGATTCGTCGGGCCAGAAGGCTCCGGAGAGCAAGGAAGAGCTCTTGGCACAGAAGTTTCCTCATTTCAAGAAGAACAAGAAACTTCACTTCAACAAACTATTCCCGGAGTGGCCGGCACAGTACATGTACAAGCAGCCCCCCCACAAGGATCGAGACCCACCCGAATTTGTGCCCACCAAACTCGAGCTAGAGCTCGAGGCCGACTCTGCCAAACTGTTTAGGATTCCCGTCACCACTTCAGCTACTCAGAGAGTTACCGAGGATGATGACGACTGGGGTTTGGACACTACAGAAGGTGATTCGGATAAGTCAGAATCAGGCGAGTCCCTCGTTGGAGGTTTAACAACGGACGAATTTACTACGATTTGTGAAGAATGGGACCCCTCCGCAATGTCCGGCACTTTAATCGCCCACGACTCTCCCACTAAAGTTCGCGACGAAGACATGGACGATTGGGACAAGGAATTTGAAGAGCTGGGGCACATGGGAACAACCCAGAAGTTCAAGCCCAGCCTCCCAGAGGTCCCGATGTACGACACCTTCTGCTCTGGTGATTATCAGAAAGCGGCACGGTTATTCGGCAAACGTGTCAGACTCGACGACAGTGACCCTTACCTCTTACTCACTCGGAATGATGACTCCCAGCGACCATCTAAGCGCCTGAGAGTTGAGGAGAAGACCATACGGATGACAAATGACCAGCAGAGGAGGGATGTCTTGCATCACTTCAACATCTCTAACGACAGCGAGTATGATGCTCTTAAGGTAAACCATAAGAGCAAGGTCCGAGCTACTCTTTCGAATCTCGCTGTTGAGCACAGTTTGCCCGCCCTCAAACTGACGTTCCCCTTCTACCGAACGAAGGTTCATGGTAAACCTTGGGAGCACCACCGAAAGAGATATGACCTGGAGAAGATTGTCAAGCATGCTATCGGAGTTCGTAAGCCTGCTCGAATTAGGCGCAAGGAAACCAAGGGTCGAAGTAACCAGGAAATCTTCAAGACAACTCGAGACCTCAGTTTGAATGATAACTCCACGGCTGTTCTCTTCGAGTACTGCGAAGAATTCCCGATTATGATGTCGAACTTTGGCATGGGTAGTCGCGTCATTAATTACTACCGCCGCAAAGATCGTAACGACGAGGATAAGATCCCAAAGCTCGATCTTGGCGAAGGTCATGCGCTGCTGCCCGAGGATAGATCTCCTTTCTCCATCTTTGGAACCGTAGACCCTGGCGAGACAGTTCCAACGTTGCACAACGAGATGTACCGCGCTCCTATCTTCAAGCACGAGCCAAGGCCGACCGACTTCCTCCTCGGGATCACCACGAGTGCTTTGGAGGGCCCAAAGTTCTTCCTTCGTAAGATCGACCATGTGTATACTGTCGGCCAGACTTTCCCCTCGTTGGAAGTTCCTGGCCCTCATGCTAGAAAGGTTACGAACACGTCGAAGAACCGTCTCAAGATGATTGCCTATCGCATGATGAAGAAGAAGGAAACCCAGGACGTTGGTCTTGCAGAGATCACGCCACACGTCTTCGAGAAACAGGACCCCCAGAATCGACAGAAGATGAAGGAATTCCTTTCATACGACAGAGATAGGAAGACGTGGGTCCTACCAGAGGGTCAGACATTAATGGATGAGTCCGCCATCCGATCCATGATCAAGCCAGAAGACGCTTGCCTCATCGAGGCCATGCAGATAGGACAGCAGTTATTAGTGAACGCTGGCTACGATCCCAAGGATAAACTTGATGACGATGAAGGCGCGGAAGAGCCACTAGTTGCGAGGATGGCTCCGTGGGAACTTACCAAAAACTTTATAGATGCGAGTGCTGGTAAGGCCATGGTAGCCCTTCATGGCGAAGGCGATCCTACTGGTCAGGGATTAGGATTCAGTTTCATCAAAACATCTATGAAGGGCGGTTATATCAATGCCGTCCAGGGTCCCATGGCTACTTCTACGGATGCGATTGAACGCGAACGTAAGGCGAACGGCGGTCATTCGTACAACGTTAAGAAGCAGCAGGACATGTACAACAAAGGCATCGAGGATATCTGGAAGCGACAAAAGAGTACGCTTAGCGATCCGACTACTCACGAGGACACGGATGTGCTTGACACGACTAACGAAGATGATCGCTTTGAATCAAGACAACCCGACGCAACTCCCGCGCCCATGGACGACGGTCGTAGTCAGTTCAGTCGTCTAAGCGCGGCCAGTCGTTCAGGCAAGAAGAAGCTTAAGATTACCCGTAAGAAAGTGAACGAGGCGGGTGAAGTTAGTACGGAGGTCGTAATCCTCGACGACCCGGTGGTGATTAGGAATTACCTCAAGCAGCGTCGAGAGATCGAAGATAAGAACAGAGAGTGAGTTTATCCCATGAGTCGCAAAGTACAGCGCTCCAGTCGTACTAACTTGCCTTTACCCTAGTGTCTACAGTTTGCAGCCGACGGCTGATGCTGACGACAATCGTGAGAAGCAGAGACTGTCAGTCAAAAAGGCAAAACATCTCGCAATATTTGCTAACAGTTTTACAGCGTTGATAAGGAGCTTTCACGGCTACTCAAGAACCAGGATCGTCGCCAGATCCGCGAGAAGCAAGGCAAGGGCAAGAGAAAGAAAGCCGGCGCTGGTCCCGACGCCAACGGTGGCGCATCTCCTCCTGCCGCCGATAAGACCGCGGGCACGACGCGCAAGTGCGCGAACTGCGGTCAGGTGGGACACATCAAGACAAACAAGAGGTATTGGCACCATTGTTTCCTTCAAGTTTGTTAACCCTACACTGAGGATAATACTATGACTTGAGTCGTACTGGGCCTGTACTATTGCTTGCCCCGGTTGCTCTACTCTAAACCATCCCAGCATACTCATTAGCTTATCTCGAGTTTATCTGCACATTATCTAGCAATCAGTGCTGTGCGCTAACTCTTTTCAATTTAGCAAATGCCCTCTTCTGAACGGCACGATTACCACTGCCAACGGTGGCGCTGATCACGGAGGCTTTGGTTCTTTTGGCGCAACGTCTGCCGCGCCATCTGCCGGAACACCGTCCGCCAACGAGTAGGCAAGGCAAGGGAGGTCGCAGCGACGGATAATCCCCTGTCTCTCCCCGGAAGAGTCATGGATGAGCTTCGGACATTTGGCGCAGATGGCTAAGGTAGATGTGAGCTGCTCTTGTCATTGCCTCGCACACTGCGCCATTTCCGCAAAGCAGCTCAAGCACGCTCCTTTTCTTTAACAAAATACGTTTTCCTTCGGCATATTTACCCCCTACAGCGGCATGCAGAACCGTCAAGGAAGTAGCCAAAAATGGAAGCATTAGCATGGCGTTCAGGTTAGGGAATGTCCCCATGTACCTACTACGTCGTTCATGAGGAATATACATTTTGCTTTCAATGATGATATGTCTAGTGCGACCATCCACTACCATGTGGTTGGACGGCACATGTTTTCTGCAATGCAAGTGGTCTGCTCCACCCAAATTCCTGGGAAGTAGGTGAGCGGTTAAGCAAGACAAACTAATGAATGCTAGGCGACCCTATACGTATTCTAGAAATGTTCTATTTGTTCTATAGCATGGCAGCCATGTGCGCGAGAGCCTGCATGTGCTAAACTTAGTAGCAGCCTAACAGAAAGGGGTGTGCCGGTTGTGGTGCGTGGACCATTGGAACCGCTATCCCACTAGCCTTGGACGTAATAGAAACTGTCGCGCATTTCGTGCTATGCGAAGTATTTGAGTTTTTATTGCATTTTGTTCATTCTCCTTACGTAGGTGGAATGCATGTGTCACTGCTTTTTGGGGGTGGAGGGGAAGCAAGAGGCTTTTCCTTTCCTTTCTTTTTTCTCGATGATCTTCATCTTTTGCCCTCTTTCGAACGGCATCGACAGATCTCATACATACAAATTGGGGTAAAAAGTGTAGCAGCGGAAAATTTGTAAGGGAGACCACAGGTCGCGGTGAGAGATGGTGGTGGTAATCAAATGCGACGGTAACCTTGCACGCGTGGACTCAATATTGCGACGTCATCTGCGAGTAAGAAGCTGGAGAGGTGAAAAGGCGGCGAACCGAGTGAGGAAATAAGAGGGGATGAAGGGCGGAACTAGGTTAATGACTGCATGTCATACACATGTACACACTATAGCGAAAAGAGACTGATGCGGGTGTCGTCTACTTGGGATGACGACGGGATGTGCCGTGGGATTACCGTCGAGGGGGATTTGTGTTAGGTACCCTATACCCTATGCTAATGCTGTGCACCTCTCCAGCCCTATACTCCATTATCTTCTGTCTCACCGTCTATCTACAGAGCTATTTTCCCAAGTCCCAAGGTTACCTTCACTCCTGCCTGCCGCGGACCCGTAGGGCAGATTGTGACACGAACAAAAACACCCAGCAGAGCAACGTAGCAGCGCTATCCGTAAGAGTGTCGCTAATGGAAACCATCTTGGCGGGGAATATGTAACATTTACGTGCATACAAAAAATGTCTAAGTTTGGGGGCGGGCAGGCAGTGGAAAAAGAAAAAGAAAAAAAAAAGGCAGAGATAGCTAGGCTGTGCGTAATCGGTTCCGGAGCTCCGGACCCGATCTTTCATTGCCCACAAGGCCTGCCAGGCGTTCGAAGCATTTTTTTAATCGACAATTGCGACGTTGAGGTTTCGTATATCTTGGCAATGCGATCTTACACATAGCCAGTTTGATAATGGAAATTGTGAGATTTTCGGTGCCGCCGTCCCTGGCATTTGTGGGTTCGACCCGAACCGCCAGGGGCCCCGTTTGTCTTTTCCTTTTTCTTTTTTTTTTTTGGTCTTGTTTCGGTGGAGGGAGAGAGTGTGGATAAGCTGCAAACTTGGAGCTATGTAGCTTGGCATTCAAAGAATCCCGCCCCCCGTGGTGGCTCCCCGCTGTGGCTCGGCGTTCGATGCCGGAGGCCAAGAGCATGGTTCACGATGCTTCCACCGTAAGGGCGGGACGATGGCCCCCCCTGAATATCTGAGTATAGGGCAAGGGGTCGACATGGAATCTGCCTTGTAATTCTCCGCTAGAAGATCCTCAACCTAGTTACAATGCAGCAGAGCTAGAACGAGCCATGGATTCTATCCCGGCAGCTGCCCGGTTCCCCTACTCGCCCTGCTTGCCCTACCAAGCAACTATTTGATGCTAATTGCATGTCAATTATGTGCGTTAATTACCTTCCTGCAGACGAAGCTGAAAAGTGCAAAATGCGGTATTACCCCCTTTGATAAGAGCATTATCTCATCGAGATGAGGAAGGGGGACGCTTAATCGGCCCTAAGATCATGAACAGAATTCTGTATGGACGAAATAGTAGAGAGGATGGGATTAATTAGCCCAATGCAGGAGACTTACATGGCGCGGTATATTCCTTCAGGGCAAGCCGTATTACGTATCGACCTTGTCAAGCGAGTGGTTCTCGCCCTTTCATCTTTCTTTCTTACTATTCCTTTGCTCTGTCAGACATTGATAATCTCCCGCAAAGGGAAAGCTGGAATGTCATCATCTCAGGAGCTTCTAAAGCCCTTCTGGAAGCTCATGTGTTGGATGTTGCACAACGTGAGAGCGCGTGTCTTTGTTCGAGCGGGATCGTGATCATGCAATCTGCAGACTGCAGGTACAAGGCGGTATGTATGTAATAATCCTAATAAGCAAGCGTTCCAAGGTTCAGTAACAAAGAAAGTGACGGTAACGATTCCTACTCGGCCGAGCAGGTCAGGTTCTCTGTCGAGTTTCGAAACATTTTCTCTTATTTTCCTTCGATATGTCAGACCTAGTCAGCTAATGGTATAGGGACAGTAACATCGTCTTCGTCCTCTCCGGTGCTAACAATCCACGGAATCCACACTAAACAATAAACATCCCACAAACATGAAAGACTTGCACAAACAACAAGATGCCGGTTCCCCAATTCCCCAATTCCCATGTGATTATAGCCGGGAGCAGTCGACGCCCAGGCCTTGAAGCAAGGAAGATCCCTCAAGGGGGTAAGGAAAGGGGGTTAATTATGCCACTATGTCACTCAAACTCGCCGACTCACTCAAGCCAATATAGCTCGGCCAGTAATTCGGGCAAATTATGATGGATCCGGGACAAATTAGCCCATATTAGTTTACATTAGCCCGCATTGGAGGAGTAGTTCGTGGGCTAATTGGCCAGAAGGGGCAGCAAGGTGAGGTATTGGCGGGAACTTGGTGGAGCTCTGCTATAAATAGCTATTTTTAGCGTTTCGGCTCGGCTGTTGTGCATGGGGGTCGAGTTACACACGCCAACCCGGGTCCGGGGGGCCACGTCCAGATATTGTACGTATCGTACTATGTAGTACCTTTTCCTCGCCCAGCCTCGTTATATTGCTTGCAGCATTCAGATAGATGGATAGTCCAATTACGTGTTTCTTACATGTTTCTCGCAGATAGAAGGGGGACCTTTGCAATTGAGAAAAGACATCTGCTATGTACTCTTGCTAGTCCGGGCGCTTAATCGACATCTTAGATGCCATTCGATGTCGGCTCCGATTTCACAGAAGGCTGCGCCGCCAAGCAACATGAATCCTACCGTCTCTCCAACTGTTTTTATCCGAATTTCTCTCCTATGATCGTCTACTTGACCGTCCCGATTAGTCGTTCTTGTCGACCTCGTGTCACTGAGATGTTGTAACAGCCCTAGGACCTGACGCACGTTGGTGCAGAAGAAGTCGGCACCGAATTGGTAGCTTCGACACACAATTGCCGTCGCGCTTAGATCCATTATTTATGCCTCTGAATGGTTGATGAAGTTAGAAACATAGACCTTGGGTAACAACGGCGATGGGGAATTTGCCATTATCCTTCATAACGCCTTGCGTTTGCGGCTTCATCTCTATTCTGACGTTCTGACGGAGGGCACTGTCGATTATACATAGTATACAGACCTGTACTAGCCACAGAGTAAGCCCGAGAAAAAGTGCTATACTGTCGCTATACTACATCTAATATACAACCATTACGATACATGGTTCGTTCTAAACTTGGAGACGCGGACAGACGCGGACAACAAATCAAAAATCTACAATGCGAGACATAAATCCAGGAACCAAAACAGTAACCACCAATAGCCATCAAATCTGAGGAGGGAAGTAAGTAGACCGTTCTGGGCTTATTTCCCCGGATCCGGCGTTCGCAGATCTCCGCAAGGGTCCTTCGCTCCCTACGGATATTATCCATATGAAGTCAGAGTGGGAAAAGCGCTATATGGGGAGAGCAGCCGAGAAGCTGCGAGCTGCACGGCGCAAGGAACTTGGAAACGTACGAGTTTACACGTTTTAGTGAGCCGTTAGCGAGTTTGGCGAGCGGCAAAATTAATTGAGCTTTGCGGTAGTTCGAGTACTTTTCAACCATCAAGAAAAGAAAAGAAAAGAGAATGGGAGCACATGGGGTTTGGGGCATTTCGACGCCGCTGCCGTGCGACTTCGATATTCTTCTGTAAGGGCGTTCGAGAACCTTACTCGACAAAGGGGCCTTTGTTGACATAGCGAACGTGCTACTGTCTCTATTACTGAAATCCATACTGTACATCTTCCAAGCCGACAGTGTACTTGTGAGGCTCTAGCAAATGCGATAGGTTGTGAAGTCAATTTGGGGGCCGTTTCAAGTCTTGAAACTTTTCTGCGGATAAGGAGCTTAGAGTCCGTAACCGGCAAATCGCAGTTAAGGTTATTGGTTTAGCGGTTTAGCGAGATGGCCTGGCAGCCTGGATGGGCAGGATGGCTGGGGGCAATCTGGACGGAGACTTTTGTCACTATCGCAATTATCGTAATGTGATTCGATGACGACAGAAAGGAAAACAAACACTGTGCGCATGTGGTTTTCTTTGAAATTCGAACCCAATTGATTGTCACCTTGGTACGAACAATGGTCAATGATGATCGAATTTTATTCAGATCTCGATTTCTCTGTCAGTCCGTGTTCCCTTGTTCCCGGTTCCTAGGGCTGTTCGGACAGTGAACCGTACTATGGTACTTTGTCAAATGTACCTGGTAACGAAGTTGTAGCGTGTCTTTGAAAGACCCGGCTTGCTCGACTTGTAAGGAGCCCTGGATACTAATGGAGAACTTTGTGCTCGTCTAAGCCCCACGGGTCCGATAGTGCCCTGTGACCGTGGGCCGTTGGTTTTGCATGTCCTTGCAGCCTCCGCCTTTTTATCCATTAGAAGCACCATAGAGCAGGTGCGAACAACAGAAGCAACAGGCTTGAACGGGCTACAGGAGAAGCGGCCAGGGCCCTGCGGGACTCGGTCGCGCTACACAGCTAGGGCTGGGCTGCTAGGAAGGTACATCACCGTACATTGGTTGACCCTGATTTGACCTAATTAACCCTTGGGCAACCCTTGAGTCGAAGCTCTGACCATCCAACCATCAGACTTACATAAGATTTGGGTACATCTATTCCACGAATTAGCTAGTATTTACCATACTAGTTTACCACCTGGTCGAGGCCCTATAGGTACACGCATACGTGACTTCCTGATGTAGTGTGGGTAAAAGTGTGGCACAGGAAGTAAAAAAACGTGCTGCAGCGATTGAAGAGTGGGCCGGCAAACGGTTGACCTACCTAAGAAGGGTTCCGCTCTTAGCGAAAGAGGTTAGGTCGAGAGGTAAAAAAGGTACGGATCTGGATGTACTGGACTAGCAAAGTGTCTAGCGTGCATAGCTTGTTAACAATGTTAGGCAAGTGCTTGTCCTGAAGAGTGTGACACCATCCCCCTCCTACTCTTTTCTTCCCCCCCCAAATTCCTTGAACCTTTCCCACTTTCTCAGTTTCTCCCGCACACAGAAAAAAAACTCGAGTGAACACGATTCCGTCTATTATTAGAAATCCACGCCAGATTCAGCCCCATCGTCCTGCAAGTCCCAAGTCCCAAGTAGTGCAGCGATTGATGTATTGTATCAATGTATATCTTCGGAAACTGAAGAAAAGACGACAAATCCCATCATAGCCTAGCTTTCTATCGCACATCGAAGTGCATTGCACTACACACAGGCACATAGGAAGAGAGAGATTTCTGTTGATACTTCTACCGCGACACCTCCACCTTTTCTGTCCAGCACTATTTCCCTACTCCTCTTCCGTTGTGGATAAACCCTTTCAAATATCATCGGCGAGCCAGCCGTTTCAAATTTTTAAACTGGGCTATTCCTCTCCCTTAACCATACTCATCTCATCCTCATCTTCGTCCTCATCTTCGTCCTCATTATCTTCTATCATCCACTTCTTCCACTCACTATCACTATTACTACTCCTACTCAACTGCCACCCGACTACTACTCATCATTAACCAACCATCACTCGCACTCTTCAGCTCTTAGCCCTTAGCCCTTAACCCTTCAGCCCCCTTCACGTCAGATTAAGTCATCGACCGAATCGCAAGCCTAGTATATACTGCTCCTAGTTCCGCTACCGTTACTAGCCCGAACTATCTTCCCGCCTGTCAGATATAACTTTCTTTTAATCTTCCTCATCGTTGAAGCTTCCGGAGACGACAAGAATCGCTTTTTACGCCTTTTCATGTCACTACCCGTCGCGGTGTCGCTATCAACCGAATTAAGGGATCTATAATCGCCCAGTTAAGAATCCTACGGCGGCAATTGAGAGGCGGAGCCTTATCATTTAACCCACGACCTTTTTTTCTCTCTTTTTTTCTATACTATTTCTTTTTCTCTATCCATTTATCGCAAATCTACAGATTAGATCAAGATGGGACGGAGAAAGATTGAAATCAAAGCCATTAAGGATGACAGAAACCGTTCTGTGTAAGCTTCTTTCTAGCGATTGAGAACCCTCAATCTGATTACGTTTTCCCGCGTCAGCGGCTAATATATCTACCATATAGCACGTTCCTGAAGCGAAAAGGCGGTTTATTCAAGAAGGCGCACGAGTTGTCCGTGCTCTGCTCCGTCGATGTCGCCGTGTTCATCTTTGGCCAAAACAAGAAGCTTTACGAGTATTCCTCGAGCGATATGCGAGATCTGATTACAAGATATCAATATGTCGGTTTTACCCAGCCCGCAGAATATGAAGTGGCAATATGATTAACAGATAGAATAGCATGGCGGTCCGAACGAGCACAAAGGCCCTCACGACTATAACGGTGGCGATGACGATGATGACGATGATGGCGAGGGCACACCACCTCACGGTCACGAAGGGTCTGTCGAGCCTCAGATGATTCCTCCCCACTTCCAAGGCCAACCTCCTTTCCCCCATCTAAGGCACCACACTCCTTCCGCGTCGCCTCCCATTAACGGAATGCCATTCGCGCCTCGAGGCCACACCCCACAGCCGCAAATCGCATCCCGACCATCGTCCAGAAATGACTTCCGCCGCGACCTACGTGTCCCTCAACCTGGCGCCCCTCAGCAAGTCACGAACGGCTACGCGTACATGCCTCAGCCTGCCATCTACAACCCGCAAAGCCAACCTACCTATCAACACGGTCTTCCGCCGGCAGCTCCGGCTCAATATCAATACGCTGCTACCCAACAGCACGCTCCGGTCCAGTCGTATATGGAGGATCAGCGTCGGTCATCCGTGCCTCCTAGTTACCCCCAGCAAGGCCCTCCGCAGAATCAGCAACCGCGTCCTTCTCCGCCGCAGCCAACCCACCAGATGCCTCAGCAAACTCCTCACATGTCTCCTCCGCAGCCGCCTCCCCAGCATCTGGAGCCACCGCAGCAGCAGCAGCATCAGCCGCAGCATCAGCCGCAGTCGATGCCAGAACCCCAACAACTTCCTGCACCTATGGAGCCCAAGCATGAACCACTCCAAGAGAGGACTGGCCAACGTTTGCTAGATACGACGTCGGCGATTAAAAAATTGCCGCAGCGTAAGGGACACAGCATTTTTACTCCGATCGACGAGAACCAGTCAATCCTGTCTATGCACTTGGATTCTTTCAACGCGGAACCCCGTGGCAAGGATGATGTGAATCGGTCCCAATCTGTGGATGTTGGCGCTGTATCGCGTGCCAAATCCGACTCCTCTCCACCTCTGCCGCAACGTTCTAACACCTCTAACCTACCTAATTCGCGCAATTCTATACCTACAATCCCCGAAACCACCTTCACTCCTCCTTCTCGCTCCAACAGCTTGAAGGTCGGCGGTGGTTCGCGACCCCGCCTAAAGGTCCAAATCCCCGAGGAGCAGTCTGAGGCCGGTAGTACTGCCGGCGGCGACACGGCTACCTCTCCCCGCACCACCACGGAAACCACTGCACAATCCGCTCGCCGGAACGGTGTAGAAGGTCCTGGGGCTGGTGTGGTCCTTCCGCCTCCTTCACCCTCGGCGTCGGCTATGCTATCTGCGGGGGCGACCGGGCCTCCCAACCCGTTCGCTAGACCCCATCCGCAGGCTCAGAACAACAACAGCATGAATATCGACACCCCTGTCTCAGCCCTCCCATCTAGGTTCCTCAACAATGAATTCTTACCGAGCCCTAGTAGTTTTTACCCCGAGTGGAATTTTCGAGGCAGCGACAGCAACACCCTCCCAAGTCCTCTAAATTTCGCCACGCCGGTGGTCGGCTCGGGTCCTTCCTTTTTAAGGGATGATAACGGGCCGAGCACGACGAAGCGAAAGAGCCCGGATATAACCGCCGGTCATTCGGACGGACCGGAAGGTGGCGAGCCCAAGAGGATTAGGGTTGACGGCTAGTCGCTCTCTAGTGTATATCTATCTCACTGGCGCTATCCGGTTAACTACCTTTATGATTATTCTTTGAGTTAAAGGCTTGTTTATACCGCGACTCGCAATTGTACAACATCTTTATAGAGCATCGGAGGGCATCTGCAACTGGATCACGAAGAGCTATTAGGATACCTCCTAGTGTGTGTTTTTACTTGGCATTTGCTGGCTTGAACTTCAAACTGCGGCGGATTCGCTCGTTTATGTCTTGCGCCATGCAACTCGTTTTTACTTCGCAGCATCGGCATGGCGCTCAGGCGTTCTCATCATGGTTATTTTTTTTTATTATTATTATCTGATTTTACCCTCGATCTCAAACCTCAAAATTTTATGCGAATCGACAGCTCGCTGCTGCCGGTGCCGGTTGATTTAGAGAGACGGACATGACGAATGAGTAATGGAATTTGTGATTAACTAGCTTCATCGCATTCTATCCGGAGAAAAAAAAAGTTTTGAGACGGAAACTTTTTTTTTTGAGATGATCATGGGGCGGCGTTTTTTTGTTACGGACTTGTACACTATATATCTAAGGTTGTTAGAGATACCAGAGGCGGATGGGAATGGGCACATGTTACCAGATCCTGAATGAGACTTGCATTTGACTTCTGAAATCTTTTTTACTGTACCACTTGTCCTGTGAAGTGTAGATTTGCGTGTGCGTTTGAAAAGGGGCTTGAGTACAACGGCACTTTGACGATGATGATTGATGATTGTGATACTGCCTACCTACGTAATCGAGCTTAATGTTGATATTGACTTTGGAGAGGAACTGGGAGCAACCACCAATGGTTGATAATGGATACGGAAAATCTCTAGGATTCTAGATAGATAGCTGAATCCTACAGGTCAGCGATGACGTCGTGGGGAGCTGGGGATCGGGAACGGGAGCCAAGACTAGACGTAAAGTAGTAATCTCTGGCGTATTGGAGGGGGGAGGGGAGGGAGAGTTCAGCTAAGGCGGATGTGAGCTGAGCTCAACATACCTGGATAGGGTACCTACTTACTATAAGTAGGTAGGTAAGTGGTGAGTACCTAGAGCGAGGCAGACTGCAAACTTGCTTTCCTACTTAGCATTGGTCACGAGATGCCGCGTCCCTCGTCGATCTCTCGCCCACTACGGACACGGACAACGGCAGTGAAAATGGCGCCGGCCTTTTTCGTGTTCCCCCGCGGCGTGGCTTTGCCGGGTATTGGGTAGGTAAGGTAAGTATTGGGTATTGCTGCTGTGCCGTTTCCGGAGCCGCATTAGGTACCTTAGGTAGGTAGGTTCTTGGTGAAGCTAGGTAAGAAATTTTAGCCTTGGGCCGAACCGGGACCTGACCTTATTAGCCCCTTTTTACCTTACATAATCGGACGGGAGGGAAGGAGGGGGTTAGGAATGGCGTGGAGGGGCAGGAAAGAGTGTTAGGGTGGGAGAAAGAGGGTACTGAAAGAGGGAATGTAAGCAGCACGTAACCGTGGTTCCGGGAAACGCGGCGCGGACCGTGGGCTTGGGCCATGGATGGGGGATGGGGATGGGGATGGGGATTTGGGTGAGGCCAAAGACCATGGTTGCGGGCTATGCGGTAATAACGATATCCTATTTACCGTATCGTACCTTAGTAGGCATGCATGTATGTATGTATGTAACTGCAAAGAGACACGTGTGAGTGGATATGGCATGTAGGTTGGTAGTAGATGTAATGGATGTAAGTACCTACCTATGTAAAGTAACGGATCCATCCCTCTGCAAGTACCTACGTAGATATAAGTAACGGAATACCCAGAAGGGAAAGTAAACGGCCCCCAAATCCTCGAGCTTAAAAGTCTAGGTCGGCACGTTTTCACGCTACCTGTATAGTGTGTATGTGTAGGTACATATGCAGATCCCGCGCCATCCATATAACCTTCTGAGGCGGCCAGATCCTACATGAATGGTTGATGACCTACTTGTGTATCGAGATTCCATGTTTTAGGCCTGCATGGCCACATGGATAGGTAGGTAGGTAGCGTATTAAGGGTGCTTATGGCTTTGAGCTAGACTTGGCACGTTGTTCACTGCCAGGATCGGTAGGGCTGACGCGCGCGGAGTAGGCTATTACACGTGCGGATGGACTGCGGGTGAGAAAAGGGGTGGGGAGCCTGGGGGATTGGATGTTGGTTTGGGTGTATGTAGGTATGTATGTATCTATGCCGTGCATTGCGAGATTATGTACGATTCGAACCATGTATTTACTTCAATACTTGCTTTGGTACATCGAACTAACTGCGTACTTAGGTCGGTATGTAAGTTGGTGGCCCCATCGGACGATCTGCCGCACATTCTCATACACCTACACCCCTATCCTGCTTTGCTTCGGCCATACTTTGATCTTTCCTCTCCGAGAGTAGTGTACGCAATAGACCTTGGCGTGTGAGTAGCCGTATCGAAAGCATCAAGTAAATTACCCCTATTCAAGTTTAACGTGGGTTAAAAGTACTATGTAAGCAGTGGCGGTTTTAGGGCAAGATTCGTAGATCCCCATAAGGCAGCTAATATCTCCATCAGCCAGTAAAAGACGATAATGCCTATAGCTTCGCATGACCTTGCCGTAGAGCTGTTACCAACGCTAAAGACGATGAGGTCATCACCAGGTAGGCCGAGCTAAGCTATTACATACACAGACGCGGGGGCGGCGTGGGACAATAGTAGGCTCGCGGTTATAACTCTCAGCCTGCCTGGACAGAAATGGAGCGAATAACAAGGAATTATACTAGCTAGGACGTATGTGGTGAGACGTTGTACCATACCCGTATATGTACCTGGTTGTCCAGCCTTCTATAGCTCTGACGCAGACTCGAGCTAACAAATGAGAAAGCGACATGTGAGATTAAAAAGCCACCTGCCTCATGATTCCGCTCAATGCCTCGCAACTCCGCGCTCGGTGTCCCGAATAGGTAGAATGCATCAATGGCTGGCTGGCTGGCTGTGGCTCTCGTTTCCGTACGACTTCTAGCGCATAGCCATTGGTCGATCGTGGCTTGATTAATCTAACAGATTACAGATGGTGAAGCTTTTCTTCAAATTAAGCGCGCGTCAGACCTATGGATGAAGCAGGTGCAGAAGTGGGAAATGGGTAAGGGGGTCAACAGCCGTAGAGGCTACATTACCTAAGGCCGTCTTTTATTGCTCCCCTGCTTGTCTAGATTCAAGTCTGGAGGCTTTGGCTAGACCATCGAGGCTGTTCGGACGGAAATTTACTATACACAAGGGAACCGAGTCCTGAACGCGTCATCGCCTATCAAGCCAGTTTTAGGCTCTGACAGACACTCTTCTGCGCCATCGGTTAGCTACAGGAATTATTGCTGCTCATAGGTACATATGTAATGGGCTCTGCACAACAAGCAGTTACCACAATGGCGAGCTATGCGATAGAAGAGTCTTGTACAGCGTGCTGAAACTATATACCTACGCTGCTTATTGGCCAGGTATGTATTCTGACGATACATTGCTTGGAAGTTCTCCAGTATGATACATCGTACCTACATTTAATATTATGCGAGGCCACACATATTATCACGTTCCCCGTGAAAAGGGGAGGGAAAAAAGACATTCCGAATCAGGGAATGCAACGCCGGACTTGTCCTACCGAACCTTATTACCCTATCTCTTTGGTTGGCATAAGACTACAGTCTCCACAAAACCGGTAACTGTACATCGGCGATAGCGCAGGCCCTTAAAGCCTGTGAGCGTTGAGGCTCTCACAGTGATCTTCGGAGGCGTCTAACCAACTAGAAGTAAGATTTTGTGGAATTCAGGGGTTGCTGGAAGTACAGTTACTGATCGTGGTGGAGCTGTAGTCTTATGCCAACCAAAGAGATAGCATTGGATACTTGTCAAGTAAGTAGTCCTATTGGCTACCTACATATGTGTTTGCTACGGCAAGCACACGTTGTTCGGATAAAGAGATAGAGAATGTAGGCATATCGAATGAAATTACTAGTCAATATGTCTCAAGGATTCATTGATGAAGACTTGGTATTGTTAAATCTACAATGGCTCTTCTATTGGTATCTAATATCATGCGTGGATGGACGACATATACACTTGATTATCGAAACTACATCTGATTTACTGGATGTTAGAGTGTTTACGACGAGAACACATGTCGGCGTTTGGTAGTTTGCCTTCTCATTCTCCAACAACCATACGTCAAATAATACCAGAGGATGAGATTATAGTGTCTACTTGAAGGTAACAATCCACAATTATCTCAAGCAAGATAGCAAAGCGAGCCGTGACACAGATTAGTCTGTTCCCGTATTTGGACGGATCGTTGAGCAGAAGTTTTAAATAATCAAGGATGAACAGCTAGATAATACAAGAGTCTCACAAAAATAATACATATAATACTGGAGTCCGACTCTCGGATCAAGTACAGACTAAGCTTCGGGTAGCTTGTTCATATCCAGAGAGGAAATAACATCTACTAGTAACCTACGAACATGTCACCAATATCTAGTAATTCAAGACTCATCGTCGAAGCAATAATAGAAAAGAAGGCAAATGCGTTGGCACTCTCGTCGGATAAAGTACCTAGGTATCTTCCAAGCTCTTTCCGTCCCCCGTTTGTTTGCGAATGGGTATCTCCTACCCCTAGTCGTCTCATTACTCCTCGAACTCGAATAAAAACCAGAAACGACCGAAAGGATTAATCTGCAATAACACATATTTGTTGTTCATTCTTTTTTTTGGCTGGCGCAGGCAGCGACCCAAGAATATCCGATCCATAGCCAAGCTATGCCTCCTCCATCCAGGGTTACTGTATCGCCTTGAAAACGATTTTCGTTAAGAGACCGAGCTGTCACCATTCTCTCATTCGCGAAACTCCAAAGGGCAACGGTTTGACGTTGAACGCCGAATTTCAAATTAGTAAAAAAACTAGATCCCAGTCTGGTCCTGGTTGCGAAGAGAACATGAGACGGCATGTTCTAGTGGTATCATTGGAATAGAAAAGAAAAAGTGCACAAGGCTGGTAGTATTAAGGAGCATCCGGCGCGCGTCCCAAATGCTACTAAAGGGAAGAATGCATCTGGAATCCATGGCTTCTAGGCGGATTGATGTAGGCGAATGTTTAATGTTGATATCCGTACTGTTTCGTACCCAAGTCTTCAACTAAAATACCGCCCCTAGCGGCGACTAGGGGGTGTTCCGGGTCCAGCGGCACCATCCATATTCCCGGTTAACTCGGCAACACGGGCCTTAATTCGAGCTACACGAGATTCGATAGCTGCCGTAGGTTAGCATTTGGATTACTAGATAGAAGAATGTGATCCTTACTCTCTTCGCCACTGGTGTCATCATCACCATCCGTGGTCTTGCTATACGCACCCCGACTCTGCTCCTCGCTCTGTCGTGCGGCACGATCAGCCGCATTCCTCCTAATGGCAGCCCATCGATCTTGCATCGGGACGGTCGGCGACGGGGCACCTTCATCCTCATCCTCCTCGATAGGTGGGTGGTTGCTGGGGTGTCTAGCAATCGGGGGCGGTGCGGCAGAGTCAACACTCTGATCTTCGTCAGGGACGAAGGCGGGTTGGTCCACGAGAGGACCTTGGTCGAAGCGAGAGAACTCCTGATGAGCCTCTGCAGCCTCCGCAGTATCAACGCGAGACAGGTTGTCGTCGATAGACGGGTCATAAGCTGGCGTTTGGTGTACAGGTGTGACCGGTGTTTGTGTGGGCGTCTTCTCTTCGGCTCGTTCCTCAGGCGCCTCAAGAGCCGGCTCAACGGGCGCCGGTTGAGGTTGCTGTGCTGGGGAAGCACTTCGCGCTGGCTGTGACGGTTCCGAAGCAAGGAAGCTGTTGATGTCAGTGGCCGCATTCTCCGGCAACTTGGATTGTCGATTCTTATTTCGGCCGAACAACTTTCTAAATCCACCGCTCTTCTTTTCGTCCTTGTGAAGCTTCTTGTGCTTCTTATTCTCAGGGCTACTTGGTACAGGGGAAAGCATATTTTCCCGGGCAGCTTCCAGGCTCTCTTCTTCACGAGGAGGAGGGGGCAAAGGCGAATCTTTACCTGTGGCTCCTGATCGCTCAGCGGGGTGGATTGCCTGCGGGGCCTCAAGCTTCTTTTCCGCGACTGGGGGCTCCTGTTCGGGTTCGGGTTGCGGTGGCGCTACGGCCGGAGAGGGAGCTCGCTCTGAAGCTTCCGGCTTAAGATTACTGCCATTTGTCGCGAGCCCATTCGCTGGTGGATGGTTGGGTAACTGAAGGGAGGTTTGAGATATACCACGGCCGGCAAAGGCGTTGCCGAGATAGGCCTCGCGAATAGCCTCCTTGTCGTATTTGTTCGCCCATTTCATGGCCGGAGAAGCCACGTTCACGACGCCCGGCTGCAGGGTTAGGATACTGTTGGTCTTTTCCTTGAGAACATCGGCATCCGTACGCCCGCGCCTTTCCGCCTTCGGCATTGACTGTTGCTCCTGGAGTTGCTTGGCTTGAAGCTTTTGCGCGGCTGCCTGGATCTTCGCGTGTTGGTCAGGCCCGATGCTAGTCTTGCTTAAACCAGCACCAGTAACTGTACCGGAGTTCGCGCTCTTATCAGCAATCGGTTTTGAGGTTGACTTGCTTCGAGAAACACCTCGTCCACGTCTGGTCCAACTGAAAAAGCCTTTCTTCTCTGCAATATAGGCGTTCGCATCAGGCTCCGGAGCGGCGCCTTTTACCATCTCTTCCATCACAAGCCACCGGCCTTGGCGAATCAACGTCTCGATTACGGAGCATCTTCCAAACGCAGATTTCCTCTCGGCAGTTTCCTCGGGAGCTAAACTGCTCATCCATACCCACCAAAATGCGTCGTCGAGGTCAAATCGACTAATGCTAGCCAGTTCACCGGGTTCCAGCTGATGCGTGGTCTCCAATCGTGGGCGGTGCGATTGCGAACTACGTTGTCGGACAACCGTCTCGATAGGTGGCAAGATCTTATCCGGTGGTAGCAAGAGATTCGACGGGGTATTCGGCGCATCATCGACAAAACCGGAAGATAGGAAATCCGCCCAAGAGGGTGTGGTTGGTCTTCCAAGATTTCCACCCGATGCCGGGGTAGTTCGTAGTCCGCGGGGATTTCGAATTTGGTTAATCTTGACCGTCTCTTCGTCTTCCTCCTCCTCTTCTAAGGTATCCCCGAAGCCAATATCCTCGAATCGCGACCACGAAGCATCTCGCAAACTAGTTGAGTGCTTTGAGCTAGAAACTTGAGATTGGTTCGCGAGAGAAATCGCTTTGAGAACTCTGCGACACTCCTCCGTTAGAGCTTTCACGGGATCTTCGAATTCGGAAAATTCACGAAGCGCTTGATCCTCGTCGCGATATTGGAAGTGGTTGGCACGGCGTAGGAGTGCAAATGGTGTCGGCGATACGGTGTCAACAATCATGACAACCTTGTAGGTAGATGACATCAATAGCGATGGGGTTTGCGGGGGATACTCGGTTTCTTGCAGGAGTTTCTGCAGGGACATCGGGAGCATGGATATGCCCGCACGAGCTTGCTGGGGGGATAAAGATCTCAGGTAGGCAAAGAACATGTGGCTCGTAGCATCAGCAGCGCTAGAATTCATTAGAAACCCGTTATTAAGGCAACTTTAGGGGTTTACAAACCTCAACCAAGACTTATACCCGCCTTCGAAACCGTTACCAGAATCCTTGTGTTCGAAGGCCCACCATGCCGCCATACGAGATAGCTTACGGCCACCAAAGCCATTGGATTTGCCATGAGCTGCGATAGCGGAAAGCAAATCGAAGTAGTTGAAGATGATCTGGGATCTCGCCTGATTCTCGACGCTTAATGGGATAAATGTCGAGAAGGAGTCGCGCGCCATACTCGAGTCTACATAAAAGGTAATTTCTTAGCATATTCATGGATATCTCATGTTTTCACCGGACAAGCTAGACGTACCTTGCTCTCCAACCTTGAACAATTCGTAGGCATCCCATCCCACGATACCACCTTGCAGTCTGCTCCAGCACCATTTTAGGACACCGGATATGACCTGAATATATGTTAACAATTATATATCAGATCAGCGCATTTTTGATCTGTTATGACGTACCATAGGCTCGGTCATCCGCAGCTCCTGCAGGAGGGCCTCGCCGCGCAAGTTCTGGTTGCCATCGAAGAAGTGGCGGATAAACGTGCGTACAGCGCTAGGATCAGAAGTCGGACGGAACGGGAGAAGAAGAAACGGTAGATCGAGAGCTATTCATGCGAACTGGTTAGCCTGGTTTTTTATTGTCAAGAAAAACAGGTAGATTAATTTTTTTGTACCTCTTGCTTTCAGCTCCTCGGTGCAAATCTTGATCAGCTCTTGGACTTCCTCTGGTTCGATGGACGTTCGCGTGTATGCGTCTTCCCAGCGCGGCTTGTTGGATAATTGATGGGTCAAGTCATTAAGATGGGCATTCTTTTTGGACTTGAGTTTCCCTCCATCCTTGCCCCTTATTCTTGAGAAGAGGCTCGGCATGGTGATTGGTTGTGACGAGGTTGTTATGTAGATGGATACGGGACGAGGAAGACCACGTAAATTCACGTCTAGAGATTGAAAAGCTTGGGAATAGAGATAGCCGAGTGGGTGTTGTGATAGTGGGAATTTTAGCACGGGCTAACGCATAAGATGTTTGAAGAGGAAGACGACTCGGACCAAGTTGCGCACAGCGGAGTGGGGGTTGGGTATCAAGTAGTAATAATTTCGAATTTGTTATTGCTCGACTCCGTTCAGGCCGGGTATGATTGAGATATTCTCTACCGGGAAAACTTAAACTTTCCAGGACATGAATTAATAGGGGGAGGCGCACCATACACCTTGATGGGGACGAGGACGGGAAAGAAAAAGGAAAAATGAAAAATAAAAAAAGTGAACGAAAATATCAAACGATTAGAATTGAAGACTTCACGGAATATGCGTGAAGTGGTAGTAAAACGAAGGGTATCAAGATGCACGCATGGGGAAAAGGGTTCAAAAAGTTTCTAATGGTCAGTCAAAGGGGAGGAAATGGAAAAAAATAATTATTATTAAGGGGCCGCTTCAAACTTCGACGAGGATAACATACTATCTATTCAAGGAAGCCAGTCAACCCATCAATCCCATCCTCGCGACTTCCCCCCCAAATCTCAAGCTACATCGATACTACCTTACCTAGGGTACATACAACACGTACCTCCAAGCTAGTTCGACGCACATTAGCGCACCTGCCTGGACTATCCCTTTCAAGAAAAGCGTTGTTTAGGGAGATTATTTTAGTTCTTTTTGTTCTAGCTGCCAGGTAGGCGCAACTAGAATCGACGATGGTGATTGGATATCTCCGCTCTGGGCTTGCTTGGGTGGGGAAGGTGAAGCAGGAACGCATTGGTCAGCTTGGTCAGGGCACCATTGGACTTTAAGAGTCGAGCTAAATTGAAGCTAGGATGTGTCTAGGTATCTAGAAGGTCACTTCCACGCCTCCAACAGGGCTGATGATACTTGTCAAATTCGCGACCGCGTTCAATAACTTTAATTTAATTACAGGGCGGGAAGTGGTGACCGGGTACTGCCCGGTCAGACTTTTTTGAAAGGTCAACTGCTATCTTTGGTCGTTCTTTGAGGTCATTCGTCCATGTAGGAACCCGGACCTAGACCTCTTTCTTTTCAACTTCACATGCATCTTATCGTACACTCAGATACAACATTGAAAAGACACAAATTGGTTGGTTTACTCACTCGCTCACATCTGAGTGTCAAGATTTGCTATGTAATATGGAAATAATAATGTTCCACCTGTGCATTTTTCCTACCTTTTTTTTATTTCAAGATTTTTTTTTCCGTCTGGCTGACCTGCGAACTTCCATGTTTGCTTTTCACTAGCACGAAAACTAAGTCCGCAGCTTTTGGACTAGAACCATGTCACTACCAGGTTCTTGGTAAATTGGTTGTCAGCTTAGTCTCAAGTCCAAAGCAATGTCGGACCCGGACAGCTGATTCTGCGTCAAATGAAACTTGACGATGGCTTCACTTCGACACCTAAACTGGAACTCTTTCTAGAAAACATTTGCCATCTGCTGTTTACCATCACGCTCTTGCTAAATCGGGCTCATCTCACCGTTGTGGACATTTATTATATTACCGCCGGTTGTGAAATGGAATACCACCTCAGCTAGTGTCGATCGGCGCCAACACGATTCTTGTCCTGCAGATTGAGATTTGAGCAGACGGGGTTGAGCATCATCGGAACACCATCGGCAATTCTATACAAGTGCCACCACCTTAAATGTCACCATCTTCCGGATTTGTCCAACGCACGTTACCTAATCCCCCCTTTCTGCCGTTTGAAGCTGGATTGAATCTGGATCCTGTCCTGTATGCGGCCGTGTTCGTGCTGTGCGACACAATTGATGTTGAAACAACACGAATAAACATGTGCCCCGAGAAGACGAATTCGCTTCGTCAGCCCGTTGGAGAAAATGCGGTTGGTATCTTTTATGGCCATCAATCATTAAGATAAAATGATTCAAACAAATGCCAAGACAATATCTACTCGCGCCTCCTTTCCCTTTCATTGATCCAGCTCATCTATTCTATAGGCGTCAACCTTGCATGGGCACAGCTCATCATTCGGAATTCGAACCCAATTAATTCGCGATAAGCATTGGGTCTGGCCCGACCAGTCAGTTTTTCTAGACTAGGATTTGGATGAGTTGGCAATGTCGTGAGGTCACCGGAAAGGAGAAGCCTGATTCGGATGGATTTGTCTGCGAGCAATTGGTGCAGCGCAGATGCATACGATTGGGTCCCCGGACCATGAAGACGTGTCCTGCGTGTCCACAGCGGCCGCAACTATTTTCGCATCCAATAACGGCGTTTTAGGCCTCCAAGGGACTTGGTACGACTAGCATCAGTTGCATATTGTAATTGAACTGCTGCTTCTCCAGCCCATCCGTCCCTCGGATCGTACGGCTCATCTGGTGGAAGGGCTGATGCAAAGGATAATGGAAAAAGTGTCGGCTTCTGGAAGCTCTAAATCTGAAACTTAGGTCTAGAGTACGCCACTAACCACGTTTGGATCTATCTACAACTCGCTTTGGGTTGACAAGATGGTGTGCGAAGGTGTGGCACGCCTGCATACGGAATTCAGGGGACCAAGGGACCTGCATATTTAGCGTGTGATCTCAGTTCTAACTGTTCCCACAACCACGATAACCCCAGAACGCATACTTACATACATTAGCTTCTCTCGATCTAACATGTTCGCAGAAATATCTCCAGGAATCACAAATGCCACCCGTAACTTAGGCTTCCAAGATTTTCCTCGTCGTTGCGATCAGAAGCAAATATCTTCCAGATACTCGCTAGAGGAACAGAACCACAAAAACGAAACGCCCTACGTAACCCCGCCCAATGCAACGACGGCATGTAACAATACGTATAGGGTGGGGTACCTATCCAGGTTTGCCCATTACCGGTTCCCGAGACAGATCCTTCAGCAGCCTTGCCATGTCTCCATAGAGTTAATGCCGGCGATGACATTTCGCTATGCTAGCAGCCTTGCGAACTGACGTTGTCAGCAGAATACGAAGCAGTATAGCCACACATTGTCGCGGATCTATTTATGCGCTAAGATCTTGGAGTTTTGGTTACAATTTTAGGTACCTTGAATCGATCCTACGGTCTCTAGACTTTAACCATATAATCTTTTTGACTGCCAGAGTACCAAATCACCCGCTCCAACCATTTTCTGCGCTTACTTCCCGCTATCTTCAATGGTCTAGATTTGGCAGTTACGAATCCGTCTGCAGTAGGTATTGACGACGTTAATACGAGTACAATCGTGCTTGATTACGAATGTCTCAGGTGATACGTTTTGAGACACGGCCCCTTCGTTTGCAACTTCCAAGTCTAGGCTGAGAAATCGTGCCTGCCTCTTCATAAGGTTAGACGATACTCCGAGAGAATTTCCGTCAAATCCGCCGAGAAGACACTTGAGTTGGACATGCTTATTCAGCTCGAACACATAACTATCCAGTTTTACGGTCTCTCCAGTGCGACATCGAGTTCAAGCTATCAACAATAAGCCACATGATATCGGCTACAATAGTAATTAATAGCCATCGAACATCAGCACTCAAGACAGAATTGATGGAATTTCGATTTCACAACAATCATTGTTCCATTGCGCGACTCAAGACTTTGAAGCAATTATTACTTCCTTAAGCAACTTCCCTAAGAAGGGGTATGTTAGCTAATCCTGTATGTACTGTACAATCTCGATATGCCGTGAGGAGACGCCTGTCCAACCATTTAGACCACGCAACGCCAGCCAGTATACTACACAGGTAAGACGAGAGGTCTCCGAACGCCTTACCCCTTATTCCCGAATACCAACCCTAAAGTACTTTCCTTGCTTTGCTTTGTTTTACTCCTCCTTAACACCATCTGCCTTACCCTCCTCACCCATCTCCTGCAATATCTTACTCTCCTCCTCGAACTCATCCTCATCAATCTCGCCCACCGCCACAACAGGCGTCGCCTTCTCCTTATCCCCCTCATTCTCCTTCTCTTGCTCCTCAACATCCTCGTCCTTCTCCATCTCCTTCTTCACATCCCCCTTCTTAACCAGCGTGCTACAATTACCCAAACCCCAATCAATCACCTCGCTCTCACCATACCTCAGCGCGAGCCACTCATTCGTCGCCTTGAAGTGTCCGCAGTCGAAGAAGCCGCGCGACGCGCTCAGCGGGCTCGGGTGCACGCTCTTGAGGACCAGGTGCCGTTTGCCATCGACCTTGGCGACGCGCTTCGCGGCCGGCGCGCCCCAGGCCAGGAACACGACGCCGCGCGTGCGGCGCTGCGCCACCACGTCGATGACTTTTTGCGTGAACCGCTCCCAGCCGCGCTTCGCGTGCGAGTTCGGCTCGTGCGCGCGCACTGTTAGGCAAGTGTTCAGGAGCAGCACGCCGCGCTCGGCCCAGGGCGTGAGGAGCCCGGATTTGTTGGGCGGAGGGACGAAGGATGGGTAGTCTTTCGCCAGCGCGATGTACATGTTGCGGAGTGAGGGAGGGGCGGGCGTTGGAGGGCGCACGGAGAAGGCGAGGCCGTGCGCTTGGTTGATGTTGTGGTATGGGTCTTGGCCTAGGATCACGCATTTCACGGTATGGAAGGGGGTGTGGCGGGACCTGGAGGGGTGGTGGTTAGTTGGTTTGGGGGATAAGATGTGGTTTGTACGGATAATAGATAGGTTGTAGGTATATAGGCAGGCAAATAGGTATGTAGACAAGTATATACGAATAAAGAGAAAAAAACATACCAAGAATACACATCCTCCCTAGGTGGGAACACCTTCTTCCCGCTCTTAATTTCGCTCTCGAGGAACTTCTTCAGCTCGATGAACTCCGGCGTGACGATCTCGTCCTTGAGGTGGGCCAGCCAGCTGGGGTCCAAGGTCTGGATCTCGAGCTGCAGGTGGCGCTTCTGCTCGGGCGTCAGACCCGCTACCCACTTCGCCTTGTCGAATTTGAGAGCAGCCGCCGACGCTCCGTCGGATTTCGACGCGGCGGCCCCGGACAGCGGCGAGGAAGGCGGCGCGCCGCCGGGAGAGCTCTTGGGGGCGCCGAAGAAGGATGTTATGCTCGCGTTGACCTTGGGCTTCTTGTTGGAGTCCGGGGCCGAGTCGTTCTTGCGTTTGAGGGACGACATGGTGAATGGTTTCTGTGTATATGTGAGAGTCAAGGGGAGTGGTAGGCGTGGTGTGAGTTGTAGGTGAGGTGGAGGTCGAAGTCGAGCTAGAACTCGACCTAGATCCCGCTGTGTGAAATGACGTAGAGACGGCAGCGTGGTCGATTTTTTCTTTTTTTTTTTCTGCGAAGTTGCACAATCCTAATTTATAACGTAGTACGAAAAAACCATACGAACGCAAGTCAGTCTACGCAGGAACATAAAAAGGGGTTGGATTTTTAAGACAATTGGATTGTTAAAAAATCAAGGTCGGGAAGCAGAAAATTAATAAGCTACATAAAATGGGGGTTCACATGAGGCGCGTTTGGAGACGCGTCTGCCGCTAAAGCCCCTAATGACGCGAAATTCGCAGCGCGTAAAGTGGCTTGTGCGATGCTAGCTTTCAGCGCATTGAAGCTCCAAAAAGTGATAGATCAACTCGGTAAAAGCATTGTATGGTTGACTAAAATTGGAGTAAGAGCTAGCAAAAGCAAAGATCATGCATACGTCGTATGTATCGATCGTCAGGACTCTAGACCGGTCAGGCCGGTTTACCGTAATGTGCATATTATTCATCCAGGACTCGTCGAGACCTACGGTGAGTTGTGATCTATCATATCCTTGCTTTTTTCTCTTCCCTTCTCCTTGTTCTTCTCTCCCGTAACATGAGCGGCATGAGGTAGGTTGGTAGTATACAGAATCATTCCGGTATATGAAATCGTCATCTCTTAATGCAATCCAACCCTTTTTTGGTCCCAGTTCCCTCAGCCTCTGAATAAGGTATCATAGTAAAACAACGCCTGCTAATGCAAAAATCAGAATTGAGAGGGGAGAGATCGTGATACACATCAAGGCTCGCCAGCTTCACCCTGCTGCTGTTTTAAGGCTTTCTTTTCGTTCATACTCCTGAAAACCCGTTTTCCAACTTCGTAGCTGCTAATCATGATGGCGCAGGATGGCGCAACCTTGAGGGTACGAGGTAGCCATCCCTTCCAGAGTCCCGCCAAGCCTTCCGTGGAATATATGTGCCATAGGAATTTCAGCATCGGCTGAGTCTCTGGAGCCAGACCTTTCTCTGTTACTGGTAAAGCCTTGTTTGTTGCATCGTGAAAGACTTGTCTACGGGTTTTGCCTACGTCAAACGGCATGGTCGCCAACGACGCAGCTGCACCCGAAAGAGCACCTGCAGTAAAAGCATCCATGAAAGTTGCTGTGCGGCCTTCTCTGCTCTGCGATCGCTTCCTTGCTCCCGTCTTTGAGCCGTGGTCATCTCGAGTTAGAGATCGACCTTGCCGCTCTTCGCGTATATCAGTGAGCTTCCCCCTGATAGTCTCGTAGCCAAACCAGTACATTCCCGAAAAGGGAACGTCTCGCCAAAGAGTTAGTGTTAGACCCCGCCAAAGAGAACGGTACCCATTCTCGTTTACCATTTTTCGAATGCCCTTGAAGGTATTTGCTAGATGACCCGTTGCGGTCGAGCCCGGAGATGCCTGGAGCCGCGTCCTGAATAGCTCGATGGGACCTACTACGGCGGCGGCGATGGTTCGTGCGAAGGAACCCGCTATTAGGGGCGCATAATCGTCCTTGGTGAGTTTGTTGACAGGACTTGCTTTGTTGAATCGTAGCCATTCGTAACCTGTGAAATAGATGATGTTGCCCGGAACAGCCATGACCAAGGTCGGCGAGAGACCTCTCCATAAAGTCGTAAACCCCTCATGGCGCGCAATCTTTTTCATGCCGTCGAAGGTCGAGTTAAATGTTCTCTTCTGTACTTCCTCTACGGCGCATTCTGACGTAGCTAGGCCTTCGATGGGACCACCGGCGACGCAGACTTCGGCATTGTTATTCATGAAGAACACTTCTCGACAGCACGCAGTAACTCCAAGGTTCGAAGGCCGAAAAGCACTAGGTGACGAAATTGCAAGCTTCTGGAACTCTGTGACGGGCTGCGACGAACCTTGCGATTGTAATCGGACTCGGACAACATCTAAAGGAGTGACTAGACCGGCTGTGTTAGCATTATTTCACCCCATCATAGCTATATACATAATATGGGATGGAATATAACATGAAATCTTACCAAGTAGCGAGGTCAAAAGACTGCCAGAAATGGCGGAGATCATCTTCTGGCCCACCGAAATATCCACACCGTCGCTACCGTCATCCTGCGACGAAACCATCGTCTGCCCTACAAAAGCGTCCTCGCCGTCTCCTAATCGATCGTGGTTGTGTCCGCCGAATGTGTGGTTAGAAGCCATCATGCTCATTGTCTTATGCGCCTAGCCCGGTTGTCCCGGGGGCGCTTTTATATCGCAGCTCGATGCAGTGAATTAAAAGGCTGTTTGGATCTAGGATAAAGGATCGAGATAGAGTTATTACATTGACAGGAAGGTTTACTAAGAGTGTGATTTGTGGAGGATGTGTAGGTGGCTGAGGAGGCGAATAACTAAAAATTGAGAATTGAGAAATGGGGTTGCGATGTCGCGGGCGAAACTCTTTAGCGTCATCAATACATAAGAGAATTCTAGAACAGACAGAGCTGTGAGGCTAAACTTTTTATGAAATTTTGCCGGCCGCAAGCCGAGACCGAGCTTTCAAATCCGATAAGACGGATTTTGATAAACTCCATTGAGATTCAATGCGTGGTGCCTTATCATGATGTCACAGCCAATCGGACGCCCTAAAGCTAAGGTACCTTGTAACCCCACCATCGCCTACCTGCAGGCCGCAGCCCGCGGTGTGACTCTCACGCCGGGTATGTTCGGCGATAAGATGGACTTAGATAATGCATCTTGCGCCTTCCGATCCATCATACCGGAGCACATCATTACTGGCCGCATCTTTGACTTCATCCATAATTTAGCCCGGAACTTACATAACTTTGGAAACCGTTCAGATCCTTCAACTCGTCACCGCTAGATATTCACCTTGAATTACATACCTATAATTTCTAACTTATCTACCTACTCATATTAATACACCTAAATTAACCTTAAACAATCGTTGATCGACAATTGAACGCCGAACTTTATCATTGTTAGAATCCGTAATCGTTTAACTGACTGCCTTGCCAAGATGGACCAACCAACCGAACAGATACAATCCGAATTAGAAAACTTTAGGCAACAATGGCGGGCCGAGGTCTCAGCTCGTTCTAAGAACACGACTGGCTCTCAACAGCCGCAACAACAGCAGAGAATAAGTTCAACTCAAGCTGGTCCTTCAACCCCGAGCAAACCTTTGAGAAAAAGTGAACCTGCCCATAGAAAGACTACCTCAAGGATCGTCTCTCACGTAGAAGATGAGGAGGAGTACATCCAAACACAGTCTTTTGATGAACCAGACCCAAGTAAAGCACCAGGACAGAAACTCGGCCGTCAGGATGGCCCTTCCACTACTACTAAGGATAAAGAGAAGGAACCCCAGACCGCCTTAGATTTCTACGAGAAAGCCGTTGAGAAGGAGACAAGCGGTAAATTGGGAGACAGCCTACAACTGTACCGCAAGGCCTTCCGCATGGACGACAACGTCGACCAATCTTACCGCAACAAGCACTTCCCAGCGCGTTGGACCAAACCGGTTCAAGTCAACCCGTCAAACGCCCCCGCGACGGTTCCTAACACCGCCCACCACTCCCTAGAAGGACCCACACTGTCGCTCCCAGATCTGATCGCCAGCTTCTCGGACCTGAGAATCGAGGGCGTACCGCCGGAATGCGAGGGTGTAGAACCTCCCCCGTGCCCCATGGCCGCGCTCCCCGACGAGATCCTCGTCCACATCCTGCGCGACGTGGCCGTCGCCGACGTCGGCGACTTCGTGCGCCTGGCCCAGGTCTGCAAGAGATTGGCCTACCTCGTCGCGACCGAGGACCAGATCTGGCGGCGCGTGTGTTTGGGGACGGAGTTTGGGTTCGGCGGCATGCACTTCCACTGGCAACTAGGCATAACGTGGGAACCACTATCCCCCGCACAGCAGCTGCTCTCCGACGACGCCGACGCCGACGCCGGCGCAGATGTATTCACGCTAGACCAATTAGCCCGTCAGCGCGAGGAAGAGCGGCGCGCGACTACGAGCGTACTGCTTAACAGCCTGTACGCCGGGTCCTGGGCGACGATGTTCCGGCGGCGCCCGCGCGTCCGCTTCAACGGGTGCTACATCAGCACCGTGAACTACATCCGCGCGGGCCAGGCCTCCGTGCACCAGATCACGTGGAACAGCCCCGTGCATATCGTCACGTACTACCGGTACCTCCGCCTGTTCCGCGACGGGTCGGCCATCAGCTTACTCACGACCGACGAGCCGGCCCACGTGGTCCATCACATGACGAAGGATAACCTGGCCCTGCACCGCGGGGGCGCGGGACCGCATCTCCCGAGCGCGGTCATGGCGAACGCGTTGAAGGGGCGCTGGAGGCTGTCTAGCGAGGCGGACGATCCCGAGGCCGCGGTTAAGGATATGGAGGGCGATTTGTTCGTCGAGACCGAGGGCGTCGGGCCAAAGTACATGTACCGCATGGAACTCACGTTCAAGGGCACGGGCGCGGGGAAGGCGAAGGTGGGCAGTAATAAGGTTAGCTGGAAGGGCTTCTGGAGCTATAACCGCGAGACGGATGATTGGGCGGAGTTCGCGCTTCGGCATTATAAACCGTTCTTTTTTAGTCGGGTTAGGAGTTATGGTGTTGGGGAGGTTTAGGGGATAGGGTTATGGCGAGAGAAGTTGTGATGGGTAGGGGGGGACGGTGTATGAGGGCTATGATGAGATGAGGGTATGCTATGTTAAGATGTGCTAGATGAGTTGAGTTGGAGGGTATTGGGGGTGCAGGTCAGCTTCAAATAAGGGCATTAACGCGTATCATGACAATGGAAAGAGGCATAGCTCATGGATTTAGGGAGTTGGTGAGACTTGTTGAGTCCTGACATTTCACTACTGAGGTACTGATTATATTCTAAAGCTTTGTTGATAATATGAACTCATAGTGCTGTAAAAGTGAGAAACTAATTCGCACTCACAGCGTAGACATATTGAACGGGAACAGCTGTACTCTTGTGTCCAGGTATGATCTCCCCCATTGTTCCCTGCCCCTGCCCCTTTTCATGGATCGTAAAGTAAGCGTAAGCCTTCCCACCATTATACGATCATAGGCCTACTTGTCTAATATCTCTCACATCTTATGTAGGTGTAACAATATTGAGCAAAACGTAATTAAGCTGTGGTTCTGGTGGTCTATCGTTAAGACGATGGAGATATGTCTACCCCTTTTCGGTAAGAGGGTTGGTGCTCGTTAACTAGAAGGAAGAAAATCTCAAGTAAAGACCTTGGATACCATTAACTATGCGAAGAATCTATATATGCCATAATATGAAAAGAAGTATAAATATAATAATAAAACTAGAAAATAACTTGCGTTGGATTCTATCAGCCCGACCGCAGTTTTGAATATAATTTTGACTTTTGTTATAGTATTATCCACTTCGCTTTCCGTTGATTCTCTCAAAACAGTTTCCCCGCTATTTTCTTTGTTGGATTCCATAGTAGCTTCCTCAGGCCTTGCCTCTGTTTCCATTAACACGCGGTTGTTGTTTTGAGCGGCAGTGTCATCTTCGCCTCGGTCGGTGGGACTTTTATGCAGCGGGGGCAACGACACTTCATGTTGAGCCTCCTGGACGTCGTGTTGCAGCGGCCGTCCCCTGCTTGCGGTTCGCTTCTGAGCCTGCATGTACCTGCGAGCCATACACGTCGCGTCGGCAGACTCTGTTTCGGAGTAAGGTGATTCCAGATTTGAATTATACTGTTGGTGTGTCGGCTTGAATCTAGTGCTACTGGCTCTGGACGGGTGAGGATAGCGATGTTCTTGGAATGAGGGCGACATAGGCGGTCCATACTCATATGTGGCCCGAGCTATCTCGTCTGCCAGCATCTCGACAATAGGAAAACCCAGCTCCTCTCTTATCATGCGTAGTGTCTTACGCTCCTTGCGTTCCCAGGTCCTCTGCTGCTCTTTCCGCTTGAGCCGACGCCCTCTACTACTTGGGGAAACCGCTATCGTATCCCTCTCGCTTTCTGTCTCAGCATATACGTGGGGCGCTTCTGGTACATCGGGAGGTCGTTGTGGCAACGGTTCGCCGTCCTCGGACAGTGTTAGGTTGCGTGGAATGTTTACGCTCGGGGCGGGCGACACGGGGGCATGCCCGGAGTAACTAGATCGAGAGATAGGGCGCGATCGTTGTATGGGCTGTGCGGTGTCGTTTTGCTTGCCTGCCTCTCGCTTCCCTATCTCTTCCACTTCGGCCTGGATCTCCGCCTGTAACTCGTCTCGTTGAGCATGTGTTCCTGTGTCTGTCTGCTTTTCTGTTCCGAACTCTTGCTGAACTTTTCCTTTTAATAACACCATAATCTCATCAATGTTATGTTCCACTTTCTCTTGAATTAGCTTTGATAGTCTTTCATTTTGAATCGTCTCAGCTTCTCTCTCCCGAGCGGCGGCATTATATTCGGCCTTAATTCCCCTTCTCACTTCCCTTATTATTGTTCTAATTCCCTCGGTCTCCCGCAGCCTCACTATTTTGTCTATTCGTCGCTCCTCTTGTACTCTTTTCATCGCGGCCGCATTGTGGTCTTCAAATATCGCATACCGGGGGTCATCCATGTCGCCTATGTCGTCCAAGATGCTGCTTATCCCTTCGCGGGGCCCGCGAGTCGCCGGAGTCATCGTCGGTCCGTAGCGGCGGACCTCATCCTCAAATAGGTTCTGTCTATAATAGTCCGCTTCATTTTCTGGCTTACTATACATAGAGAAATGTCGCGAGTTATTTTCTGGACCACTACGAAAGCGACCACCGAGATCGTCGGCGTCTATGTCTCGATGGTTTCGGGAAGAGGACGGTCGTTGTATCCTAGGGGCGGGGGTGTAGCGAACATAGCTATGCGGGTATGGCACATCGGGATTATTCTCTGATATGGGGGCTCTCTCCCCGAAGGGGACGCGAGAACCCTCGTGCGGTTGCTTCTGTAGTACGTGCGGAAGGTCATTTCGATTGGCCAGCACAACCGGCTGACCATAGGCGCTCGCACGCCGCTGGATACTGGGACGTTGAAATGGGGGAAAATAACTATCGTCCTTAGAGACTGGGTTGGGAGTCGTCCTGTGTCGAGAGTGCGATCTCTCGACGGACCATGGACTTGGTCGATGATGACTACGGCTCCGTGTCCTCGGCTCCTCACTAGATGAAATGAGTCAATGGCCATATTTCTCTACGGGGTATTGTAAGACATAGTGGGGTCTGTCAATTAATGGACGGTCTAGCCTCACCGGTTAGATGACTGAGAATACGGGCGCGAGAGGCGAGGGGCCTCGTTACATTCGTCATCGGGAGGATCAAAGTCGGAGCCGTCGCTGACGTCTTCGGCTATAGGATCATGGTATTGGGGATCTTCGTTGAAGCGAATCTTATGGGAACCGGGCATGTTCATGCGGAGTAGTGGCTAAGATATCTATATATAATATAATGCGATGTCGCTCTTCACATTATCTATGATTAGCTTACACGAGTGTATGGATGACGATAGTGACAAGTCTCTGTATTATGCCAACAAGGTAGTGGAAAGCAAGGTGCATACGATGATAGCATTTGTATTAGTTGAAGGCGTATAACCCTATTTTAGATGAATCAATATCACCCTTTTTTAGCGTGGCGATGATTTGGTGAGCTATGGTCTGAACTTAGGCAGTCGTCGGATAACAATGTTTTGGTACAATTAGGTCTAACAGGAAAATGAGTGTGGCTTAAGATTGATATATTACTAGGGGGTCCACCTATTAAACCAGAGCACACGTCTGAGAATTGCGGTACTTTTGTTAGTCGAATCTATCGGGGTCTCAAATGTAGCTGTGTATTTGCACTTTGTCACTTACCTACATGTATGTATTACGAATAACTGCACCATACGAGCGGCTGAAGTAAAGGGGGTCACGACCTGCTTCGTATGACGGTACTGTCGAACCAATAGCTCTCAGATCTTCGGCTTTTGAGGCTTGCATAATACGCATACTTTTGGTCGATTGCGTCAAACAAGGCTTACCGCTTGCATAGCGGTCAGATAGTGCGGGTTGCCAGCCAATGAAGCCGCCTGTAACTGAATCCTGCAATAGGTTGCGATTGCCATAATATGGTTTCCGGACCAGGCTGTGTATGTGCCTCCGAACTGGCGCTGATATGGCTGAGTGAGTTAAATTGGGACAAATATTTCCTCTTGAAGCTTTTTGGCCACTCCCGGCCTTTGTAACTCTACCAGATGATCGCCTAGGGCATTAGACGTAGTTAGTCCAAGGGTTACATTCACAGAGTCTGCGAAGCTAGAGAAAACAGCGTTCATCGTGGCAAGCCGTCGTTCGAATACGACCATAAAAATGTCGCCTCCAGACCAGAATTCTCGTCCGCATGTAAACATAAACGCAGAGAATGGGGGCCCTGGCAGCCAGTACATCAGCGACCGTTCTGGAGACCAGAATGTTGCAACTGGTGGTGGCCGGGTGATCAAAATTGATCGCCAGTTCAATAGTAAGCCACTGACTTTGCCCACTGTGTAATCTTTAATACTAAGGTTTTTTAGTACGAAATTGTTGGGACACGACAGAGGAAGGGATGCCTTCCCTGTTTCGTCTGTCCCAGTCTCAGCCGTTCAACAGGCTGGCGAAGTTCCCTCAGAGACCGAACCGTGCGTTTTCTAGAATGTGTAGGGTGACTCTGCGAAGCAATGTACTGACAAATTCCAAGGTGCGGACATAGTCGCCTGGCTGATGCGCCAGCCGAATCAAACCCCTCTAAACCTTCAGCCGTACCACGGTGAGCTTCTCCGCCAAGTGGTCCCGGGTACGGGCAGATGGGTCCTGGAAACTGAGGAGTTCCTTGCTTGGAAAGATGCCTCAAGTCCTTCACGATTGTTATGGATGCACGGTATAGGTGAGTTATACCAGAATTGCACTCTTAGATATTCCTACTCTTATTAACGATGCGTCACCTAGTTGGATCTGGTAAGACTATGCTGATGTTAGTAGCCCAGGGTCCGTACCATTCAGGGCCTTATATACTGAAACTTTCTCTCCAGCTCCCTTGTGATTGACTCGCTCGCAAAAGAACGAGAATGCGGCAAAGACACTACTTGTGTTTATTTTTATTTCCAAGAGGGAGATAAGCGCCACGTATCGTTTGCGTGTATATGGGCGACTTTGTTAATACAGCTGCTATGGGCGTCGAGCGAGCTGAAAGGAGAATTAAAAACGGAATTCGACTACTCGCTCCAAGGATCGACTCCACTCGATTCATATGCGTATTTAGAGCTCTTTAAATCCCGGGCTGCCACCGTAAAGACAGTTTACCTAGTCATCGATGCTTTGGATAACTGTCAGAATACCCCCGAAGAAGAGACACAGCAAAAAATGCGAGATGCTCTCAAAGCACTTCCGGATAATATACGGGTTCTCTTCACCTCCAGAGACGACTCGTTTGATTTGGGGGTGGCAGCAAATCGGAAGCTGCTCATCACGCTGAAAGCACGGGACGTAGAGACCTACGTAAAGAAGCGGATCGAGGACAACAATATTCTGAGAATCGTTTTGAAAGATGACCAGAAACGAAAGCTCGTTATAGACAAAGTTACCGCTATCACCTTATCAAGTAACATGTTAGTTTGATGTCTCAAATCTTGAACCACCTTGCGAAACTGCTGACTTTATCTAGGTTCCTGTCAGCCAGGCTCTACATGGATGAACTGAGCAAACGGAGGATATTTGCCGACATCAAGAAAGCGCTGGGCGAACTTCCTGACAGCGCATTCAAGATCTTTGATGAATCGGCAAGGCAAATAGCCCAGAAAATCAACCTAGGAAGCAATGATTCCAAAGGTTGCCTGATTAAGCATATTCTCACCTGGGTGATATGTGCAAAGACGGAATTGACTGCTGAGCAAATTTGCGATAGCTTCGCCATACAAAAGAGCGGTGGACAGCCTTACCAGGACAATCGACCTAGCGAAGAACTTCTTGTGCCTGTTTGCGATGGATTGGTCGTCATGGACCCGAAGAATAGGATACTCAGTCTTGTCCACAAGTCGGTACAGACGTATTTGCAGAAGCATGGCATTATACCAGAAAATGCAGATATCGAGATAGCCAAGAAATGTCTATATTGCCTCTTGATTGATACAGACGACCAAGAAGTCGAACCTTCGCTGCTCCAATATGCCGCAAAATATTGGTGGGCGCATCTTGGCTGCCAGGGACAAGCCGACTCAGAGGCGGATTCGTTGGCATTGAAGTTTCTTGGGGACAGCTCCAAGCTGGCTAGAGCATTCAAGGCCATAGAAGGCACCGACAACGGCGCTTTTGACTACATGACGGGCTTGCACGCCACGGTGCACTTTGACCTTCTATCCTGGGCAGAGCGCCTCCTCAGAGAGGATACCGACATCAACGCTCAGTGTTCGGACGGCCAGACGGCCGTACACTGGGCGGTTAGGTACGGGCGATGCAAACTTCTAGAGCTATTCATTGATAAATTGGCGGAACTAAACATACGCGATAACGCCGGCGACACGCCACTCCACAAAGCTCTCATGAGGCCAAGCGCCGACAAGATGCCACTTCACCAAGCCATCATGAAGTCGGAAGCCGACGACGAAAATATAGTGAAAGCACTAGTTGCCAAGGGCAACGCACGGTTGGATATCGGAAACACTAGGGGTATCTCGCCAATGTTGTCGGCCATTCGCTACGGGCCTACGTCAATAGCCAAAATCATGGTTGAGAGCCAGAAGGATGTTGATGCTGAGATCTTCGATGGTTGGACCTCACTGAGGCAGGTCTTCTATCATGGCCAGGACATCGTCGAAAGCGGCGTAGCGAGCCAAGGGGATCGCCGGGCGGGGGTTAAAGGATGGGCTCAGCTGCAGCACGCAGTTGGGAACCACGCCCGCTCTCTGGTCGACATATTGCTCGAGCGCGGCGTGAATCTGAATCGTCCCTCGGCCGTAGATGGGTGGACACCTCTCGAGCACGCGGCCAAGACCGGCGATTTGTCTAAGATAAGCCGACTGTTGATGCGGCAGCCCAACCCAGCCGACGTCCACCTGCAGGACCGGCAGGGGAAACCACCCCTGTGGTGGGCCGTCTCGTACAAAAGCGCCGCTGCAGTTCAGTTGCTGGTCAAGCACGGCGCCAACGTCAATGAGATATACAACGATAAATCAACGCCGCTATCCAAAAGTGTTCAGATGAAAGATAGCGATATGGTGCAACTGCTTATTAGGTTGGGGGCCGACGTGAACATGAGGATAGAAAACGGCTCAACGCTTCTGATCGAGGCCATCAAGCATGGCGACAAAGACACAGCCTGGATGCTGTTGAATGCGAATGCGGCGTTGGACGAGTGTGACGCCAGTGGTTGGTCGGCTCTCTCTTACGCTACTAAGAATCAGAATAAAGCCCTGGTCTGGCTTCTATCTACAAAGGGCAACCTGGCTGTGAGTTCAAATACGCGCATCGGCAGAACGGATATGCAGCATGCCCTTGAACTGGCCATAATTTACGACAATCTCTCAATAGCGTGGTTGCTCTATGAGCACGGTGCTTCACTAAGCGCTGCGAACGGCACTGGGTCAACTCCATTGCATGAAGCCGCTAAGAGACGGAATTACAAAGCTGCGCAGTTCCTCGTAGAACGTGGCGGAACCATTGACACTAAGGACGCCGATGGCTCGACGCCATTACACTACGCCGTACGGGTTAACCATGACGATCTAACGGACCTATTAGCTTCGCAAATGCTGCGGTCGTCGCGGAAGTCGGGGCTCGATATCACCGACAAACAGGGCAACACGGCGCTCATACTAGCCATCCTTAATCAGCGACCGGTTGCCGTGCAGTCATTGCTCCAGTATGGTGCCTCGTGCAATGTTGCCGACCCGAAAGGTCTGACGGCGCTACACCATGCTGCCCATTTGGGATTTAAGGAGGGACTAAATCAAATGGTGGACAAAAAGTTCGACGGCAACCCCAACGCAACAGATAATAAGGGTTTTACGCCGCTCCACCACGCGGTAAATGGCGGGGGTGCCGACCCGGAGACGGTGCGGATATTAGTGAGGGCGGGCGCTAATATGGAGGCACAAGACAACGACGGGCGGACGCCGCTGATGCTAGCTGCTCAGCTAGGCTGCGAAGGGTTAGCGCACAGCCTCCTATGCGAAGGGGCTGATGCTCAAACACGGAACAAAACCGAGCACACAGCCTTCTCCTATGCGAAGAATTTCCCTAGCATTCGAAGGCTTCTCAACGAGGCCCATCCGTCAAGAAAACCGCCGGATTACTATGGAAGGTAAGTTTATACAGCCAAGGACTATGTCGAAGGTAAAATACAACATCACATGACCGTGGACACTTCTCGAAAGGTAGTCCTAAAGGGGAGTAATATTATTATTACCTACCTATGTGATACCTACCCCCGACCGTGTAGTAGGCCCTCTTCTTTAAGCACGTATATCGTCTAAATAATGCTTCAAATTAATTGCAAACTACCTAGTAGAGCATTCAATTCACCTTATCGAGAGCTATATTGACTTGTAATTGTAGATTGAAGATGGCGTGTTTGGTGAAGTTGTTCATGTCGAAAGCCCAGGTTTGTAGGAATATAGGTCTGAATAGGGAAGTACGTTGAGTTGCACTAAGATTTGTATGGCGGCAGACAGAGTAGCCGCAGTGACTAGTTTCGGTAGCTTATCCGTAGGTAAGTTTTTAACCAATAGAGAGCGGGCGCTCGAATTTGAGCCACATTTGGTATGAAATTCATTGTTCTAGCAAGGATATTCCTAGCTATCTTGCCTCCTAGCTACGTAGGTAGGTACCTATGTACACTTCGTAGGTACTTAGGTACACATATATCCATATCAGGGCTTTTCTGGATTACCCCAAGTCCGACCAAAATAAAATGGTCCAGTCGACTGCCCATTGACTTGTATCCCGCCCCCATTCGCTATATTCTGGTTTCCATGCCCTGAATGAACATACTGCGAACCTGTGCTAGCGTTGTGCAGGGATATGGCTGGGCTGCTGCCGCCATCGGCTTTTCCTCCCCTTTTCATCTCGTCGATGAGGCGCGCAACCTGCGCTTGTGTGGCTGCCTTGACTGAACGGTTGCCTATTAGCACCTGGAGATCTCTTAAGATGCCGTTCATCAGGTTCTCGACTTTGTCAGCATTAGGGACTGTCCTAAGTGCCTTGGCCCAGCGCTCCGTACGGGAGGCTCCCGCCGCCGGCATGACAGCTTGTAGCACCTTTTTAAGTTCGGCCGCCTTGTCGCGGCAGCTCTCGAGCATCTTAACCAGCGCGATACGTGATGTGGTCGGCGGTGCGTCCTCTTCCTCGGCTAGGCCTGTAGACGCCGTTTCCAATGTGTCGTGGATGAGGGGGAGGCGTGTGGCAACGTCGCGAAACGACTGTGGCAGGCCCGCGGAATCGTCGATGGCCTCATAAAGCTTAAGGGAGGCATCGATAATCGCGATGATACCCGAGATGAGACCGACCACCTCAGCGCCCGACATAGTGCGGAAGCGGTGAGGTACTGGCGTTGAAGACAACTTTCGGTGATGAATCTGGTTTAGTTCTGTAGGTAGACAGCCTTCTCTGAAGTTTTGATAAGCAGCCACTACTAGGTATCGATATTTGCACTTTGAGATGATTAGGCACTAACAAATGACGCATACATATCGGTGCGGAGTAGCTGCATCGGGCATCAAATAATTGCGTCGCTATTGGATGGTATGGTATGAGCCACTGAAGCAGGCTGTGACATGCACATCTTGGAGCAAGACCGGTGTGATTAGTTGCTTCTTATCTCATTACAACTGACGACATGAGGCTCAATTACCTTGAGTCGCCTTGGAGCTGGTGTCCTGCTGCAGACGCCCACGAGAAATGTTCGGGGACAGCGGGTCAAATGACCATACCTTTCGCTGTAGTTTATTTACCAGGAAGCCAGGTAAGCGATAGGTGAGCAGAGCCCAATCTTGCTAAGGTAGTTCGCCTTTACTCTCCACTCACCTTCATTCCTATTTTTTACCATTTTAGTTGTCTTAAACCTTCATAGTCTACGATATCTTGGATTATAGAAGTATCCCGTTAACGCGTCCCCTTTCACCCATAAGTGCGGATACTACATCTTACCTATCATCCAACAGTTAACTTACAGATATTCCAGATTTTACCTGCCATTTTCAATATGCCAGGTGAAGTAACCAAAGACCAAGTTATCCGAACGCTCGGTAACGCCATTTCTCCCTTTAAGCAAGCTCTCTTATCGTCCAAAGCCATTCAAGATTTCTCTGGCCTTCCTGATGCCTTCCCTGTAGTCGCTGGGCACCTCCAGTTCATCTACGAGACGATCAAATCAATGCGTGATCGCCTTGGGAAGAACAAAGAGACCCAAGAGACCAAAGAGAAGTATGCGCCCATGAACCAATTTGCCGAAATGTGCGTCAACCAGGCCGGTTATCTCAAGAATGTCTTCGAGGATGTCAAAAACACCGACGATCCCGCCCTGAAACTGGAACGATACCGCGAGACTGCAGCCAAAGCCGACGGCCTTAAGATAGAGAGCGTAATGCAGAACTTGCTCAAGCAGGCAGTCAACGCAGCGGTTGAGCCTTTGGTTAGTAACGAGCGAATCAAGCAGCTCCAGGAGGTTCAAAAGGAAGTTGCTGCGCTAGAGCCGTCTTTGAAAGACGAACCTAAGGGAACGACGACGCTGAACAATCATGGTTCAGGGAGCCAATTCCTCCACCATGGAAAGGGTAACCAAAACCACTGCACTGGAGGATATCAGATTACAGGGGACGGCGCCACCAACCACTTCTCGTCAGACAAGCAGAGGTCCACGGGATGAGCATAATACTACGGACCCAGATAAGCACTACCTAGGTAGTCAAACACATATTCTAAGGTGGTCGTTTTCCGGGCGGAACCGATTCGTAGTAACAATAGGTAGAAAAGATTTCGTTCATTGGATATCATTTCATAAACTGTGCAACAGCTTCTACATATATTCTATTTTTCCTATCATATGTGCAAAGAAGAACTTGATACTTGATGGGGTTATCTTCCCTTCATAGAGAAACATCTCATCATACTTACTTATTGCTCAATTCGTAGATAGATATTTGAAGTAGATGTATTCCATTCCCCTTACTTACCACACCCTAGATAGGTACCTTTTAGCTTGCGACACTATCCTAATTTTGATACTCGTCGTAACGAAGGCAGTAATAAGGTGTCCATTTTATCTACTCATTTTATCTACTCATTTTATCTGTCATATTACCAGAATCTCTCCGATTTTTTCTTTCTGTTGCTGTAGTATCTAGTCGCTAAACCGAGGCCAAACACGGTAACCACCGAGGGGCAAGTTATCATGGTGACATTTATTGGGCACTTCTCAAATTTCGAAGGACAGATGTATCGAACCGCTAAATGCGACTTAGCAATGATCCCAGGGCGCGCTATCATCTATCGGCTGGTCCTCTTCTTCGTCAAAAATGTCAAATCCTATGTGCCGCCCAGGGTCAAGAAACCGAAGCGGGCCCCGTTCTGAAGAAAGTTGATCTACGACGGCGAAACTATCGTCAGGGAGTCTTCTCAACAGCAGATTCTGCTTCATATGCGCCTCATTGACGGACTTGGGAACAACTGGGATTCCTCTTTGCACGGCCCAGGATAGGCAAACCTGCGGCGTAACAGATTTAGATATTTGGTTCGTCATATCAAAAACCTGAGCAGAAAAGGGGTGACTACCTGTGCTGGAGTCATGTTACACTTTGATGCGATGTCTCTGATCTAGAGGATTGTCAGTAAAAGTTATATGCATTGAATATAACTCGGTTGCCTTATTGTTTTATATGCTTACTTTTTGGTCTTCCGTTGGAAACGGCTCGTCAGGATGTCCTCGGACGAGGGCTACAGGGCGGCCACCAAGGGGTTGATGGGCCATGACGAGGATACCATGCTGGACCGAGAACGTGTGGAGGTCATGCTGTGGGAGGTATCTGTGAACAAAGTATTGTTAGAGATGGAGCTTTCAGTAGCTAGGCTCTTCCTATCCTACGGATGGATTTCAACTTGGATGACAGCCGGAATAATCTTCGCGATCTCGAGAATTCTTTTGGTCTTAAGAATGTTGAAATTGGACAATCCTATCGTATTATCTAACTCAGCACACTGTTGTGAAAGGAGGCTGTACATATGACTTGTACTGTACACATACCAATCGAGTGTGCTTTGCCAGAGGCGACAAGCTCTTCCATTGCTTGCCACGTCTCCGGATAACGTTTAGAGAGGTCGTAGTCAATCACAGGCTATCAGAGAACATGATTAAATGCAAACAGAGCATGAGCTACAGGATGCCACATTACCTTGCCATTACCGCTTGGGTGTCTTATGGTCTTGTTGTCTTTGCCAGCCTTATAAGCATGAGGGACTTTGGTTGATTGGCGTTAGTAGGCAGGTACTTGAGTTCCTAACGTGAGTCCAAGATATTGGGTATAATTCAGTTACGTACAGTGCATCAGATACAGATCAACTATATACAGTAAGTCGTTCAGTTCTCTCATAGCTTCAGGAGTCAGGGTCTTTTAATACCATAATCTAACTGGAGGTTCTTGAGCGATTCGTTCAGGGCTCTTTCGACGTCTGCAGGCTTATGCCACGTCTGCGCGCTAGATAACGCGTGAGTTAGATTATAAAGCATCTTACGATTCAAATGTTGGCTTACAGTTTCGACGTCACAAATATATCCTGTCGAGGAATTCCGCTCTCCTTGATGGCTTCTCCGATTTCCTTTTCATTTCCGTAGGCGTGAGCACCGTCAACGTGTCGATATCCCAGTGCCAGAGCTAGCTTCACGGCATTCTTAACAATAGAGTTTGCTTCTTCGCCTTGAAAAGTTCCTAGGCCAATGGCGGGAACCACGCGACCATTGTTCAGAACGAAGGTTTCAGGGAGGTCCATGGTTGACAAAATGACGATAATAAGTTGACCTAAGTTGTCTTACAGTAGATTTTGCCTGGAGGATAGTGGGGAGGCAAGAAGGGCGGGCGTCGTAGATGTACGCCACCGGGTACACACATCGTGAGGGGAACAGCAGATGATAAGAGAGAAGAGACAAGTATACAGTATATTACACGCACAGTATATCGTACAGTTCAAAGCTTGGTATGATTTAACCAGGAAACGTAAAAGCATCTTCATTGATTGTACGGAGTCAACAAATTGAACTAACAAAATTACCCCTGACCGAATAAAAGAATAATCCCTTGGCAAGCAAGGCTTCTACTATAATTTAAACTCCTCAGGATAACGTTCAGTGAGCCTCCGAATTTCGTCGATTGCCCTATTCCAGGTTAGTTCTCGTAGCCAATGGGGTTGGCGGCCCGGAGACTTATTGCTTACATCTGCAGGAAGGTTTCCTGGTGCGGAAACATGGCGGAAGCATGTAGATTGAACCTTCTATCTAGGTATTCAGTTACCTGGCCTTCACATCTATACGGTTGATCATTACGAGTGCTACGTACAACGAGTAGAGTGCATTTCGATCATCATAATCTTCCTGAGGCTCGGACTTGGGTATGTGAGAATGATATGCCTGGAAGTATCGACGAGTGAATTTATTTCGCTCGGGGCGCCAGTTGCCAAGCTCATCTATGACGACGGTTAGCTACTCAGGTGCCCACTTTGCTGCGTAAGGGAGAGTTGACATGCACTCATTGTGTGCCCAGAAGCTAGCCGGGTCATAGACTATACCCTCATCAGTGTTCTCGTCGACGATTCCGGCATTGCCGTACCAAAGATCGCCATGTACTAGTGACGGTAGTATTTTGCGTCCATTGCTCTCCAGCGGTCGTAGAAGCCGGGGTATAACTTTGTCAAACAGAGGAGGGAGAAGCTCATCTAGCTCGACGTTGGGTCCGGCTCTCTCCTCACGAATATTCAGCACGTGTCGGAGGCCATTTGTGAAGAAAGCTTCCCAGCTGTCGGACCAAGAGTTATCCTGTGGCAGGTTGCCATTGTATGTCGAGCAGTGGAATCCAAAATTCCCGTTGGGGGAAGTGTGGCTGGAATGAAGCCGAGCTAACTTCTCGCAGAATGACTCAGGTTCGGGAACACCTTTGTCAAAGTCATAGAATTTGCAAATATAGAAGTGCAGTGTCGGATCGCTTGCGAAGGTCCCCCAGGCGATGGGCTTGGGGCAGAAGTCGGGGGTGATGTTATAGATGGCCGATGTAGACTCGAATTCTCCTTTGAGGGCCTCACGGCCATGGTGACCGACAGAAACCTTCATGAAGTAATCTTCTTCTTTCCCATCGTCATGTAATACTCTGACCCTACTCGCTTTGGCCCATGCTGACTCTCCATGGTATCTTGTTTCGACGATTTCTGAGACATTTGGAAGAGCTACGACGACTTAGCAACAAAATCAATGGGGAGAAACGAGTCGCATTAACTCTACCAGCAACGACGTTATCGTCTATTGGGTTCGTGGGATCCATGGTTGGTCTGCGCGCGAATCACGTCCGGTTTCGACTGTGCGCTAAATACCATGATATTAGAGACAGTCAGATATGATAGAAAGCAAAGGTTAGATTACTGTGTAATTCTACGTGCAGAACCAGCATATATTAGACGCCGTGTATGCCAATGTGGCGGTCTGATAGATAATCTAATTGGAGGATGAATAGAACTCAGCCACCGCCGACGAGACAATTGGAGCTGCTTACAACGTGAGTCAAATGAGGCTGGAATTCATCTCATACCGGAGGACCCCCACGGGTCTGACGCTAATTAGGCCCTCAGGAATCGAGGAAACACTCAGCAAATGATTTTCTCAACTTGTTAATGGTATAATCGACATATACATGCAAGCTTCATCATCCATATAATTCCAATGCCGTAATAAGCAATCAAAATGGGACATGGATCAGGTATGTTGAGCTTCCGCAGGCCCTCTTGGTTCCGTGTAGATGGGAATCGAGAACTGACAACACACGATTCATCACCAGAGCTTCACAAGACGTTGACTGGTGTGATTTCTAGCTCTAGGTCTAGTACTAGTTCGTCCTCATTTTATGGTCGCCCACCAACCCCTGAGTCGATTCCTGTGACACCCGATGATGAGCCTCACGGGGCTCTCGGCCTAACAACCCTTCACGAACCGTCACCTCCTACCAGCACTGCGGTAGATATTGTCTTTGTTCATGGACTAGGCGGAGGAAGTCGCAAAACGTGGTCCTATTCCGCCGACCGATACCACTACTGGCCACAAGCATGGCTTGCAAACGACCCAGCTTTCGCAGATACGCGCATCCACGCCTACGGCTACAAGTCCGACTGGGCTGATAGGCAGCAAAGCATCCTCAATATTCGGGACTTCGCCGCATCTCTGGTCGGAGAACTGAAGAACAATCCTAGTATACGCCGTAGTAATACACGTATCATATTCGTTTGCCATAGTATGGGCGGATGCGTCGTTAAGAAGGCCTACATTCTAGCACGCCAGGATCAGAATTATAAGGACCTAGCTGACAGAGTCCATTCGATCTTCTTCCTAGGAACTCCACACAGGGGTAGTGATCTAGCGGCAATCCTCAAGAAACGGTCTATCATCACGTGGGGTTCAAAACCGTTCGTCTCTGACCTCGTGCCGGAGTCGTCTACGTTGAGGGATATCAACGACACGTTTCGTCACTATGCGCCGGATCTGCGACTCTGGTCCTTTTACGAAACGCTTCCCGCGACGCCTAGGGTATTGAACAAAATCGTAGTCGAGAGACACTCGGCGACGCTTGGTTACCCCAATGAAGAAATCGTCGCCATCAACGCTGACCACCGCCAGTTGTGCAAATTCAACAGTTCGGCTGACCCCAACTACGTAACTCTAAGGAATGCCCTCCACACGGCTGTCGACATGATAAGATCGTCGCCACCCCGGGATCTAGCCCTTTCACAAACTCATGTCAACCTGATTTCCACGCAGCCGGGTGCGAACCAAGAGAGCGTTAACCAACGCTTGAGGTCGTTCCTGGGCGTCGAAGATACGCTAGAAGATGAGCTTCGGATTCTCCAACTGCTTCAAGAACCGGGGTCTTGCCTGTGGTTCTCGGAATCGAAACACTTTGTGTCGTGGAAAGCGGGCAAGCCCCCAGGAATACTCTGGCTCACTGGGAGACCAGCGTCAGGCAAATCAGTTCTTTGCAGCCACGTCATTGAGCAGGTAAAATCCTCAGGTGCTTTTTACAGCTACTTTTTCTTTAGGCAAAAAGAGGATAGCAAGTCCATGCTAAGCGATTGTTTGCGCTCTCTCGTTTTTCAAATGGCCATGCAAGACGGCCAGGTGGCGGATAAGCTCCTTCAACTCGAAGGCGAAGGTGTGACCTGGGATATGACCGATGAATTGAGCGTCTGGAACAGGCTCTTCATCGGTGCTGTATTTAAACTGCCATCTATCCCTCAGCACTTTTGGATAATCGATGGTGTCGACGAGTGTGCCAACTTCAACTCCCTCTTCACTAAGAGGATCCTTGCTACACTTCCTAGAAGCCTTCGCTTTTTCGCTACCAGCCGCCCCTTGGACGAGATCGGACGCGGTTTGGCGTCCCTCAAGTCGCGTGTGAACGTGCAGTCCTTGTCCGAAACCGACACGCTTGGCGACATGCGGCTTTTCGTGACCTCGAGGCTCAGAGAACTAGACCGCCTGGAAAATGATGAAAGCGTTGACGCGATGTGCGAGAAAATCCTGGAAAAGTCATCCGGGTCTTTCTTATGGGTCAGACTCGTACTCCAAGAGTTCGAAAATGCCTGGACCAGCGAAGCTATGGACGCTGTCTTGAGCGAAGTACCTATAGACCTTCAGGACATGTATCTTCGGATGCTACAGTTGATGGAGAAGGACAGGCGTAGAGTTAAGCTTGTTAAATCCATCTTGACGTGGGTCGTTCTAGCATGCCGACCACTCACGGTTGCCGAGCTGCGTGTCGCTGTGAAGCTTGACATCAATGAGACGCTGCAAAACATGAGCAAGGCGATTCCCAGCTTGTGCCATCAACTAGTCTTTGTTGATAACGCTGACAGGGTGCACATCTTACATGCAACGGCGCGGGAATTTCTTCTCGACGAAATGCTTGACTCGGAGTTTGCCATTTGTGGAGTTGAGAAGCACGCCCATCTTAGCTCTCTACTGCTTCGATACCTCACCAACGATGCCTTCAAGCGGAACCCACTACCGCGGCGGAAGAGCTCGGGAATTCGCGGGTTCACAAAGCCCATTTCTAGCTTTTCCTCTGAGCTGTCCCTACTAGACCTATTGGACTACGCGGCTTGCTTCTTCTCTGAGCACATATACCGAGGCACCTCAAGAGATGATCTCTTGATGGACGAACTGTGTACCTTCCTGAAGGGCAAAACAATACTCTCGTGGATTGAGCACGCCGCCAGAAATGGGAACCTGGGGCATATTACTAGGACGGCAACAAACCTACGTGGATATCTCGGCCGGAGAATGAAGTATCTCCCTCCCATGGACCCCTCGGCTCATCTTGTTGACTGCTGGGTAACCGATCTAATCCGGGTTGCTGCCAAGTTTCGGTCTCAGTTACTGGTCTGTCCATCATCTATCTACTACATTATACCGTCATTCTGCCCGTCAGAGTCCATCATTTCGAAAACCTTTGCCAGCGGTATCCGACCTTCAGCAATAACAGTTAGGGGCATTCCACCGGCCACATGGGACGACTGCTTGACCCGCATCGACTTCGAGAGAGGTCGGACCACTGCCCTTAGCTATGATACCCAGTTCTTCGCAGTCGGCCTATCAACAGGGCAAATATCACTCTACGACCCGCACTCCGTCCAGCGCGTAGCGAACATCGTACACCCTGAAAGGGTCAGGATGCTAGGGTTCAGCAACGACGGCGAATACCTTGCTTCCTCCGGTGCCAAGACTCTGACTGTCTGGCATTCGAGATCTGGGACGCGGATATTTTCGTTCCCGCTACAGTCGGAGCTTATCGCTTTTACTTTCTTAGACGGCGGCGAATTTCTTTGCGCTTTTGCGTCTGGTGAGCTGATCAAATGGTAAGACCACCCCTATTTAATAGCCTGTGAATCACGGGCGGTGCCTCACAAAGCTTGGGTTTGGACAGAACACTAATTATTTACGTAACTAGGAATCTTGACTCCGGCGAATATGAAACAATATCTTGGCGAGACTCGCATGATAAAGATATAACCGGTACTCTAGAGATTCCCGAGCAGCCACCAAGTCGCGCGGCGTTCTTCACGGCGGGCGAAACGGTGCTGCTCGCCGTGGGCTACCGTAATTACCCAATCTTCATCTGGAACGCGCTCGAGCTACAGCCGCTAGGACAATGTGAAGCCGACGAGAATAACGGGATAGACGACATGACATTTAACCCCAACCCGGAGATCGCTGCGTTAGCAGTTTCCTACAGCGACGGCAGGCTCTGCATCTTCAACTACACCACCATGGCACCAACCTTCACCCGGCCCAGCGTCTTCGCCAACAGCATCGCCTGCTCCCCCGACGGCCGCAGCCTCGTGACCGGCAGCAGCAGGGGCGCGATCGAGGTCTTCGAGTTCGACCAAGACCAGGCCGGAAACACGGTGCTGGTGCCCATATACGGCATCCAAGGCTTCGACGACTCGATCCGCGGCGTGGCGTTCAGCACGGACGGCCTGCGCTTCGTCGACCTGCACGACCGCCAGTGCCGCGTGTGGGCGCCCGCGGCGCTCCTGCGCAAGGACAACGAGCTTGAGAGCGTCAGCGACGCCGCGCCGCCTGTTCCCCAGATCGTCGGCGTGCGAGGGGACGGGGAGGAGGGCCCGGAAATCACAAGTGCTATGGCTGTGTCGTCTAACGGCGGCGGCTATGTTGTCGCTGGTAGGAGCAACGGCGAGGTCGTGGCGTTTTCCGCTGAAGATGGCAAGGAGTTGGGTGTGCTCTACCGGCACGGACCTGGCGTATCCGTTATACATGTCGCCTTGGGAGAGGCGCGCAATTTAATTGTTTCGGCGGATGATTCGGGTAGGGTGGTAGTGGTAGAACTGACTATGTCCCTTCCCGTCTTCTCGGGGGCACATAAGCTACCAGCTACTCGTGTCATGCTAGATCGCCGGTTCGGTGCCGCTGTTGTTAGTCTACTAGTCAATCCGTCGGCGGACCGCCTTCTAATCAGTGGACGCAACCTAAGCGAGTTGTGTGATCTGCTGTCGGGACAGGTTTTGGGTTTAATATCACATGTCGATGGCGCTGTGGCAACGGCTCTCAGCCGGCAGACTGCTTCCTCGGACGTCAACGACGGTTCGACAGCAGCCGTAGCTTTCCAGCATCCGACCAGCGAGGCCTGGTTCGTCTTGGTGCTCGCTAATACTGCTCGAGTCTTCTGCTGGCCCGATTTTCAGGAGTTAACTACCGCGAATAGCAACGTTCTTCGGAAGTCCCCGACACCCCTCGAAGCTACGCGTACCTCATCATATTACGTTGGACAGGGTCTCGTCCTGGAGTTAGTCCGAACATCGCCCTCTGTGACTCCCCGACTCCATGTCTGGTCGGCATCAACCTTCGATCCAGAAAAATCGCGGCCAGAGTCCCAACCATGTCTTCCTACGGAAGTGGATATTTCTGTTATCCACGCCGAAATTTTGGCTGTGCTTGGCATCGTAGGTCAGTCTACGGTTCTCCTTATAGACGCCAACCTCTGGGTATACAGCATGGAGCTTCGCCCAGCGCAAGCGGTACCACACGCTCGCGCCAGCTTTTCCTCAGGAAGAGCAATAGCGCGGAACGAGCTTAAGTCAACTACGCAACAGGTGCTCCCGGTGTTCGTAAGGAGACATTTCTTTGCCCTAAGCGAGTGGCGCATGGCTAGTGGAGAGTTGCGGTGCGCAATAGCGCAGCGTACTGGTGGCACAGATTTCTATTTCGCGAGTAGAGAGTACATCGTCGTCCTTCAAGGAGGATTGGAGTTTTCGGAGGTTATGACCGCTGGCTAGCGGAAAGCATAGAATATTATTATTTGCAACAAATACGGGTGGATAGACACGGCGTACTGGAGCATACCTCTAGAATAAAGGGGGTACACATCTTTGACAATATCCATAAGTAGTTATACTTGAATAACTGAATATAATATTTTATCAGCGAGAAAGAGCCATGTATAACAGGACTTACAATAGTACTCTGAGAAAGGGTCAAATAAGGAAGCCTATAATAACTATAACCAGGTAGTAGCATAGAACTCCTGAACGTCGCCACAGTCAACAGACCTCAACAGCCCGTGCATACCCTATACTCGAGAAAAAAAAGCAAGATGATCCCACGCATTCCCTCCACCTCCTAACAGTTCAGCTCTTCAGCATTGATGTGACTCATGATTTAACTTACCGCATGCCTCCTCCCTGATGACCTTCTTGATGATTCATACCTACCTAGGTAGAAAAATCTTTGGTAGGAAAAGGGGGTTGCGTCCTACACAGTGATAGTAGCCTGCGGAAACAAAGGCGCAGTAAAGACTCGAAAAGGGACGGCAATGCGTAGTCTACTTCTCCTATCGAAGTTACGGATACCTTCAAAGATCACTTGTCACTTACACTGAATATCGGTAGATCATCAAGATAGCCGAGTCCAACTGTGTGACGAAAAGCATCAGTTGATCCTTTGGAACGGTAAATATTGGTAGGTAAATAGCCCCTGAACTGTTAGTGGTGAGCATTAGAACATCTGATGCTTCCGGTATTTTCGATGGTCGTGATATACCCCAAATTCATCCACGAGAATATTTCAAGGGGCATTTAGCTGCTAATCTGGGTTAGACGCAAACACACGTCATTAGGTAGTCAAAGAAGGATACTCATACATATAACTTCCTACCTGGCTAATGATTAACCTCTTTTCGTTTCATTGTCGTCCCTTGCATATATTGATATATAGGAGCTCGCCCTAGGTAGGATTCCATGGTGACTATGACGAAAAGTTCTTTATTGCTTGATTGGAATGATTTCCGGGGGGCAGGTCGGTCGTTGCCCGGAGTATGAGTTTTCGCGGTCATCCAGCTCGGCACCGAAACGGCGTGTCCGGAGTCCTGTCACCCCGTTGATGGAACGTACTAAATGAGAAGTTCCCGAGTACGCGCTTTCACGAGTAATATGGTATGCGGTAATCTAATCCTTCGTCGCGCGATACCTTCCAAGTTTCCTAATTATTCCTCGGCGTTGTTCACCGTTATACAAGATCAACGTAATAGTTGGCATATCAAGGTAAACCACTCACACTGCGCGGGTAATATCGAGTTGGAGCGATAAGACGCAGTAACAGGAGCCGTGACCCGAAAATATATTGACCTGTGATTAGAGTATTTGAGTGCAGTTTCATTATATTAAGTGAATAGGTAAGGGGCGACTTCGCTAACAAGTCTTGCTCGAGTTGACGCTAAGCCAATATAGATAACAACGATTAACGCCGGGCGACTCAATTCAAAGAGTAGGTGACAATTCGGCGAGGTTGTCTTGGCGATAGCAGAGATCCTTAACAGCCAGCTAAGGGATTATTGACCTTGGGGAACTTAGGCGACTGCACTATCAACTCCATACGGGCAGAATACCGCAGGTTACACCGAGATCAACGTGCATGCGGTGGCTCTGCTGTCCGATCTCTGTATGTGCGTAATACAGACATTAGTCTGCGTACATCTCAGCTCAGCTACATAGATCAGCTAGATCAGCTTCAGATTCTGCAGCGATCAGCAGCAATCCTCGTTGCGGTAACGAAGGAATCTGCAGATGGCAGTTAGATGAGACTCGACGAGGAGGCTTTACGAGGAAACGATACGTCGAGGATGGCGTGGAATGTTACCAAAAGATGCAGGAGTCAGGAGAAGAGCACGGGGTTAAGCCTAAAGCGGTTGGCGAGGATCTCAACGAGGTAAGGAAGACAGGGAATGGAGCTATCCGCTCGCGTGGAGACTCGTGGAGGGGCAGTTTTTACCTAGAAATAGACAGAACTATCAACTTCCTAGCACATAGTAGAGTACTAGGTACGTAGCAATCTGTAATGGAGGCTGGTCGGTTGTTGGTTGGAGCTTTTGTTCGGGATGGATCTTCCTCGTATAAAGTACAACGAAGGGAGAAGCGACAAGACAAGATAATGCAAGGAGCGCATCGTGGGACTTCATTCTTTATTTATCTAGGTAAGTATTAGTAATTTTGATTCATCCGAAGTTTTTGATTTTGTCATTTATAGGAGGACCAAATGGAACGAATAGAACGAATTGGCCGGCAAATATGGAAGATCGGATGCCCAATTACCTGGTTCAAAGAGAGGCTGTAATAAATAAAACAAGCACATATACCCGTACCTGGCCTAATACGCAAGACCGCGTCGTATGTAACTTCTAGGGGTTCTCTGGAAACAAGCGGTCGACCGTCAAGTCAGGGAGTTTACATACTATTCGGAGATGATAAGCTCCATTCGAAGAGACTGTTCCTCTCATTTGTCACCGATAGTATGAGCTCAATATATCCGGCCATAGCGGCATGTGCTGCATCTATTGATGCATAGATAGCGTAGGTAGTGTAGCTGCGATAGCAACCACCCGTCTTTTCTAGTTACTAAGTAATAAGGTAACAAGATAGCTTGACCGCAAATTGGCCTGTGAGGTCTAGGAGAATTATCTGTAAAGATTTTGTAAAGATGTTAAATTCGATTTGATGCCCGATTGGCTGCAACTGGTTAAGAGTTCTCAAAAGAAGACTTTGATTCCCAGATGAGGAATTAAACGTGTAAAGATAGAAGCATATCCCAGCAAAACCCTAGCAAATGTTCGCAGTTTTAGCGGATGGACTAGGATATGCTAGCCATATGCAGCTAGATAGGTTCCACACGGATGCCCACTCAAATTGCCCCAGAGCCCTGGGCAGCCCGCTTTGAGCTTCAAGGTGGGTGGGTGTCACTGCCCAAGGTGTTCTGGGTGTTCTATCCTGCCTGCCGCCGTTATGGATGTGCCATGTACCTATGTATGAACTGTACGGTATCCTTAAGCGCTAAGTGATGTACCTACCTGGGGGTATGTGGGCGTGGCGTAACCTGCAAAGCCGACCACTCTACTTTAGGGATGGTGGACTGTGGATTGGTGAATTGGGGGGCAGGTACGTTGGAACACTGGAAATCTTCATGGAAGAAAGTCAATTCTTCTTCAGCTCGTCTTTTCTTTTAGTAGGATCTTCCTCACCTACCCACCTCCGTCTACTACGTACGTCTCAACATACATGAACATGATTTACTTTTACTGCATTCTGTAGCGGCGACGCCCTCTTACTATCACCAACCAATTAACTAATCCTCTCCTTTGCTTTCTATTCTTGCTCCCATGCCGAGGTTGTCTTTATCGCCCGGTCTCAACCTCTAGACCTCCATCTCGATTCCGACATCGTATCTTACTCACGCCCGCCCACCCTTTCTCGTCGTTCATTAACTCCAGGATATTTCCTACTGAATCACTATTACTCCCTTTGCGGTGAGGAATTGTAGTGATAATTCTTAATTCGCTCCACTCTCGATTGCGTACTCAATTCTCGATTTAGCATTTGTGGCTCATGAGAGGCCGGTTCAGCCGTTTCCCTTCACCTTGGCATTTCCCCATGACAACGCTTTGTGATACCCCCTTAGCTCGGTTCGACGACTTGATAGATACCCCGCCGCGCCTCTTTCCAACATTGAACAGATACTAGACCACCTTTTCTCTTAACCCATTCGGCCGCCACCCCAATTCCTTAAGTCGTACAGCTTATATTAGTCTTTCGGTAGCCTGCAGCATCGTTTGTCTTATAGCTTGTCGTTGGGTGGTGTCATTCTAGGTCACCGTCGCACCCAATTCTCGTGTGTTAGGTCTGGTAGTACGAGACGGGGCTGTCAGCTTGTCAGGCTTATTCCTACAAGGGTCTATATTCGCTTGGTTGCCTACTCCGGCCGTTAATTAATTCGCTGTGCTGCCGAACCATCTGGCCGATATTCGAGGAGAGGGGAGGGGCGTGGTCCACGATTTCTTGCAAAAATGGCTTTGCCGCTATTTCTTCACTATGACGAAGATCGTTCCATTCTCCTGTCCGATTCCGACGACGATGACGACCTGCTCCCCACTCCTCGCAAGCCAATGAGATCCGATTCCATGGAGCGCGACGAGGCTATGCGTCAGAAGACTAAAGATGCGGCAGCCAACGTCCCAACCCACCCCATCCCCGCCATGCAGCCAGCCTTTGCCGAGTCCCTGATCGAAGCGACCGATGTTCCCGCTGTGGCAAAACCAAAGCTCAGGTTCGCGGATGCGAGGGAGCGCAGGAACTATCTGTTAGACGGAGAAAAGGGGTCAAAATTATATGGCGAGCTATGGCGATATCGGGCGGGCCAACGGTATCACGAGCTCTGGAAGCTTATGGCCCAAATCTCGTTTGGCGTGTACCTGCTTTTAAACGGAATTGCGAATAGCAATGAGCAGGTGGTCGGCATACTTCAAAGCCACATCGACGAGGTGGATGAATTTCTGGAGACGACATTGGAGGATGTCGAGCTCGCAATTCAAGATATCCGAGAGCGCATTGACTTACTAAAATTGCCCATGGAAAATATCCAGACGTTCGAGCAGATGTTGGAGGACCGAAATTTTCGTTTGCAGATAGTAACTGGAAACGAGAAGATCGAACATATCATTTCTCGGACGACCACCTCCCTCGAAGCAATAGCTGGGGATGTTAATGAGGGAATAGGGGCCACTAAGCAGTTTGCGACGTATCTTGGTGAGCAGCAGGGTCGCGCCTGGCGTCAACAGCGGCCAGATGTCGTGGAGATATTCGACGCGATGAGGGGGAATGCCCAAGGTTGGTATAAAACCTTTCTCCAACTGCAGGGGACAACGTCAACTTTGCGCGGTCTTCTGAATAAGCTTGACCAGATGGTCATTGAAATGAATTACCGCGCTGGTGAAGTGAGCCGTAGGACAAGGGTAAGGAACTTCTTTCATGGCTCTTTGTTACAAGTCGGCTGATTCCCTAGCAGGCAAGTGTTGCGCCTTTTTCTAGCCCCGTAGAGCCTCCACCAAAGAGTAGCGCGCGAACTTTCTCCAACCTATCTTCTGATAGACGCCCGCCTAAGCTTGAGCTTTCGAAGACCGCGTCTCAGAAATCTGCAACGGGCTCGACAGCCACTAGATCAACCGTGATGGTTGTTCAATATAGCGCCCCGCTAGAGCCAATGTCGCCGGTGGAGCTAGAGGCGGATAGTGTCCCGAATCCGATTGTGACTATCGAAGAAGAGCCGAAACCTGAGAATGAGGCGGATAAAGAGTCTCCCGTAGATGAAGGTCTCTTCATTTTGCAGCCGCGGACTTACACTCCGCAGCCGCCCGCACCGATACCCTCACCAAGAGTCCAAGACCCGCCAACCCAGAAGCAGGAGGAGCAGCCGGTGAAGCGAACATCTCTGCGTCAGAGGTTATCCTCAAAGGGGAGCAATCTACCGGAGGCTATACAAGTTCCTCCTCGTAACGCCCCCGAACTCCAGAGACCGAGGTACCCACCTATACAGAATCAGTCTCATTACCAAGGGTCGGACTCTGCGTACGGTTCTGATAACGAGACCCGACAGCCTGTGCGTGCAAGGACGGAATATGGTGATATCGCAGAGGTGCCGCCGCTGCCGAACTTCACAACCACGATACCTTCTCCACGTTCTGATCAACAACATTATTTCCCAGTACGAGCGAGCCCCCACTCGCCTTTGCAACAAAGACCATGGACGTCGGGTACGAATGTCCATCAAAACCACGTGCGGAATCAGCCATCAGCTATGGGGATGAGTATGCTGAGTAACGTGACGACGCTAAGTCCGGAAAACAAGACATTAAAGAAAAAGCGAAGTGCTTTCGGATGGCTGAAGAAGGCATTTTCACTCGATGACGAAGAACGAGCCGAATTTGAAGCCAGGAGGGCTCAGAAATCTCCCAATCCATATTATGATAGCCGAAGCCCACGGTATCTGGATGGAAAACGTCTGCCGGACTACGGACGCCGTTAACAGTTTAGTTGAAGAAAAGTAGAAGTGCTGCAGAATCTGCTTACGATTTTCGGACTTGGCAATCGTCAGCGTGCAGCTATTTTGATGGAGCTGTAGAGCGTCATAAATGGCGATCGATGGATCTGCAACTTGAGATCGACAGGAACCTAAAATCTTAAATTGTCAAGGAATGCCGCGGCTTATGTGGGAAGCAATCTGAGACAATATTTTGCGGATTCACCCGCTAGCCATACGCCGCGTTCGAATCTAGATTGAGTTTACCAACGGCCGACCATTCTAGAAATCATATCTGACCTACCTATCTGACCACAGGGTTTCGATATATCTGACATTTCAATACGACTTACTTTATCCGGGGCTTAGAGTGTGGCGGTGAAATAGACGGGAGTGTTATTCTTGATTACAATGACGGAGCCTAAATCATCACTATCCCCGACGGGAATTATTTCTATACTTTCCCAGTATGAATTCATTCATATCTTCTACGCACTAGGCATCGTCATTTTCATCATTTCATACCGGGTTAATGTGTATACAATGTACGGATGTATGATACGGGGTTTCACATGGCATAGCGATGTATTTCAAGGACCTGCGGAGTTAGGAGGCACGGGCACCATCAAGCACTTTCTAGCACTCAGCGGTTCATTGCTGTCGAATTAATCGTAGTTATTAAAAGCATTTAAAGTTGATATCCAACTCGCGGTTTACCTAGGTATATTATGGTGCAATTTGGTCGTCACTTAGATGAATTGTCTCATCTATAAGTCTCTGTTCCAACTAACACCTGAGTCTTATTAATGAAGGACGGTGTTTGCTTCAACCTTTTCCTTACATATCATGTTTCCCGTTCTAGAAGGTCTACACTTTTCATGCATTCTACGTATATTGGTTGATCGATGTTTCTTAATCCCAGCCACGTGTACTCGGAGATTATCCGATCTCGTGATGCTCCCCGCCCATGTTGCATGAAGGATGTACATCATTTTCCCTGTCCGCAATTCTTGGAATTGCTTCTATGTATATTCGCATGATGAGGCTCTTTCATGCGCTTAGTAGACCGATTTCACGATATGTATTTACTATCTGTTTATTCAAATAAGGTTATTTGAGTAGATGAGAGGGGGGATGTTGAGGGGGGCTATTTATTGCACCATATTATTCGATTTTGGAGTCATCGTCGTAAGTTATCATGTAAAAGTGATCTTCACGCACTTGACTCCAACTTCGTCACATCTGATGCGTATGCCGTATGTGTCAGGTATACCCCGGGTATGTAGGCATCGCATAGCAACGCTCTCGAACGCGCGGACTTGTGACCCTCGTCTTCCGGCCCGAATAATGCAAGGACTCGAAATAGGAGAGAGTTGGAAGCGCAACGGTGTTTCCCCCCGCTCTCTCTTTGCATCTAGCGTCAATACCCGTCCCGGGTTTCTCTGGGGGTGGAGCTCAGCTGGCTTTAAGTTGACCAGGTAAGCAGGGTGAGGTAGTACCTTTTTTCAGGGCTCTGCTGTGCTTAGGGGGCTTAAAGGCTTGGGAGAGGCAGGCTAGGTTCATCCTATTTGCTGCGCCTCGCTTTTAGCTACCTGCCTCGCGCTCCCCGGCGAGTTAGCGAAGGGCCTAGCCGCTTAGCCGTGCAGCTGCTGCATTAAAGTAATAAACTAGAATGCCGGCAGAGAACAAAGAAGAAAATGCCTTTTCCTGCACTTGGATTTTATTATTGACGTTGGGGGCTGTTATTTTTTTCTTTGCCTTTTTTTTGACGGTACCTACTGTACCTACTGCTTGAAGACGACTCTGTATAGTACCGGCCTTTCTCTTGTTTCAATTATATTGTACACTCGTTGTCGCGAGAGTCGCCTTTGTAAGCAGATAGGAGAACGTAGGCGGGCAGCAAATCGACAACGAAAAAATGTTGCCGCGCGTCCTTGCTTTCGGGACGGACCCCTGGGACCCGACAAACCGCTTCTTCACGTCCTGGTTGATACCGCCGTACGCCTTGGCTGCGCTGAGGGCGTTGTTTGTGAGTTTTTATCTTGTCTCTCCGCTGTTGTTTTTAGGCTTGTAGTTGCTTTTAAGTTGGAAGGATTTCGAGCTTGTGCGAGTTTGTTGCCGTCGCTCGTAGCAAGTACCTACATCATCCTATATGGGACACGGGGCTCGGCGCCGGTGTCGCGTGCTTAAGTCCCAGCCGTGCAACCACACGATTTGGAGATGAACACCTACCTACTAAGGCTTCCAAAATCCTAAAAATTCATGTCAGTCAGTTAGGTATAAGACGATGCTAACCACGCCCATAGTCCCTCTACGCCTTCACAACCCTGATCTTCAACCTCGGCTACCTGTGCGCGCACCCGGACCTAGGCGGCTGCGCGACCTCGCGCACCGAGTTCTCCTACTTCACCGTGCTCACGTACTGGGGTTTGGCCTTCTACCTCGCCGTCGCCGCGGTCCACACCTTCAGCTACGCGCGGTACGGCGCGCCGCTCCTGGCGCGCTGGCCTAGGCCCCTGAAGGCCCTGCACGCGCTGTACTACAGCTCCGTCACGAGCTACCCCTTCATCGTGACGATCGTGTACTGGGGCATCCTGTACCCGTACGGCGGCGCCTGGTTCCCGGACGTGTACGACGGCTGGTCGAACATCAGCCAGCACGCGCTCAACAGCTTCTTCGCGCTCTTCGAGATCCTCGTCCCGCGCACGCAGCCGCAGCCCTGGATCCACGTCCTCTGGCTCATCGTGATCCTGGCCTTTTACTTGGCCCTCGCGTACCTGACGCGCGCCACCAAGGGCTTCTACGTGTACAGTTTTCTGGACCCGACGAAGGAGGGGCCGCTTGTTGCGGCGTATGTGTTTGGCATCGCGGTCGCGGCGATTCTGATTTTTGGTATTGTGAAATTTGTCATCTGGGCGCGGCGCTACGTCACGGAGGAGAAGATGGGGAGGAGGGGGAAATTTGCGTTTAGGAGAACCGCGGAGGAGCTCGAGATGGTTGGGCCGGGCGCTTTTGCGGGCAAGTGATTCGTAATGCGGCTTGGCTACGTGTTAAGGGGGCTGGGATAGGGAATGTTAATATACTGGCTCGTCTGGGGACTAAATAATGGAAGGCCTTGAGGAAGAACAGGTTGGTGATTTGGGATATTGCATTGCGTTGCCATGGATAATGCTTTACGGATACCCTCTCGTGTGCGAGTTGGCGGCATTTTGTCATGGCGAGAATCATCAGGTATTGGCATTGGGTTTAGGTATCTAGGTAGATATACTTAATACCATGATTGGCTCAAATATCTATGTACTATTTCGTCTATTTATATGATACAACGACATGGGTGAGTGAGCCCGCAGCTCGTTTATCTGAGATGATATTCTATTTTGTTAACCGGATACAGTCCTACGCGGTGATCAACACTTCAGATTGATGCCACGCCTCATCTCCGATTCTCTAATCTCAAACATAACTTGCGTGCCCACAAAAAACGCTATGCAAGCACCCGAGAGAAACATCAACCCTATAAGAATGTCAGCATACCCCTACAACATAGTCCTGTAAAGATAAAATAAACTCACCAGAAAAGTCCTTGAATATCTCCGCGATAATCCGCTCCAACCCTTCCACACCAACTGCAAACCCAACCAGATTCGCCGACATCATCATAAAAATGTTCGCCACGGCACCCACACAGCATAACATGCGATACGTAGTCGGGTGGCCCTCCCACTTGCGTTTCGGGAATAAGAAACCGGCCGCCATCTCAGGCAGCATGAAGAACACGACCAGCCAGCCCCAGATCAACAACCGCATCTGGATGTCATGCCACAGTCCCACAAACGTGAATACCAGGACGTAAGTAAGGATCGAGCGAGCGGCTTCTCGCGGGCTCTTGAAGCTGGACCCGCCGAGGGGCACGTATATATAGCGCAGGGACCAGCGGTAGAAACTACGGTGCCAGGAGCGCCAGAAGGCGAGGGTGCTCCAGTTGTCGCTGACACAGCGGATCATGTTCTCAGGGGGGTCGACGCCATCGACGAGGGCCCAAAGACGGAACAATCGCCAGGGAAGGAGAAGCTTAAGCCAGATCAGGTGCAAGTTGAAATAGCTGAGCACACTTAGCTGCGCGGCGGTGTACTCACTCCAGCCTGGGTTCGCCTTTGAGATGGCTTGCACGTAACAGTAGTGCAGGATTACTTCCATCGCGAGGAGGGTAAATAAGAACCGGACCCCGTATCGGAGGGTGCGGGAGAACTCGATAGTGGAGGACTTGTAGCGCAGTTGCGATATGTAGTCATTGAAGGTAATGATGGGGCCGGTGAGATAGAGGGGAGCGTAGATGGCATAGGCGACGTAGTTTCGGAAGGAGAAGTCTTTTGATTGCGCCGGGATGGAGACGCGATCTCGTTCGCTTAAGGAGGACGGGTCGACTTGTTTCTTCTTAGCGGTATCAGTAAGTGGTTTGGTATGGCATAATATAGGGAGATGGGACGGCGGAGCTCACCTCTACGGGGCTATAGCTTCTGCGGTCCAGACTCCAGTAGTAATCTAGGTTGAAGCTGATCAGGCGCAGGACGGTGATGTTGAAGAGGATCTCCCAACGGCCCATAAGTCCACCATAGCCATCGAGCCATCTACCCCACGATACCAATGCAGAGCCCGAATCAAGAATTGAGTTTTGGACAGGGGCTCCGGCGATCAAAGTAGCGATGTCCCCGAATTTGTAACCTTTACATAGTTCGTTCGCAAAAAGTGTACCGACGTTGAAGATCCATGTCGCAGCCGGTACGGACTTCCTAGGTAAGGTTGTTGCGACCTGATAGTTCGCATAAAGAATTATGAGGATTTTCAAGGCTGAAACTCCGTGTAGCGCAACCAAGTATATCAGCGCAAAGCCGAAGTCGAAGGAGGCGCGTTGGTTTAGTCTTTGGTCAGCCTCTTCAGGGGTTGGTCGCGCGGACTGCCCTGCCGCTTTTATCGGGTATACGATCGAATTGTACAATCGGCGTAGGAGAGGATGGAAAATCAGAAGCGCCGCCATGTACGGGATGTTACTTCGAAAAGTGCGATACTGGGCATCTGAGGCATCCTTCAAGTTATTAGTTGTAACAGTAGTCTAAGCCGGGGAGGAGGCCTACAATCTTGCGCCCTGGAATCCATCCTTCTGAGAGTAGGTTCTCATATCTCCTATATTTCGGCTCCGTCGCTACGAGACAAGTCAATCGATGTGTAAAATGCGCCAAGTTCCATGGATGGTATTAACCGTACGTCTTGAAGAATCATATGCTACCCAGAACATATAGGGTATAACCCAGAGGAGGATCAAGTAGTAGAGATAAAACTCGGGCGTGGTCCATCTTGAAGCAGGCGCTTTGCTATTCCACTTTGCTGCACGTTCTTTACTTGCTACCGGATCATCCCGGGCTTCTATAACGGTTTTATAAGGGGTCGTGGACGAGATCGTAAAGCGAGTGTCGAGGGTATCAAGGTCGTAGATCTTGCGCAAAAAGGAGAGGAGACCCATTGCGAGAAAAGGACAGGCAAATATGCCTAGACAATGTATAGATTACTATCAAGACATGAAAAGGATAAATATGTGCGATGGCGACGACGACGTATACTCCCGAGCATCACGAAAATCGCAAAAGGAGAAATCCAACGTGGTCAGCCCGCTATTGTACAGTTTAGTAAGTTAATGGATGCACAAGTACAAAATGACAATTGACGATACGAGATTCGATAATCAAGGGTCCGGCACAGCGGGTGGATCCCAAAAAGGCAGGGGGTTGACGCGAGCGCGGTTGCACTGCACTTTAAAGTGGGCCCGGTCACTAGTAACAAGGTTGATGTTCTCCCTACCCCATACGCACAGATTACATAAGTCAGTAGGTAGGAACTTCTCAGTCCGTACTTCGGTACCTTCGATACACATTGTACATACCGCCTTTACTTCAACTCCATCAAAACATCTACAAACGATAAAGACGAAGTCGGACCCGGACTCGTCTACCCATAAAAATTATACCAAGATTACATAACACATATGTCTAAATAAACTACCCCGCCAAGGGAGAGATCTAAGATCGGGTCTTAATCGGGTTTCTACCACCTAGACGGCAGCAATGAAAACTAGACCAGTCAAACCGAGTCGGACGATGAAGAGATTTGGGAGTAGATCTATTGCATTGCGTCCAAAACCAGCTCAGAAAACTTATACTCCTCCAAAATGCTGGAATGGACCCTTTGAGTTCTTTAACCTCCCTCCGGAGCTGAGAGATCATATCCTAGAACTCATAATCCTCGATTGGGATACTCACAATAGAGACATCGTTCACCTGTTTCTAACATGCCACCGCATTTATGCTGAGGCCGCGGCGATATTCTACCGAGAAGTGTACCTCGATAACATGCACCTTAGAGGGACTGCCGACCCTTTCCTGACCGGAACTATCACGAGGGTCGCTCCTCGGCAGTACGTGCAAACCTTGACCATTAGATTCGCCATGAAAGACCAGATCTATCTGTTTGGCGAGTCATACGGATCTGCGCTTCGGGAAATGGTCGAAGAAGGAAAGCTTCAACGCTTGCAACTAGAAATCGGAAGCCGCTTTCCCAATTTTGAATTCTGGGGCATCGAAGATGAAACATCTTCTTGCGACGATATCCGTGTAACGGGCAAACAGGGAGAAAAGCTGGTGATTTCGGCGCCTCGCTACATCACGAAGACGCCATTCCAGAATTTCCTCAAATTCTTAGAAGAGTCTAACATCCCGAAAATCGTGCTTTACGTCGACGCCGATGATCATTCCAAGTTCTGGTGTCTGTTCCATCGCGCTCACCCGTCAGGTAAAAGGTGCGAGGGCGAATGGATAAGTGCTACAAGGGTATTAAGGATTCAATGGCAGAGCTTGGTCAAGGTTCTTAAGGGGGCCCAACCCGTAAAACCGACGAAGGACTGTTGAAATTCGGTTGGCACATCGAGTCATTTGACCTACGGATTTCCGTATCGATGAGAACATAGTGGTACCATATACCGTAGAGACGCGGCAAACGAGGACGATTCCGTTCGTGGAGATGACGGAGCTACCGTGCATGCCGCGCCAGTATTGCCGCATCTACGTATTGTCACCAACATGAGTTTGAGTATTGTTCCGGTACAACGACGGCCTGAAGCGGAGGTTACGAACGATACGTCTACATAAGGTTTGCGATATGTCAATGATTATGATGGAGAACCCGAAGATGGGCAGTGCCGGACGGACATTGCTATTCATGAATGATGAGGATTAGAGAAACCCTCTGGGAATGACTACTGCAACCTGATAGTAACGAGATGTATTCCCGACGTTATAAAATTTGTGTGGCTGACGGATAGACGACGCCTATCTAAGACCAGCGGGGATGGGCCTGTACCAGTGAGTTCGACAATCTAAAAGGAACCATAAAGACCAACTTGTGTTCAAAATGAGAAAGCAAAGATAGGATAGCTACATGGTACTCAGGTAGCTTTTACTAGGACGGCTCTTATCTTTGTCGGTAAAGATCAAATATTGAAGCAGGGTGCTCACATTTCGCGCAACCAACTAACATCCAATCTTTGAGCCCACTCAGATAATGTCTTACCGCAAAGCTTTTCACCGCCGCTTCCATGTGATATTTTAAGCATCAATGAGTCCGGGTATTTACGAAGTTAACCAAGATTTCATCTGATTGGAACACCCCACCATGCACTTATCGTATTCTCGGGTATCTGAAGTACCATCTTAAGTACATGTGTACAATACGGATCTTCTTCAGGGAAGGGGGGAAGGTTCGACGTCAGATCCTGGGTCTAAGCTTCCAATAAACTGTCCCCATTGACTCGCGTTTTGGAAATCGCCGTCACATCATTGGATCGTGCTTACGTTTAACAATTCAATTCTAGTTACCGAATTCCATTTTTGATAACCTTTTCTCTTTATTTATTTGTCTTTATTTGCGGGGGATACATTCGTCAATTCGAATCACTATTTTCATATTGAGCATATCTAGTCATACTGGTCATTCGCTTTCATTTTATTTCATCCTCAATTCCATTTACTCATTACCAACATCACTAACTCATGATGAGCCGTACGGCGGTGAAGCAGCTCAACCTACTTCGCAATGCTGTTGGCATAACATCCCGGCGAGTGACAACCAGGTGGCAGACTAATACAGTCGGGACGAACCAACTCAGATGGGGCCGCATATCAGCAGGAATCTCATCGCGCAGACTACAAACCCGGTATCTTAGTACGACGCCGGCTAGTCTTAACAGCAACGAAGATGCGCAATCCGGAACTTATAGTGAAACCGATCACGAGCATGCCGTTATCTCGACTTTCGATCTCTTTTCTGTCGGCATTGGACCTTCTTCATCTCACACGGTTGGGCCCATGCGGGCTGGCGGTATCTTCGTAGCCGATCTAGTCGAGGCTGGTCTGCTAGACAAGGTGCACAAAATACGCATCTCGATATATGGCAGTCTTGCGCTCACCGGAGAGGGCCAGTATGTATTCTTCAACACTTGACCATTCCTCATTCAACTGTCTTGGAATTCAATCTAGCCAATTAGAATTAGCATTATTTTGAGAGCTACAACGTCAGACATAAATGGCCGTAGCTCCCAGAAAACTTCTTAGTGGCAGATACTGACATTTTATGTTGGATAGTATGACACCTTCTGCACTATTATTGGGTCTCGAGTCCGCAAGTGTAGAGACAGTTGACACGTCCTATGTGCCTACTCGTTTTACCCAGATTAAGAAGGACAAGAAACTTTTCTTAGGACACGGACTACCAGAGGGCAAAGGTAAAGAGATCGACTTTGACTATGAGCGAGACTTCAAATGGGAATGGGGTAAGAAGTTACCCGTGCACAGTAATGGAATGCGCTTCATGGTATTCGACGATCAAGGAACGCTGCTTGCGACCAACGACTTTTTTAGTGTGGGTGGAGGTTTTGTTGTCAATGGTGCATTGTCAACTGCTGCTACGGCCGCAGCAGAAAGTCAAGCTGCGGAACTCGCTGCAGCTGACAGCAAAGAACTTCAAACTGAAGGAAATGGAGGACATCCAGCTGATTTAGCCGAAAACCTGTTCTACAAAGAGATTAGGAGAGCAGACGCGGCGGGAGATCGTAGGACTGGCTCTGAAATTAAGCCCTTGGATGAAGCCGCCGACGAATCTACGGCTCTAGCTAATACGAGCCCGCAAATGGGAACAAAGAGTTCTCCTATCACATCCGCAGCCTCAGAGACCGAAGCTGCAGGCACCGAGACCACGTCTACACAACCTCGCTATCCGTTCCGTGACGCTCGCAGCCTATTGGCACTATGCCATAAGCACAACCTAACTATTGCACAGCTAGTGTACGAGAACGAAAAGGGTCATGGGTACACGGATGACGAGATCTATAGGAAATTGATGAATATCTGGGAAGTTATGGACGATAGCATACTTGAAGGCGTACAAGCACCACTTGATACCACTCTACCTGGCTCCCTCAAATTACACAGACGAGCGCCGGCACTTTACAAACGACTAACCAGGGGCCTTTACCCTTCTCATACCCAGTCACCAAGCTCAGCCAAACTACATGCACAATTGACATCTTCGAATAACGACAGTAGCCCAACATCATCGGCAGGTACAGCCATATCCGAGTTACCGAAGAAAGAGGTAGCCGCACTGAACCGGAGAAGCGCTGTTGGCAGACGTGGCCCTCTACGTATACATGGCGACGTTTATCACCCGATTAGGCCAACGCCTCTTCGCCGCACTACGTTTCCGGCCATGGATTACTTATCCGTCTACGCCATTGCCGTCAATGAGACGAATGCAGCGGGTGGACGGATTGTGACGGCACCAACTAATGGCGCAGCGGGTATCATTCCTGCTGTGCTCAAGTACACAGTCGAGTTTGTCAGTGACGACGTCGAGCGCGACATACTCACTTTCCTCTTGACGGCGTCTGCTATCGGAATGCTGTACAAGCGTGGTGCAACCATCTCGGCAGCGGAAGGGGGCTGTATGGCTGAAGTAGGGGTTGCCTGTTCGATGGCGGCTGGTGCTTTCGCAGCCTGTATGGGCGCGAGCCCCGAGGTGATTGAACAAGCGGCAGAAATCGGCATCGAGCACAATCTAGGACTGACTTGCGATCCCATCGCAGGGCTCGTTCAGGCGCCTTGCATCGAGCGCAACGCCTTGGGTGCTGTGAAGGCCATCTCAAGCGCGAACTTAGCTCTTAGCAGCGAGGCCGGCACCCCCAAGGTTAGGCTCGACGATGCTATCCGTGCCATGCGGGTCACAGCGCAAGGGATGCGGAATGAGTTCAAGGAGACGAGTCTTAGCGGTTTGGCTACAAGCGTGCCTCTTAACATTCCCGTTAGTCAGCCCGACTGCTGATGTGTCATCGTCGTACGTTATGGCCTACGCGGGAAAATACTTGGTTACGGAGCGCGCGTTTTGATTAGTCAAGGGTCTTTTCTAACCAGCGATGGATATACATAATTGCATCTTTACACAAAGGAGGGAAATCAAAATCGGAAAAACGAGCTCGGGGTTGGAAACTCGCTCACGATCTTCGGGAATATGAGTAATGGTTAAAGGCGTTGGGCACGTTTTCATATTAGGGCTGGGGATTTAGATGGGAAGCATTGTGTTTTCGCGAGCGATAAAGTAGATTTATAGAAAGGCAACTTATACCCTCAGCTTCGAGGCTGCGGGGATCACTTGATGAAGATAGTTCCTGGGATACGTCGTATGCAGGAGATGAATTTGTGTCAAATCGGTGCTTAGTTTGACTAGGTACCTAAGCATTACCAGCCGCATCCTCCTTCTAGATTCGGTATTAAGAATCTGAAAAGTCCTAATGCATGGGACAGCCAAAGCTCGGCTTGTCGTTTCTGGATCCTACTTGTGTCACATCTTTGAGCTGTAGCTGCCTTGCGGGTTCCGGTCAGAAATCGGAATGATAAAAGACAAAAACGCTGCCTGCGGTCGAGTTAAGAATCCTGGGGTTGGGGTTAGGGTTATGACAGCTGAATAGGAGACAGGGTTATTAAGGTACTTTTGAGTTGGGATAGGGCTGCTAGGGTGCCCATTCCAAATCGCATCAGGTACCCAGGTACCTAGGTAAGATCAGCACGACAAACCAGTTAAAACGCCTCGCTCCTTCAGGGGGTCTCGAGAGGGGCGGTGTTGCGGCTCAGCTGCGATGCGACGCGTAAGAGAACCTTAACTTATGAGGGGCTTCCTCAGACCTTAGGTGAGAGCTTTTGAGTTTCGTTCTTTGCGAAAAAGTTACAGGTTTTTCTTCTTTCGTTTTCATCTTGATCTGGATTGGAGTGGAAAGGAAATAGTTGACTTCAAATAATTCGCATTGAAATAGGTCGAGTTGATTTTGGTTTGGTCTGCGCACGGGATCCGTTGCAATTACGCATTTTCGAACCGCCCACAAGCAAGCACTCGCTCAACGAGCAGAGGATACGATACGATACGGAGCTGGTCTTCCCCCCGAAGTTTAAAATTAATTTAAACCTCAACACTCTCAAGCCAAAAAAAAGAGAACAATACAATCAAACAAGAAAGCAAGCAAGAAAACAAACAAAAATGTCGTCCGTCCCCCTAAAGCCCCTCCGGTCCACACACCAGGACGACGCGCCATGCCCGGCGTACGCCGAAGACGCCTCGCCCAGCGTCTCCGCGGCGGCAGAATCGCAGCCGTTCATCAGCCTCTCGGAGCGCGACATCGAGGCCGCGACCGTACCGCCGCCCGCGTACGCATATACTCAAAACCAGGACGACGACGACTTGGAGGGGGACACGGACAAGGACGACCCGTTCAAGCGGCAGTCGGTGCCCGTCAAGATCATCTGGGTCATGCTTTCGGTGCTCATGTTCGCGGTGGGCTTCGGCGGCGTGCTGACGCTGTTTATCGTGTTTTTTAGGATCTTGGTGCTGGTTTGGCGGAAGTTGGGGTTGTTGTGAGGGGGTGAGGGGAGGGGGGGGGGGGGACTTTATGGGTTACTACGGCCCGGTGATGAGGGTTATGGGATCTTATGTGTACGTCCTTGCACGCGGCTTTATGGGCCGTGCTTCCTGTGTATCATTATGGGTTAGGATTTTGGGGGATAGGCTGGGATTCTCGGTCGAGAATGAAGCGTTATGTCAATATTAAGGTTCGTTGGTCATTAGGAGATAAATCTCTTCGATGGGATGGTTATCAAAGAAGCGACGGCCATTTATGAGACCTTGGACATTATAAATACCACCGTAGCCAATTAAACCCTTAACGTTTTACCCATGTAAAAAGAGGACTTCGGGAGCTAGCTATGTCACCGTTGATAGGAAGTGGGGCTTGAACAGATTTAGTCACGAAGCTATCGTGACCCCTAAATCCAGTCGTCCTAGGTACGAACAGCGTTGTTGCATCTATTAGGCAGTTACATTTAGGTGTCAAGGACTTAGTCGCCTAGCACATCGGAGTCCCCCATCGGAATAGTGTCTCAGACCCTTCTCTTTATCCCGTCCAACTTTCTGTACGATCACGGCAAAGCGCCCAAATCGTTACATCCCTGCGTGCTCTAATTTCATCGGCAAGAGAACAACTCGTGGCGCTATAAAGGAGCATTATCGTGCCGAGTCCCAAGCCCGTGGACCGGGTTCATTAGGGTCTCGCGGGCGGGCTCTATCTACCTATAGATCTGCCTTGGCGATGCTTGGTATTCATTAGCCCAGCAAGCCACATAAAATATTTCAAATATCCCTACGGACGTATCGCTTAACCCAAAATCAAACATCTAAATCACGCAAACATCCGCCCTCCATAAGAGTAGGTAGATCATCTCTATATTCTATGATATTATGGAATCCGGACATGCAACCTCGTCCCAAACTACCTAAAAAAACCCCGACACGCTCCCTGCGCCGTTCATGCGTTTATACACGTACATGCCATACTAACATTACTAATATCGATACCAATATCGCCAGAAAATCAAGTCAAAAATCCAAATCCAGCTTGTGCTATTGACCATTCTTTTCTTCGGTCTTCTCGGCCTTTGCGCCGCCCTCGCCGTTCTGGCGAAGACTCTGGAGCCCCGTCTTATGTTCCTGGTGCTCCCGGCTGAGCGTTCTCTGGCTGACGAACGGGCTTACGATGAGTCCCACCGCGGCAATAGCTGTGTACATGATGTACATCTCCCGCAGACTGTTCCAGTAGGCTGCGCGGGCTATGTCGCCTTGCTCGCCGGGTAGCGAAGCGACTAGCGCAACATTACCACCTGCGCTCCCGCCGGAGAGTTGCGAGGCAAGTTCTGGGCCGAGCTGGGCTAGAAGGGTTGGGTACTGTCTCTGCATCCCGTTCTGGAATACTACGCCGCCGATAACCACGGATATGGACGTCGAAAGTTGGCGGACGAAACCAAAAGTGGATGTCACCGCTGCGATGTCGCGGGGCTCGACGGATGTTTGAAGCGCGATGAGTGGCGATTGGAAGTTCGGTCCTACACCGATACCTGCGACGATCTGGTATACAATGATCTTGGCCCAGTTGGCCTTGGGACCGAGATCGATGAACAGGCCGAACCCAAGCGTCAAGAAGAACATGCCAAAGATGATGGCGGGAAGGTATTTGCCGGTCTTCCTCATGAACAGGCCTGAGCCGATTGATAAGAAAGATAGCGCAAGCACATACGGCAACAAGTAAACACCGGAAAGAAGCGACGAAGCGCCCAAGACTGCCTGGAAATATAGTGGCAAATAGTAACTTCCGGATATGAAGACACAACCGTGGACCATGCAGATCGCGAAAGTCGATATATTTTTCCCGAATTTGAATAATCGAAGGGGTATGACAGGGTACTTGGCGTACCACTTCTCGACCGCGATGAATATTCCAACCGTCACTACACCAAATACAATCAGGCATATGGTTGGTGCCGAATTCCACGGGTAAGTGACACCTCCGAACTCCAATCCGAACAAGAACATGATCGTTCCGCCGATAATGAGAAGACTGCCCAACCAATCAATGGCGGCGAGACCTTGCCAAACCGGCGTGCGAGGGTTGTGTAACTTGAGGACGAAGAGCAGTATGAAGAAGCCAACGCCGCTAATCGGCAAGTTCACGTAGAAACACCAACGCCAGGTGACCTTAGATGTGAAGACGCCTCCGAGGATAGGCCCGATGGCAGAAGCTATAGCCCAGACCATTCCGAAGAACGCGTAGTACATGCCTCGCTTCCGCATGGAGAACAAATCACCGACGCAGATGTTAGTAAGTACGACGATACCGCCGCCACCCACGCCCTGAATGGCGCGAGCGGCGATCAGCATGCCGATGTTGACGCTCAACGCGCATATGAGCGATCCAATCCAGAAGATGCCCACGGCCGCCAAGAGCACCGGCTTACGCCCCCATATATCGGAGATCTTCCCCCAGCTGGGGACGGTGGCTGAATTCGCTAGCAAATAGGCCGCGCCGATCCACGTGTATCCCGACGGGGACTTGAACTGCTCGACGATGGTCGGAATCGCGGTCGTGATGATGGTGACGTCGAGAGCCGCGAGGAAAAGTGCCGAGCAGAGCGCGAAAACGATAACGGTCGTCTCAAACTGCGTTCGTCCTGTTTCGAATTCCGCCTTATTTGGGGCTGGAGCTGGAGCTGGAGCGGCACCTTCGGCCGGGTTTTCTGCTCCGTTTGCATCAGCAGGAGCAGATGCATTTGCGTTCTTTTGGCCAGCTTCTTCCCGTGCGGTGCTTGCCGAGGAGCTGACGCGGGTGTTGTTGTCAGACGGCTTTGCACCTTGCTCTAGGTCGTCGAGTTTCTCGTCATCGCGGACGTCTAACGTGGTTGTTTCATGATCCGACATTGCCCCTCTAGACGTTTGAAGACGTCCTAATCCAACAGCCTTTTGTCGGTTCTACCAAAACAGGGTTGACACCCTTTTCTAAGTATGTGAATTATGGTAAGATATCAAGAATAACGATGCAAAAGGAGAAAAAAATAATAATTAAAAGTTGCCGATTCTGGAGCTAGTAGTCAAGCTAGTGGTGATCCGTACAATAATAGACAAGGGTAAGTAATAGCGGAATCGGTCAAATCTTCGCTAGAGCCAGATCAATGACGGCTCATTCAATTTTTATGTCTTGGCCTCTCAGCAACCCTGGGAAAATGTCAAAGAACATATGCAGAAGCAAGCATGGTACATAAAAATAGGGGTCAGTGTGGAGCACTTTGACATGAATCGTCTTTGCAGATTGAAGGGGATGATATTTTCTTTTCATGTGAAAGTTTTGATGTAAAAGTTAAGATCGTTAAATATTTTAGAACCTATGAAGGACGGTAATAATTGGGTGGTGGCTTGAGAACCATGGGGGATTGAATTGGTAATACTTACCACTCCTATAGCCGGAGGGCTAATGCGAAAAAGCGCGAAAGAGCGAAGAAACGAAACCAAATAGAATCAGGCAAAGGACGGTGCTGTTACGGAATATATTTTGAAACCGAGAACGGCTAAATGTGGGACTAGCAATTAAGCCTCTTATTGGTCAATTGGACACATTTTTGCCTGCCGGCACCTTACTTTCCGCACAGGACACCACCACTCATCAAACGATCTAATTACTCCATAGAATAGTGCTAATGAGAAGCTAACGACGGCAAGTGAGTCATTGCATAAATGTGACGCGCATTCTTTCACTTCGTATTCCAATTGTCTCAATCTTCAAAATTTTCATGTAGGAATTCCCTTTTTCGCGTCTCAATTCTTGAGCTTATGAAGTTACTAAGGAAGCTATCTGATAGGCAGGCATTTACTCCACCAACAATCATTCCCTACCACTTCGTACATGATAAGTGAAGTGGAACTCGGTCTTCGCGCCTATATCCACGTACGCGATCAAAATATTTTAATAGTCTAGATTAATATTTTCTAAAAATAACTTACCTCGTTATTGACTCAGTGAGTACTAAATATTGCTTTGAAAGAAAAGTCTATTCGCAAATGCCCATCTCAACTGTCTACTTCTGTAGATTGATCTAGGTAGGTTTATCTGCCTTCCGCGAGTCCAAAAAGTGGTTAATGCGGTCCTTCATAGGCGCATCCTTCTTATAGTCTCGCATCGTCTCGAGCTGTAGATACATGAGCGCAAACACGAGCACATGTATCGCGGGACATATTTCCACGTCTTTCAGCCAACCTGCTAAGGCCAGTTTGCTCTCTTTAATCTCATGCCATGTTCGAAGTGCGAATCGAGCGTAGAAATGAGTGACGTCCCATTCCGTGCAGTCCGGGAATTTCTCCTCAATCCACATCGGATCCCGGCGGACCTTCAAGTTGTGAAGTAGTTTATGGACTTCTTCAAAATCGCCGATTGGGAGATCCCACCGTCCCCTAAGGTAATTGTACTTGAACTCGGCGAAGCTCTCACGGAAAGCCGGATGGGTAAATAGGGTCTGGGCCCTCTGTTGGGCCAAAAACCCGCTACCAAGACCGAAGATGGGAGCTAACTCGCGCGAAGCCATCTCTATGTTTGCCGGCTTCCTTTTGTAAATCTGTCGGACTTCATACTTCGTCTTCGCGGGCTCGTCCAAGTTAGGGTTACACATCTTTGGCGAAGTCATCGTGAAGTAGTTGATAGATTGGGTAGTTGCCGGGATCTTGTTTAGGTGGTCGAGAAGTGATGATTGTAAGATATGAATACTGCTTAATTCTGATTGATTGTCATAGGAGGCAGATGTTGATGGTTAGAAGGGAAATGGTTTATATGATTAGAAATCCTTTGTTTCTTGTTGCCTTGGGTAAGCTTACAACAAGAGGTTGCTTCCTTTCCATAAACTCATTGTTGCTCTTTCACTTCGAAGATATGGGACTATTGTTTAGCTTTGGCTCTTAAACTTTATTATCAAAAGGAAACAACGGTGTGTATTTGTACCTTAGAAAAGTGAGTACTACAAGCACTGTGGTATGCGACAAGTGGGCTAGAAATTCCATTCAATTAGGAGCAAGTACACAAACAAAGAGAAACAATCCAAATATACTTCTATGTCTCTAGAATAACGTAATCAACATGCAACTACCAGAACTTCAAATGACTTAAAACACCACCACGCATTTGGGCTTTCTTCAACATCCAGTCATCATAAGCCTTAAGAGCATTTTCCTCCCCAATTGCGTTTGAAAACTCGTCCACGACCAGCTCTTTGATTTCTTCATCACTTGCTCCAGGTCCTGCGATGTCCTCGGTCTGAAGTAGCCTGTCTACTAGTTCGTTCCTAAGGTAAACGTCCCGCTCAAATGAGAGCTTGCAGAAAAGGAGAAACGCAGCCGCCCACTTGTCGCATGAATCCCAGCTAAGATAGAAAGGATTGTTTCGGCCAAATGAGTCAGCGTAAGCAGCTTGTCGAGTCTGGAAATCGTCTCGGGTAGCCGGCGTGCCCTCTTCGATATGACTTCGATAGTAGAGAAGCCTGAAGATGAAAGCGGCGATGTGGTTAACGTGACGCCAATGAGACTTGTCAACCTCTTTTGCCGGCCGAATGTTCAAATAGTTTATAATATCTTCAGGACGCTCGAGGATCTCGTTCATTGTGTCGACAACGGAAAACCAAGATGGACTTGTAGATTCCGTGGGAGCTGAAAGATATTCATCCACGTAGGACATCCAGGCCGATTCCATCTCCGGACAGTCATAGAAATACACAAAGTCTTCGAGTGTCCATTTAATTGGCCGCCAGTGGCCCGGCAACACGCCACCGGCTGAGCCGTAAGCTTTGAAGTAGAGTACTACCAAGTTCTGTTCGAGGGCTGCTTGTATGTCTTTCTGCATGCTACCCCAAAATGATGTGGGCTTTCCGCTCAAGGTAGGGGGATCCATTTTGAAAGTTATCTAGTTGTTGGATGAGTTTAAAAGATCTCTGGGATTGATATAAGAATAAATGTTTCGAGTGAACTTGTATTTAAGCTCGCTTTCCAGTGACCTCATAAAATCAGTCTCTGGGCGAGGAGAGACTATTCGCGCTCATATATGTATTCTTGTGAGGAGGTAACACGAACAGAAAAGGATAACAACAATCCCTTTATTTTCGCCTTCCCTTTGCGTGGCCATAAAAAATAAGAGGAACCACTCGAGACTTTGAATGATATTGTACGAACTCAAAGACTGGTGTTAAACCCATTTTAAATGTATGAGACAGCATAGGTCTAAGTAGGCTTTGCATAAGGGCATATACTTTCTTTCTTGTCACATATGGCATCATATACCTAGTAACGAGTATTTCAGATGCATACCAGTTCTTGCGCCAGCTACTCAGGAGGAATATTTGCGCACGAGTACTTAATACCATCAAGATGTCGTCTGCAAGTTGTGGTGAACCCGGGTAAATCCAACCAATGAGGTAGCCAATAAACTAATAAACCAGTCACTTTATTAACATGTAGCTAGGTAGGTACTTAGATGATGTGTAAGTCAGTGCATACGCCAGTATACTAGAAGCAATGACTCTAATTATATGATAAATCGCCTATTAACAAAATTACAAAGTAACCAGGTACCAGGCATTATCTACCTACTCATTAATCATGTAACTTAGAAACATCCATCTAGGAAGCTGACAAGCTGATGTAGTGATTACCTAACTGCTCCAAGCTAAGTAGTATTTTATAAGCGAGCTGCTCAAGTTCCAACAACTACCACTTATCATAATATCGTGAAAATAGGTAGGTACCTTGTTAAAAACCATATACATATTAATTTCCCTGCAGCACCAAGAGTTTCCTTTTTCCGTCGGTATCCCCTGAGCAACTAAGTAAAGCCCCCAGGCTTTCTGAATTTGATTTTAGCCCCTTTTTTTGAGCCCCACACCACAATCATAAAGGTAAAAGGCGAAAATATCAGCGACAAATTCAAAGAAAGCCTTTCCAATGAATATAATATTAAATTGCACAGGTGTATGAGGTACTGTAAGAATGGAGAAGAAGGTTCAAAATAACAGGAAAAAAATAAGAACATACAACACCAGGTATTCGCTGGTCGTCACCGACCCAACTACTAGTCCGGCGGTATCTGGTTTATCAAGGGGAGAGCGGACGGGATCCCGAGTTCTCCAGATCCTATGGTCGTATGTGGAATTGAAGCGGCTTATTGTACTATATATCTTAGAGATGTTTAGTCTGCGCTATCTGACTTGGACCTGACCATAAGGGGCCAGTAGCGCTAGAATGCCATCACATCCTATGGAGCTTTTCTTGGCATTATTTCGTCAAAAAAAAAGAAGGGAGGGTAAGAGGACTTGATTATAAAGGATGGATAATGAACTGACGAACGAACTACTGTGGTTGGCTACGGAATAATCAATTACGTAAGGAATAGCGTTCAAGGCTGAGGATCTAAACTGTTCTATGACCTCTTGTTTAGCACCATGCAATCCTAGTTAGGTAAATAATTAACAACATGTAGCTGAGCCATTCCCTTGATCTTAGGTGATGTAGCATCTAATTATCTCAAGCATGTCATTTTGGCGTGTACTTCTCATGCCCATTGCCTTCCCCTAGGTCGGCCGGAGGTTGTGGGAACTCGATGAGCACGTCCGGCTCCCCAGTCAACTCGAAGCTAATCGTAGCTTGTGTTGGCACGTCAAGCAAGAAGTTGTAAGTCCCCGGGTGCAAGATAGTGTTCCCCTTTTCATCTACGCGTGCAAGGTCCCCTAATGTTAACCCTAACTTGGCCTCCTTCGTTTCTCCGGGCTTCACTTCTTTAACACGGGCGTACGCGGCCAGTTCCTTGATAGGATGCGGAGCTGGCCCATATTCTCCGGACAAGAATGCTAGAGCAACGAAGTCCGAAGTCACGTTGCCGGTGTTCTCGACGGAGATACCCACTGTTTCAAATGGGCAGAGGTCCAAGTACTTCGCGTTACAAGCATCGAGAAGCTCGCTGATGTCGTATGTCTTGGCGGAAAAGGCATCGGGTCCGAATGAGGGTTTAAAGGTAGTGTAGTGCAGTCCGAACCCGAAGGGTAGTACCGCATTGTCATACCATTTGTACGTCCTGCCGGGGCTTGTGTCACTCGGCCGGAGGCTCATGTCAGTCATCGGGACTTGGTCAACGTATTCTGCGGGGTACAATGTGACAGGCAATCGACCGGCCGGCGCAGTCTTGCCAGTCAAGATATCAAACACAGCGGTCCCTCCATCTTGCCCGGGGAATCCGGCCCATAATATAGCAGAGACATTATCGTCACCTAGAAGCGAAGAGTCGTCATTCTGGTCTCCTAGCTCAACGATAATGAACGGCTTGTCCAGTTTGCTGAGCTTCTCGATCAAAGCTAAGTGGGCGCTGGGCCAGGCGATAGAGAATCGGTCAAGCTCTTCCGCTTCTACTGTCATGTCGTTACCACCGAAGTATATCACGATATCTGATTTATTAGCAGCTTCCAGCGCGGCCTCGGTCCACGTGTCGGTATCTGAGGCGTTCTGCTTGATTGGTCCGGTGGCATTTGCGATCTGGAAGCCGAGATTCTGCGCCGCTTGTACTGGTCCTCGGATGTAGGGAGGGAGCCCAGCATATCCGCCGAGCATGGCCAGACTCAGGCCGTCCGCCCAAAAACCGATAAGGGCGATGGAAGTCCCATTATCAACTTTCAGGGGTAAAATGCCATCGTTCTTCTTGAGCACAATTGCTTCGGCGGCGGAACGAACGGCCAGGGCTTGGTGCTCAGGGGTATTGACGTCGTTCCAGGATAAGGATCGATACGGAGTCGCATCAGCGGGATCGAAGAATCCTGCGCGGATAAGTCCCTCGTACATGCGTTGAAGAGCTTTATCGATCACCTCTTCCGGCAGTAGCGTTTGGTCCCATGCTCCAGCAACGTCCGTATTAGAACCGACTTCACATATGCTATCCGTTCCAGATATCAAAGATATCGCAGCTGATTGTGCTGCGGTGGTCGTGTAATTATGGTCTTCGTGAAAGTTTAGAATGGCGTTACAGTCGCTGGTGATGTATTGACTCTCATCATTCCACTCCCAAAAATCTCGGAGAACGGTCCCCATCAAATATGTTGACGCGCAAGCGGGAGTCCCGTTGATGGCGTTGTAGGAACACATGATTGACTTAACTTTGGAATCCCTCGCACACTGCTGGAACGGAGGGAGATAATACTCTACCAGATCTTGCATCCCGACAATCGCATCGAATTCATATCTCTTTATTCCTCCCCAATATTCTAAGTCGTAAGCGGCGTAATGCTTGCACGTTGCGATGACTTTAGTGATGTTCTCCTTGCCCTGTAGGCCATCTATCAAAGCTTTGACGTACCCCTTGATGCGGAAAGGGTCTTCACCTGGTGTCTCTGATCCACGGCCCCATCTTGGGTCTTTATAAGGGTTGATGTTCGGGGTCCAGTAGTCAAGTCCTGCGTGCCCAAAATTGCTATATGCTCGAGCTTCCGTACTAATAGCTTCGGCTACGGCATGAACCAAGTCATTGTCGAAGGCGGCTGACAACAGGATCGGGCTAGCGAAAGAAGTCGCATGCGAAAACTCGCCCGAAGGTGCGAACGCAACTCCAGGAGACCACCCGACGCCATGGAGAGCTTCGTTCCACCAATCGTACGCACCTAGTCCGAGACGAGGCGCTCCGAGACTCTTGCTGATACCATGTTAGCTTGAGACAAAACATGTCCTGGTTTTAGGTTATACCTACTCTACGAGGTTACCTAATTTCTCTGTTATATTCCAGGCACTTATCAATGCTGCAGCTCTTTCTAAAGGGCTAGCAGTCGTGTCACAGACAAGGTTGGTCGTTAAGATCTCTGGCCCGCCGGTGCAGTCGGGAAAAGTTATTTTCCCCAGCACTTGCGCGCTGAGGATTGAGAGGCATCCTAGTGTTCTTGCCGGATGTCTCATGATGCCCAAAGTTCAAATTGCGAGAAATTGGAATGGAAATCACGAATGAGATGGGATGACATGGTGTTTTAAGTCTCCTCTGTTTTGAGATCTATCAACTTATTTCACATATCCAGAGGCTATAAGTAATCCGCAGCTAAGAAAATGTCTAGTAAATAGCCTGAAGGTTGAGCATCGCGAGTCCCTTGGCACTTGAGTAAAGCAGGCAGATGGTTAAGTTTGTGTACCTGAATTTATCCAATAACCAGAATACCTCGTTCTCATGGAGGTAGGGAAAATGCGACGTACTGTCTTCTCAAGATCTATGATCAACATGAACATAGGTGAGTATATATTTCTGCTATGATAACTCATTTCATCTGCAAGAAGCCTGCAGAATAAGACTGGGTAGATACTACTGCATTCTGCATACTCCTCATAAAGTGCTCTAGGGTCATTTAACCGGCTGGCAGATCGCATGGCATGTAAGCTAGCTTCTATGGAAGTTGGCCGGGTCATATCCTGGCAAAATCCGTTATTTGGCGATAGGGTGTAGTTTGAATAACTGCTGTCTCAAGAAACTTCCTGGTTTCGTGGTCGAATGGATTGTAAATGGATAGTAGACTTGATCTCCTTTAAAATAGGGGCATATATGCAAGAAACAGGATTACCCCTATCTCTGGCCCCGCTTTATTTTACCCCTTTCTTCCAGTTCCACTTGATGGTCCAATCTAGAAGAATAATATTATCTATGATGGCTTTTTAGAAGTTGTTAGTGTCGATGTGACATTGATATATATTCCCGCAGTGATAGTTAATATATGAAGGATGTACCTCCGCACCAAGCACGGCATATCCTCCACTGTTTCATTTTCAATTGGAAACTATTAACACAGTATTTATCAATGACTTGCATCCCTCTATTGAACTTTATAAGATATCTGGGGTAATACATATTCAAGGTAGCAACTATCGTTTGAGATACAGCGCGTCCCATTGCGACAACACCAACTCTCATCATGTTTGGACCTTACACTAGGTTGACCACCGTGGTCATCACAATCCTAACATTAGGTTCTTCACTAGTTTTAGCCGAATGCACTCGCGAGGGGCTCCTCGCAGCGGCAGACAGCTATCTTGCAGCGCAGACTAGTGGAAGCATCGATGATCTCAAGTTATCTCCCAACTTCACATATCAGCTCAACAATAAAGTGGCGGATATCAAGACTGGAGTGTTAAGCCAACCGCTTAAGATAGACCTTAACCGATCTACGGCCGACACGATAGCATGTGCTAGCTACACCATGCTGATCTCGGCGACAGGCTCCCAGCCTTATGTGATCTCGACGCAAATTCGACATGAAGACAATGGCACTAGCTCCATTGCCCTGATTGACACCATCGCGGCGACAACTGGTGCCCTCTTCTTTGATGCTCAGAAGACGCTAGGGTATATTGAAAAAGAGAACTGGGGCACGCTGGACGAAGAAATGAGAACGAGTAGAGACGAACTCAAGCGTGTTGGAGACGCATACCTTGATATGTGGACAGATGCTAACGCGGCGGATTCGATCCCGGTAAGTAGAATGCGGAGCCATAAATTTCTCTTTATCATATTTCGAGGAGGGTGATAGAACATACTAACTCCCAATGCTGCAGTGGGGTACGGATTGTGAACGTGTTGAAGGATCTTCGCTTACACGACCGTGTGGAGCGACATTACCCCATGGTGGAAGTCAGAAACCGAATGGGAACCGCCGATACGTCATTGATGAAACAATGGGATCAGTGGATGTGTTATGTTCTTTCAATTCTCTTGGGGATATGCCTGACTCGCACGAAGTAAGGGTTGAAGGGGGCACAGTGAAGTATGTGCATACTGTCACAGTCTTGCAATAATCGAGAAATATACAATTAATTTAGGGCCTTGTTAGTCAATTATGATTCAATTAGTCTACATTCTTTAGAAGCTTAGAATATCTCAAGCTTAAGTACCTACTCATTCAATTTCGGAAATGATGGATCACTCGGATTAACTGCAACCTCTTCAAGTTTTAGGCGTTCACGCCCAGGTAAGGGTGCCCGAAATGAATCGTCTAAGCAAGCAACTTTCTTTCATCAGATAATATGTCCAATTCACCTCCGCATGCAGTTAGGTAAGAAGAGGGGGGGAAAGAAAACCCACTGTTAACAAGCACTATTATTGTTGGTATAAAATTTGGGATCTGCCGTTGCAGGTGTCTTTGTAGGTGATGGGAAAAGCACCGTTAGAAAATATGTTTAATCTTTATTTTTTTTATCTTCAGAATACCTACTACAAGGTTCTAGGTGGGCCGTATCGCAGCAGTGATATCATCGACCTTGTTGTCGCGGTGTCCCTTGACTGTCGAACAGCTAGAGTTCTGACCCGCCAGCTATATCTCTAAACTGCCGATTGAAAGGATTATTTACTCCTTTAACTACTAGCACAAGACTATAATTTCCAGAACTAATAACTGCCTATTAGTGATAGCGCAGGCCCGTTAAACCTGTGAGTGTTAATGCTCATACAGTGGTCTTCCGAGGCGTTCAACCAACTAGAAGTAAGGTTTTGTGGGTGCCAGAAGAGCTCAGGGGCTGCTTGAAGTCCAATTACTAATCGTGGCGGAGCTGTAGTCTTATGCCAACCAAAGGGATATCAACAAACGTTTTATCAGATAACATCTCCAGGTCCACCAGAAGACTTATTATTACGTGGTTTATTTTAGGGGTTAAGTGGTTCGAGTGAGATTATTTAACCGTAATATGTTGGAGATATCCTCAATCTTTGGGTAATCACGTGACTTCCCTTAAGACAAAAGCGGGTTAAGTTTTTAGAGAAAAGTTTGCCGTTTGGAAAGACCTAGATTTTCCTGATAATGAATACATCGTCTTCCAATGAAGAATTTGTTGTCCTTTCGAATACGTTTCAACACCTGACTGCTTGGTCCACCACCTTAATTCCTCCTAGATCACCCTTGTGCCTGAGTTGTACCTACTCAGGTTATTGTAGCAATTTTTTTCTTTAGGGATTTGATTCTTAATTAAAGTCTAGTGACTCTTGGTCTGCGCATTTGCCTTCGTCAGCTTCAACATTTACAACGCTCTGCGTATTCTGCTTGAAATCCTAAGCAGCATACTAGGGCCGGAGGGTTTTTGCGACGAAGCGAGCAGAACAAGCCGAGGAGCAAAAACTCGGAGGCCTAAAATAAGATATTAGTGATGCGAATGTGTTTAGTAAAACTCAGGCTTCTTTGCTGCCCGGCACGGGGTGGCTGTCATATGACATCCTTAGTATTAGAGAACACTTTATTAAACCTTGTGTCACCTTGAACTTAGAGAATACACATCAATCTACCACTCATAGCATCTTCTTGCTACAGCGGTCCGTATAAAGGCACGGTGGTCCACATAGACTAAATCTAAAGCAGGTTAGTCCTATGGATACATATGTTACAGTACAAAGCTAATACAAATATAAATATCTTTTAGACTTGTTACTATTGAAGTTAGTCTTAATATGCCATCGTTAATGTTATTGTTAACACCATGGTGAGCCTTAAAGACCAACCCTTGTTTCCTAACGACGTTGATTTTAGGGCAGATTTTGATGAATCTTATTAATCCTTAGGAGTTACCTGGAGAGTTAGCTGCCCACTATACTACTGCCTTGGTATATTAAGAGTTAAAAGAAGTTATTCGCAACTTATTGAGCGCTGCCACGGCTACTAGATTTGCTATTATATAAAAGGCAAAGTAGTCATCAATAAGTGACACACCCTTTTATAACGTTAGCAACAATTAAATCAATAGGAGCGACGGCAAGGTTGAAGATACAAGACTTTAATAACAATTAGTCGAGAAGATATTTCAGACTTATATGCGTGTTGTACCGCGAAATAATACATCCCTAGGACTAGCCTAAGTTAGATTAACTTGTGTGGACCACCGTGCCTTTATCTGAAACCACCGTGCTTTTATACGAACCGTTGCTACAGTGGCCTCACGTCAGCCTCACGTGTAGTAAATACGATCTACCAATCAAACTCACAATGGCTACCTAAGTACCCTACCAGCCCGACATTTAAGTTATGACTTATCCCACCCATTCCGCTAGGCGTTCCCCACAGCTGTAGACCCCAGACCGCCACACGGGAACTACCGAACGACCCTTTTAATGTAATATCTTCTTCATTTCTTGGTTATGGATATAAGGGCAAAGCAGCCGTAGCCTTTCATAAACCTTTTCAATTATACCAGGAAATTAATTGGAATTACTTAATACTATAAATAGCTCTTAAGAAGTTAAAGAAGTATTAATAAATGCCTGGTAAGTAATGAGCCGCAGTCACCGGTACTAGGTGTAATACAGGAGTTTTACATTCGCAGTAACCGTAACCACACCTCAAAAATTCCGTAAAGACACCTCAAAATCCCATTCGGGTGTAACGCCACCCCACCACCTACACTAATTTACCAGTGCTTTTGTCCCACAAATAGATACTGGAGGCCACCCTTGGTGGCACAATAACCCTGAGATTAGCCGAGCCGGGCCGAGGGTTCGATTCCTCGATCTCGCGGCTTTATAACTTTTAAACTTTGCAACGTTCGATTGAAATAAGTCAACATACGCGAACTGCGAGCCGCGCGTTTCGCGCGCGTCTCGCACTTCGCATCGTCGGTAAGCGTATGGCGTCCTCCTTGAACAGCTTATCTAATGTCCTTGGACTAAGTCAACTGTCAAAATAGCTTCAAGTAAGTTGTCAATTGAATCAACACACCCTTGCAGCTTTGACCACTGTGAAGCTAAGCTCTTAAAGCTAATTGGCTGCACCCAAATAATAAGTGGGACCACACCTCCACTCCCTCCAGGCCCTCCTGTCCCTCCAGTCCTCCCAGTCTCCTATACCTGGCTTGGTCACCTTGATTTAGGGGTTGACTGATTATATAAAGGGGAAACCGTGCTTGCCCTATGTCAGGTCAGGGACCTGACCTGTGTTGAAGAACAGGTTCTTGGCCTGACTTATTTTAAAGAACAGGTTCTATTAATCAAGTAAGCAACTTAGGTAATCCGTCCTAATGTGGCCTGTACGCGAGACCTGTTTTCTACCGTCGTCCTGAAAATTCGAATCTTGGAGTTTAGAAGTTTAGACCCACAATATCCCTTCGTAAACTCGGGGTATATCTTAGCCATCGATTCCTCCCATCAATCTTTATTTAATAGTATATATTTTATTTTTCAAATAGAAATATCTTGATGTTGCAAAAAAGCTGATTAGTCCAAAGTGGTGTTGGGCTAATTTTAAAAATCAATACCTGAATGAGATTTTGAGGTGTGTTTACTGTTACTGTTACATTCGTGGATGGATTATGATGTGTCATAAATGCTGTGTGTCAGAAGCTTCCTCCATGAGAACTGGTAGTCAAAGTTATCGGGAGTCGGCCTGTACGAGACCGCCCTGTTGGCAGCTAGCCCTTAGCTATAGACAAAGGAAGGTTCATATATATATACCGCGTTCCCTGGAAGGGGTTAGTTAAAGCTCTTCGCGCAACAACGTCGTTCTTCCCTAGCTTCTTGAGTCCGCCTCGTGACACTGTGTACACAGCATGTACAAAGTACTGATCACCTCCTAAAGATTGGAACCCCCTTGCCCTCGTTCGATAAGTAGGTAGGTAAGCATGCATAAACGTGGGGATGTCAGCGGCTGCCTGTTGCTTGCATGTACTAAATGTACCTGCATATCGCGTAGCATTTGTAGATAAATTTTAGACTAATGAACTTCAAAGATCTTTATCCCTTTGACTGGCAGTTGTCTACAGCCAGGGATTAGGAGGCAAGATACAGCCTCACATGACCTGGTGGACTAGACCCAGGCTGTAAGAGCGCGAATGGTATATGGTTTTACTTATATTTTGTCTTGTACCACTTGTACTAACAGTGCCCTGAACCTAGCTTTTGTGGGTGCTTATGTGTATCTTGCTTCCTAATCCCTGGCTGTAGACAACTGCCAGTCAGAGAGATATGCTTGCTAATCTGACTTTGGTTAATACAGCCTCACACGGCTTGGTGATCAGTTCCAAAATGCAGAGTCTGAATGGTACGCGATTTTACATATAATACTCTACTTTGTACTATTCGTACTAGCAGTGCCGTAAACCGAGCCCTTTATTTAAGTGTAGGGGTAATCACCTTAATTGCTGGACCAATTGGTTTGTGAGATAAGCGAATATTAATGTTTTCCTTTTCATACCTACTGTCACAGGGTAGATCACTTAGATTTGGTTTGGAATATTATATTCAATTGATAATAAACGGTTTTGGTCCTGAGGTCCCTGAAGAGAAAAAGGAGAAGTTCTTCCTTTGAGGGATAATAGAAGCTTCGTTAGGTAAATATAGCCCAAAGTGGACCCTGAAGGGTCCACACGACCTCGGTCCAACTATGGTCCAACTACAATCCGTGTAACACATAGGCAGACATAAACGTCTATGCTGGCATCGAAGATGGCCAGATTCGACCTTCTTTCATACTGAACTCTCTATCCACACACCCCCTCCCGTCCCCACATCCGTCTTTCTACCCGGCTGGTACACGGGATTTGATTTCGCTAATGATCAGATCGAACCAATTCCAAGACTTTCCATACGCCTATGATGTCCGAATATTTCCTTTCATTATTCACTTAACGGACCCATCACCAAGAAAAAAATCCGCCCCAATCGATAAAATATCATCATCCCAAAATCCTACATCCAAACAGCTCCTCTGGGTTTGCTTCTACGTTTCTATCGCTCATGTTTTCTTGCCCTACACGTCCATGGAATATTCCAGTAACGTCACTGTTCTTGGTAAAGGGAACCCATGTATTGCGCAGAGAGCCCGAGGGAGGATAACTGGGTGCCCCTTAACTTTGCCACTTCACCTGTAGCCTCCACAATAACAATAGCTTGTGGTCGTGTAGTGGCAAATACCTGCACCTAAGCACTACTGCAACAAAACACTCCTCTATAAGCATGGATGAGATGATCTTCTATGCTTAGGTTCCTCGAGGTATCTCTTTCATTAGCATAAGACTACAGTCTCCACAGAACCGGTGACTGTACATTAGCGACAACGTAGGCCCTTTAAGCCTGTAAGCGTTGAGGTTCTTGTAGTGATCTTTGGTGGAGACGTCTACCTAACTAGAAGTAAGCTTTTGTGGGGTGCCAGAGGAGCTCAGGGTTTGTTGGAAGTACAGTTACTCATGTCAACTAAAGGGATAGTCTGTCAAAGCGCTACTCACCAGAAGTCTGGTCGGCTCGGAGTTCCACTCATTGTCACCGAGTGGATCTATTGGTATCTGGGTCCTAGAGAAGAGTAAATAGGGCCTATTCTATGACCCCTAGGCGAGATTAGTGATTTAGTTCTATCAGCACCTCGCTCATTAGTCCCTTTCCTATATAGACCTCCCCACACATACGTACTTGTTGTCTACCTTTCTTCTTTTTGTACCTGTAGACTCGACAAAGTTGCTTGTCACTAGCCGCACTCGATCTACATAACGCAATAACTCCAACTTTTTCTCTCATCATATGAGACGCCACCCTTCTGCCGCGAAAATGCCGCCAGACAAAACGCTCTCTCCACCGGATTACTTCGCAATCGTCTATGGCCTTCAGGAAATGTCGGTAAAACCCCTTGTGCTGTCGCCACGACTGCCCCAGCTCTTGCTAGAGAGGACTTACACTTTGAGTGGAAAACCTCTGCATAGGTAAATGTTCCTCAAAAGAGTACTTCAATGAGAAGTTCTCTGACCAATTTACAGTTTCCACAAAGATAACGATGACTCCTGCATATGTCTTGGAGGTTGTTCGCCGGGACAGGGCTGCCGGGAGCCACAAGTCTCGTCGTAGCAATGGTCGAGGTCGGCGTTCGGCGGGCTAGCGTTAACGAGAGGCGAAGGATCCTCGCGTTGGTCACGCATAGTGAGGTGGCCAATAGATATCATCCCCATCTATCGTGATATCATACCCTATATCTCTCAGGGTTTTGAGGAATAGTTCAAGACAATTCTCCTTTGATAGCATTACTAGATCCGCAACTTGCAAGGCTTCTCCTTCGCGACCTTCGGGAAACCAGTCGGCTGTGCCGTAAGTTGTACGGTGCGGGTCAGCGCCGTTCCGAAGTAGCCATTCCATTGTGTCTGATGAGCCTCTATGAGTAGCAAGATGTAGCGGAGTCCAGCCGTAGATATCGACAGCGTCGAGACCGCCGGCATCCTCTTCTGGTAGCATCCGTGTTGGTAGCCGATCCGTTTGCAGATTAGAGAGCGCTTCTAGAGTGGAGACGTTGTTCATTAAAGCTGCTACGTGGATAGGACTCCATCCCCTCCTCGTGGTGTACCGGTTAGAGTATGCTGACGCTCCTAAAAGATGTAGGAATCGAACATCTTCCCCTGTACCGAACGCCGCGCATCGGTGTAGCGCGGTCCAACCCTCTTTGTCCTTAATGTCATCAAACAATAAGCAATCCCTCAATATCGGGAAGTACTTGGCGCTAGCCATAGACTTCCCCGGACCGAACAAGTAATGAAGTAATGACCATTTCTGTGTTGCGCTGTAATAAGGATCGGCTCCCTGTCGAATAAGGATGCAGACGATACTCGGCTTTTCGAAATGAATTCCAAGCTGTAGTGGGGAACTATAACTACGTATTTAGGACTTCAATATATTAGCAAGTTACGTTTCCAAAGACTTACACTTGGAAATTCCCGTAGGGCAGATTTGGGTCGGCACCTTCTCGAAGAAGAAACTGGACAACTTCTTCATGGCCCTCTTTTATTGCAACCTTCAAGCATTAAGTTTCTTGCCCAACTGATTGGTAACTTGATAGGCTTACACCAAGCAGCGTATGATTATCCGGTGTCATATCATTCGGTCTTGCCGACCCCTTTTTAAAGAGTAGCCTGAGCTGCTCGCTATCTCCCATCTTGCATGCCCTTAGTATTGCTGCATTGGCCGGAATTATGTTTCGTATCGATATGTTGAAGGGTACTGAATATTCCACACCAAAAAGGGGTCCAGATAACTGCATGATAATCATGTAGGATCTTGAGATCCTCACTCGAAGTAGAACAGAATGCTTCTTATGTTTGCCACGGGTTTTATAGCATTGTATTTGGAAGAGGTTATCATTCGACCATGTCCTGTGAACTGAGGCCCTTGATAAACTAGGTACCAGTGGAGTAACCAGTTGAGTATCAACTGTTCCTTGATCGCGTGAACTATATGGACGGCAATTCTTTATTGGTGAGTGTTCTTGGCGCGTTGAAAGTTCCTGCGCAAAAGATCCGAATTCGAGGCCTAGTGTAGTATTTGAATCTCTATGGTGTAGATGAACAATTAGTACCTATCGATGGCATTATTCATTATGATCTGACATGAGCTTGAGTGGCTTACATTAAATTCAACAGGAGGTTCACATTGAGAAAGGAGATCGCCCGCTCGAGTTGTTTTTCGAATTCCTCGATTTTCTCTTTTCTACACGCTAGCCGGAACTGTGCCCAACTTCGTGACAAGGTGTTTTGTCCATTTTCCACCTTTTTAGCTATTTGTAAGACGTCCTCGATCAAATTAAGTTTGCTTTGGCATGTTTTTAATTCATGATATATGTTGTTACATATATGGCTGTTTCGACATTGTGATTGCTTTTGGCGTTCAAGAACGGCCTTGATACTCTCAGCTATCAACTGGAGTTGCGAGATAACACCTCTTAAGCGGATGATCTCTGTCGGGGCGTTGTGTATTGTATCAAGGAACTGTTTGATGTTGTAGGCACTCTGCCCTAGCTGCAAGGCAAGCGAGACGATCGCGAAGATACTAGTGACACCACTAAGCGGATCCATATAATACTATTATCCTGAAAACTCCAAACATGGCTTAGTCCAGTGCTATTAGTAGATTAGTGGATTGTGAGCCGTATTTGCGTACTATCCTAGATTTGTATAATCTTCTCGGGAACTCTGCTGTGCTTAAATTTATAGACCAATCGGGACACAAAAGATAGTATCAACCCTTGTATCAAATCTTTATTTTATGGAGAAATTTGGAGACGAAAGGGAACGGTGGGGGAAAGAAAGGGAGCCGGCTTATCATTTTCCTTATAATACAATCAAAATGTAATAATCTACGTACTTATTTTGACGTCCGTTTTTGCCCGAGTCGTTTAGAGCTGCATTTATTAAAGGGCAATATTGGGCGTATTAGGTGGGCAGTACCTATCATCCAGCCACATTTTTGGACATCGACGATGACTTATCGGGGAGCTTGTATCTAGTAAAATCTATGACAAGTTGCTGGTGATGGAGATATGTTTTAAGTACCGGTGAATTATACATTTAGGAATTCCTGGATACTCGCGAATCCATTTACCAAGTTTTCTATCTGGTATAATACCGAACCCGAGACAATCATCGAGCTCATTATTTCGGTAATTGTTTCAGTAGAACGTGGTGGAAAAGCCTTATCTGCTCAAGATCCCGTAAGTCTCAGCCCAGGATTTAGAGGGGTGCCTCTGGTAGGCAATGTCTATGCAGCCTGCCGCTCAACGTGTAGCCGCGGCTTGACCTCCAATACGTCATGGTACTTTTCTTACCTTTTAACAAATTATAGGTACTCTTTTATTTATTCGTGTCATTTCATAAAATTTGAGCAATTAGATGTATATTTCCCCTCGAATTTCGATTTTCGTCATCATATTTTCTCCCTTCCCCTTATTCTCCATCATAGGTACCGAAATTGAATAAAATTAAAGCCTATGTAGTGGTGAAGGCGATGCATCGAACAATGACTGCGGCAAGTGCTGCGGCCACAGGAAACGCCGATGATAAGGATATCATCTTTATGGAAGGTTGGCTCTTCCTAGACTTATCATTGGGTATTCGGTGTCGCAAAAGTAGTCTTGAAACTACCTTTTTTTTATAGCTATTCCTAGGTATCAGTTGATAGAATTGAGGTACGGGAGTTTCACAGTCAAAGTGCTCTTTTCTTCAACTCTCATTTTCCATTTACTTTAGGCTAAAGAACATTTGGAACCATTATGAAATTGGTCTATTTCTTTTCCGTAAGCTTGATGGTAAGAAGGTCTCGTCTAGTTGCCTCCCCTTGAACCCACCGCGAGGCTGCCATGCTGTGGGACGCGCCCTAAGCAACGTCAAGAATCCATCTAGCCGCAATGAAGTTACTGTGGGGAAAGGGGAGTGTGGACTCCAACGGAGGAGACTCAAGATGGTGATTATTCGACGATTTCTTTTACACATCCTCCCACCACCCTAGTGAATTTGTCACCACTGAAAATCAGATTGTGGAGGCTTAGACTCCCTTCCATCTCATTCCTTATCTAACGACGAAGGGCAGTGCAGGTAGGCTTGCTTGACCTGCTCTAGAGGGAAAACAGGCTGCGATGCCGTTAAACCAAGGTGTAGTTGGTGTCTTACCTGGAATTTGGACTACGCCTACTGCGGCTCCCAGTAACTTCACATGGAGCCAAATACCAAGATTCTCCTAGAGAATATCTAGCTGCTAGAGAATCGTGAGGTGCGAGGGCGTGACACTTTATCCAATGATTGACACATCGACCCCTATACAGGAAGTAGTCTAGGTGAACCACCAACGGACAACCAGCTTTATGAAGAACTCGCTTCAAAACTTTTACTACCAGGACGATCTCTTCGGTAACCCCGGGGCGCCGAACTATGTCTGGCGAGAGCCGAACTGTCTCTTGGAAGTAGGTACCCTTTGGTCCCCTATCGCACCTTGGTTGCTGACTGCATTGGGCGCCGCTAGGGAATTACAGTTGGCAGAGTTATCATGAAAATTAGAGTTATTATTTAGTATGAGAACACAGTATTTGGGATTCTCATAGTCAGCAAAGTTCATACTCGGTCTCGGTCTATCCTTTGCGACGACCTCAACCCTAGCTTAGTCAGCGAGTTACATATCACATTCCAGGTCTAGGGGCACTATTATGGCTCTATATAATACGAAGTAATATTATCCACCTCAGTAGTTTTCATAATATCGAAGGGCAACTCTACATTGGTTGTATTGCTAGTCTAGTGGTTGGGGGTTTTGTTGCTTATAGCTGGTTTCTTGAGACAAAAGGCACTGGGCTGGTGGAGGTTGCCGTGCTGTTTAATGGCAAATAGCCTCATATTAAGTAGGTAGGGTTGAGGTCGAACCCTATTATGGAGGAGTCGGATGATGTGCATAGGAAGGTCTAATTCTTGTAAAGTTCCTAGCCATAAAATATTTCTACCTACCTACTTAACATAACACTCTTGAGCAAGAAAAGGGTTAAGCCTATCCCCAACCCTAACCCTGAGACTTTTCAGTCATGCACTATTATTTATCATACTGTTTCAATTACGATCGTAATATGTCGAAATTAAGCCAGCTAGACAAGTTAGTTTGTAGAAATTTCCTAGACCTACTACTTCTGGAAAACCAACAGTCCTGTCCGTAAGCGTTTGGTGGGCCCCGAATGATTGCCGGAAGCGATAGCCGGCTTAAGTGGGGGTGCCAAAATGCCGCGAAGCCGTGATCGTCTCCGCTCGGGGAAGTCTTCAACAACTGTCGCATAATATTAAAGGCTCTCTATTTTACCACATGGCTCTTTTCTGAAAATCAAACTGAAATATTCGCATTGTACCTAGACATACTCATGGCTCCGATAAAGATCGCTGTATTAGACGACTATCCAAAGTCGTCCGTACCCGTCTTCGAGAAGTTGCAGCCACTTGGGTTTCAGGTGACGACATTTACCGACACGCTTCTTCCATATAACCACCCCAACACCCCGCAAGATGTCAAAGATGAATTAGTCAAGCGTCTTGAGCCATTTGACATTATTTGTAAGCTTTATCAAAGGAAGCCATGAGTGTGTCTAACAGGTCTAGCTTCCATGAGAGAACGGACGCCATTCCCGGCTGAACTCACCAACCGACTTCCAAACCTCAAGCTGCTCCTAACAACCGGGCCCCGCAACGCATCTATCGATGTACAGGCACTTTCAGCACGCGGAATTCCCGTGGCCGGCACTATCCCGGAAAAAAGGAGCCCGGATAGCACCACCCAGCATTGTGTCGCTCTGATTCTTTCCCTCGCAAGAAACATTCCGCAAGACGATGCAGTAATGAAGGCAGGAGGTTGGCAGACAGCTTTCGCTACGAATCTAGCGGGAAAAGTATTCGGTACTATTGGGCTTGGGAGGTTAGGGGTATCGGTTTCGAGGATCATGCATATAGCTTTCGGCATGAAGGTCGTAGCTTGGAGTACAAATCTGACCCAGGAGGCAGCCGACGAGAAGGCGAAAGCTGCTGGATTGCCAGTTGAAGGCGATAACGGAGAAAAGACTTTCAAGGTCGTCAGTCGAGACGAGTTGTTCACTTCTGCAGATGTAGTCAGCGTTCAGCTCGTATTATCAGACCGATCTAGGGGATTGATCACGGCCAATGACTTGCGAAAACTAAAGCGCTCGGCACTGTTCGTAAATACAGCACGGGGCCCAATCGTGGTTGAGGATGACCTGCTCGAAGTAGCTAGGGAGGGATTGATTCGTGGTGTAGGATTAGACGTCTATGAAATCGAACCATTGCCGACGTCTAGTGAATGGAGAAAAATAAAGTGGGGAGTGGAAGGCAGAAGTCAGGTCGTGCTGTCACCGCATATGGGTTACGTCCAAGAGGATCACATCACGGACATGTACCAGAAACAGGTCGAAAATATACTACGGTGGCACAAGGGCGATACAATGGATACTGTATATAGTAGTAACGGGTACTGAACGTGACCGGTTAGGACGGATCAGGGGTTAAACTATATCGAAAGGTATATAGCATAGGTATCAGGGCAAGTAAACCTAAGTCACTACTCGAGCAAGCAAGGTCTCTATGGCGATGAACTGTAGTGAGGGCTGACTTAACTGATTCTCTTCTGTACATACCCAGGTACCTGTAGACTGACATAAACGAGACCCAGTAGCTACGTAGGTAGACAAATATTTGACTTTTATGAATCACTTGTCCTTTCCCATCGTTAGTACTGTATTGTGCTCACCCACGAAAATATTTATCGTTTTATTTTCTTCCCTACCTACTTGAATGAATTCCTTAACTTTAGAAAACCAACACACACAAAGGTTGCCTACCTATCTAACTGTAACCTATCCGAGCACTTCTCTCCTAATAATCTTAGGCCCTCATATGGAATTCGAGTCCTATTCAAGCACAGAAGGGTGAGCACGGTTTCCTTCATGTGAGATTTACTCTTAGTACTTTTCTTTCCATATCTGCATTGTCGTCTACTCTGCCATAGCACGCCACTAAAACAATCTAGGACCTCCAGGGTTGGTCATGATATATAGCTGCGTGCAGACAGAAGATGCGCTTCTCAACCATAAGAGGCGCTCAGCTATCCCGTCCCGTTTTCGAACGTGGCTAGTAGTAAGACAACCTCTTTGGTGCTTAGCCCGTCAATTAGCATTATGCTAACGATACATAACAGCCGCAGAGTACACCCGGAACCAGGTTCTGGTAGCGTGCATGCCTAATCACCTATTAACCGATGTCCTTAGAACGGTGCCGTCTACGAAGACGGTAACGTCTATGGGGTAGTGGGGATCGGGGTGGTCCAACTATACATCCCTAGCACAGAACATCACGGTTGCTGTGACGTCCCAGCGCCAGAATCATCAGGCACAGTACACAGGATAGTCATCCACTGGCGTGACATATGACCCAGAGAAAGAATAAGATACGACCCAATAGTTGGGTTCAGCCTCGGGGCCGTGGTGAATATCCAAGGACTTCGACTCTTCGTGATGCGGACTTAAGAGGTGGAAAGATCCTCAAATTTACTCTTCGGTTACCTTACTTCACTCTTCCCCCAAGTTGATCACCGCTACTATGGCAAACATCAGCACCATGGCATCGACTACAACGACATGGATTGCTAGGGCAATGCTGCAATCTGCAGATTCTAACTTGGACTCTACAGTGGCCTTCCAGAAGATGTTATCTTGAAAAGCCCTTGTCTACCTCCTACTCTGTCCTGGCACTGGTCAGCAACAGGTCTCCCATGGGCTAAACTCTGATCCGACTAGATCTCTGGCATCCTCGACCTCAGCAACTGGACTCAACATCTAGCCAACTTAGCAAGCCGAGAACTGGTCGAAGAGGCCATTTGGGCCGCGGGACTCAACTTCCCGGGAGAAATCCGTGTTAGTTAAAATCGTTTCGGGAGCATTATGGGCCCCTATAATCGTGAACAAGCCCTGATTACATCCCCTTATGTTCGGGGTCGATTTCGGGGTAATAACGGGAAACCATGCTAGTTTCCTACCTAAATATCATGTCACTCCCATTAGATATGGGGCAGGGTTTAGCATGGTTGCTACCCCGGTAATATACGTCGTTGTAACTGTATGGCTTGACGTACAATAGTCTCTTAGGGATGGATGCATAAAGGTCTCGACCTGGTATACTTGGGACAAACGAAAGGGTTGGATCCTACAACAAGATGAGACTACAGGACCTTAGCAGATCCTTTGACATTACCTCCTGGTGTAGGGGAGGTTTTGTGAGGGACTGACCAATCCTTGGTCCACTCATAGGACCGGAGCACGATTCATTCCTGCTCGTCCACTCCCTTGGAAAGAGCCACGGTGGATGATAGGATGGAACCGCAAGTTTACTCAAAGGGTGTTTGCTTGCATGGAAGGTTCCTAACCGGACTGAGAATCGACATGTCCAGGTCTCGCCGGTAGTCCTGAGTTCCACCAAATTGCCAAATACCACACGCAAGGTGTGGGCACAGTCCCAGGGCGCACACGTCCGCCGATTTTATGAGTTAGATCGCACTTTCTTTTGGAGTTGTTCCATGGTCCAAAATTTGGGTCACCCGGAGTAGTTATCGATCTGTCTTTTCATGATTTTTCTTCAGCAATTGCCAGTGTCGAGATTGCTCCCAACAGTACTTGCATTTTAGGAAAGGATCCACTAGGCTATGTCAAGTAAAATTGAACAATTTTTTATACAAAACCTCTCGTCAACCGTATGATGTAGATATGTCTTCATAGTCTTGCTAAATCTTGCTTGGCATCCTTAAACCTCCGTCCAATCTTATGACGGTACCGTTGAGCATGGAATTTTCGATGACTTGTCGGACTAGCTGGGCGAATTCTTCCGGTTGCCCTGCCCGCCGTGGGAATTCCATGACAGTTTCCAAACCCTTGAATAACTTCTTAGGCATGGCGGCAGTCATTCGCGATTCGAAGACACCTGGGGCAATAGTCATACAGCGTATACCATAGCGTGCCAGGTCTCTTGTCATAGGTAAGGTCATCGCCGCGACAGCACCTTTGCTAGCAGCATACGAAACTTGCCCCTTCTGTCCATCAAAGGCGGCTACCGATGCTACCATGATGACGACGCCTCGTTCTTTATCAGCACCTACGGGTTCGGTTTTGGCTAAGTGAACAAGACATTGCCGTACAAGATCAATCGTTCCCCGCAGGTTTATATTGACGACAAAGTCAAAACTATCTAGGGAGAAGGCTTGACCATCTCGATCTAGGATCTGTGAATCTCATTAATTTTTAATGCCTTGATTGGGTGCGATTGAAGATATAATACCGTAGCCGGGTTTCCTACACCCGCTGCTGGAATGATGCCACCCAACGGCTTGCCCGTTTGCTGTATCCATTCTATAGTTCCCTGCACGGCTGCTGCAATGCTGTCCGTCTCTAGGACGTCACAAACGAAGAACTTCCCGGATCCATCGGGGAGGCTCTTCACTACTGCAGCACCGTTCTCTTCGTTTAGGTCTAGGATGGCCACATTGCCCCCATTCCTACATATCTCTTCTACACATGCTTGACCAAGTCCGGAAGCTCTGTCTCCAAGTTAGCCTATTTTCATGTAGTTCGGTGAGTTCAGGGGTTTCGCACCCGCCGGACACAACGAAAGTTCTGCCTTCAATCTTCATGACTAGTAAGAAATAATATATATGCGTATATATTATATATACAAAGAATTAGAACATAGTAGAATGGTTACAGAGGAAAGGGATGAGATGATATGTTATCAATGACTAGAATCCAGCCACTTACACGTAGAGTTGAATGGGAATGTGGGGCAACTTGAGCCTCGGCAAGTTGGCATACACAGGTACAGACAGGTACGAAGTACAAAGACAAAACGGCCAGAACGTGGGTGGAAGCTGACTAACAAGGTAAGCCGGCTTATCCCTGTACGGCAGCTGGGCAGGTTCCCGCACTCCCCCCGTTTCGTCACAAGCCGGCTGATCACGATACTGATAAGGATAACTGAAACTAGCGCATTTCAGGTATGGCATTGACTTGTTTTAGTTAATACAGTAAGGCAGTCGCAATTCTAATCTAGAATCTTAATCGGAATACCGATCCTATTGATTCTACTTTACATATCCAACAACAGTTTTGATTGATTCTATCCTGGGTTTTCACTGATGATTCGCAAGTCTTTATTCCTGTAAATAATACCACCGTGTCTACGAAAGTCGCACCAAAAATCAGAACAAGATGACGCGTCCGCGCCGCTTATCGGCCGCCAGCGAGGAGAGTACGGGAACGGCGGGCGACCAGGTATGCTACAACACACCCGAGACAGCCGGCGGAGGACGGAAGCGAGGACGATGGCTAATGCGGCAATAGGAGCTCGGGAGCATGTACGATTATTTGGCCAAGATTATTCTGCTAGGACCGAGCGGAACGGGAAAGTGAGTACGATCGGTTATCCGCGATTCATGTTGGCGGAGGGCCCGGAGCCAAAGCATAGAGAATCATGCGCAAGAGGATGGATATCGAACCCTGATTAGCTACGAACACCCGGCTAACCATGGCAACATTCCGATAGGTCGTGTCTACTTCACCGCTTTGTCAAGAACGAATGGCGAGTTCTCTCCTCCCAGACGATCGGTGTCGAGTTCGCAAGCAAGATTATCAAGGTCGGCACCGGTGCACGACGGAAGAGGATAAAGCTACAGGTACGGCGATCTACCTCCCAAAGAAGATGGAAAAGGAACGAAACAGGTTAACACTACTTAGCTATGGGATACGGCAGGCACCGAACGATTCCGCTCCGTTTCCCGATCATATTACCGGGGTGCCGCTGGCGCTATCTTATGCTACGACCTCACATCGCACAACTCCTTTCGAGCACTACAGCCGTTTCTTAACGATGCGCGGGCGCTTGCGTCACCTAACCTGACGATGATACTTGTTGGAAACAAGCTTGACCTCGCAAACGACACCCTCGTCGACACAAGCCTCCCACCCCCCACGCCGTCAAGCACGAGCTCTTCTATACCGTATAGCACATCTGCCGGTACAGCCAGCGCTGGCGCTAGTCTCGGCACCCAGATGCGAGCTACGGTTGCGCCAGAGGGCAGGGAAGTCTCGACCACCGAAGCATCCCGATGGGCAAGCAGCGTCAACGTTCCCGTCACGATGGAAGTATCAGCTTTCTCGGGTGAGGGCGTGGACGAGATTTTTGGTAGACTGGCACGTATGATTCTAACTAAGATCGAGCTTGGAGAAATCGACCCAGACGATCCGATGAGTGGGATTCAATATGGAGATGGCGGCATGTGGAATGCTGGAGCCAGCGACGGGGGCAGCATCAAGAGCTCTATGACGGCAGACGAAGTTGGTCTCGGTGGCATGAGAAGAAGACGTAAAGGCAAGAGTCGCTCTCAAAACTGGGGCATGCGCGAGTGGGAAGAAGTGTTCACCCTAAGTCGTGGACGAGGTAGGGGGAACTGTTGCTAATACGCCTGCTACTAATACGGAATGGAGGAGGATATGTCGGAGGCTGGCTGTAATGACAACGAATGAGATGTGGGCCGGACGGAACTGGCCTTGGCAACAACACTACGATGATACCTACTTTGCGAGCGTCTTCACTTTTTTTGTCTTGTGTCAGGAGTTGGAGGCGAGCTTCGGAAAGATCCTCAAGAAGACCAGACCTGATAGAGTAATATAAGATTTCTTTTTGTCGCGTGTCTTTTTACAAGGATGTACAGGCCAAAGATATTAGGGATTGGATATCTGTTAGCCTTATCAGCGGGTAGCGTCCATCGATCTATCCCACGATGCCGAGACGAGCACCGATAAGCGGCGTGGGAGATGAGGCTCCGTCCTTTTCGGCGGACCGTCCTCCACCACCCATGCACTTCGGTAGATAGCCTTCCATCAGGCCACGACTTACTTCTAAGCTATGATTTATAAGACTTTTTCATTTCAAATAATATTCCGAGGGCTTCTTTCCGACTTAATACCGAATCATGACATGTAAAAGTATCATTTTGGTATAATATTCGTTGATACCGGGATGGCTCCGAAGAGGCTCCCGCTCCGTTACACGTGGCTAGCCCGATATGGCGGCGGGATGGTACCTTCCGCGATATGGGACCACTGGCGTGGATACGGCGACCTAGTGGCGTCTGGGGCGTTTAGAAGGTGGATCCGATCATTGGTCCTACCCACTTGAATGCTTCTTTCGAATTTCTTCTTGTTAATATTTCTTCAACGATCTAATCAGCGTTATACGTTATAGATACACGATCTTCATCACCCAAACCCCCAACCTCAAGTAGCGAGGGCTACCATTTTAACTCTGTCCACTAGCTCCCCAGGATGACGTTTTCCGTATTTAGTGATACGCAGGTACCTCTTCGATGGATGACCCGGTTATGCAGGTTACCGCCTCGAATTACCAATTAGAACGACGAACAGACAATTCCAATCCTTAAGGCCCGCGTCTATGTCGCATAGCGACAGCGCATGACCGCGGTCTAATCTACTTCCCTAAGCTATTCTCGGCAAGTCTCATCCCGCGAGGTCTTGGTTGCTATTGATCTCGCACAGCTCATTGCAAAGTCAACATTGTCGATAGTAGGCAATTCATCTCAATTGTGTCCCAACAAATCACAAGATTTGCCTTATCGATCTCACTTGTCCTGTTCGTTATATATTTCTGCACGATCTCCAATTACTTCATGTCGGTCAAAGGTATCTCGGAGCGGCTTGATTCCACGTTTTCTACTGTGGAAGGTGGTCAGGATTCCGAACAATTAAATGAAGCCAGTTCTGGAACATTTGATCTAAGCAAGCTTAATCTTGACATAAACTTAAATATATCTTCGTCTCCTTGTACTCTTCCTATATCTTGTTCTCGTGAAGCTCGATCCTATCTTCCCCTCAATCCCCAACTCCGCGAGATGGAACCCCGCACCGTGATCCCAATCGACAAGAATTGGGAGTTTAAGCAGACCGACAAGGAGGATAGCAAGTACCTCCCCGTGGGCCAATTCCCTACTAACGTTCACCTGGATTTGCTTGCCCATAATCTCATTCCAGACCCTTATATCGGCAAGAATGAGCTTGACGTACAATGGATTGGCGAAGCGGTCTGGGTCTACCGGACCAGCTTCCCTTCGCCTGCAACTAAGAGCTCTGCGAAAGCAGTTCTTGCCTTCGATGGCTTAGATACTTTTGCCACTGTGGTACTTAATGGAAAGACTATTCTGGAGACTGATAATATGTTCATACCTGAACGTGTCGACGTTACGGCCGACTTGAAGAAGAATGGCGGAGAAAATGAGCTGGCAATCACTTTCGATAGCGCTTACTTGCGTGGATGGAAGCTACTTGAGAAGCACCCTGATCATAAATGGGGTTGCTGGAATGGGGATAGCTCTAGACTGGCTGTCCGGAAAACGCAGTATCACTGGGTATGTTTCGAAAGGGGAGGTCAGAGAACTGGCTAACCATGTCCGAGTAATATCACAAGACTAACGTCCACAGGGCTGGGATTGGGGTCCAGCATTGCTGACCTGTGGTCCCTGGAGACCAATTAACCTTGAGATCTATGAATCGCGTATCTCTGATCTCTGGTTCGATATCGATGTGGGCAAGTCTCTAAAGGCCGCTACTGTTACTACTCACGCTCCTATAGAAGGCACAGCCTCAACGATTCAATTCTCCATCTCATTGGATGGCACTCCGGTTGCTAGTCAGGTAGTAGATGCTGGCTCGAGCGCCACTTTTACCATTTCCGATCCAGAACTATGGTATCCGGTTAGATACGGTAAACAACCTCTATATACGATATCAGCCACCTTGGAGGACAATGGCAAAATTATAGATACGATTTCCAAGAAGGTTGGCCTACGAAAAGCAGAACTTGTCCAGAGGCCCCTAAAAGGGGAACCTGGTACGTCATTCTTCTTTGAGGTCAACGGCATCCCTATCTTCTGCGGCGGCAGTGACTGGATTCCGGCGGATAACTTCATTCCGCGGATTAGTAAGGAGAGATACTACGACTGGGTAAAGTTGGTAGCAGACGGAAACCAATTCATGATCCGGGTGTGGGGAGGAGGTATCTACGAAGAGCAGGCCTTTTATGATGCCTGTGATGAACTCGGTATCTTGGTATGGCAAGACTTCATGTTTGGTTGTGGAAACTATCCCGCTTGGCCGGACCTCCTAGCCTCGATCAAACGCGAGGCGGAAGAGAATGTCAAGCTGCTAAGACATCACCCAAGCATCGTAATTTTCGCTGGAAACAACGAGGACTACCAATACGCCGAAAGTGTCAATCTTACTTGGGACCAGGATAATAAGGACGCCGAAAGCTGGTTAAAGACCGACTTTCCAGCACGATACATCTACGAGAAAATCCTCCCCGATGCCTGCCGAGAACTCGCACCGTCCATCTATTATCACCCCGGAAGTCCTTGGGGTGGTGTCGACACGCGAGATCCGACTGTGGGCGACATTCACCAGTGGAACGTCTGGCATGGCTCACAGGAGAAATATCAAAATTTCGATAAGCTAGTGGGCCGTTTTGTATCTGAGTTCGGCATGGAAGCATTCCCATCAGTCAAGACGATCGATGCTTACCTCCCTCTTGGTAAGGATGATCCGGACCGATATCCCCAGTCATCTACGGTGGATTTCCACAACAAGGCAGACGGCCATGAGCGGCGTATTGCTCTGTACTTGGTCGAGAATATGCGGTATGCACCGGATCCGCTTGAGCAGTTTGTCTACTGCACGCAGCTGATGCAGGCCGAGTGTTTGGCCTCGGCATACCGGCTTTGGAAGCGTCAATGGAAAGGGCCAGGACGCGAATATTGCTCAGGTGCTCTCGTTTGGCAAATAAACGACTGCTGGCCGGTTACTAGTTGGGCTATCTGCGATTACTACCTACGTCCTAAGCACGCCTACTTCACCGTCAAACGCGAGATGGCACCGTTGTCCGTTGGAATGACACGGCGAGAACACCAGCATCCGCGCAACAAATACACGCGCGTAGACATCGATACAAAGACACAAATCGAGATATGGGGCAGCAATCTTACTCTAGAGGACATAACCGTTGACTGCGTAGTCAAGGCCTGGGATGTCGAAACCGGGCAGGAAACATACAGCGAGACCATCAACAAAGAGCCCATCGTCCTCCCCAAGAATCAATCGACCGAGATCGCGGCCTTCGATGTCCCGGTGCCGAAGAAGGATAAAGGCATACATGCTAACCGTACCGTGGTCGCGGCGTACCTGGTTAGTCATGCCGATGGCACCCAGCTCGCGCGCTACGTCAACTGGCCCGAACCCCTGAAGTACCTTCATCTACCGAAGCCGAAGCAATTAAGTGCTAAGCTAAGCGCCGATTCTACGATGGTAGCCGTCTCGGCTGAGGTCCCGGTCAAGGGTGTCGCGCTCGAGTGCGACGATGACGGGGTGAAGTTTGAGGATAACTTAGTAGATATTGTGCCTGGTGAAGTGGTTGAGATTAAGGTGCGTGGTGCGAAGAAGGGCACTGTGATTGAGACTCGGTATTTGGGTATGGTTTAGATTTTGTACATACTTAGGTACTATTGAGAGAACATGGGATAGTAAAAGGCTTGAATGGTGGAATCTACATAGGGGTTGCGATCTAACCTTGGGTGAGCGTAAAGTCAATATATATAGACGGAACTAGAAAAATCCGCTTCAGTCATTGCTCCTGAGCTACTCTGTTTCTTATTTCCTTCGCCATAATACCTAGTATTATCGTGAGACTAAGATCTCTTGCTTCGAAATCAGGTATAATTTGTAGCTTGCCATGTCATACCTACATGGTGAATAATTAAGGTGAGATAGGCGAGACCTCAAATACCGAGCCTGACCACATCGTATGTTCTAAAATCTGGGTAGCTATATATCTATACTACCTACCTAGGTAAGGCTAGGTATACATGTACGCGTTGGAGAATGCGACCGCGTGCACGATCGATCCTATAGGAGTCCATCCGCGCTCCGTCGACGTCGTATTCAGCCGGGAAGACGCGGCACGGGTCGCGGGGAAAGAAGGGGTTCCGGTGGGAGAAGGTAATAGCTACTTGATAAATATATCAGCACGCATGCCTTGCTTATATTGTGAAACTTTGTCCTTCATATTAGTTACGTATATGGAAGAACTGCGGAGCTGTTTATTGCGAAGTATACAGTAGTGTGGTCATTGTTTCATGATGATATTCTCTATATCCTTACTTACTAGGTAGGTAGGTAGGAGAGCGTAAACTCGGTAGGTACTTGAAGTAAGTTTGACTTTTCTTATTATTCACACTGCTCTTCCAAATTCCTATACACATAACCCGTACTAGATACCTCGACGCCCACGCCCACTGCCACGCATGTACCAACCGACGTAGCTACATCAGCTTACCCAACCGTTCATTTACTGCTCACCAGACGCCGCGATGTAGTCGACGATATCCAATCGATACCAAACCATCTTACATACCCTTACTCACACGCTGTTCACCAGCTCTCCCATATCTCCTATCCGCACCTCCATCCCCTCAAGCAATCTTCTCATTCGGCCCCGCGATCAACAGTTTAATAACCTCGCCCTCCTTAACCTTCTTAAACGCATCCTCCGCCTTATCAAAGCTCACAATGCCGCTAATCAACTTCTTCACGTCGATCTTACCCGACGCCACCAGCTCAACAGCAAGCTTGTAATCGCCGCTGCCGTAGCGGAAGCTACCTTTAGCAGTAACCTCCTTGAGACACATAGCCATGATGGGGAACGTGATATCGGACTTGCCCATGCCGCCCTGGACGTAAGTCCCGCCCATGCGGACGACGTGCAGACTAGTCTGGATACTCGGCTCGGCGCCCGAAGCGTCGATGACGACGTCGGCGCCGCCGCCGAGACCCGCTTCCGCGATGATGTTGGCCGCGTTCTGCTCGGCCGGGATCCGCTGGCTGATGTACGTGTGCGTCGAGTAGAAGGTCTTGGCGAAGGCGAGCTTCGACTCGACGATATCCACGGAGACCACCTTGGAGGCGCCGAAGGCGCGCGCGACGGCGGCGCAGAGAAGTCCGACGGGGCCTGCGCCCATTACTACGACGGTCTGGCCCGGCGTCACGGCGGCTTGGCGCACGATGTGGACGCCGACGGCGAGGGGCTCGACTAGCGCTCCTTCCTGCAGAGACACGTTATCCGGCAGCTTGTAGCAGAAATCCGAAGGCGAGACCCAGAAGCCGGTCAGGGTACCGTCGTAGGGCGGCGTGGCGGCGAATTGCATGTCCGGGCAGAGGTTGTAGTGTCCGCTGAGGCAGGGCTCGCAGCGCCGGCACGGGTAACCCGGCTCGAGGGCGATGCGGTCGCCCTTCTGGAGGGTCTTGACGGCGGGCCCGACGTCGACGACGGTGCCGGCGGACTCGTGGCCCAGGACCATGGGGTCCTTGACGACGAAGTGGCCGATCGCGCCGTTCTCCCAGTAGTGCACGTCCGAGCCGCAGATGCCGGTGTAGTTCACGGCGACGAGGACGTCGTGCGGGCCCTTGAGGGTGGGCACCGGCCGGTCCGAGAAGGAGACGTCATGGGGCTTGTTGAGGATGAAGGAACGGTTCTACAGGTTGTGGGGATTAGAGAGAGCTGTTTTTGTTGGTGGGCGGGATTTTGGGGGCACACACGCTGGCGGTTTTTGGGTCCATCTTGGATTATTGTTTCGGGGATAAAAGGATGATATGGGAGAAAATATGGGAGCAAGTATGGGGTGAGATATAATATGATAGTATATCGAGCAAGAGATAGATATAATGGAACAGCTAAGATAAAAAAAAAGCAGCTCGGATTCAAGAATGAGATATGGTGTTCGTCGTATTTGATGATGTAAAAGGCTTAAATACCAAGACGAGAGAGAAAATCACTCTTGTTCAAACTTGGGTCCCCGTACTCGGAGATCTAAGCTGTAGCTAATAAGATACGATGGTCTCGTGAGAGCCGTAACACACGATAGCCCCCTGCAGAGGTTTAAAATCTCCTCGAACAATAAGATGTCGTAATGAACAGCTATTCGAGGGGTATGGAGCTGTGGTGGGGGGATCGGCCCCGGTCCGCCCCCGGTCTTTTCTTGAAGCTCAACATTGATAGTTCGATATTGCTAACACTTTGCAGCTTAGAGCTTCTATTCTTGGGCTAGAATCGCCCTTTGAGTACCTGGGTACTGACAGGTTGAGCCGCTCCAATCAACTCGACGACATTATCCACAATTGGTGGCCCAGACGTCATACTATAGTTATGTATAAAGCCACTTAGCTGGGTTGGTGTGCTGAGATGTGGAAAATGAATGGATCCTGGTGTTGACAGGTAGGGTAGCGATAGATTTCACTACGGGAGATAAATTAATTCCCTTTTGACATGTGATCAACTTTTGGTGTCGGCAGTGATATAAGTATCGTCAACCTCGCTATCGTCGGCAAACATACTCTTGCCGGCAGCTGTGTTTGTGATGGAAGTTAAGACGAACTAATAGATTATCTCCCACCTGAAGGTAACCCCTACCTGAAGAAATAGGGGAGCAGTGCTGAGATTATTGATAGCAGTCTGCGGGGTTTTGTGGGTACACGACATGGTTAGTGCGAGCAGGTGCGGGGGAGATTTAGCTCCGACTTTTGTCTGGCAGAAAAAGGTTACCGCTAATAATTTTTCCCACACCGCCCGGACCTTCGGAATAATGATCCTAAACAATTCTCGTCTTCGAAAAATGGCTTGAACTAATCGTCGCAAACCATGGATATCCTGAAAATTCTGTCCCGAGGGACAAAAAAATCAGCTGCTCAACCGACTGTTCCGAAACCTATTACGAAGCCGTCGAACCCTCAGCTTTATAATGATCCTACTAGAGGAATTAAGCGCAAGCGGAATGAGGAACCTGTATCGAATCAAGATGTCGACGATGATCTAGAAGATATCAATTTCTTCGCGCCACGTGCAACGAAAAAGCCAAGCCCTGAACCCGAGACTCCGGAGACTTCGAAAGAGGATACATCAAAACCGCTGCTTGATGAGGAAGAAGTGCGACAAATCCTTCGATCGCATCGTTTGAAATTCACACTCCTCTCCTCCCACGAGCGTAAAAAGTCGAAAGTGAAGAAGTCAAAAAAGAAGGAGGAGGATAAACCTAAGGAAAAGGATGGAAAGAAACAGCTCTTCCCGCAGCCATTGACCTCGTTCTCTGAGCTTCGGTCTACTTACAATATCTCGACTAGACTGGGGGATAATCTTGCGAAACAAGGGTATCGGATACCCACTGAAGTTCAATTGGGCAGCTTGCCATTGTTGCTGCAGCCGGATAGGGCGATATCGTCGTCTGCTGCAAATGAACTGCATTTCAAGACAAAACACGGCGTTCATTTCTTGGCGGTTGCTCCCACTGGTAGCGGTAAAACGTTGGCTTTCCTGATACCGGCTATCAACAGCGTCCTTCGTAGGAGAGCCGGTGATGCGGCGCAGAAGGATCACGTCTTAGAAGTAATCGTGGTTGCTCCGACGCGAGAGCTTGCGCACCAGATCGTGAATGAGGGGAGAAAGCTTGCGCAAGGCACGGGGGTCAAGATTGTGGGGATGAAGAAGGGCATGCAGTTCCCGGCAGAGGGTCAACCGGAGGGCGATTCCAAAGACGAAGAGGCCTCGGAAAGTGATCAAGAAGCAGGTAGCTCTGATGATGATGCAGGAGATGAAAAACAAGAAGGCAAGCCTCAGAAAGCGACCACAATAACTAAAACCGATATTTTGGTTACAACGCCCATGTTACTGAGGAATTTTCTAAAATCGAGAAGATTACCGACAGTCAAATCTTTGGTCTTAGACGAGGCCGATGTCCTCCTCGACCCCCTATTCAGGGAACAAACTCTTGGAATCTGGTCTGCCTGTACTAGCGACTCTCTGCGGGTGGCGTGTTGGTCTGCGACCATGGGTTCTAATGTTGAGGGATTGATATTGGAACAGCTGAAATCCCGAGCGTCTCACTCCAGCATTCCTCTCATTCGCCTTGTCGTCGGACTTAAAGATACGGCGGTCCCAAGTATCAATCACAAACTCATATATACGGCGACGGAACAGGGCAAGTTATTTGCACTCCGCCAGCTTCTACATCCCAGTTCTTCAGATGACTCAATGTCGAACATGCGACTTCCTTTCCTAGTTTTTACACAGACAATCGAGCGCGCCACAGCTTTACATGATGAGCTAAAGTTCGATATACCCGTTGAAGCTGGTGGCTCATCCCGCATCGCAGCTCTCCACTCATCGCTTTCAGATTCGGCTCGTTCTAATATTGTTGCTCGTTTCCGAGCCGGTGAGATCTGGGTTCTAATCACGACTGACCTTCTCATGCGAGGAATTGACTTCCGTGGAGTTAACGGCGTAATCAACTATGATGTTCCAACATCCGCGGCGGCATACGTACACCGAGTAGGCCGAACCGGGCGGGCTGGTCATGAAGGTGGTGTGGCCGTGACCTTCTATACCACCGAGGATGTCGCATATCTAAAGAGCATAGCCAATGTCATTTCCCTAAGCGAGAAGCAAGCTGGGAAGACTAGTGAGGAAGGCATTCCTAAGTGGCTGATGGATTCACTTCCGAAGGTTAACAAGGAAGAAAAGAAGAAACTTAAGAAGCGAGGTGTGGAGTCAAGGCGCGGAAACAAGGCTAAGATTACAACCCAGAGTGCTTGGGAAAGGCGAAAGGAACATAACAAACGCGGAGCTATCGCTGGAAGCAAGAAAAGGAAGATTCAGGGGGGCGTTAGTGATACCCAGGTAATAGATGACGGTGAATGGAGCGGCATTGATGATTAAATATCCCAGCAGCTTATAAATTTCTGGTTAACTATTTGATGTTATACTCAACTTCTGTTAGAGCTAGAAAGGCAGCTACAGCTTGTCTTATTATATAATCGCAAAAGAAAAACTTTGATTGTAGCCTTTTTGTAACAATATGAAACATGACGATTCTAAGAATGAACAGCGGTTACGGAGCAGCCATATAGAAATAGCTGACAAAGCACCGGGTATACCCCTATCTTATGGACAATTATATTCGACATATTCGAGCTATTGCATCAATTATTGGTCGAAGCTACATCGCGTCAGCGAAGCGGGAAATGACGAACTAGAGTATCGGACCGTCGGGGAAAGGGCGTTGTGGGCGCGGGAGTTCCTTCCGACGCCGAAGGCTCCACCTTCTGTCGATAACGAATCTTTAAGCTTGCAAACGGCAAACCTGCCGCACTTTCCTCCTGCCATACAAAGCTTCCCTCCTCGCCAATTAAAAGGGAGTGCCATTTTCGCAACCTGGATTCGGCCAACCTAAGCATTGGATATTAAGATGACACGGTCGCTCCCCTAGGGATATAGCACACCTACACCTAGGTAACCTACAAAAGAGACAATGTCGCGCCTCCTCGCTTCTCGATCGTCCGGCCCCGCGCTCCGCTGCCTCGGCATCCCCAGACCCCCGGTCCGGACGGCCTCGCCGCGCATCGCATATACGTATGTTGGCAGGAGTAGCAGCTTAAGGTCCTACGCCACGGAGCGCAAGGATGGAAAAGGGAAGAAGGATACGTTCCAAGGCCAGATGCTAGAGAGCATCAGCTCGCGCATCGCGCGCGAGAAAGCGGACCGCGAAAAGTTTGCTAGACAGCAGCAAGAGTCGGCGGGGTCGAGGCAGTGGGCTACGACGTTCGGTAAGGAATGCGTGACGCCAATGTGCTAGAAACGAGGGTGCGGGAGATGCTAATGCTTGTCCGTTAATTTGCTAGTCGTGCTCGCCGCCGCCGGTGTGTCGTATTTCCTAGGTACGCAAGCGCCCCGCGACCCCGAATCCACGTCGACGCTCCCGCTCTCCATGACCCGCGACCCGAAGTACCAGAACGACAAGGCGAACCTTGAGGCCGCGTGGGCGGACTTTGCGGCCATCCTGGGCAAGGAGAACGTGAGTACGGTGGAAGACGACTTGCATACCCATGCCAATTCCGATTGGTCGAGCTACCGCAACGAGGAGTCGCAGAAACCGTTCATGGTCATTTATCCTAGTACGACGGATGAGGTCAGCGCGATCATGAAGATCTGCCACACGAGGCGGATACCGGTGGTTGGGTATAGCGGCGGCACGAGTCTGGAAGGGCACTTTACGCCGACTAGGGGAGGCATATGTATTGATTTCAGGAGGATGGACAAGATCATTGCGCTGCATAAGGATGATCTGGACGTCGTCGTGCAACCAGCTGTCGGATGGGAGCTACTCAATGAAGAAATTGGCAAGGAAAATCTATTTTTTCCACCGGACCCAGGGCCAGGTGCTCAGATCGGAGGTATGATCGGTACTGGATGCAGCGGTACAAACGCCTACCGCTACGGCACCATGAGAGAATGGGTTCTTTCGCTCACTGTTGTATTGGCTGACGGCACCGTAATTAAGACCCGTCAAAGGCCGCGGAAGAGCTCCGCGGGCTACGATCTTACTAAGCTATTTATTGGAAGCGAAGGTACCCTCGGTCTTGTTACGGAAGCGACGTTAAAACTTACTACCAAACCCGCTAGCACGAGCGTAGCGGTCTGCGGTTTCGGCACGATTCGCCAGGCTGCCGACTGCGTCGCCAAGGTCGTCGGTCAAGGCGTCCCGGTCGCAGCCGTCGAGATCCTGGACGAGGAGCAGATGAAGTGCATTAACCAAGCAGGCATGACATCAAAGCAATGGAAGGAGGTTCCCACGCTATTCTTCAAGTTCTCGGGCACAGAACGCGGCGTCAAGGAGCAAATCCAGATCGTGCAGGAGATGGCGCGGCAGACGGGGAGCAAGAGCTTCGAGTTCGCGCGCTCCGAGCAGGAGAAGTCGGAGCTGTGGAGCGCACGGAAAGAGGCCCTCTGGAGCACCATGGCGGTGGCGAAGCCTGGCGAGCGAGTTTGGACGGGCGATGTGGCGGTCCCGATGAGCCGGCTGCCGTTGCTGATTGAGGAGACGAAGGACGATATGAAGAAGAGCGGGATGTATGGTACTATTGTTGGTCATGTTGGAGATGGCAACTTCCACATCATTCTACTTTCGAATGACGAGCAGAGGCATGCTGCTGAGGAGCTGGTACACCGTATGGTGAAGAGGGCTGTTGAGTTGGAAGGGACTGTGACGGTGAGTTTCTCTGGTCTACTCACATCTACTAAGAATATTTGTACTAATAAATATAGGGTGAACACGGGGTTGGTCTAGTCAAGAGAGACTACCTGCCACATGAACTTGGCGAGAGCACAGTCGACACTATGAGAAAGATCAAGCAAGCGCTTGACCCACTCTGCCTTCTTAACGCCGACAAAGTTGTCCGCGTACAAAAACCGAAGCCGGGCGAGGTTGCCGAATGGTGATTCTACGCTTTTTATGGCAATGTGTATAGGCAAGACCATGGCGATCATGGTTTCATCAATCCGTATATATATTTACTCCCTTGTCACCTATTGATCGCGACAGGAATCGCCCGAAGAATGTCAAACATTTGCAACTTAATGTGTGTTCTTCCCTACTACTATTTAGCAAGTGCGATTGTGAACCTAGGGAGGCGATCCCCAGCCGCACCGCCTATTTGCGCTCTATTAGATCCAAACATATACTCGGAGAGGTAACTATTCGTATCCCACTACGGCAGCTCACTAACTAAATCAGACCGCCGCTTCTCACCGACGCCATCCATACTACTAACTAACCTCCGAATCTCAAGGGTCGGCTCCAAGCTCCTATCACACGTTCATTCGTACACGAAACAGAAAGGCGAAGCCCCCACGGTGTCGAGCAGTTCGCGGTACGTGTACGTTTCACCAACAGGGGTGATGTCGAGGATGTCTTCTAGCGTCCCGTTGCGGCTCTCGGGTCTGTTCATCATGGTGATTGTTCCGGCCATGGTCTAAACGTGGTTAGCATCGTCTTCTACGGCAAAGGGACAAACGAGGGGTTAGAGGTTAGAGGTTACAGGGGAAAGGGGAAAGGGGCAAAGAGGTCTGCTCACCTGTCGCTGCTCCCAGTCGAGGTTCTGCCAGATGAAGTACATGCGGTCGATTTGCCCGTGGTGCAGGTAGAAGGCGGGCTCCAGAGGCGAGAAGTAGAAGTCCCCGCCGGGGTCACCGGCTTAAGTTCGTTGAGCGTCAGCATATGTACTTCTAACCTTTCAAGTCCAGTACACACACGCCAAGGACAGAAACAAGTTTAACTTACCGATGGAAAAGTGCCCACCGCCGTGAACAGCAAACCCCCACTTCCGGGCCTCAGGCCAGCGGAAGTCGCCCTGGACGTTGGCTTGGAAGAGGGCGATGTCGGGCGCTTCCAGAATGGTCTCGGTGGTGTTCTTGAGCGAGGCCCACTGGGCGCAGATCTGGGTGTTGAGGTCGCGCTTGAGGCAGCGCGGGTTGTAGGCGAGCGGGTCGGCGGCGGTGTTGGGCCCGAAGTTGACGGTGTAGTTGACGAAGGGGCCGTCGGTCACGCAGCCGCCGCCCGAGCCGCCCGGGAAGAAGGTGTTGGACGAGTTCGTCTTTTCCCCATTCGACCCGAGCGATGTCTCGGATCCGTCGAAGAGGGGTGAGTTTTCGACGCCGGTTACGGCGTCTAGGCCCCACTGTGATGGGGAGGGTTAGATTTGGAGTTTGGCAAGACACGGGAGGGGAGGTGAGCGTTGTCTTACCTCCCAGTAGGGGAATGTGCCGGTGTAGCCGCACATTGTCCGAAGCTTGTCCTCGAAGGTCCAGACGTAGAGTCTGTGGAAGAGGAGGAAGTATGCCTGATTTTCATGAGAATTGTTGCTAATAAGTCGTTGATTGTTGGGGGTTAGCATACCGAATTGTGGACGTATGGCGTCAGCTTATAATGCAGGACGCCGAAGCTATCAAACATCGTTCTACATAGATATTCGTCAGCGCCGAAGGACACTTCCCACCAGGGGGTGACTATGCGAGATCGCGACTTACCTTGGGCCTGTCATGTTCGGATATACATTTGGCGATGTCATCAGGCAATTCACAGCCCTAACGTAGTCTTTGCGCTCCTCTTCGGGAATATATCTCCTATTCAGAAGACGGTTAGTCCTCGGTTTCAAGGCCAAGAATATCCCTTTGGCTCACCATTCCTTTCGCACTCTCACATTATCCTTCGTACACTTTCCGGTTCCATCGAGACGAGCTAGAGCGGTGTCATAGGCCTGCTTGCTTATTTCCTTCAGAGCTTTACCTGAGTCGATGTCCTCCTGAGGGAAGTCGGCGCCGAGAGCTAGCCCCTGAAGGGACGCGCCCAAGAGGGCGAACGTCAGTAGTTGCTTGAAGAATCCCATTGCAACAGTTGCAGCAACGACCACTCTTTCGTTTTCTCCCCCCTCGGGGAGAAGACAAGAAATGCGCCCTTCTATATCTTACATTTTTTTCATATCGACAACCCCTATCCGCCAAGACTCGCCAGGCTGCGAGTATGGCAGAATGGCAAAATGTGGGGAACCCATGTCCGCATGGGAAGCGAATATATAAAGGGTCCAGGGGAGCGCGAGCAAGTAATGGACATCGAAGTTACCTAACAAGACAATATACAGAGGTAATTTTCCCAGTCTTCGTCGTCGCGTATATTAAATTCGGGCGCCCGCTATTGGTCGAGGACCGCCGATCGTCGCCTTAGCGATGGGAAAGGGTAGTGGACGAAGTGCCGGACGCACAGCGAGACAGTTTCCCAAAAGGGGGCAGGGCTAAATGTAATTTTTGACCGAATGATCATTATGATTGGTTCAAACCCCCTTTGCCGAGTCGCTTGATTGAGTGGTCGCTTGATTTCTGCCGCAAGAGAAAGAAAAATGAGCATGATAATGCCAAATAAGTCTATTGCAGGTGTATGAATGGTGTATTGCGTTCCTATTCCTTGCAAAGCCATGCGAAACACCGCCCAATAAACTTCCGTCTATTTAGATGATTAGTGACACTGGTCGAATCGCGATACGATAGGGGGGATGCAATACAACGCGGACACGAACGGCCCGGAACGAGACGGCACTCGAAATGTTCTCTCTTCATTTAACATTTATCCACCAAGTTGGGACTGGGGTTTGGGATATTGGAACACGGCCAAACTTGGTGCAAGACGCGTATGCGCTCCGCCGTAGAATGTCTTGTATAATTACTACAAGGCTCGCACACGGCACTTGCATCTCGCCCGGCGCAGTAGCGAATGCTGGACATGCCGGTTTGCCGAGTTGGTGGGTTCAGCCAGCTGCCACTCTTTCATGTGCTTTCGGTCGATAAGCGATCGTGGAATCTTTGCTGGGTGAAAGATGGCTATGATATGGAAACGTACAGCAGATTAGAGAAAAACTCAGTTACCTTAAGCCAGATTTGAACGCGAATTCCCTATATGCCTGCTTAGAGGCCAAACAATGAGGCTAACCTAAGGATCAGCTCTTCTAACTTGACAGATATAGCAATCACCTTCTTAACGTCCCTCAAAACATCCCCTTACAGACACGTTGTTATCTGTGGTGCGCTGTAGGGCTTGGAGATGTTGATGAACGAATTTGCCGGTTGATAAAGTAAAAAATATGTCATGATAAGTCTAATCGGATTTTCTGTATTTGTCATGCTCAATGACATCCTAACATGAGGCAATATCTCCCGAAGCGTCTTTATGGGTATAGAGACACCCCCTCAGCTCGGTATCTACGTATCCTACTTATCATTCATAGTATGAACAATAATCAGAGTTAACGTCAGTCTCACATTCATCGCAAATAGGAGTACCCTTATATAGATGTTATTACTGCTTCATGAACCTCTTTGGAAACATCCCCCTTTCTCAAATACTTCCCACCTCCATATTCAACCCAGCCTTTGCTCCTTCTCTATTTTAGGCCTTGGTGGCTGCTTCATAGTTTAGGTCGTATTAGTATGTAGCTCTGTTCCCTGAGGGTCTTATGGACGAGACCTTGCGCACCCTGGCACTGCTCTTCCCGCAATCCGAGTTTAATTCCCCAAGCTCGTGGAGGAGGACAGTTAGAGTGCTTGTTTCTAAGAACTGTGCTCTAAATATCAATCATTCAGTGTAAATACCTCGTGTTGCACGCCACAGTAACCTACGAGCAGAGGAGCGACATATCGAATATTTCAACCTCTGAAGAGACCGCTTGATCATTCTCAAGCAAAGTATGACGGCGCAATATCAAATACAACATTTAATGGTGGTACGACATGCAGAATAGTGAGCGATGGTATAAGTTTTGGATTGCTATACTTGTGCTCATCGTCACGAAGAGTTCAGAGGTTGTCCAATATATCGAATGTGGATTATAGCTATACAAAGCTTACTCTCCTGCTTCGCAATTGGATACTTAAACATAACCTTAAATCCAAAGCCTATGTTATTCAACAAGTTAATCTCGTGGTAATAACTGTTGTTTTAGTCAAAGCTATATGCGCAGTCATTTAGCTTAGTCATCAACAGAAATAGGAGAAACTGCCCCTGGCATAGAAAAGGGGTATATGTGGGGCTGATATGCTGGTGAAATGATCACAACAACATTGTTCCTAACAGCACTCCATTTTCTTTGTTTGGTAATTGGAAGCCCTGAGAAAGACTTTAACAAACCATTGTTAAAGATAATCTTGAGTTTTCGGGTTTTAACGCGGGTAACAAAGCGTTGCACGGGATATAATTGTATTATTCCTCCTGATCTATTATGAAGTAAAGAATTATAGAAACACAAATTACGAACCAACTTATAACAATAGATCATGTGTATATATCCTTTAATTCGGTACATAGCTCGATATCAACGACCCGTCATCATGTCTTCGCGGGGTCCATCTGGTCCTCCATCTGGTCCTCAATCTGGTTCTCCACCCGTCAGTGATGGAGATTCTTGGGGTACTGGTAGTGATGCTGAGCAGACTTTCTGGGATGATGTTACATTAGAGTTAGCTACCCAAACGGGTCAAGTCACCGAAGAAGTTAAGGAACTCTTGAGCACACAAGCTACACGGTTCACGTTCGAGACTCTCCTCAGCGCCAACAACGGCGTGGCAATGATCATCAGGGAGAGACTAGATAACGGGCAAGAGCGAAAGTTCGTACTTAAAGCAGCGGCAGGTATTGGCTCCGAGCATAGTATTAGAAATGAGGCCGCGTGGCTACACCGCCTTCGATATGCAGCACACGTCAGTACCCCTATTTACCTGAGTAATGATCCACTTACACCCCTTAAAGTCCCTTACTTCCTAGCGGAGTATGTCGCACACGGGACGCTCCGTCAATTTCAAGAGAGGGCAATGAGAGCTAACCAGATTATACCGAACCGAATCATGTGGTCTATATTTGCTTGCCGTAAGAACCAACCCGAACCCCCAGTTTTTATGAACGCTTTCTAACTATTTGACAGTGATACGAAGCTGTATAGCAATGGCTTACCATCCTCCAGGCCCGCATATACAATTAGAGGATACGCAAGTCGGAGAGCCGTCGAGCCTCGCCCATAATGATATGCATGGAGATAATTGTAAGTATTTCCCCATAGTCACCCCGTATAAACCTTACTTTTGTCCAGCCGCTAACTCTTATTAGTTGTTTTTGGTATGCTCGAAAGGACAAGACTATTATCTATGGGCGGTACTATGTATCTCCACGAACACGCTCTTTTACCACCACTAAAACTGATAGACTTCGGTCAATCGTCAGATTCTATGACAGCATATCCTACGGAGGTAAATGAGCAATTGCTCCCAGAATATGACGATCTATTGGGGTTAGCAAACTAGTGAGTACCCCGAACAATCTAATTATATGAACAACTGCTAACATATGTTCACAGCCGGCCAGAAACTGGGAGACGAAACCAAGGCATTGATCAAAATCTACTAGATATAGGGCTTGTAAGTCACTCCTTTTTCATTCCCCCCTCTTTTAACTAAATAGGCCGTTAAACTAACTAAGGAAACTCGTAGGTTATGATTCGATTATCAAACGCGCGGACGAGAGTTACTCTAGAAGAGGCGCGTCTCTGGATACGACACCCCGGTATTCGTCCTGACCTCGATCCTGATCTTCGACTCTTGATCCAAAGGTGTCTTGCCGTTGATCCTCTCAACAGACCCCGATTGGAGGAATTGAATATGATTATCAACAATGGTTATTTCGGTAAGACTGCGGATCACTATGGCGAAGCCGGACAAGGGAACGGACTTGAATCTGATGAGACGTTGAGACGTATTGTGTCCGCGTATATCTTGGATGCTGATACCTCTTGAGGTATTATCCTATCTTACTATAGGTAAGTTCTCGAAATCATAAGGTACCTTTTGAGCCTATTTCAAGAGTAATTTAGTAGATGAACAGTACTATATGCAAGGCAAATCCTCGACCATCCCCCCTTTTTAAGTAGAACCACTTTTTGTGCATTCTACCAAGTAGAGAAACTCTAGGGTTAGAAAAGCACGATATGAATACACGATATATAACTGTGTCTCAATAAATATGAATACATCCAAAATCCAATCCCACAGTCCCACTGCTCTTCTAGGTCGCCTTCTAACCACCATCTAGGTACTCTTCAAGGTACGTATATTTAGCTCAACAAAACTTAGGCAGTATAGTTGCACGTATTGTAATTCTCCATGTTGTAAGACGATTGAGTGAAACGGGCATTGACCGTATAGGTACCTATATTTACTCGCAAGATTGGCTAACCCTACTCCGAATTCTCAGCGAAATTTACCAAAAATTATTCGTGGAGTGCATAAACTTGTTGGCAGTAACATCTTTGCTAGTGTGACAAAGGCTATCTGGGCTTGGAATAGTGGTTCAGATTCAACTGATAATTCTCTTTGGTCTTGAGGTCCTTGATCCCTCTTCCTTTTCCTTCGAGTGGATCTAGTGGATTTATTTAACTTCTAGGCGCCTAGATTGCATTCTGGTCCTAAGCGCCCGTCCATCTCGTGTTGGTTCTCGGGCATATATCAATACAATCTTCTGATAAGTCATCAGCCAATGAGGTTCAATTTACTTCCAACACATACAGTATGCTTCCCAACAACGTATCCGGATGCAGGCCACTACCAACGGTCTCCTAGCAACCGTTTCCGTGTGACAGTTGGAGTTCCTCAAACATTGAGGGGTAGAAGGCCCTCTTACGTGGAAGGTTAGTCAACGCGCATGTTGTCGCCGTCCCGGACTACTTTTTTCGTCTTCAGTCCTGCTGTAGGTAGGTAATCAACGGCTACGTATAGCTTCCTAAAGGTAACGGCGTCACACAGGTTTAGCGCCGAACATTTAAGGAATTACATGCCTAATGGTAGCTTACAACACTTGTTGGCCATACATCACAAGGCTCAGTTGATAATGCTGCTGCAATGCATTAAATAGGTATATATAAATCCCACGCCTATTGGTCGCCTCGCGTAGTGTTTAAGATGTACCTAGGTAGGTAGGTAGGTAAGTACAGGTACAAACCTAGATTGGTAGGTAGGGGTCTTGGCCACACAACTGCCGTCCCTTCCCGCTTCTCCAAGTTCCCCCTTTCTTACTGGTTCTTGCCATATGTCAGCGGTCATCTATACAAGGGTCTCCCATATAGATGGTACCCAGTCAAGGTTTAGTCACTGCATCCGCGGTATGTCGCATGGCGGACCTGCTTTCGGGAATTTCCCTTTTGGTCTCTCTAGCCGCCAGTTCCAGCCCCCAATCAGCCCTTCCAAAAATGGGAATGGAGGGTGGGGGCTAAATGATCAGGCCGAGCTCTCAGGGTGCCCCACCATTCCCGGATCTTTCCCGGCTAGGTATGCAAGTCAATAAGTTGCGCCAAGAACAAATGCCGTCTCGTGCTTATGTAATGCGATACCGCCAGAAAATGTGCTAACACTATTGAGATATCCCCTCCATTACTTATTAGGTAATTTATACATTCTGTAGCTGCGGCAAATGCTGACTACGTAGCGCAGGGGATAGCGAATCAGACACCTTCAACTCCTTTTTATTGGCATAGCAACTGCAGACGATACTCATACGCCCAAGCTACATACTATAATCAATAAATGAAGATGCTTTTTTCGCGCAACAGCCTCAGTCGGAATTTCTTCCGCCATAGAATCCTGAGATCCTGCTAGGTAGACTAGCAGATTTCCACCCTACGAGCGAGCCCCAACTGATTCAAGAGACGCTAACTTGATACCCGAGTATGGCTTTGGCATCTTTCCTGCAGTTAAGTTCGACCCAGAGGCGACATGTATCAGGTTTCTTGAACTCTTGAAAGCCGACCGTAGGCTCAAGAAAGGTCTGGATTCTTGGGAGAAGAGCTTCCACGATGCCGCAGCAGCTGGCACGCAGCTTATGATGACCGCAACATTTATTTCGACAGCACTTATATTTACTTGTCAGCTAGTCGCCGTCATGAAATAAGTAGTAGAGAACTTACACGGTCAAGTAGGAAGACGCGACATACCAGGTCGCGTCTTGTGTCATGTTCTTCCAAAGCACTACGCGGAAATACAAAACGAGACAGCTACTCACGATCCCACTGCCAAACCCATGTTAGTACACATTGCAAATGAGAAACAGAGCAAATACGAACATGGCCGCAGTTGCGAAAACCAAGCACAACCCGATTTTCCTCCTCCTCGAAACATGTAGTTTGAGCAATATCGGAAAAGGCAAGATCAGGATATACAAGTCGGATACCACACTTATGAGGCCCATAATAACGAAGGGAAGCTGGGCTGGAGTGCTGCTTAACGACAGAGCAAGGTCCCAATGTTGATGGGCCCTGAGGGGGAAGTTGTACGTGACCGAGACGGGAACGAGACTCCAATAGGCACAGAAGAGGAACGCGATTCCAGTGTGGCAGCACCACCACATCCATCTAACAATGCCGAACGCGCGCAGATACATCGTCAAGATGGCAGTTTTGGCGAACCACATAGCCGGCCCGTAGATAGTCCCGAGAACCGCGCTGCGCTGTGTGGTGTTAGATCGTGTCGCCACAGTCGAATTGGACCTCACCCACTTTAACCCACGACGCATCTATGGCGCCGAGGGGAACGTCCCAGGCATGTCGGGCAGTAGGAGTTGCTAATTCTGATCAGCATGCACTACGTTATTCAGCTATCAAGCCTACCCTATGTACCTGATATGACAATGGCACCGTAAACCGTCGCGAGGATCCATGCGACAATACAAAAGTCTGTTGTCTATTAACACCTCTTCGTGTAATCGACGAAATCTATGTCAGATCCAACTCACAATCGTCATATGTGAACTTCTCTTGCCCTTTCAAGTTCATTCGGATTCTAAACAGCACCATTAAGAACGATATAACCATCAATATGATGATCACCGCGCATGTAACCGCCTTGAGCGACGGAGGGTCGACAAAATTCGGAGGGGAGCCATCGGGATTTGCGATGAAGGCGATCTGAGAGAGGTCCGCGCCTGGCGGAATTTCCATAAACATGACGACGAAAACAACTTACATGATAATTACATCCTGGGACGCTCGAGGAGCACGCATACAGTCTTTTAACTCCAAGATATCTTACCCTGATCATCGTTTCAGAAATGCGGTTAGGACGAAGTACCTATACCTACTTCTCCCGAATGTACTAGGTTGGCTACGGGTTGGGTTGCAGATAACACTGCCCCTCCAAATTTGCGCCAACATCCAACGCCCACCCTCCCAACGCATTGATGTGTATATACTGGGTTACGTTATTGGCTGTGAAAGATCACACTATTGGAATAAAGAAGGTGTGGGTCGGTCCAAGGTATTCAACTATTCTTATTCGTGATATATCTCACAGAGTCTACGTATAGCTAACTCTACCTAGGTTGACTTCCCATCGACTTGCGCGGTGGGTGACAAAATATCGCTAATCACAAGTCCAAATCAATTCATGCAGATATGGAATCAACAGTGGATCTCATCTTCGGAGTTTAAATGGACCCGCCCCTGCGGACTCGAAGAATCCATCCGGATCGTATTTCGCGCTGGTCTTCAGCAAATGTGCCTTACTCTCCGGGCCATACGAAGCAAATGGATCCTGGTTAGGGAACGTGTAGTTCAAGTATCGATAAGATGCTGATACGTTCTTGTCTTGTGCCTCCTTCTCGATGGTTGCAATCGCCTCCTTATTGACATCGTAAACGAGCTCGTCATCACTTGCATTATCCCAAGAAGTATAGAACAACACAACGACGAGTGGTCCGTCTTCCGGCTTAAGTCCTAGAGAGTTTCCACCGCGGATGATAGAGTTCTCCATCATAGATACCGGTATCGGTTCGAAGGTGATCGAGAAAAGGATGTTTGCGACCCCCTTTAATTTGTCAAATGCCGCGTGGTAGGCTTTGACAGAATATTCGAGGATGTCAGTATTAGCCTTGACAGTTGTAGACATTTTCACCACCCTATCTTGATATCAGCATCTCCAAAATAAGGAACGGCATTAATGTACCCACCTATTTGCAGTCGCACCAGCAAACCCTTCGCTAGTGAAGTTCTTGAGGCTGTCGATGCGTAAGCTATTCATTTGGTCGATCTGGGGCTGGATGTCCGCGAATGGCTCAAGCGCTTTGGGCTTTTCTGGCCTCGTACTAAAAACATCGTTCATACAAACGAAGTCTCCAAAAGCGCCGGCATATCCAAGACTGACGCAGATGTGGACGTCGGTATCGGGCTTTGGATCATGCAGATAGTCGACAAGACTCTGTATCTGCCTGGAAAAGCTAGGTTGGAAGTAGAAGACCTTGCCGCCCCATAAATGGCCCTGTTCGAAGACGCGGAGGTCAAAGCGAGTGACGATCCCGAAGTTGTTTCCTCCGCCTTTAAGTGCAATCCATAGGTCGCTGTTCGTTTCAGCATTGGCGTTCACGACTTCTCCGTTGGCGAGAACAACTTCGTAATTAACTACATTGTCGCAAACAAAGCCACGGCTATAAGAGAAATATGACAGACCGCCTAGACGAGTCAGAACACGATTCACATTTTGGATATTAAAACTTGCCTTGAACAGCGTCTCCTCCAATCCCGCCACTTGAATGTCGGTTGCCTACGACACCAAGTCCCGCACTCATTACGACTTCGTACACATCTCCCATCTTTTCACCAGCCGCGACCGAGACGATTTTATTCCCTAGGTTAAGCGTGATGCCTCTGAGATTTTTCAGATGAATCGTAATGCCATCGCGGACATTGGCAACCCCAGGGGTTGCCTGCTGGCCGGCGCCGCAGATCGCGACTTTGGAATGAAGCCCGAACGGCTTTATAGCTTTTAGAATGTCCGCAACTTGAGATGGTGAGCCCGGCGTTAGGAAGCATGCAGGCTTCAGCTCGCGTTCCAGCTCCGAGAAGTATGATTTCGTAAGCTCATCGTACTCTTCAGTCCCTGGAAGAACTACTACTTCGCTTGAGATGTTCTTAACGGCTTCTATTGCTTCTGAGACAGGCATTGTGAAGAGATAGCAGGAATAACCTCAATTTTGACAATAGCTTACGGATGGTGCTTGATGCGGAGGATTTATTGGCAGGTTCTTGTTGTTGTTGGTAGTGTTGTATTATTGTTTAACGTCTGAAGGAATGGTCCAGCGATCCTATCACCAATCTCCCAGGGAGCATGGGATGTGATAAGCATGTAAGGGAGTGTTCTAACCGAGAGCATAAACTTTTGTTGGCTATGGGATTACAATGCGTCTTCAACTAGTATTTAATCAGAATGAAGCGAACCATGGGAAACGAAGAGAGATTACAGCGAGCCTTTCAGAGAGATCTGCGTAAGCTCAGTCAAAGTGAAGATGTCATCCTCTAGAACCGCTTGGATGAGTCTAAATGAGGACCACAAAAGCGTCATGAGTGTCGCGTTCCGAAACCTGAGCGTCCGCGCATTTGGGCGACAGACGGATTACCAGCGCACCATTTCTAACTTCTTTAACGCCTGGTTGGCAATTTGTGCCGACTGGGTTATGAGAAAGCCGAAGCTTCGAGTTGACATTTTGCATGATTTCGATGGCCTCGTATCGAGCGGCGAAATGCTTCTGGTGCTTGGGAATCCCGGCAGCGGATGCACTACCTTGTTGAAAACTCTGGCAGGCCAGACATATGATCTTTGCGTAGACGCGCAGTCAATTCTGAACTACCAAGGTCAATCTTCATCCCTTAGTTAGTCCGTATATCATCATGTGCTTATGTAACTGTCCAGGTCTCTCATCGAAGCAAATGTTCACCGAGTTTCGAGGCAAAGGCACGTATCAAGCCGAGTTTGATATCCATTTCCCGACCTTGACCATGCGAGAGACCCTCGAATTCGCGTCTAAGGCACGGAAACTACCACGCGACTGGAATGAATGTCGTGGCGCTGTCGAAGCCATGGCTCGCACTTTAGGTCTTACTAAAGCGCTTGATGTCAAAATGGGAAATGCTTTGGTCCCCGGTGTCAGTGGAGGGGAGCGTAAGAGGACAAGCATCGCGGTAAACACGATCAATACCCAGCGGGTTCACAGATATGTACTTACTCACTCCATCAGGAAATACTTCTAGGCGATAGTGTCTTCCAGTGTTGGGACAATAGTACCCGAGGGTTAGATAGCGTTAACGCTGTCGATTTCATCAAGACCTTACGAAGGCGCACGTCAGAAAGCGGATCCGTCGCCATTGTGACGCTCTATCAAGCCGGCGAGGACATCTATAACGTGAGTAGACCTGTTCTTGCGGGGTCTTTATGTGATATTCAGGACACTCACATATCATAGTTATTCGACAAAGTAACGGTCATACACGAAGGGCGGCAAATTTATTTTGGACCGACTCGGGATGCCAAAAAGTACTTCACCGACCTCGGATTCATTGTACCACCTAGGTCCACAACGCCCGAGTTCTTAACTTCTATTACGAGACCTATTGGTCTACGTCCCCAGACGAGGGAAGACAACGTGTGGCCTCCGCGAACTGCCGCGGAATTCTCACAGGCGTGGAAGAATTCTCCCGAATATAAGGTGTTGGTCAACCAAGTCGACGATTACAACCAAGTTCACTTAGTAGGAGAGGATAGCCTTCGTAGGGTGCGAAGAGAGCTGAAAGGCACCGAAAAGAAAAGGTTAGTTCGCTTTCATGTTTACTCTACCATACCAGATCAGATGTACTAACCAGGTACAGATCCCCCTACGTCCTCCCAGTCCTGAAGCAAATCGGATTGTGCGTACACCGAGGCTTCCTTCGTCTGCGCCATAACTTAGCAGTGCCCATATCTACCATCATGGGCAACATGGTCACTTCCATTATCCTTGGTAGCATGTTTTATGATATGCCACAGAATACCAGCAGCTTCTTTGGCCGCACGGTGTTGTTATTTTTCACAAGTCTAGTCAACACAACATTAGCTGCCTTCGAGGTGAGGAGCTTCAGCCCCTTTTCCCCTTAATCGTAGATCTCGGCTTACACCTAGTAGTCTGTCGCACTATGGGATGATCGTCCAATCATCGAGAAGCATGTTCAGTACGGTTTCTATCATGCGTTTACTGAAGCCATCGCATCTTTTTCTTGTGATCTGCCCAATAAACTTGTCCTGACTTTTGTGTTCAATTTCCCTCTCTACTTTCTGAGCAATCTTCGGCGTACACCAGGTGCATTCTTCACCTACTACCTATTCGGCTTGATGAGTCTTCTCAATGGGTCCGTGATATACAGATCCATGGGCGCCATGTCCCGGACTCTGGCTGGCTCTCAACCTCCTGGTGCCGTGCTAGTCATGCTCTTGACTATCTACAGCGGGTTTGTCGTACCATTCCGAGAGATGCGCCCGTGGCTTCAGTGGTTCTCGTATATCAACCCTGTGTACTATGTCTTTGAAGCCATGGTCGTCAACGAGGTAGCTACTATACGCAAGCCGATGTACTCAACTCTGACTGATGTTTGATTAGTTTCACGGACGCGAATTTGACTGCGCAACATTCATCCCCGAAGTAAATAGAGATGCGTCTCACTTCATTTGCTCTAGTGCTGGTGCTACGCCTGGGAAGACTACAGTTTCTGGGGACGACTATGTTAGAGCAGAATTTGGGTTCGAGCCCGGGCATCTTTGGAGGTTTGTCACATTAATTTCCTTCTCCATATCTACATAGGCTGACTAGAACAGAAATCTTGGTATTTTAATTGCCCTGGGAGTCTTTTTTGCATGGACCTATGTTACCGCCACCGAGTACATCACCATGCTTCCGCCAAGATCGGATATTTTACTTTTCCAGAGAGGCCACATGCCCTCTACTGCTCCCCACGTTGAAGACGAGGAGATGGGCACATTCCATCGAAGCAGTGGAGAGAACTTAGTCGAGAGCAAAAAGCCAGCGGACGATATGCTTGGTATCAGTAATGGCGCTCACCTTCTTTGGACTGACCTCAGTTATTCTATCAAGGAGGGGAAGAAGGAAAAAGTTATTCTGAACAATATTTACGGCTGGGTCAAGCCTGGGACCCTGACGGCACTCATGGTTCGTGTTCATACTCTTCTTCTTCACCCCTTTTCTCAACCCCTTTCTAATATCCTCTAGGGACCTTCGGGAGCCGGAAAGACTACTCTTCTAAACGTCCTAGCCGAGCGAACTACAATAGGAGTCGTCACTGGCAACAAAACAACCAATACACGGTACCAAAATGTCGCATTTGCTCGGAAGATAGGTTACGCCCAACAAGACGACATACATCTTCCCACGACATCTGTTCGCGAGGCTCTTACATTCAGCGCCCTACTTCGACAGCCCGCACACTACTCGAAACACGAAAGGATTGCTTACGTCGACCACGTGATCGAGTTGCTCAACATGGAAGCGTTCCAACACGCCGTAGTCGGCAGGCTCAACGTAGAACAGAAGAAGCGCGTAACAATCGGCGTTGAGCTGGCCGCGCGACCAGAGCTTCTTCTCTTCCTCGATGAACCGACAAGCGGTCTTGACAGCGACTCCGCCTGGTCTTTCTGCACCCTCTTGAGACAGCTGGCCGATAGCGGCCAGGCGATCGTCTGCACTATACACCAGCCGTCGGGTCCGCTCCTGACTTTATTCGACCGACTCCTGTTCCTAAAGGAGGGGCATTCGATGTACTTCGGCGACTTTGGACCGGAATTCCGTACCTTGATTCAGTACTTTGAGAGTCATGGAGCGCGTAAATGCTTGGCCCATGAGAATCCTGCTGAATGGATGATGGAGGTCACGAGCGATGATGCGACTAGCGATGGGACAAACTGGGCCGACATATGGACCAATTCCTTGGAATACGCTGTCGTCAGAGACGAGTGCCAGCAGATGCAACAGCGCTTGTCCATGACGACGGCTAAAGGAGACATGAACGAGGATCGTGCCACCGAGTTCGCAACGTCGTTCTGGTATCAGCTTGGAGTTGTGACCGAGAGAGCTTTCAAGCATGATTGGAGGTCCCCAGAATATCTATACTCGAAGAGTCTCACTACCTTCGGCTGCGTAAGTGACACCTACCCAATCTCCCCCACGTCTCTTATATCTAATATCGATCACAGGCATTCATCAACGGAGTGAGCTTCTGGGCATCAGGATACACGTCCCAAGACATCCAAAACCAGATCTTCTCCCTCTTCCTCCTAACCACGATATTCGGCACGCACGTACAGCTGATAATGGAGCGTTTCTACCACAGCCGGCTCCTCTACGAGAACCGCGAACGGCAGTCGCGCACGTACTCGTGGCTAGCCTTCCTCATCTCCAACATCGTAGTCGAGCTCGCCTCGCAGACCGTCATCAGCGTTATCGCGTACGTAGCCTGGTACTACCCCGTCGGCTTCTGGCGGAAGGCGATCGACCAAGGCGAGCTTAACAGCCGCAGCGGGCTCGTCTTCCTGCTGATATGGTCTCTGCTTGTCCTGTTCCAGACCCTTTCGCAGATGCTTATGACTATCATGCCTGACATCCCGACCGGCATCAACAATGCCAATCTCCTCTTCATGCTCTCGTTAATATTTTCTGGGTAGGCATCTCACACCTCTTTCTATAGTAATGCAAAGTACTAACATAACTCGCAGTGTGCTCGTACCCCCCGACGCGCTTCCCCGCTTCTGGATCTTCATGTACCGGGCGACGCCGCTGTCGTACTACATCTCAGCCATCATCTCAACCGGACTTTCCGGGTCGGACATTTATTGTTCCTCGAATGACCTCCTGCGACTTGATCCTCCTCCGGACCAGACCTGCGGCTCGTACCTCAGTGCTCCTTCATCTGTGGTTCTGAACCCAGATGATAGGGTGGGGTGCCAAGTATGTCCTTACACGAGTGCTGACGCGTTGCTGGCGTACTTTGGCATATACTACGACGACCGCTGGTGGCAGTACGGCGTCACGATCGCTTACAATGTGATTAACCTGATGCTAGCGTTGTTGCTGTACTGGTTGGTTAAGGTGCCAAAGGGGCCTAAGAAGGAGAAGAAACAGTAGCGGCGTTCATTAGGTAGATGACTGTATTTGTCTGCTGTTTGTCGGTTTCGTATGTTCTATCATTTGCCCAGGTAATTCAGAAGACATATTCTATGGGGTTGTGGGAATGACCTTGATGGCCGGTTCTTTTTGGAAATTTGACTCACTATTCATGAACTTAATTGGCAGCCTCTTTTTATCTGTAGCTTTATACCCAACCATTGCTTGTCTATATTCTAGGCTTAATATGGAACTCCCAAGACCATTAGCCCTAATTCGTCATGCATTCGAAAGCCCCGGAAGGAATATCCTTGCTCATAAATATATTGCAGACCTACATCCCACAATACAGATCCTGGCATAACCACATAGATCTAGCAGGCGTCCTTTTGTGTTATATCGCATTGCGCGTCAGCACTACTCTCGCCACCAGCAGCTGACTCCAATGGAAGCTATCAGTGCCTCGGCGCACATATTCAAGAGCTCCAATTTCCGAAACCGCTCGGCAGTTGTCAGAGCTACCAGGGGTCAACGCAAGCAATTACCACCGCGAAGACCATCGTGAAAGCCGTCGCAATACGACAGAACAGCGTCATCCCGGCAAAGAGCTATGATGCGACTGGCTAATGCGTATCTAAGATCCTGCGGAATACCGGCGTCGTGATCCTAGGTTAGGTAGGTAAAAAACCCTGCTCGTCCATTTCAGATAATATCGATATTATCACCCACCCACCAACCTCGAAGCTAGCGATAAAACGGGGCTGACTCTGGTCGGTAGGTTATTAATGGGGCGTGTGCCTGCGTCAAAACGGCGGTCTCGTGATACGCTCCTACGGACTTGACTCCGGGGCATCTCATTTGCGGAATGCGGTCGCGAGACATGTATGTAGTTAGATTGTTATGTAATCAAACAACCCAAGCTAGCGTGCTAAGGAAGGAAAAAAAAGAAATAGCTCTCCGGATCTCACCTTTCCCGAGCGGGGTGTTGTCGATCACCGGTGAGCCCGGGGCACCCGGTCCGGAGAGGAGCTAACCCGCTCCCGGGCTAGCCTGGAGAGGAGGGTCAAAAATTAAGTGCCATTTCCGATCCTTCGCAAGCGCATCGTGAGAAAAAAAGCTGAAACGAAGCTATTGCACTACGGCGAAAACGCAAGCGCTACCCGATGAGATTGTGATCAACCTTCCGCTGGGCTTCTGGGCCGGGGCCTGGGTATCTAGTGAGATCTTTTAGCGCGCTTTGATGGTGAAGGGCCAATCTCTACACTACTGCTAGAGACTAATTAGTGTAGTGCTGAGTGTTGGGAAACGAGACTGCGAGAGCGTATGCGAACCTCTTTAGTGCGTGTGAAAGGTGTGAAGGGTTCCCCCTACCTCATACCCAGAACCTAGCGGTCGGTAAAAGGCTAGGTGAGAAAACTGCTAGGCTGTCGGGTTTAGTTGGTGTAGGGTTAAGGAGACTAAAGCGGTCATGTGAAAATTACGGTGTGATGGAATTCGATGCCGAGCATGCCGGAATTCCAACGTCGTACGCGTCGAGAAATGATACGTGCGTGTGATATTTCGAATCATCGATCGATCCTAGAAAATATAGGAGAGAGTTTTATTTCGAATAAGATAAGTCAACATAAGGTTCTTTCCGTCAGGGCTCGCCCGTGCAAATGATTGGTCCCAAGCGCGGAATATCATTATTCAACAGCCACCCAATAGAGTAAGATTACGCCCAGCCTTAAGTCCGTTTTGGGATGTACATCTGTACTTGGGTACATACACCGAAGTACCTCGGGCTGCCACATAGAGCAAAACCAACAGCGAAGACTTGCGAGGCGGTAAGGCAATAGGTAATGTATATCGATCCTGCAGCTAGCACCGTGGCTTCGGGATCGTAATCGTCGGGTCGCTAATCTGATATTAACCCCCATGCACGGACTAGCTTCGGGTTCGTACCTAACGCGGCCGCTGGCCGTTGGAAGTGCGCTAGATGCTCGGCATTAGGGCGTCAAGATGGGGGTGGCCATTTTCGGGCTGGCCAACATGTGTGGGGTTAGGTATAGGGTATCAATATTTGCCGTATTTTGAAATTAAGTCATTGTGGTAATATATCGAAACGGAGATATGTCCTATCTATCATTAGACTTGGATGGAATAGCTACCTAGGTAGATATGTACTCGACCCAAAGGATCAGTAATATTAACATGAAGTTGTATGTATCCTTTTTTTCCTTCCAACATGCGATGACCATAACGCGTAAGGGGACGTGACAAACAAGAGCAGAAGGAAAAAATATCCAAACACCAAATATGTGCTATTCCAACACCAAGTTCATGCGCTATGCTGATCTAGATATAATAAATCATGACGTATCACGAAGCCCGGTAATATCATCCGAATCTAAGTAGGGTATATAACGATACGCCGTCGCCATGCCTGTATACAACAAAGGAAAGTAACGAGAGAAAAATTCTAGCCCTATGCGGGGTAACGTTGGGCTGCTTCTGGGCGCAGAGCATCGAATGAGACATCGCCGGAGGCTTGGGTGCTCCGACATGTCATAGTATTTCCCGGTCCAGTCAACGTATTGCAGGCCTCAACCTGCATTGGGGACGATTCAACAAGATGTAGTCCCCAGCTACTGGGTCGTGCGACCATGGCACGTCCCAGCCTTCGAAAACTGGATCCCTGGGCAGGGCCGTAGTTTTCGTCTCGAAATCGCTCAGTTCGGCTTCCATATTGCAGAGATACAGGAGATCCGGGCCGGCCCATTTGTCGATGAGTCCGGCGATATGTTTGAAGCCGTTAGTATGGCCGCCGCATTCTCTCGATTGGAATCCGCAAACAACGAAAAGGTAGCTGTGGATAAGTTCGTGAATGAATGTCGAAATGAGCAGACGTCTGTTGTATTTCCTGTCCTTGAGGATCCGCCGCGATAGAAATATCAGGGTCTCGAGGCCGGGGTTGAGGGGCGACTGCCTCAGTGCTGTAGTGCCGATAAGGCAGCTCGGGAGATCCACCCAAGACCATGCAACGCGCCCCTTCAGTTTCCCGTGGAAGAATATCTCGTTCGCAGCGTAGAATATGCCTTGGAGAGCAACGTCATCTATGTCGAACTCCGCCTCAGGAGACTTGGGACAGATGAGGCTCCTCAAAATCCGCTCGTGTTGGGAGACCCTGCTCCGTCTACGAGAATCCGCTAGGTCGGCCTCAACTAACATAGCCGCATCGTCGTGATCTTTGTCTTTCGCATACGTTGAGCGATTCATATCGGGCGAATCTGACGGCTGGTGCACCCTAAAATGCTCGCAAGGCACGCCAGGTCGCGCTTCGGCGTAGTGAGGAGTTGTGAACGTATTTTCAACCATGATCGGGTCGAATCTGGAAGAACCGCGCCCGTGATTTGCCTCCTTGATGATGAAGAAAGCAGGCCGAGTCAAGTTCTGGTCAAAATCGACACCTTCGAAGGTGTCGGGATGGTCGGCGAACCGATGCCGCTTGAACGGTTGAAACATTTTGAAGTCGTCCGGGAGAGTAGATAGTCCAGAATAGCTAGGGCGTCGTTTCTTGTTATCGATGTATCGACGACGTTGACGAGAGGGGCCGTCAGAAGGAAGAGAAGAGTCGCTTGAGGAGCGCGACATCTCCGTCCCTCCGACGTACCAGGTAGCCATTTGACATGCTTGAGCAAGACCTCGATCGATGTTGAAACACAGATGAGTTAGAACGTGGTATCACGCCAGAGGCCGTAGAAGAGAGATGTGACGAGCTCAAGTCTTTGTTGTCAGAAGGGAAGACTTGCGAATCATCACCGATGTTCTCTCGGATTCTTCATGTCAAAACCCATATAGTAACAGCTGAACTAATCTCCTCGACTGCAAGCACGCCACGACAATCAATGGACGTGCAGGATCCCTTTTGGAAAAATCCGGCTCCGGATTGGTCTTGGTTTACACACGCAGCGGCTAAGCTGGCGTTAGCCTCACTCTCCCAGGACAGGCTGGGTTGGGCCCGTGACGCGCAGGACAGCAGTGATATGTGGAGGTCTTAAAGGTTGCAGCGCCCCCTCGGACAAGACAAGGCAACGCCAAATAATCCACTTCTTGGGAGTGTCCGCAACCAAGGACCTGCTTGGACGGGACAGACCTTAGCTGACAAATTTGAGACCGAGGTGCTCCTAGCAAAAAAAATGTCCGTCTTGTCCCTCTTTTTCTTTTCTCTTTCTCGATCTGCCCTAGGTACCTCTAGAGAGCTAAGAGTCGGACGTAAGAGTGGAGAAAGCAAGGGATAGGATTGCTTGGAATTTGCTTGTCCAAGTTCGATGGCACGATGCGTGGGATGGGGATAGGGAAAATCCAGCAAAGTAGATCATAGATGGCTGGTACATGAATAAAGCCGAAACGAGACTTGGGACGAAGAGAGGTAGCGGTGAAAGGGAAAATACGACGGAGACCCGGCAGAGCCCGTATGCAGGAATGCAATGCTTACATGCGAGCTTCGAGGACGGATTGCAGTAGCGCAGTAACGCAAGTGGCGTAACCGGCTGCCTTTCCCTACTTTGAATTGCCTACCTCTTTTTACCCATCATAGGGTTCGAGAGCCGAGTGTCATGTATGGTACGCCAACACCTGGGTAAGAGGTGTGTGGTTCGAGGGGCAGAACGGCAAACGGCAGGGACAGGAAGGGTTCGGAGAGTACGACGAAAGGAAGTACTGAATGTAAGCTCGTCGTCTCAATTTTGACAACGCAGCAAGTAAGCAGGACGAACCGTGGTTCTCGGCATACGTGCCTCATCTGCTTGGAACCTTGGACATATGTTTAGTAGCATACTTGCCTACTGCACATGAATTTTGAGAGAAGAAACGGACAACAAAACTCGATGGTAGGATGATAAGTCTAGACTTTGCAATATCCTGCAATCCACAGCAGCGCAAGTGGCAATTCTGCGTCAATGCTGAGCGACTCCGGGAGCGAGAGATGCAACTTGGCTGAAGCAACTTTGCGGGTACAACGATGATGAAAAAAGAGAGAAGGCGAAGGAAAAAAAGCTTGGATGATTGGTTGTAATTGGTGCAACTCATTGTTGGCATTATTACCTTAAGTACCGAAGTACCTAGGTATTTTTGGTATTCTTGCTATTTTTTAGCCTTTCGGGCGAGTGGGTCTGGGGCCACAAGTGGAAGACCCCCCTGTCCTGGTAGCAATCTGGATCAATTTCCATTGGCTATGGTCAGGTTCAGATGGTGGAACCAAACCTCTGATTTGTTGCCTCATGTTTTTTCAGTTGGCTCGATGCGTCAATCAATAGCTCTGATACCTTCTTGGTTTTTTGTTGAGGCTAACGACAACACACGTTTCCATTTTTCCATCCTACAAAAGAGACATTTATGCGCAAGGAGGAAGGGAAAAATAGGCATGCGGGAATATCAAATTGAGGAGTAGCATGGAGAAGGGATAACCGACAAACATGACGAGAATCCATATATCATGCGTAAAGATAGACCAAAAAAGAATGAGAAATTAGGTTGAAAAAATAAAATAGTAAAAAAAATATATCACAGGATCGCTGTATGTACCAAGGTCTAAAAACCCCCCCTCATAACCCCCATCTTTTTCCTTGACTGACGTCCTTTTTTGGTCCAGTGCCAACGGTCCACCTGCATTTGAGAGGTACACAATTTTGCCTCCGAGACCTTGGATAGCCAATGGCATATGAAATATCGTGATAAGATAAAGCATCCCGCCTCAAGTTTCCTCAACTTCCGAGTCTGCCGATCCCTTCTCATTAAGCCTACGTAGTGAGATCATTGACTCAACCTCTAGTAAAGAGTAAGGTAATCAAAAAATCTTAACAGCCTACCCGCTTATTAGGCGACGTGACGTGGACGTGGTTGAATTTCTTCCCTTGTTCAACATGGTGAGAAGGTTATGATTCGAGGCAGAAACATTTCAGGTGCCAGGACTTTAGATTCCGCTGTGGATATTTCCGGCTCCAAGGTTCTGAACAAATCGGACGTCTCTCGCCTGTCGTTCTAAGGCTAGCCTCATCCTCTCGGCGTACATATGCTCCTCTTCTTCTGCCGCAATCTCTTCCGGCGTCCTCGGGTGCTCATCGAAATCTTCCGGAGAAAATCCAGGCTCGGATGAGAAGCTGAGCAGCCCCAGCTTCTCTCCAGTCCAAAATAGGATATCGTCGTCGTTGACCCGGGCTTCACCATCCTGCCCAGGTGTCCGGGTAGAGAGGATTTTTCGCGCTATGTCATCCGACCCGGGCATCGACCCAAATAACGAGCGATGGATTATCCTTTCGGACTTGCCGATCTTGTGGCGGCGTACCTCCGTAAAACCGTCCCGTTCGACCCACTTCAAGTAACCTTGTCCGTCGGAGAAGACAAGTCGAGTGCCGTGGTTGATGACGGAGAGGAGCTTCGACTGGGAAGCCGCTTGCCGATTCTTCATGGTAGATTCATGGATAACCCGTGGCTGCGATGCATTACTGGAGCCGGACGATAGGCCGTACAATTCGAGCGACCCTTTGGTATTGTATTCGCCGCACGCTATCAGGGTTCTCCCACCCGTTACGCTTTTAGATTTCTCGACCTGTTCCTCGGACAGTTGAAAACGGCGACGCAGATCGCTGTTGAGGCTAGAGAAAGGGTAAGGAAGCGATGTAAGGCTGCAGAGCTTTGCGCCCGAGTGAATCGAGCCTCTGATTGCGGGAAACATGCGCCGGTCGTAGTGTAGAATATTAGAAAACCGGCCGGCTACGAATATGTCGTCGGAGAGTTGACTGCCGTCTCCAGAGCGCTCGAGATGGAGAATACTCTGCGGGCCCGACTGCGCAAGAGAAGCATAAGGGTCAAGAGGCCTCGGGTCTAGGACGTGAGAGAAGTCCCGCAGACCATTCCTTCTAACAGCATCTAATCGAATTTGATATTCTTCTCGATATTTAGATCTCGCTCTAAAATCATGCAAGTGCAGTCCATTAACTGTCCCCACCGTTAAAGGAACACCAGGATCAGCCGCGGAGAGCGTAGTAATGGACCATTCGAAAGGATGATTGCCCACGATTTGTAATGTTTCAAGATCGACCTCAATAAGACCTTCACATGAGTTAGCCAGGATCAACTCAGTATCGATTGGGTATCGGGTAGAAACATACGACTCTGGACGGCGAAGAAAGCCATGTTTTTCTTGCTGTCGACACTTACGCACTCAGTCACCCCCGTGTTGGTCATCTTAGAGCGTCTTAACAGATCGGCTCCCGAGCCATCAGCGCACAAAAGACCAGGGCTAGACTTCAATAGAATCGACCCTTTCCTACATCGAGTACCTTTTACGTCCCACAAACAGATCGAGCCATCTTCAAGTGGCGACACGGCAAAGAGTTCATTTCCGGTCGAGTTTGGACTGTATAAGGCAGCTCCGCTGACATCTATTTGGTCTCTCCGAGAACCATTTGGAATCTGGGGTTGTTCGAACCAGCTGATAGCAATGGGACCATATCTTTGAATATATTCATTGTACCAATTCGTATTTTCGTTTGGAAATGTCGGGTCCCAATTCGCAGCGATGCGAATTTTCTCCCTCTTCCTCCTCTTAGCAGATAACTGAGACAAGCTCTCGAGACGGCTCCAATGCACTTCGTTTTGGTCTTCTATTTGGCTTCCTTCTCCCGTCGTAGGCGCGCCGCTTAAGGTCGCGCCCTCTTCGTCGATCCAATCAGACCCGGACCAAAATAATCTAATGCGTTCGCGAACAGAAGGGGTGGAGAGGCATTTGTTACGCCAGAAGTTGCCATCTCGGCACAATCCTAGGAAATGTTTCGAAACGCTTTGGAGGATAACGACGTCGCGGGCTTCTAGGACTGGTAATTGCGAGACCCTAGTTAGCGGGGATATTGACATTTGGAATTGAGAGCAGATGCAAATCCATGAAACTCACAAGATAAGATATGGAGGAAGATCTCATCAGGGAGGTTTTCGAGATGACTAGGACCAACCATGGTCCGGGGAGGATGTTTTAATTGTATTTATTAGTATGTACAAGCTGTTCACAGGATAAGACGAAAGACGCAAAATATGGAGAAAGAGGGGTTTGTATTCATTCGATGTTAAGGAGAACGCGACAATTTAAGTTATTTGACAAAAGATAGGATTGATGCTTTTGTTTCGAATCGGATGGAATTATGAATAGAATCGAATCCCCTCAGCTTATCAGGTTCAATGACGAACGTCGAAATGATTGATCAGGTACTTGGGTACCTGGCTAACTCCGCCGTTTCTGCTTCTGATAGCACCTGGCTAGAAGGGGCGCTAGGTAATCACTAGGTACCTAACGGGTCCGCGGGGTTACTGGTCCAGAGGGCCTTCCTTCCAATGAATCCAGCCCTAACGATGTTACCATACAGTCCAAGTCCTCGGGATGAGGCCCGTGCATGTTTTCAAATAGATCTAGGCAAGAACTCCGCAAAATCGCAACAAGGGTGCATGTGCAAGAAAGTTTTGATTTGAGGCTGAAGCTTATCATATTGTGTGCATGCGCCACTTGTGGCTGTAACAGCATTTGATCATTCAACGACACACGATATGGGATGCATCTTTCAACCTCAGCTTCCCTATTACCCGGCTACATTATATAGGACCAACAAGCAAAAATATGGCACCGTCTTAACGAACAACGTTTCATTTCTCCTTGTATTATTATTACTAGAGCAACAATACTGATATCGTCGTTAAATGGTGAATCTTCCTAACCTAAGAAGCGGCCGCAGGAGGATAACCAGGTTACCAACTGTAATTCATATGTACTTTTAGCACAATAAAGATTCAATATCACTAAGCTTAGTCTCCCTAGTGTAACGGTCACCCATTGTCATTTTTTGTACAGTTGTTCGAAAACTGCCCTGCCCGTTAAAATAAAGATCAGGTCCTACTAAATGATACGCTTAACATCTCAACGTTATCTCACATACTAAACATATCTGGTAGATATATACACACCACATGAAATCTTAACCTCGGAGGATCCTTTCTGGTATGTAATCGAAATCTTGCCGTAGAAAATCAGCTTCTAATGTTTTCATTTCTGAAGACGGCGTGTGCTCTATGGCACTTGACGACATCTCATTGATTGTGTAAAATACGGGCTAAAACGGATCTATGGGTCAATGATAATGGCAATACCCAAAATAAAAACAAGTTACGAGTATCAAGTATACTACGTTGAACAAGTACTGATTGACAATGAGCCCTAGTGACAGTATCGGATTTATTTTATTTAGGTAAAATCGAGCTAGACTAGTTCTGGGGAATCAATCATTATCATGGTTTGTACGGGTTTAGGGTGTTAACCCTTCCATCGATCTAGGACCAGTAATATGGCTTCTATTATCTACTCAAGTAGTAGGTATAAAAAGGAATGGCAAGTACATTAAATACCTAGGCACTTGGCAGGTACTCACGCAGACGGTTGAATGCTGTCACCTGGCCCAGTGCCTGTAAAACTAGAAGCCAGGGACGATACAAGCTGGGTGGTCAAAACACCATCTCGTAGCCCTAGAGGAAGGTATGTTGTGCTTCACCGGATCACTGATTCTGATTCTGCCAGAAAATATATATCACCGTCACGCTTTTCATAATTTATTTTCTTCCTTTCTCAACCATCTTCTCTACGACCACAAACCCGCATCGTACTCAACCTTCAAGCAGATTTCTTTCCGTAACATCTAACTTTCCTTCCTTTTCTAAAAACCACGATCCATCTTTTCTTGCAAGTAACCACCCATACACCTGACCCTCACATCTTAATAATCCATCCGTTCACTTTTATTCTCGTGCCAACGCCTTCTACCAAACCACCTTCTTTCAGACGCAACTGGACATATTGGCCCGTCTTCTACCCACATTTGCAAAATTGCAGATTCATCTCTCACACGGTTAGTTATTTTCTCACGTAGACGACTTCACCTTCCTCCCACTCCACACCTCCGCCGTTTCTACTGTCCATCTTCCACCTACCCACCGTCAATCACCACCAACCCTCAACCATAGAACCTCTTACGTCTAGCAAAACCTCCCGGTTCGTAATATTCATTCCCCAATTTTTCTTCCTCACGATTCCTCACACACACCAGGTAATTCCCATACTGAATGTTGTTCTTCTACACCCTGGTACAACAAATATTTACACGCGCATTATCGTAACAACTCTTTTCATCCCATCATCTCTACACACACCTACTAACGTTATTGAAAAAATTAGCCGCGTCAAAAAATCTCTCTCCTTCAATCTCGCACTTCCTTCGTCTGAATATCAACGCAAGGTTTTGTGCTGCTCGGCGTCGCTGTTTTTTCCTCTCTCCGTGTATCCAAGGTACGTACATTATGGTATCCCTAGGTACCTATCTGTTACACAAATCCCCTTTTTATTATCAACACACATATCTCCTTCCGTTCATTTTTTACATTTTCATTCTGCTATTACTTCACATTGTTTATCTTGCCGCTTTACCGTCCCTTATCAATTTTTCACCCGTTCCAAAAATATTTTACCTTTCGTCCATACCATTACGCCGATCCCCATTCATCCAGCACCTCACCTTCCATCAACATAACCGATTCCTCCTCTGCTACTGCCATGACTCCATTCGTTCATATGCTAACGTCGTGCCTCAGAAGCCTAGCAGTTGCTCATGGCGCCTATGCACGGCAAGAATGACGGTGGCCCCAAGGGTGTCACTAATCAGACGACAACTGGCAAAGATGATTCCGCGTCTGAAGCAAACAACCCTGCTTCACGAGAGACAGGACCAGAGCATGAACCTCCTACTGCTGTAGGAACCTCGACACCACATCGCCGATCCCTATCTGAGGAGAGCCTTCACGATGCAGTGGAGATGCCGTTTCTGCCGGCACCACCCAATACACCAACCGCCGGAGAACAAGACGAGCATGAGCTGGCGTACGATGAGAAGCCTGAAAAAACCACCAACACCATCAATCAGATCCTGGATGGTTATGCTTCTCACGATGAGACAAACGCCGACTCGCCCTTCCGTGATCCGTCTTGCTCACCCCTCAAGCTACGCCGTAATGGCACTTACCAGGGCTTCCCTACGGCCCAATTCCACTCTCCTGGCATCCCGCCGTCCGATCTACCCGAGAGTCCCAAGAGCACAAGCTGTGGCCATCAGCGATCCAAGCATGTTCTGAGTTTCAACCACGGAAGTTCGCCAGACAGCACGGTCAGCGACTCGCAACGATTGCTTAACGCCGAGTCACAAGCCAGCCCCCTCGATCCCAGTGAGGCTCGTAGACAGCTACATGACCCTGACTTATATGATGTCAACCCCTATGATGATCTCTACATGACAACACGCGACAATGCTCAATCCCACAGTCGTCATCATCCAGCGACGCTCAAGCCCACCCGAGGACGCGAAGTCAGCTATTCTATGCGCCACGTGGGCAAGTTGAATGAAGGGAGCCAGGCTACTCTTGTCTCGCCGGGTGAAGAAAGTCCCCTATTTGCCCGAAGCCAAGGATCACACCTACCAACGACTAGCGCGTATGCAGACTTGCGAGGCTATAGGGATGATGGCACTGACGAGAACTTTGGAAGTAATGACCAGGGAGAATCATTGCCTATGCGAGATTCCGCTGATACTGGCACTTGGTGCACTACAGAGATGAACAGTGAAGCTGGCTTTGACCGAGCTCCGACCGGTCCTCACGATTTCATCAAGGCCACCGGCAGCAGCGTCGCCGGTTTTTCGGAAGAAGGCGAATTACGTATGCCTTATGGGTTTGGATCTCGACCTCGTATTATCCAGCACCCTGGTCTCGATGGCTCGCAAGATTCGTATAAGATGCATTATCTCAAGAACTCGACCAGGCCTATGCTTCTGCCCAAGCCTCAGAATGCCCGTGGGGGAGGCTTTCCTCAGAATTCCAGTCGTGATCTTACAGGAGGTGGAGGTAACAACCTCCTTACTAGCCCAGGTTCTCGAAACCTGTCTATGGTGAATCCGTTTGTGCGAACTGATAGCAGTCGCTACAACATTGAACCGGGAAGCCTTACTATCCCGAGTAGACACGCGGGTCAATCCCGTTATGAATTCCGGGACTCGGTGTCGACGTTCGCTACCAACACATTGGAGCGCCAGCCGTCCAACATCCGCCAGTCTATCGAAGGAGGCGAACAAGGCAATCGAAGCCCAGTGAAGGGTCTTCGTGAAGAGCAGCTTTCGGCTGGACTTCAGTCCACAGCTAGCAACCTTTCAATGGGCCAGAGCTCTTCGAAGGTAGTTGAGGTTTCGCCACATAAACCAATCGACCCTCGCATTATTGACCACGAGCATCTGACCCGCCGCTTGGGATCACGAATGATTGCCCCCAGCGAAAATTGGCTGACCTTGAGCGATTCCACTGCATCGAATGCGCAATTACCACGTTCGCAATCCAATGCCTCCAATGCAAAGCTCATGACCTCGCGATCGCAGTTCGAGTTCGATTTGATCCCGCTTGACGAAGCGCAGCGAAAGAACAAGCAGCAGCGTGAGAGCGGCGAGACCGATGAAACTGAGTCGACAGTGGAGCGCCAACAGCGATCAGAGAATGCCAAGTCTATTCGATTTGTGCCTCGCACTCCCGCTCGCATGCCACACCCGTCGTCAGGTCGCAGTCGAAGAATCGAAGCTGCCCCTCAGTTGTCTATCGACTTCAGTCCATCCAGTGTCTTTTACGAAGATGCTCTTCGTGGTAAGTTGTGATATATAGTTCCCTCTAGTAATCATTGCTGATAAAAGATAGATATTACTCCTCCGTTCTCCGCCACGACCCAGCCTAATCTGGCTCACCCACAGCCAGCTCGAATTCGTACGCAGAGTGCCACTGAGGATGAGACCACTCTATCCCCTTCAGGGGAGCGTTCATGGCTCGGAAGAATGAAGTCTCGTGTGCTAAGCAAGAAGGATTCGGTGAAGCGCAAGATGTCGCAGTTGACCGCGATCCGCCATGCCGACGTGGATAATGACAGCCAGTTGAGCCTTGCAGCCATCGAAGACATGAACGAGCCGTACCTATCGCATGGTGCTCGCGCGCGACGACGCCGCATTTTCCTCTTAGCTGCGTCTCTGTCGGCGCTTTTCCCATTCATCGCAATCTTGGTGATGGCGGGAGTCCTCAGCCCCGTCTTACTATGGTACACCAGCGGTGAAGTGCGTCGCTTGACTATTCGCCAGCACAACTGCATTAGGAACTTGTTCCTAGCCTGGCTGTGCGCTGCGATGATCGTGACGCCCACCCTCATCGCTGTCTTCGTCAAGCGATCGTAGTCTTTTGACTAGGAGGAATCAGAGACCAAGTCTCTGCATGGGAACCTACTAGAATTTGGTAGGAAAGGAACCCCCTTTTGGGAGTTCTGGCTAGTACCCTTTGGTTACTGGCAAAATGCACTTTGGTGCATCTTTGTTAGATTTTTTTCCCTTTTTGTTTGGGTCTCATATCGGCGGCATTTTCACGAAAACGAAATGCCCGAGGACTATTACGGCTATGATGAAAAAAAGATGACTGACGATAACGCACGACACTCATGACAATTTCCCCCTTCATTCATCATCAATGGTCCTCTACGACATATGAGGAATTGTTACGATAATCACATTTTGCATTGATGACTCCGGTGGGCGGTCATTGGAGACGATAAGTTGTCTTCATGATTGCATACTACGAGTCTTGTACATAATCCGCTGGAAATACACTTGCTTCTGTAAATGGAAATGGTCTTACTGCGTGAATACTATGACTGTACTTTGATTGACCATGATGTGAGCTTATCCGTAAAAGAATCTCCCACGAAGACCTGCGACACACAGGTAAGTGAAAACTGATTCGCCTTCTACAAATCAATATTATCTCTCACCATATCACGCACATCCATCCTATCCGTGTAGAATAGACGTGTAACATGGCTCTCACCGCGTCTACATTCATCATAACCCTCCTTAACATGTAGAAAACCATCTAATTTACTCCCGACCTTCTCTACCTTTTCTTAACCTGTCATATAACCATACCCATCAATTCATAGATATCTTTATGCCCTTTTGTATCTCCTGTCTAATTCCCAAGTCTCTTCTGCCTTACTCAAACTTCCCCATAAACAATCTGCCTCAGATGCTCTTTTTCTCCGCTCTGTTCGCACATGGCTCGGAACATCCCCAGCCCACCGTCCTCGCTGCTCTGCAGCTCCCACAACTCCTTCGGTGTCCCGTACTCAGCTACCTTTCCATCACTTAAGACTAGGATACGGTCGAAGTCCGCTATGGTACTCAGTCGGTGAGCAATGACAACTAGGGTGCTGTCGCCGAACTCTTCACGTATGCTGCGTTGGATTAACGCATCTGTCGTCATGTCCACGGCGCTGGTCGCCTCGTCTAGCACCATAACCTTGGGACGGGACACGATCGCCCTCGCCAAGCACAGTAGCTGCCGCTGTCCTTGCGATAGATTGAGACCGCCCTCTGAGATGGGTGAGAGCAGGTTGCGGAAGATGTTAGTATTCTTCTTCCGACTAGAGGATGGGGTGGATGTTCCAGATATGTTTCGTGACGGTCCGTTGCCATTTACGTTCTCATTTTCCTCCTCAGAAATAAGATGTACGCGAGCTAACGAGTCGAAGAGCTCTGCATCTGTGTGGTTGTCGAAGGGGTCGAGATTCGAGCGCACGGTACCACTGAATAGGACCGGGTCCTGTGGGATGATAGCTAGGCGGCTTCGCAAATCGTGTAGCTTTATCTTGGAAATATCAAGCCCATCAATGTGGATGCTTCCGGACCGAGCCTCGAGGAAACGGAAGAAGGCAAGCGTTAGAGACGATTTTCCTGCGCCTGTACGTCCTACCACACCGACACGCTCGTTTCTCTCGATAGTGAAGTTAAGACCTTTGAGCACAGGGGGCAGATCCTCTGCATAACTAACTACAAGGTCGTTTACTTCAACGCGTCCTTCTGTTGGCCACGCTGCTGGCGCACTCTTGCCCTCCAGGCTTTCCGTTGGGAGTTCCGTGTATTCGACGATTCGCTCTGCTGCATTCATCTCAAGCTCGACGTTGGCGTAATGCCGGATAGTCCACATGACGTGGCCCGAAAACTCCAGCGCGAATGCTAATCCAAAGCCGGCGAGGGACGCGTCGATCTCGGGAGCCACAATGATAAGGATGGCAACGAATGAAGCGAAGAAACTTCCAACCACCGACATTCTCCACCCCATCCAACGAATGAACAACCAGAGATGCCAACTTGCTACAGTCCAGTCGTCCAATCTTTTATACATGCGCTCGATGTAAGTCTGAGACTTGTCGAATGACCTGATCGTCTGGACACCGGTCAAAGCCGATCCAAATTGCTCGAACACGGGAGACTTGGTGACTGACTCAAGTCGCTTCACCGGTCTAGCCCCTTGAATGTAGCGGATTGCGTAGAAGGCGCAGATTACGAGCAAGATGAATGACATGACGATAATTAGAGGCGAGACAAACAGTCCAGCAACGACGACACCGATGAGGTTGAGAAACGCGCTTCCCGCAAATGCCATGGAATACGCCATATGTGTGTCCACGGAGTGGAAATCAGCGGTAAATCGGTTCAGGATTCTACCCAAAGGGACAGTATCTAACCATCGGAGTGGAGCTCGGAGTACAATAAAGTTGAGTTTGGCGAATAACTGTCTGGAAGCACGAATCGAACCGTAGAATACATAGTAGTATCGGAACGTGGAGACTATGGATGTGAAAACCGAGAGGAAGATGTATATACCGAGGTAAAACCCTAGGCTTTCGTTGCCTGGTTTAACCATTGGCTGGGCCATGCTGTTCGTCGTAAACTGCGGTAGGGTAAACTGGTATGCGTATGCTTGCTTCTCTGATTGGGCATTGATATTCTGCTCATGTTCGTCATATGATCCTGTCCAGACTTTTAGCCACCACGAACGTCCAACTGTTAGTACCTGCACGAATAGGAACAGAAATAGGATGGTAGACCAAAACCACCATGAGCCAGTGTATTTTAGATATGCTGCGTAGACTTTTCCCTTGACAGCACCCTTCTCGCGAGCTTCTTCCTCAACAAATTTACGTGCATGTGCCGTCGAAGGAACCTTGGCTAGTGGCTCTTCATCAGGTTCAATGCCAGCCTGGGACGTATCTTCGGAGTTTATAGCTGTTGATGCTTCATCGTCTCGGATCTCTTGGTTAGTCTGCTCATGGCTCTTAATCTGTTGCAAAGTTCCGGTCTCTTCCAATTCCGAGACAAAGCCTGCGTTCAACACACGGCCATCTCCTAGTTCGACAACGTATTTTGTTTTCGGTTCACACAAGGCAACGTGGTGGGTGACAAGAATTCTCGTTCGCCCGACACAAAGCTCGCCAGTTAAGCACTTTTCGAAGATGTGGCGGCCAACATGGGCATCAACCGCGCTAAAGATGTCGTCGAGAACTAGTATTCCTGCGCGAGAGTAGATAGCGCGAGCCAGACTACACAAGTTATGTTAGCAACTACTAGGGAATTAAGCTATAATAAGATCTTCGTCTTACGTGATTCGCCATTTCTGTCCGCCGCTTAGGTTAATACCATTGGCACCGATCTCTGTATTCTCCCCGTCGCTAAACATCTCCATGTCCTTTGTTAGGGCGCAGACATCGACCGTTGTGTTGTATCGGTGCGCATCGTATGGCAGGCCAAATAGGATGTTATCTTTGACCGTCGCGTTCTCGATCCATGGTATCTGCGCAACAAATGCAATAGCACCGGGGATTATCCAATTATCTTTGTTAGCTTTCTGGTCGTGGCGCTGGGATGGCGCCCGGGGCACGCTGATAGACCCAGAAAGAATATCGACCTCGCCCAAGACGGCTGCCAGCATCAAACTCTTCCCACTCCCAGTTTTTCCTGATATGATGGATAGTTCGCCCTTAGGGAAGGTGACGTTGACATTGCGTAAGACGAATCGGTCAGGATTTTCCTCATCTTGGTTATCTGAAGGCCAGGCGATAGATGCATTGTCCAATGAAACCTCGTCAGCTTCTTTAGTTATCTTTGAGATCTCTGCACCGTTCAAATAGGTATCCAGTCGCTTCACAGAAACCCAAGCATCGACGAGATCAGTTACTAACTCAGGAATAATAGACAAGGTATCTTCAAGTGCCTTAAATACGCCGAGACTAACGAAGGCAACTGAAGGAGATAGATTTCCGTGCAGCGCTGCGTACACGGCGAGGGATACGGCAGCAAGCATGACAGGGCTCGTAATCCAGCACCCGATGAGGATGACATCATTGATGAAAGCGCTCCATATACAGTTCAATTCCCGTTCTCGGACATCGCCGATCTTCTTCTCCCATTGAGGCTCGAGGGCGGAGAATTTAATTTGGCGGATTCCCTGAAGAGCCTCCGAAACGACTTCCATCTTCTCGTCACGAACTTTCATCAAGCGGTCCTGAGCATCGGAGTACTTCTTTGAGAAATAAATATTCAAAGGAAGGACGGCAAGCATCGTCGAGAAACCTGCGAGAAGAGCCTTCCATCCGAGGAGTTCTATGAGAAAGACTAGCGACACGATCAGCTTGAACAGACTTTCGGGGAAGATATCGTTGAAGGCGGCAAAATCCGACACCCGCTTAGCATCAACACCTATCAAATTGACGGTGCTTTGCTTGCTCTTCCGGATCTGCTCATCATCTTCCTCGAAATCTTCGATATCCGGCCTATCTTCTGTAGACACTTCACCGATTGGACCAGCAATGTTCGGCTCGGACGATTCCGTGGCCGATTTCTTCTTATTGGCTTCCTTGATATCTTTACGTCTCATCGATTTCTGGAAAATCAGTGCCGATAGTTGAGCTCGGATTGGTACGGCAATCTGCGCCCATGAGAGCCAGTAGTTGTAGGCTTCGACCCATGATCGGACAAGAACAGCTACAGCCATCAGAACGACCCAAACCCAGGCTTCGTAGCCTAGTTTCTCGCGATTTTGTCGGCGCTCTAGCATATTGAGCAGTTGTAAAACAACCCATTGAGGCGCCAAGTTGAGGAAGGCAGTGGTAACACTTAACATCCATTGGAGTGCGAAAAGCCACTTGTGAGCGAACACGATAGAAATCCAAAGCGGACCGGTGAAACCGCGACTTTCCCAATCAGCGGCTGTTTCCTTGGACCTTGTGTAATGATCAGGCCTGGGGAGGTCTTCTAGATCGAGGTTGCCCTTCTTCGCGGCCGTGCGAAGTAAGTAAGCCGGCCAGCTCCAGTTGAACCGGCTCCATGCTGATTCCGTATACAGCCTATCCACAAGCTGGCCATCGTGGAATACATCAGGGCGCCGAGGAAGTGACAGGCTAGCAACAGCAAGGCAGATGGCGGCGATGATTTCTATTAGGCGCAAGGAAAATATTCCAGCAGAATGCTTCAGTAGAAATACGGCCACGTCGTCATCCTGGACTGCGAGAACTGCAGCAAGGATGATGGACGAGAGGAATGACCAAACACCTAAATCATAAGCAGTTACCGAGTTCCGACTGGACGCAATACAAGTAGCCTGTAAAGTTAAAAGAACCTGCGTCCACGCGAAACAGCATATATCAGTAATCTGACAGTACTAGGTATCTCTTCGTCTTGTGTGTAACGATGAGCTTACTTACCCAGAATGGAACAGCCAACCAATCTTCGAGGAACAAACCACCTTCAATTCCCTCTCGCGTGCCCAACGTCGAGGACACAGCAAGCGCAATCGATACGCCGAGGCCAACTAGGGAGAATATGACAATAGCGGCTTTGGGGCCCTTATTGCTGAATTTCTCAATAGCATCTGGCGTACTTTTCCCATCTTTATCTTCATAAACTTCAGTCGTAAATTTAGGACCGTGGCTACGCAGTCTACCCAGGCTTAATACGGCTGGAATGGTGAGTACCGTGACAGCGCCCAAGCCGACGGCTGAAGTCACGGCCGCCGCTGTCTTATCGGGCATGCTGTGGTGATATGAATTCGGACTTAAGCTCGGAATTCAGGGGAAATCCTAGAGCTAAAATTTGGCGATCGCCCTTCGAATTAAAGAGGCGGCATGTAGCGCGGAAGAGAAGAGCGCGAAAAGTCAACAATGTCAACTCGACTTAAAAGAGATGTCCAATGCAAACCGTGAAACAATAAAAAACATAAAAAGAAAAGAACAGGCTCACACCAGTCATACCGGTCAAGATTGAAGGATCTCGAAAGCGTTGGACGAGCAACATACGGATAGAAATGTGGACTGGGATGAATTACACGTCATTGGCTACTATAACCAATAAAAGACAATACAGACTGCAGAGGACTTTAATTCTGTCATAACTCTTCACACGGATTATTAGTGGTAGTCATCTAGCGGCTCGCCGGTTGACTCATTTGGTGGGCTCGTCCATGACCGAGGAGGCACGGGGAGATGTGACTGAGAGGCGACCGTCAACGAAATCCGCCTTAGCCTCTATCAACTCCCCCGTATCTCAAGAAAGCCTGCATAGAGTCCCTTGTTAGCGGTGGGTTTTCCACGATAGGCCGATCCCGATTCGCCCAGACCTATACATGGCAGATGCAAGGCTTGACCCACAAGGGGAGAACAATGGGATCGTACCCATCGTCCTGCATCGTATTCCATTCCGGGATAATCGTCGGCGTGTGTGAATAGTAAGGCCCGAACAGTATGGTACTTTAGGAAGAATTCGGATGTTATTCAGGACGAGACCTCGTCGGCTGACGGGGGGTGACAGAACGGGTATAGAAACCTCATGCAAAGGCATCGATTTCGTTACATTCTAAGGCTGTCTAGATCTAAAATCAGAAGGTGTCTTAGCTGTCTTGGGTGTATGCACAGTTGTAGGACATGCTACTGCAGATCTAGTACGGCATAGGCCGTATCGAGGGTGGTTGGTGGTCGGTGGTAAATGATGGTTCGTGGAAGAGGAAATGACTTCCGTAACGTACAACATAGAAAAGGTCGCACGCCATCGGCAAGGGTTACAATCGAATATTCAGTTACACGTAATATTCCATTTCATCCAAGGTCCCGTAATTCGTTCCTTCCTGTGTATGTACTATTAAACATTCATTATTCTAGGTATCCCTCGATAGGTAGGTACTATCAACTAATAGGTACCTAGGTACTTAAAGAATATATACGTAGATTCTCGCTTATAAGAGGAAGTTAACAGATGACCAGATGAGTGCATACCAGTCATCCTTTCGGAAGATCTGCGTCAGCTTACGTTCGAGAAGATATAATGAGGTATCTGAGCAAATAGAAGCAGCGTTTTCGTACGACTCGCACATGTCCATATCATGCGGGTTGTAACTGTCAAACCGGGAAATTACTCGAGGATGCGGGGTACCTTATAACTATATGCGATATATGCGATAAATAAGCGACGTTGGATCCGACCCCGATCCGCCCGTACCGTAGGTGCGATGAACACGGTTCTGTTCTTACCTTAATCAACTTCGCAGTTTCCGGGCTCGGAGATAGAGCAGGTGGAAGTATATATTCGAAACCGGGCACCTATAAGACATCCAACACCCGTACCTGGCGTTCAAGCGACTAGTCTAAGTCAACCTTCATTATCGTTGTCATTACTATAATAAAACGGCACAGACGAAAAGAACATCACGTCAGCTAATCCTTACTCAATCCACTTCAACTAAGCACGAAGCTCTAGTCATTCGGCATCTGCTTTCAAATACCTGCTTCTAATAGTAGGTGAACGGACAGAGCAAACAAGCATCCGACCGATATCCATCAACCCACTTGATGGCGTGTTTCAACCGACGGAGGGTCGACGATCGGCTTCCGTATTTCATCCCTATGCATTGATGATATTATAAGCTTTTGTTTCACAACCGTACCCGATCAAGTGATCCGACCAAGATTGGCGAAGATAGGTGGTATATTGGTATGTATCCCGCTGAGAAAGGTGAGCAGCCAATGATGGATACGGCGCAACATGTCCAGGCTGCATGTGGATGGAACATTGGACTTATCACACCGCTCTTGTGGTTGGATGCCCCTTCCGCCCATTAATCCTGCGAGCTGATACGCGGCCAATCAAGGCTATATCGCAAATCGGACGACTGATAGAAGTTAGTGCTGACGAGGAGCTCGTCTAAGAACTTTTAGTTAGCCATCTAGCCATTGACTCTCTCCAACTTATAGCCGCAATCGGATGGTCTGAAAATTCTTAAAAAACGCGAGGTTGATCGTTTCAGGCCGTCAAAATCATCACGGGGACTGAGAAACATTTTCAATGTCAGCGTGAGTACGAGAGAGATTTGCTGTAGACAGTTCTAGTAAAGATGTAGCGGTACGTAATTTGCAAAGCTTGAATCTTCCCGACCCGAAAGGTGTTGTACGAGGCAAATAAGCCGCATCGTCAGTGGTGATTCTCCACTGAGTCATAGTATTTCTCATAGATCAGCCTTGATGAGAAAGATGCGGCTCAGCGAGAAAGCTTCTAGACGCGATTCCAGGGGTTACCACGCGGTTAGGTTTATGTAATAAACGCGATACATGAGATTTATAGATTTGCACGATTCTAATACCTCTAACAATATACGAAAAGAAAAACAATGATATCAATAATCAATTATCGGATGTGTAGTTGAGAGTAAATTGTTGTTTAGTTATGCAATGGCTGACTTCAAGGAGACAAGGCAATTTATGCGGTTCTGAGGGTGATCAAATTCTTATGCGATGGAAGCTACCAAGATTGATATTTCATGCTAAACACTTCACCTACCTAGAACATCCATATTTCCTACCGCGTAGCTTGGAAAACTAATGTTTAGGTTAAGTTCTAATTATAACGACTTATTCCAAGATGAAATGAAATTCAGATCTAATATATATACCTGGGTATACCATAAGTTGCCATGGCGTGATTTGCCAACACCAATTCAAGTATGGAGAGAAGGGCTCAAGAAAAAATAGCAAATCTCTAAGTAGTAGGTAAATCAAGTATATCAATGATAGTATAAAGTGCCTATAATGTTTATACCTCCCGGTAGAATACAAAAAACTCTCATAGGCTACAAGGCATTGAGGCAATGAAGCAATAACACTTGGACGCTCCAATGCTATATAAGTGTTCCTAAAGTCGACCTTAGATTTATCGTGATTGGCTCAACGGACCAAACGCGCCTAGACGCGTTTATAATTGAGCCGTTTCCTTAACGTGTAAATTACCCTTTAAGTAAGATCCCACATTCTATGCAGGAATAACGATGCAAGGATCCCACCCACGTTTATAAAACTGGCATAAGACTTTAAATGAAAAATTCAAGATAAATGTTTGCGAAAGATGAGGGAAAGATAAGGACATCAATAAGCAATAATTCACATTCACAATTCATAACTTTCATATTTGCTAGGGCGAATTATACAAGCAGATGCTTATGTCGCGTCGCATTGTATCGGAAACCTGATGAGAGATTGTCCAATCAAAAATTGCTTATAATTGTTTTGAGTTAGGCACCCTCTACCATCAGAACTGTTGAAAGTTAGCAGTCAGCACCTTCCTGAGGGTACGGATCCGTACATGCGTGTGTGTTCTGACGGGCAGCTGCAGTTCCAAGGTTATCAGCTAATCGCCCTAAAAGAGTGCTCCAAACGGAAACAGCCAGAGACACTGGGGATCCCTGCAATGGCACTAATTACTGGCCCGTAACTCTGTAACTCTGCAACACTGGGGGTACCTACTACCTACCAGGTAAGTTCAACCTCATCTTTGATCAATGCTTCAAAAGCCTCTTCGCAATTTCTAGAACTCCAATCGTTCACAACAATCATTCACAACATTGAACTTCCTTAACTTTCACCTTAATTATCCACACATTGGAAGTCATCATTCCATTTTACTCCAGCTCAATGCAAATTATTTAATTGCTCTCATCTCGTCCGCATTGCCTACCGGTCCAGTTGACTCGATAAATATCAGTGATTTTCACCACCACCTAGCTACCTCGAGGTCCGATCTGAAGCAGCCTCGTCCACCCATACCTCCGTCGCCTCCCACCAAGTTACCACCATTACATAAAATTCTGTAGACTACGCCTCTTCCTCGAACACGCATTAGAGTCTCATGTCTCGCGCCGAACCGTCACCATGAGGTCAACACCTTTGATCATTAATTGGCACGATAAAAACACGCCCATTTACTCTGCCCACTTCGAACCTCAACATGGAAAAGGAAGATTGGCTACAGGAGGAGGGGATAACAACGTGCGCATCTGGAAGGTCGAAGCTGATGGTGATACCCGTCGAGTCGACTATCTATCGACCCTTGCCAAGCATACACAAGCTGTAAATGTTGTTCGATGGGCTCCCAAGGGTGAGACTCTTGCATCTGCTGGAGACGACGGGAATGTGATCTTATGGGTCCCTAGCGAAACCCATAACCCTACCACCTTTGGGAACGAAGGACTAGAGGACAAGGAAACATGGCGTGCGAAGCATATGTTCCGTCCTACAGCTGCGGAAATATACGACCTGGCCTGGTCCCCTGATGCTACCCACTTCATCATCGGGAGCATGGACAATGTTGCCCGAATATACAATGCCGGTTCAGGTTCGTAGACACAAGCTCTCCTCGTCATGCCTAGCTCGATTAACTTTATCCCTCTGTAGGCGCGCTCATTCGACAAATTGCCGAACATAGTCACTACGTGCAAGGTGTCGCCTGGGATCCTCTAAACGAATATATTGCCACCCAGTCGTCGGATCGCTCAGTTCATATATATTCCCTCAAGACCAAGAATGGACAGTATGCGCTCACCGGCCGCGATGACGAGACATTCAAGGTTGCCAGCCATGTCAAGGCAGACCTTCCCCCTAGGCGTATCTCATCCAACAGTCCAGCCCCGCCTGACATGGGCTATCGAGCTCAGCTTGCGGCAGCAGTTGACACGCCCAGCGCCTCTATCGGGTCGCCAGTACCATCAGCACCAGGAACGCCACAGTCTGTTCCTCTACCTATGAATCCGCCGAGCGTCGTAAGCCATAGTAGACGCTCTTCGTTTTCGTCTCGGCGATCTGTATCCCCGGCTCCATCTTTACCTCTGCCTGCGGTAATGCCGATGGAGCCCTCCCCAAAGCCCAACCATGGCTTCGGCATAGGCGTGAAGAACGCAAGTCTCTATGTCAATGAGACTCTTACATCTTTCTTCAGGCGCTTGACCTTTACTCCAGATGGTAGCCTACTCCTGACCCCTGCTGGTCAGTATCATGTGCAGCATCAAGATGGCCCTAAACCATCATATGAAGTTATCAACACCGTCTACATCTATACTCGAGGCGGCATCAACAGGCCACCTATTGCTCATCTCCCCGGCCATAAGAAGCCATCGGTGGCAATCAAGTGCTCGCCTATAATGTATACATTACGACAGTCGCCGCCAGTAACAAAATATATCACCATCGACACGTCTTCTGCAGAGGATCCTATCCCAGCTCTTCCGGAGCCTATCTCGAAGCCTTCGCCTGCCGTGATGGATCCTCCTCCTCCCCCAACCTCCTCAGCACCGGACCCTGAGAAGCCATGGACGCTGCCTCAACATCTGAATACGGAGACCAGTTCAGCAACACCAGGAACTAAGATGGGATTTACCCTACCATATCGCATGGTATACGCTGTAGCAACGCAAGATTCCGTTCTTCTCTATGATACGCAACAAGTGACTCCTATATGCGTAGTTAGTAACTTACACCTAGCTACTTTCACTGATCTTACCTGGTACGTTCCCATCCCTTTTGGAAATTTATCAAAATTAGGTATCTAACACCCTCCTAGGTCAAGTGACGGAGCTACGCTCCTCATAACTTCATCGGATGGATTTTGTTCAACGCTCTCGTTCCTACCTGGTGAGCTTGGTCAAGAATACAAGGGCGAGCTTGTAGGTCCTAAGGTGACCTCCGCCCCCACCGCAGCACCTTCGACTCAGGCTACTCCACAGCCTACACCAACGTCTGTCTTTGCACCTCCTTCACCCTTCCCCAATCACCAGCACCGGAATTCGGCCACCTCTTTTGCTGCCCCTTCTCCTCCGCCGACGACATCGTTCGTGAGCGCGCGCCCATCTTCGCCTGCGCGATCGAACTCAACATCCTCAATTGCAACGCAGGTTTCAGCGATGAATAATCCCCCTCTGATTGGTGGGAATTTACCTAGCATTACTGCCGCTAGCTCCGGGAAGGTGACGGGCGTGCCCATGACAACTCCTCCTGAGACACCGGGGAATACTAACGCCGTTGTGGGTGTCAAACGGGAAGCGAGCACCTCGGAGAAAGATGAAGAGTCAGGCGGTCAACCGAAGAAGCGGCGGGTTGCTCCAACCTTAGTCACCGATCCCAAGGCATAAGCAGAGCCGTTGTTAATGGCCTTATGGTTAGGAAAAAAGTACTTGTATTAACAAGAGGTTATCGTACAGGTGGTCCATTCGCCGGAGTTATAGGGAACTACTGGTTGGCACGTCGCCACGTCGTCCTTTTTCTAACTCGTGAAATACGATATCATCTGATTGTTGGGTTTGCTGGCTAGGAAAGGAACGGCGGATTGGTCGTCAAATAAACGTCTTTCCGCTGCGGTATGCTAGTTTTTTAGCAATTCGCTCTTATTCCTCCTTCGAGGAGAGGGTTGGCCGGCCTCTGGCGTTAGGAATGGGGGGTTGTTAGGGCAGTAATGTACTCTGTGATCGCAGCGCTGTGTTCTGATACATTGTTGTCTGCTACATGCTACGTATTCGCATGGACGTATGGTTACCGTTTAGCTCAAGGCATATAAGTGCCGTGTGAGTAGGGCGGCTAGGCGTGAGCTTAGTTTCGTACCTCTACTATAACAAAAGCAAATAAAGTCAGGTCTAGACTATGAGATTTAAGGGGTCGCCCCCGAGTATACTTGCATAACGTGATGTGTTAGTTGCTAGGTTTAAAGCGGAGGGCAACATAGTCTCCGTGACTACGTAAGCCAGATGATCAACAAATCATATTGAGGGTTGGCAATCTATTGACTCCTCTTACATACGGCTCATTGATGTGTTTCCCTCGCTCATGTGTGAAGTCTGGGTTAGACGAAACGTGCTAAACAAGAGGCCATTGTTTTGAGGTAGTATACCCATCCCTCCAAGTGAAGAGATTCTAACTCCCGAGGTCTAGGGGCAGATCTTGAGGGTTCGTCTACATCGATACAAGAGTGTTATCTATCACATACTTGAGGGCAGCGTTCTTTGATAGGTAACTTCTAAACCTAGAGTTCTGATATGGCATTGTACCTATAAGTGTGTAGAGTAATCTGGTTTCAAAGACTGGTGGAAGTATATTATAAAGCTTTACAAGAGATTTGCTCCTATCAATTATACAAGGAATTCTCGGTGCTGATTTCGAATCGGGAGATCGGCTTCGGGTCCTTGGTGAAGTCGCGACTTAAAAGGATTTGCACTGCAGAAGTCTGGGTTATACAACGCGGCCGCAGTCCGCATCACGGGATTGCGTGGCATATTGTGAGACCACTATAACGAGCATGAATTACATAGATTGGGGCTGTTCGAAGAGTGCCGCGCCACCCTTCATCCTCCGCGCCACGGGCTCACGGCGGCGGAGTCCGCGGCCGACCCCCTATGATTGGCCGTTAAAGAACTCTACGGCTTTTTCGGAAGCCATATAGCATGGCGTAGATGTGCACCTCATCAGATGGCGCCGAGCCACGCGGGAAACTGACGCCAGCAACGTTTCGAAGACGATTCAATGACATTTGTGGCGTCCCATTTTCATCCCTAGATCCGTTCATCGCACGCTTCAAAAAAAAGCAATAATATTCTTGGTTAGGTTCGTACATAACCACCTTAGGTAGGCATGAGATTTTAATATCCTATTTGCGAGCCTTACGACGTCGAGGATCAGAGCGTCATCCGAAGCTTCGGAAGCATCTAGATGTATTCTAGTGCTTAGCCGAAGGGTTATACATCGTAAAGTAGACGAAATGTCAGCCTCTAGGACTGGCGCCAGCTCCTCCTTTTCTAGTATAGTGCGCAAGTAAGGCCTACACCGATTGAGTGAAACAAATACTCTATATTAAAATATAAATCTAAGTTTATTTATACTTAACGCTGACAATATAGTACAGTGATCCAGTGATATTTTACGGCAGAGCGGAGTAACGTGTTCTTATAGTGAAGGATCCCGGTGCTTGGCGGTGCTACGCCCAGAAAATGGATTACCCCGTTGCCCAGGCTGTTACCTATCCGTATCCAAAATCCAATTAAACACTTTTTGGGGGAAGGTGATAGATGTTCCACGGTGAAAATGGTAAAGATGAGTGGAGTAGATATGCCTTTAAACACCAAGAATCATCACCATGCCTGGATAGCTGTTAGCCGATTGTTTCAGGGTCCTACCGGGCAGGCTTCAGCTCTGGATAATTCGGTATCTTCCAACCGCCCCTTTCCCCCTTCGAAAACATCGCGACGAGAGTGGGTACACGAAGGAGGCAGAGCAACCAAGCGACGAAGTAGAATATCTTGACACCCCACCACGACTTCGGCATCCCCAACCGCACCATTCCTCCATGTATATTCTGTATCGCATCCACGAAGGGCCGTAGCGTCCTGTCGTAGTGCGCAAATGCCTCAGGTATGTTGTCAGGATTCCGCACAATCTCGCCAGCCAAGACATATGCGCCAATGAGAGCGCCCGTAGTGCCCATCCCGCTAAACGGAGAGGCGCAGTGCGCCGCATCGCCTAGAAGGACGACTCGTCCCTTAGACCACGTGTCTGTGAAAACCTGAACGACTTCTTGGCAGTAGAAATTCTCAGTTTCCTTCATGCCCTCGATGAACCGGTCCATCTGCCATCCGGCATCCTTAAACCTTTCTGCCCAAAATTCCTTTTGCTTTTCTATCGAGGCTCTCGGGATGCTCTGCAATGCTGGGTCGTCGTCTTTGAGAAAGAAGTAAACTTGAGTCTCTGTCGCGTTGTGACTTCTCCGGAACACCATGCGGCCGCCCGGGGCGAGATAGGTCCGGCGGAGATTAGAGTCATCTGCTGTACGGGGTATGAACCAGTACGCAATGTACACGCCCAGCTGGTGGTAAGGCTCCGGACTATCGGGCGGAAGAATGGCTTTTCGAATACGCGACCCCTGGCCATCGGCACCGACAAGTAAGTCGAACGTATCAGACGAGCCGTCCGAAAAACGAGCAAGTACTCTCTTTTCATCCTGCTCGAAGCTCTCCACGGTCTTGCCAAACACGTACTCCACATTCTCCGCATCCTTCGTCTGGTCGTAGAGTATCCTCACCAGGTCCCCGCGCATGATCTCATACTCGGACGTGAAGGACTGCGCGCCCCTACCAGACCTATTGGCCAAGACGGTAGCCCTGATCTCGCCTTGAGAATCTACCAGCGCAAAGCCCTCTTCGTCGACGAGTTTGGAGCGGATGGTCTCGTCGAGCCCCATCCTCTTGACCATGTCGATGCCTTGCTCTCGCAGGTCGACCTGGGCCCCTGTTGCCCGCAGCGCCGGGTAGCGCTCGACGATGACGACGCGGTGGCCGGAGCGGGCTAGCCAGAAAGCTAAGGCCGGGCCCGCTATTCCGCCTCCGCAGACGAGGATTTTTAGTGGAGCCATTTACTTAGTTGCGATGTTTTGTGGGTTTATGTGTAGGGGAGATGACGTCGATGATCCCTTAGTAAAATAGGGATCGTTAAGATACAGAGCGTTGAGGCACCGTAAATCAATGATTAGTTGAAGATGCAGCATCGCGAAAACATAAAAATAAAATAAAAATTAACGTGTTCTATTTATTTGAATCTCAATATACGGCTGCCTGGGTCGCAACTTCGAGTCCGCGTTGGTGAACCCGAGTCGTTGATTCCGAGTAGGAAGCTCCGCACCGAATCCGATTCCCAGCTCCCGATTCCGGGTTCTTACGTGGTCTGTGCTGTTTCTCTGGTGTTCATCGTTACACCACCGATATCCAACGGGTAACGGCATGTGGCTTCAGGGTTGGCATGGATTCCTGCCTTCCACTTAGAGTTTCTTATCACAAAGGCTGTGCACCATCCCTATACGTATGAAAATTAATGCGCGTTTGTACCTGGATCGCGGGTCGTCTGATCAGTTTGAAACTTGAAGGCTTACGTATATCAGATAGCACATGATAAGAACCATGCAAATTTAAATTGACATTGTAAAGACTGCAATTGGGCTTATTCTGAATATATGGACATTTATTTACCTACCTAGGTTTGTAAGTAGGGAATGTTTGTCGCATAATATTGATATGCTATTTGCTTCTTGTAGTCTTGGTATCTTCAATTAATGACCCTAGCTTGGAAGTTGCCCCGGATGGTTCGGACGGCAATCGCCGTTAGATCTTCATCAACCGGCCCCTCGGCACGCAGATCTCTCCTAATTTCTGCCCTAAACGTCACTACCCAGCTAGCCACTTGCACATGTGGTACCTATGCAAGGCACCACAATACTTTATTTCTATCCCCTTAGCTACCGCGAATCCTAGAGGAGCTGAAATTAGGTAAGTACCTCCTCGATTTAGAACATGTAGTCAGCTTAGATAGAGTTTCTTTAGGTTCAGAAGCTAGGTAGGCTATCCGATACTTTGTACGACAATAGACGGAGCAAAACTTGGAAACTGGAAACTGGAACCTCGGCTCCAGCGAGGAAGTAGGGACCTATTGTACTGTAGTTGGTGGCTAGGGTCATTCTAGGACTGTTCAATGCGAACTTGCCAATGACCTTCCAATTTACTCAATACAACTCATTTTAAATCCTCCAGCCCATCCACCCTCATCAAGTCCTAAATAGACACCGCCCCATTCTTGAGGCCACCCGGTGGCCTGGCATGCAGCTTACCGTAACCTTGGATTGGTTTAGCAGACCGCCAAGCAGCGGACTCTCGGCTTGCGGCTGACCATGGCTTGATGGCATTTCCTTTTACGGTAACTGATCATGGCGGTTAGGGTGGTTGGATGCTTGTTCGTTGATTGTCCTCCCTTTATTCATCATGTTTTAGGGCGGTGACGCAAACCCCCAGGAATTCCATCCGTTTTTAGAGCTTACATTAGTCGTGTGCCCCTCGGAATATAACTAGAACATTAAACCTCCTATCATCCAGGATGTTACTGTAACCTTTAATCACTAATTCGTCTTGTTACCCACCCTGGTACTCGACTTCCATTCTTATATTTCTCTCTCCTTCCCCCAGTCGGCTTGGCCAATTCGATAAGTTAGATCTAATCGATACCGGACCTTGCATGGTACTAGCGGAAGAGATCATGCATTTCCTTCCTCTAACCCTGGTCTCGCTTATCTCAGCCGCCCTCGGATCTCCCGCAGGCGGCAGCGATGGGTTCGGCGAGGTAGCGGCTCGTGATATCCTAACAGGCCGTGCAGCTCCGGAAGATCCGTCTGGCACTTACGCGCCAGCAACCGTTGACTGCCCGCAACAGCGACCGACTATTCGCGGTGCAGGGTCCCTGTCGCAGTCGGAACAAGACTGGCTAAAAAACCGGCGAAGCAAGACTGTTGATCCTCTGGTTCAATTTCTGCGTAGATCGAACTTGACTGATTACGATTATGCCGGTTACATCACTTCAAACTCACAGAACTTTTCTGTGGTGCCTAACATCGCTATCGCCGTGTCAGGTGGTGGTTACCGCGCTTTAATGAACGGCGCCGGGTTCGTCGCTGCCGCAGATAGTCGCGTTGCTGGTTCTACGGATGCCGGAGGTATCGGCGGTCTCCTGCAAAGCAGCACATACCTAGCAGGATTATCCGGCGGTGGTTGGCTAGTCGGTTCCATCTTCGCCAACAACTTCTCTACCGTCGTACAGCTCCGCGACGGCTACCAAGGCTCTGCCCTTTGGCAATTTTCTAACTCCATCTTCCAGGGTCCCAAAAGCAGGGGAATCTCGATCGTTAACACCGTTGAGTATTGGGACGACATCTTAGACCAGGTCGATGATAAGCGGAATGCCGGATACGATGTTTCCATTACTGACTACTGGGGCCGGGCTCTCTCCGTGCAGTTAATCAACGCAACCGACGGCGGGCCCGCCTACACGTTCTCGTCAATTGCTGATGCCTCCAACTTCCAAAGTGCCGACACGCCGATGCCAATTCTGGTAGCAGACGAACGTAGACCGAACACTCAAGTCATCTCGTTCAACTCAACCGTGTTTGAATTCAACCCATGGGAATTTGGATCATATGACCCGACCGTATATGGTTTCGCGCCCATGCGATATGTCGGATCCAATTTCAGCGGCGGCAGCATTCCTGATAATGGTCACTGCGTCGAAGGATTTGACTCTTACAGTTACGTTATGGGTACAAGCAGCTCTCTGTTCAACGCTTTCCTCCTGCAGAACCTCTCGTCCCCGGATATCCCCACGGTCGTGACCAACGCGCTCAAAGATCTCCTCACTGACATCGGTAACGACAACGACGATATCGCCGCCTGGAACCCGAACCCTTTCTTCGGGTACAACAACGACACCAATGCCAGCGCCGATGATGAGCAGCTGACTCTCGTCGATGGCGGCTTGGATCTGCAGAACATTCCGTTACATCCCCTAATTCAGCCGGCACGTGGTCTCGACGTCATCTTTGCGATTGATTCATCCGCCGACACGACCACATATTTCCCCAACGGCACAGCATTGAGAGCCACCTACGACCGAAGCAAGACGGATATCGCTAACGGAACCGCCTTCCCTGCCGTGCCGGATGCCGAGACCTTTATCAACCTGGAGTTAAACAAGCGGCCGACTTTCTTCGGATGTAACACGTCCGAGTTCGCCAACGCAAGCCACATCCCGCCTCTGATCGTATATGTTCCCAACGCGCCGTATACAACTTCAAGCAACGTATCCACGTTCGACCCAAGCTATTCGGACGAGCAGCGCAACTCTATCATCAAGAACGGTTTCAACGTAGCCACGATGGGTAACGGGACGGTGGACTCGGAGTGGACCGCTTGTGTGGCGTGCGCGGTGCTAAGCCGCAGTCTTGAACGTACTGGTACTACGGTCAGCGCTACGTGCCAGCGATGCTTCAGCCGCTACTGCTGGAATGGGACTACGGACAGCACACCGGTTAGCAGCTATGAGCCGGCGCCGATTTTGCAGTTCGATGCCCAAAGCTTGGGTATCAGCGCCCACGGAGGCGCGGCGAAGGGTCTGGTGTACGGAATTGTCGGCATCGTGGCTACGGTTTTGGCATTCTAAAGGAGGGTTATGACGTTTTCTTTCTGGATTGTGTCGTGTTATGGATGGATAGGACCATAGGACGAACTTGGCGATATGATTTTAATGGCTCGGGGCATATTTTGCATCAGCATAGAACGAAGGTATAGATGGGGTCGATACCCCCTTGGATGCGGTCATTTGATAGGGCCTCGAGTTTACCAAGAGCTGTCCTTTACACGTTGGTAGCTATCTACTGGCAGTGAGTACAATATAACATGATTTTCACGCGCAATTCGTCATTCTATTCCTGTCGAAGTGAAATATGTTGGTTCTTAGCTCTTCTAGCCTGGCAGTGTTGGTTAAATTTCTAGGCAAGGCAGTGTAAGTAAGGTCTTGTTGGATAGGTATTCCATTGGTCTGTTTCCCGCGCAATGATAAATTGGCCAACCATACGTCTCTTCCTTTGCCCTTCGTTGGCTATCAGATGTTAGTAGATATGATCTTCACCATAACATACACATCCGCAATATTCGAGATTCGGTGTATTCTACAAAGGGAGCATGAGGAGTGAGTCACCATCTAGAACTAGACGGCATAAGAATTCGGACAGATCAAACCTAAGTTGATACCCGAACAAACCGCTGCTTCTCCTTCGAACTAAGCTGCCCGCTGTCAAGCTAATGCCATCGATAGGCAGACGGCAGTTGAGCAGGTAGGATTTGATCTAGTGGTTATTGTGCCCCTTAATTGGTGACCATTCCAACAAACCCACCATATTTCAGCCGACTCCGCGGGATCACGCTACTACAGTTGATAGATGATATGGCAAAAGGTCCCATCTATAGGTCTAGTCCTCAAAACAGCCAAGACTTCACCATCATAGTATCGTAAACTACTATTATTATCTGATCTACTCGCCGACCATGTACCCAGGTTGTATCGGCAGCAATGCATCAACAAGATTTCTACACCTCCCCCAGAAAAAACAAAGGGGCGCATACACCTCCCTCGACCAAGCAGACCACGCAGACTCCGCCCTCCCCCTCGCCATCTCAACACGAACATATGGTACCGACGTCTAACCACCGTCGCCATCCCGCACTAGAGTCCCAACCTTCGAACAGCCCAAGCTTCTCAAAATAGAGTCGTGGCCCATAATTACACCACGGTCTAGAGGGGACAGCAATATCGGTCCCCCTTTTGCTCGAAACCCGGTTCAGCTAGGAGCAGCAGCAGCAGCAGCTCCATCACGTCTCAAGTTTTTTTCGGCGGAGAAGGATGGATATGTAGCATATGTACTCTCCCCAAGCCAATGAACTCACGACACCCAATATCGAAGCTCGCCAAAACAGACCTCGAACATCCGTCTCTTTACCTAGTCTGAGGAGGCAAAGGTAAGACGACGGCCTGTTAGATGGGATAGACAGGCGGCCGTTGAACCCACGTACGCAGCGTGTGGAGCTTGCTATACTACTTGCACACTTACCTACATACCTACGTTACGTCTCCCTTTCTCCTCAGCTTGGGTCAGGTTCACGTTAGTCCAGGCTCTTAAGTCCAGGTCTAAATCTCTTAGTGTCTACCCTATCCAAAAGTTCCCTGGTCTACTTACCTGGGGTATGTGATATGTAATATGTATGTATGTATGTATGTATGTACATACGTTAGGTTAGGTATCCAAGCTACGTATGTAAGTAGACACAAACAGTAAACACCTATCCAGGTAAGATGGCCTTTAGCACTATTATCCGTCGGCATCACGATACCCTCGTGTCATACGGTGGCGCGCGTACCGTACCAACAACAACAATTACCTAGCAATAACAAGCAACAATAACACACCTACCAATTCCCCGCCCTTTCTACCCTAGGTCAGGTAAGGCAGCAACAGCCTTACCACATTTTCCCCCTCCTAACCTTATTTAATCAACCAAGTCAGTACGAGGTCTTAGTCATACGTAAGTGAAAAGTCGTAAGTCTCCAGATGTCTTAGCCGAGCCTCCGCGTAAGCGAGCTTTCGCCCGAAGGGGTTAACGGCGGCTTCGCCAACGAAAGCTGGGGAGAACCGATGCGGGAGGCTCCCAGACAACGGGACGAAACAGAACGTCGATAGAAATGGAAAGCTACTAAGCAAGGTATGGCACTGTACCTACCTAGGTAGGTAGTTACCTAGGGTAAGCATGTGTGGACGTAGGATCAGGTAAGCCTCAAAGGTGTTGTTGTTGTCGTTGTTGTCCCGGTACAGGCCAAGGTCAGGGCCCGAGTCCCATAAAACAAACGCAGCGGGAGGAGCAGGAAGCAGGACAGTTGGAGAGAGATCAGCGGCATCATGTTAAGATACGAAAACACGTAATTGGCTAGGTCTACCTAGGTCCGGTCCATATAAGCAGTTATGCTTAGACTATTCCTTTACATATTCACGGTAGTCAAGTCCCTCATGGCGGCGGGGGTGGCCTTGTTGTGCTGGTTCTTGTTGCGCTTAAGGGGTGGGATGTGTATTAGATAGATAGGATGGGATAGGACAGAGCGAGATAAGATGGAGAACAAGGTGTCAGCCTCCGAACCGCCGCAGGCCTCGACAACGTAGCCTCCCTTGATCGGCGTGGGTGAAGCCGCCTCGGTGGATACACAAAATGTTAGAGTCACCGGTGTTTCAGGAAGAGCAATAGCTTATGTTGTACACTGCGTGGTGACCGGTCATATTAGTCCGTGTGTACCAGGAGCTGGAGCACGAGTCTGAACTCTCGCTTGCCGGTGTGTTTCCATGGAGAACCCTTGCAGTGACGCGAGGCCTGTTCGTCGAGCCTTGGGCAAACAGTAGGAGCATAGGGTGGGACTGGAGATGACGGTATGAAATCACCCGTACGACATTCTCTTAGGTCATTGATATTGTGTGCGTAGTATCCAAAAAAAGAAACTCTATGGTGGATAAATCTAGACTTCCTTGACTTGGTCGAAAATTGGGGGAAACGCGATATGCTCACCAGTGTATCCTACGATATATCAACAGCGACATTTGTTGGCTTACATGGTGCTGACAAAGGCGAATCCACGGCCGCAAAAGGGGTCTACTACTTTTTAAAAGTTTGCAAGATAACCAGTCCCCCACATCGGATTCGTGAAAAAGGGTGCTCTTAAGATGCTTGATATATATAATGTAATCCGGCAGAAAACAATGCTGCGTCTCACAGTAGCAAAGAGATGCGGCAAGAGCCGGAAAGGGCAAAGCTGAAAACCCGTCGTTCGGGCTTTTTACCTCCTCAGTTCGCTATTCTCGTCGCGTCTTTATTGGCGCAGGAAAGGATTACCTATCAACATGCAAGGCCGCCGCTGGCCAATGGCGTGATGACAGATGATTCGAGTGCCCAACGTATACGAATCGCTGAGTAGCTGGTTTTCCCTACCATGAGGAGCTGCACTTCATATATTGATTCCTAGGTCCCAATACTGTAACATATCAGGAGCAAGCGCCGATGCGTCAAGCTCGACGGTCCTGATCGGTTTTTATTCCGATAGTAGCTCCCATATTTTAGCCAACGGTCTAATCTGAGACTTGCAAAGCTTGCAAAGTGATTCGAGGCGAGAGCCCACTCGTCAGGAAACACTCAGCGAAAACCACCCCGAACCGGAATTGAGGCAGTTCTATCGGAAGCCTTCCATTGCGGGGGAACTTTGGATTGGTATGACGAGCCCAGGAACATCCTTAATCCTTTCTAATTCAGCCCCCAATTGCTTGATAGTAGAATCCTACTGGACGTGCTGACAGGGGGATAATATGAATGCTGTGCAAGTTACCAGTCACGAGCAGAAAAAGAGCTCCTACAGCGGCCTTGGGTTCCCCATGCAGAACTCTTGATTGGCATTATCACCGGGACGAGGTAATAATAATCTCTTTTTTTTTCTCGCAGTCCCCGGTACTGGTGCGGAGGTAAGTATGCCAAGACTTCCAACATACCTAGCTCGAGGTCCCCACGAAGAACATGTTTGCGAGGACTTTTGCCCTATCAGATCGCGCCTAATCCAGCTCGGGGGTTCGGTGAGGGGATGCCGAAGAGCCTTCCGTCCAGTCACCTTCTACCGACCTTCCAGAAACGGAGGGATATAGTGAATAAAGTGGTAATGCACCAAGAAGACGACGTAGTCTTGCAGGAACTGTGACCGAAAGACGTGCCAGGGCTGAAGATAGGGGAAAAAAGGTTCTGCGCATACTCTTTTTTTTCGAGTGGTGCAGATCGCATAGGCCGAGCTATAATATTTCGGCAAATTCATTGACGCCATTCCCCCGTCTGGATAGGGTGGTCGAATAGGTCGAGGGTATAACGGTAAAGGAGGGGACGCTACGGAAAAGGGGGGTTGGACCGTGTCTGACCGAAGAAGACCTACCAAACTAACCCAGCCACCGAGGATAGAGCGGGAAAGGTGAAGGGGAATAGGAAACCCCCCTAAACTCGGATCGGTATGAGGGTAACACAAAATCTTCGTTCAGCCGTAACCCGGAACCATTGGACAAACATGGATAAGAAAAAAAAAAGACGCCTAGGTAAAAAATAATAATAAAAAATGAAATAAATAAAATAAAATTCAATGATAGGTCACGGGGATTAGAGCACATCGTAGATCGAAAATCGACGTCAGATGACAAACAATTGCATAAAAGCTCATATCGGCTGAACAAATCAGTCAACCCGGGGGCAGAATGCATGGGCTGATCCATGGCATCGCGTCGTGACCGAGTGAAGGATGCATATTCGCCTGTGACAGATTTGCATTTCGCAGCATCGGATGAGGGCGGCAGACGGCCACAAACAAGAAAAAAAAGCGTGAGAGAGAAAGATAATAGGAAGGGGGAGGAGCAGCAAGGGTACCCGCGCGCGAAAGGACGTGGACGTAGTACCTCAGTAGGTGGATGGTGGATGATGGGCGATGGATTTCCATTTTCCAGAGCAGAGAGCTGGGAAAGCTGGTAAATGGTAAATACCTACTAGGGGAATTACCTAGATTTTTCCCCCTTTCCTCTTCCTTTCCCGTGCATTGGTATAATGTCGGTAGGTGGTTAGGTAGTAGGTAAATGTGTGTGGCCTCACAGCGCAGACGTGTCTGATCTTGTGTCGCCTCGCATCGCCTCGCCTCTTGACCGAAGAGAGCCTACGGTCGAGGAGGCCTGGGGTGTGTGAGTGGGCACTTTCGGAGTGTCACGTCTTTGGGCTGTATGTCTGCGACGTCTGCGCTGGCGCTTGAGATGATTGGCGGACGGGCGAATTCATTGGCTGGAGACTTGGAAAATGGATATGGAATGGACTACCACGTGTTTACCTGAGATCCGCCGTAGCCACGGCCAAAATCAGATTGAAACGATACATGAGAGCGACATTAGAGTGCTCTCCCTTCGAGTTGCAGTTGGGCGTTTTCACCTTTTTTCACCCCCATGTTTTCTTCCTTTCCTTCTTTTATTACTCCATTTATTATTGTTGACCGACGATAGATTATATCGGTTGGTAATCTGCGATTTAGATTGTCGCATACCTAATAAAATAAGTTGACCTTGGGTAAGCTGTAATTTCGGGGAATGAGACATGACGGGCCTTTTTTTGCTCTATTTCGTTTGAAGGTAGGAGAGAAAATAAAAGGGCCTGATGGAACGATGAAACTGTGACTTGATGAGATTTGTAGACGAGATGGGACTAGGCAGACTTGAGTTAAGAAGGTAGCAAACAAAAATGAGGTAAAAATAATTATTATAGTGGTATCACTGGTGGCTGTTAGTAGTAGATGTTGCCCGGCCCCGCCCTATACCTTCTCAATCCTGGAAAACGTATACATGTATGATGTATGTAAGAAAAAATGGAAGGGAACATACATTGAATACTAATTTAAAGTTAACCTTGGAACTAGGGTGCTCACTAATGTACTCCACCTAAGGTTTGGAGCGCAGAGGTACTTTTTAGGTAGACAGGATCAGACAAGATCAGTTAGGTACATGTATCTAGGTGAGCTGGGAAGTGGGAAGGTGGAAGGATGGAAAGAGAAAAAAAGCTCGGCCCCGCACTTAAATCGAAATCTTTACATAGTACAAGTACCTAAGAGCAACTGCAACAACCGCAAGCAAGAAACCTCATTGGAGCCTTGTATTACAGCAGTTTCGGAAGCTACACACGATCCTCGTCTCTCTATAGTGAGTACATACATAGCTACATACTTGCTCGCGCTTTCTGTACTTGAAATACAACCGGGGAAAGAACCTCGATGGTGAGGAGAAGGGAGAAAGAACATTGAAAGGTTTGAACGTCTGAAGAGATTGGAAAATATTTCTATTTAAAATTTGTACTTCCGACTTCTCGCAGTCGCATAATCACCGTATCATCACCATACCATACCATACCTCATTCAAACTAATACACCCCATATACAACCAGACATACACCATACACCTTACCTACATATACATATCTAGTGGATCAGCCTACGCTTATGCCTTAGAGGCTACCTAGGTAGATCTATGGTACCAGCTGTACTCATCCCGTTCTATTAACTACATACATATCCTTACATATTTCTTTTCTTCACTTCGCGGCAATTTCATTATCACCCTCGTTTAATTCTCCACCCTCGGGAGCCAGAGTCCTCCATTTTTTCACCGTGCGTTGTCTATTCAGTATAGCGCTCGTGAACGAGCCATCATAGTCACCTTTCATTATGAGGTAGGCCGTGCTATTGTCGTGCGAGCGCCTAGAACGACATGCATCCTGCACCCAGTCTGTCGGAAGCATTTCCTAAAGACAGCAAGACTGAGGATAGAGGCCAACACGTCCCTCATCAACACGACCAGCAGCAACAGCAGCCGCAACAACAGTCGTCGGGTGGGCATCATCGTCAACCTTCTCAGCCGCAGCTTCAACAACAACCCCACCAAGGATCACATCCCGAACACGTGCAACATGGGAGCCACCCTGCATCACCAAGCCAGTCGGCGACACCCATGAGGAAGGATACGAGTTCTTCTACCTCGACGATCGCCACCGACGCAACGGCCGTCTCCAATGCCTCGACTGACACCAACTCGACGGCTTATAGTGTAGAGTCGTCCCAGTCCATCTTCTCGGTTAAAGATGGGTCGGAGATCTCGCACAATCGTCGAGCTAGTCGTCGGCGGACGGGGCCGTTGTCAGCTCAGCAGAGAGAGAAGGCTGCGTTGATTCGGAAATTAGGCGCGTGCGCCGACTGCAGGAGGCGGAGGGTTGCTGTAAGTCACAATATTACGATCTGCCCCCTCCTTTTTCTCCCTCTCCTATTGTTAGCACGATGCTCACATGATCACCCTCTGAAGTGCCACCCCAACCATCATAATATGACGTGGGAAGATGCTATGCGGAAGTATCGCTCGTCTAGCCCTTTGCAGGATCTGGCTCCCCTGGCTGGTCGACCGATCAGCCCCGCGCCAAACCATGTCAGACATCACTTCACCCAAGATCCCCAGGAGATGGAGATTGACTCCACCCCCGCTGCTCCCAATAACGCTCAGAGCACGCCAGGTCGTCCACCGCTCAGCGACGCGAGGATCCGGACGCCTCTGCCTTCGGGCCCACGGCTGGAGAAGCCTATGCCTAACTCTCCCTTGGCCGCTACAACGAATCATTACACACCCCTGCCGAGCATCGATTCGGTCAAGGCAGACCTAGAGAGCGCAGCTTCTAGGATCCTCGCCTCACCTCACCGCAGTCGCTACAGCAGCGTTTGCGCGCTCCTAATCTATTGGCAGGATGACGAAAGCCCCGGCGTGGCATCCGCGGTGGAAGAGCTTGGCATTGTTTTCGACAAGTATTATCGATACGCGTTTGAGATCCTCAAGATTCCGTCATCCGCTTCAGACGGCTGCACCAACTCGTGGAGATGGCTCTCACGGATCATAAACGAATTTACGGACAAGAGCGACACCAGGGACGTTCTCAAACTCGTGTACTATAATGGATACAGCTATTTGGATGAGCATAGGGAGATGGTTTTGGCGAGGCGAGTTTGCCCAGACGCTAGGCTAGCTTGTTTTTGGTGGTGATTCTAACCCAAGATAGTTCTCGGGATCGTGCGAAGGCGTCGACTATTCGATGGAGCGGTATCCAACAGATTTTGGAGGAAGCCCGGTCAGATACGTTGATTATGATGGATGCCGCATACTACCCGTCTTCGAAGATGGTTCGACAAAAGGGGGTGTTGGAAGTCATCGCGGCATCGTCTTCGGAGGAGTACTTTGATGTGCTGGATCGAAATAGCTTCACCAGAACGCTGATTGACCAGCTTCGGACACGGGCCACCCAACGATTTCCGAATCCGTTATCAGCCGCCGAACTACATTCGAAACTCCTATCCATCTACCCCAAGATCATCCAAGACAAACACCAGGAAAAGGGATTACTACTAGGTTTCCCTTCGCCGTTGCACATACAAATATCCGGTAACTCGAGATTACCTTCGATTACGTTATCTCCGCCGCAACCGCCCCGGACAATCTACAGCCCGGAGAATCACCACGGCCCTCAATTGACATTTTCGATGCGATTGACGGATGAGGCTCTCAACCTTGAGAGTTGGGCCGAATGGCTTCGAATGATGCCTGAAGGGATCAAAGATATAAAAGTCGAAGGTCCATACACTACGTTTAGGTGACGCTGTCTCCGACCAAATACGTTTTTTTTGTCTTTTGTAATGCGCCAAACCGCCACGAGACTACGATGAGCGACACGCTTGGAAGGAAATGGATGAGCAAATTGTTGCTCGTTACGTTTTTGATGACAGATAGTCATCTATCGCCATTTATTATATTGTTTCATCTACGGGGAATCTTTCCTATTTTTGCATCTTACATGAAGATACTTCGAGGCTAGAGGCGCAGACGACGAGTAATTTCTTTTCATACATTATACCATACCCACTCCTCTTAACGTCTCCTACTTCCATTACGGCGTACAGGAGAAACAACCGTGGCTATGGACGTCTTTCACGTCCCGGATAGAGTTTTCTTTTATTTATTACGCCTCGGCATCGAGACACATCGAGCCCCGGCTGATTGTTATCATATGGCATAGTTGAGGAATCATTAAGGATATACCAATAAAGCGAGTTTCGAATGAAGCTTCCCCGAGAATTTAAATGGGGACGAAATCTGGCATGGAGTTGTAGGACCAAATGGAGTGAAGCTGTTCGATAATTAGACGCGGAACTATTGAAGTGCTGTTTAATTAATGTACTAAATTTCGAATCGACAACGTACTAGGCATAATATTTTTGGGGGACAGAACTTTTTGTTCACCCTTCATCGCTGTAAACATTGGCAGATCGGTCTATCTCCTTATACGCACTTAAGGCAATATGTATATAACGCAAGGGGAAGCAATGGTGTAGTCCATTTTATGTACGAATAGGGGTGGCTTTGCATTAGAGTACTAGCATACAACGCCATTTCAACAATTTCAACCCAGATCCACACGGATAGGTATGTTCCATAGTGATAGTAGCATAGCACCTTAGTAACAAGGGGAATTTATGTAAATGCCTCATGGACATGCTAATATGTCGCTCTCAAGAGTAGGTACCTAGGTTTTCCCATGCCTACCATTTTAACCCCTTTACCAATTTGAGATATGGGAAATATATATACCCTATCACCCAAAGTAACAGCATATATCCGTAAACCTCCTCAACGCCACACCACAACCTAGACCTCACCCTCGTTCTACCCCCATCCCAACTCCGACTCCCACCACCCAAACCCATACACATCACAGCACGGATGTACATACACATGGCTTAAGCACACCGCTCCTTCATTTTTTACTCCTCCTCCTCTTCTCCCTCCTCTTCCTCTTCCTCTTCCTCTTCTTCCTCGTCGTCGTCGTCCTCCTCCTCCTCGTCATCATCCTCATCATCCTCCTCCTCAGGAGCAACCACCTTCTTCCCCAACCCGTGACTTATATACCTTGCCCCGGCAAGCAAAACCTCCTTCCAGACCTCGAACTCGTCCTCGTCGCGCGGCGCGTAGATAAGCACGTAGCCCCACGGCGCCATGGCCCACGCCGCGCCCCCGACGCCGCTCATCCCGTGGCGCTCGGCCCAGCCCTTCGATATCAGCGTCGCCGCGTCGACGGGGCTGAGCGTGACGTGCGTGCTGCCCTCGCCGTGCACGTGCGCCCACTCGCCCGTCGTGCCGCGGCCGACGCGGGTCTGCAGCTCCGTAGCGCTAATAACCGTTTTACCCTGCTCCTCCTCTCCCTTCTTCTCCCCCTCCTGGTCCTGGGGAGAGGGAACGGGAGGTTGTCGTACCCATAAAGCCTTATAAAGCGGCCCTTCGAGCTGGCTAGCCTTAAGCTCGAACAACTCCGGATTCGCGTCCGCGAGCGCGGCCGCGAACCGGTTCAGCGCCTCGACGGTACTCGGGCTGCCGACCTCGCTAACCTGGCGCTGCGGCGCGACGAACGACGGCACCGTCGGACGCGGCGGCTTGCGCGGCGGTATCTCCGTCCTGCCGCCCTCCTCGCCCTCCTCGCCGAAATACGAGCGCGCGCCCGCGGGTCCGTATACCTTGCCTAGGTCCTCGGCGCTCGCGTACCGACCGGGCACGGGCGAGCGGAGGTCGGTCCGCGCGAGGATGTGCAGGGAAGATTGCGCGAGCCAGCCGAAGACGTTGTAGGGCACGCCGCCGCGGCCGAGGGCGAGCCAGGCCGTGTAGCATTTGTACGCGTATGCTAAGAGCGGGGCGGAGAGGGCGGCCGCGCCGGCGGCGAGGAGGAGGGGGGTGCGGTGGGCTGGGGGGATGTGGGAGTGTAGGATGGAGGGGAATTTTCGCTGGAGGAGGGATGACATTTTGGGGGGGTTTGATTCGCGGGAGGGGTTGGAGGGTAGGTAGGTGAGGGTGAAGTTTGAAGTGTGGTGTGATGTTGTATTTGGATATCTCCTATCTCGAAGGTAAAAATCTTGATTTAAAGTTGGTATACAGTTATACGGTTGTTACATCGAACTATCGAAACCCAAAAGTAGATACAACGGACCGGGTCGTGATTTCCGGAAGTTTGGTGAATTCCGGACAGTGCCGTAAGCCCGGGGGGGTTAATTAGTGGCTCCTTCGAATATAAAAAAAGCAAAATATGCCCGTTTTCATTATCCGGCCATAAGACTCTGTGATCCCACGAAATAATTACTCATTCCACAATAAGTGAAAAGCGAAAAAAGGGCTAAACCTAGAACTCGATTATTACGGATGCTTATTACGCACCGAAAAAAGTCTGCGGTGGCCGGTGGACCAGCTTGAAGGAATGGCTCCAGTGGTGTGATGTCAGGCGAGTTGACACCTAACGAACCCAAATCTCCTAAAATCTCCTCTGGGTCTTTAGTGACACGAACCAATGATGGTTGCTGACAGGTTAGCCTCCAACGCAAACCCCGCGGTGGCCGATCTCGAAGTGTGGATATATGTATGAGCTTTGCCCTCGTCGTCACGAATGAGATCTAATTCCGTCCACGTCGGTAGGGGACAAGCGACCGAAGTCCCGAATCTGAGTACATATGCAGATCCTTTACCCACCGAATATGTATGCAACCTGCTTACGTCTTTTGTCTCAGCCCGAATAAGCGCCTTGACGCGATTCCGAGCAGGGTCTTGATTACCACATCCGACATCAACACTAGAAATCACGGGAAACCCTAGGATTGTCTGTGTAACATGGTGAAATATTTGATCATAAATTCCACTGCCTATAAATCCAAATTCGCAAAAATGATCATAACCGCCATATATAGGTCTTTCTATCCCGGGACCTCTCAACCGGATCTGATCCAAAGTCATGAAATATACATCCCTAGTCACACTCCACGCCGGCATCTAACGTTTAAACCCCTATACACGCTTACAGGGGCTTAGCAGCAAATCCAAGCTGCTGGTTCCCGCCGTGAAACACCACGAACTGCGATTTAAGGAAAATGTCACCGTAGATGGCGAACGGGAAACCCGCAGGCGAACCCTGGATGCCGCCGAAGCACGTAGTAGACGTCGCAAACGAGTCTCCATCCACCGGTGAGAACTTCATGAAGTCGCCCGGGATCACGGCCTGGTAGTCGCCGATGATAGCTGTATAATCGGGCAGCGTAGCATTGCAGGGGAAAACGTAGCCTCCGGCTGCCGCGTTGTTGACGGCCCCTTGCACCTGAGCGTAGTACGCGGTGGCAATCTGTGCCGGGACGAGCAGGAGTGTGGTTCCCGTGTCGGCGATGGCCTCGTGCGGCAAGGAGACGGCGGCTGAGTTGGCGATCTTATAGCCGGACCCTGTAAACTGCCAGAACCCAGCCGACGAGTTCACAGGCACAAATGCGATATCTCCAGTAAATTCGGTATTATCGATGAAGCCGAAGTTGTAATTGCCCGCTGAACTTTGTCAACACACGCCTTTTACATAGTATAACACGTGATTCATATTCAACTTACGAGCTTCTTTCTTCAAATTAGCCGTGAATAGAGGGGACGCGAGCTCGTTCGTCGCGCTCTCGAAGAAAGTCTTCTGCTTCGTAGGCCGGACCGTGTTTATAGAGCCGAAAGCCAGTCCGAGAAGACCATCCGTGTCGGGTCGTTGTGTGAACGACAGCGAGACATTTTTGGCAGATTCGACCGCCTGGTTCTGAACGGTGACTCCGCCTACCGACACTGTATCCAAGTAGACATTACCACTAGAGCTACTACCATCGCCGTAACTAATCGACCAGGTCTCCCCTGTCTGTAACTGCGCCGTCGAGCTTTGCTGGATATTCCACTATAGCAGCTGAAGTTAGTAATCGCCAAATCGTTGTAAGACTCCAGCGTGACTCAAAGCCGTAATGTTTGCCGCCTGATATCGTTCGAGACTAATTTGTATTTCAATGGGTCTATACATACTGCGGTTTGACCCATAACCTGGTTTGATGGTGTCTCCGAACTGAAAACCCACAGATCAGATGAACCAGTATCAAAGTCCAGCTGCAAAGTCTGCGGTGGGGTGCCAATGGAGACCGGGCACAAGTATTCGGAATCGAACATCTGCGGAGTTGCCGCTACCTCGCCTAGAAACCGATGAGTCAAAATAGTAACGAAGCCAAGTAAACCACCAAGAACTTACCTTGGCCATCGGTGCCCGTGCTGTTGCTCGCTCCAGCATTCCCCAAAAGACCGAGCTCTTTCAGAATCTCTTCTATGGAAGATAGCAGATCGTCCGAGACCGCGGCGCCGTACTTCGAATAAGCTCTCGCGATAGCCATGGCGCCTCTCCCCTTCCGTGCGCCGTAGTACTTCTTGTTCTGGACTTGGTTGATCTTGAACGTCATGCCTCCCAACGTCGTGATCTGCAGCACCTCGTCCAGCACCCCGCGCTTCTGCTTCTGCATCGGACTAGCGGACGCCAGGTCCTGGCAGCAGAGGACGTAGGCCGCAACAGCGGCGGCGGTATCTGAAACCCTCATCTTGGAAGAACTTTGGTATATAGGTATCGAACGAATTAAATATAAAAAAGGAACGACACGAAGAGAATCGTAGAACCCACTCAACCAGAGCGAGCGAGGTCTATCGAACAAGACTGCAGGAACCCCGAACCAGCAAGCCTAGGAAAGAAGAGGGAAAAGAATGAAGAGAGGCGCAAACACTATCAAAGGAGCGACACACACGACAATCGAGAGGAAAAGAGAAGCATCAAAATACCAAGAGAGAAGGAGAAGAAGAAAAACCAAGAAGAACGGCCCGGCAAAGCGTTGCCGCGACGCAATTATTTGACCTACCTAACCTACTTCGCCATTTTTACCAATTACCGGTTCCAGTTTCACGCCTTACCCTCGGGAAAGCCATCCGAGCGCGAAAAAGGGAAAATACACTAAGAAAGAAGCTTGAACATCGAGCATGGGATCCGAACACTTACCACGTCGCTGGCAGATTGATGAACCCCGGGGTGGGTGAGCGGCGGGCGCGCCGTTACAGACGCTGTGGGCGGAAGAGAAAAAGAGCCTCTCGCGCTTTGTCTGGGAAATATAAATGGGGGGTAGATCATTCATGCCTTGGGTCTGTTTTAGGTCCCAAAGCGGTATGCGGGCAGCCTCAGATGGGAAAATCAAACGGGATGGCATATCGTGAGTTTGTTTTTTCATGCCTGGACTAAATAAGATGGACAGTCATCGCCATCGTTGCCGTGTCGATACACAGGTTCGAGAAACTGTAAAAGAGGCTTTTTATACGAATATAGATTGATATATTCACTATGAGATTTAAATTGAAGAGGCTAAAAGATCGGATGAAGCATTCAATTGAGTTGGAAGAGGTAATTAGAGGCTGAGATGAATTGGTAAGGCGGTGTCCGTGCATTAATGCTTAAATTCTAAGGGAGAATTACCGTTTCAAATCCCACGTGAAATGCTACTTTGGTGTACCAGACCTGTATATACAAGGTACAAGATCTACTATGTAGGTAGGTAAGGTTCGTGATAGACTCACCGTTCACATGAACCCTCCTTGGTGCTACATTAATATGTAGCACGGTTTGCGAGGTATCTATCGGTACCCTACCACCGGAGCCTTAAAATCTCCGTATAAGTGCAGACATACTTAAGACTACATCACAACTTTAGTTTTCGCAAACAATGTCTCATCTCACTCGTAATCAGCCAAGCCGATCATATAATGCATCGCAATGTCAATAAACATGCACCTCTAATCCTGATCCACTGTGTATGATGTACAAGCCCGCTTTTCCGTAACGCCCTGTACACGATTATTAGACCCCGTATCAGAAACAAAAGAGATCCATATGGATACGCGAGCCCGAATGATCTAGCTAACCCACACGCCGATACCCAGTGTCCGATGGAACGAATAGGGAATTGTTACTTCACCAACACCTCTTCAGTGATGGTGATGTTCATGATCGTGGTCATGATCCCCACCGTGATCATGGGGTCCCGAATGGCTAGACCTTCGGCTTGATCCTGCCTTGGAAGCTGCTTGTGAAGGCAGAGTGCAACAACCCTGGCCTACACAATCATCCACGCACTCTAGCAGACACACATCGCCCCCAGAGCGCGGCGATGCTTGTCCGTCTAGCGTCATAGAGCCATCATCGATGTGATTACAATCTTCTTCTAGGCAGAACTCTGGCTGTATGGTGGCACTGTGGATACCGTACGCGTGCAGGCATTTCCGCGCCTGCTTAGCAAGCTTCATGTACTTCTCTCCCCCTTCGCTTGTAATAGGAAACGCAACTTGCACGTGCATGGAAGCAACAACTTTCGTATCAGAAAGCTGCCAGACGTGTACGTGATGGCAGCTAATTACTCCTGGGAGGGCTTGGATATCCTCCTTGATATCCTGGAGATTGATGTGATCGGGCGTGGCCTGTAAGAGCACTTGCGCCGTCGCCTTGGTGAGTGGGATCGCCGACCTGAGAATTATGAGAGTAATAAACAGTGAGACGGCAGGGTCGGCGTAGTACCGCCCTGACCAGTCAGTAAGCCAAATAATCAAGGCCGTCACTATGACGCCTACGTTTCCTAGAGCATCACCCAAAACATGAAGGACCATAGCGTTCATGCCCATGTCGGCGTGGCTGTGGCCATGGCTGTGTCCTTTCCTCGACTTCGACTTAGGCCTGCTGTGATGGTGATCTATATGGGTTCCCGAGTCACGTCTAGCGCGGAAATGATGATGGGAGCTTCTTGACCGGCTGATATGCTTGTCCTTATGCGCGGAGTTCTTGTCCAACACGCGCTCGTTTGATATAAGGGGCGTAGTCTCGTCTATAGCTGATTCCTCGCGAGTCGGGGAATCGATAGAGCTGTCATCATTGGAGCTTTCATCCGTCTCATTTCCGTTGCGACTCGACCTGCTATGGTCGATAATGTCCTGTCTGAAGCTGGCCGGATGAATGCTAAAGTCGTCAATACTAGTTAGGCGGGTATGCTTAAGGCTGCCTGCACGTCGACGTTCTCTGCCCCTAGACAGAGCACCCCGGCTAGTGCCTCGTTCGTGTCCCGGCTTTTGGTCGCTCTCAGGTTGGTTGAATTGAATATGACGAACGGTCTCCGGAGAGGCATTCTCGGCTCGAGCTCGCGCCAAAGCAACCTCTGGCAGAACATCCAGCACAGGACCAGTTTCATCTACCAATGCTTGCGTCGCACTTGCTCTACCCTCCTCAGCCGCAGCAATGTTATCGTGTTGGTGGACATGCTCGTGCCCGTGTTCGTGATCGTGCTCGTCGTCGTGCGAATGGCCTCCGTGGTCGTGTCCATGTCCTCCCAGAACCAGGAAACCAACAAGATTGGACGCGAGTCCAAAGCAGCCTACGATAAGAATGAGCATCGGATTCGAGACTTCCTGAGGCTCGATGAATCGAGTCAATGCTTCGAGGATGATAGAGACGCATAGGGCGATCAAGAAGACGGCATTGAAAGCAGCACCAAGGATTTCGGCGCGGACCCATCCGTAGGAGAATTTGTTGGTCGTAGCTCTCTGAGCGACAGTAACAGCCCACAGACCAATAACCAGCGAGATGATGTCGTTCAGCATATGGAATGCATCCGCCATTAGAGCCAGGGAATGGACCATAAAACCCGATATCAGTTCCACAAGGAAGAAAATAATATCAATGGCCAGCATAATGCTGATCCGGGTGGTTTTAGACCAAGCCATCGCGACGATGATAATGCTGGACCAATCGATGGGAATTCGGCGATGGGATCTGAAGTTTGGTGCACGACGGGCACCGAATCTAGGTGGTCGCGTATAAAAGGAAAGGGAAGATAAAAGATAAAATTAGTGGCGATAGTTATTAAGGCTGTAAAATTTCAATTGAGGACCTAAAATCGGAACCAGCGCTAATAGTGTGATAAAAGAGGAAAAGTAACGGACGACGTAATTAAACCACGAAAGCTAGTTGCCGCCCATTGGCTTTTTAGACTTTTGTATTAGCAGCCATGCATTTGCCTGAGTCGCTCGGTGTCTACTATCCGGATGCTAGCAAACAAGATAAGAGGGAAAAGAAAGGGAGAGGATAAACAAAAGATGTATGCAGTAGCAAGCAAAGTGATGTTTTTCTTAGGTCGAAACAGTTGCAGGTGTTGCACGTTTTGACGTTTCAATCTACCGGTACAAGCATAGGGGTTCTTGCCATTGTAAGAATAATTGTGGGACTGGAAAACGTTCGTTGCTCGGTTCGGAGAACTCTTCGGAGTCGAGATCGCGGGGGATGCTTATCAGATGGAAAGAGCTTTGTCGCCGCGGCAATCGATTCGATATTTGAGAGGGAAAATTCTGTCTGAAGGTTCTGTCTGAAGGAGCGAAATGACGTTATCATGTCATAGAGTCATAGGGCTCATCGCCTGCTCTTTCCATTAAGATTTGATATTCTCATTGGTCCATTTCCTTTAAAAATAACCAAATCCAATGAGGTGGGACAAGTATTCGTTGCATCAATGATGCAGCGGAGCTCCTCAATATGTACCTAGGTACCCAGGTATCACCGAGTTATCGGAGTTTCCATCGACGTCGGGCTCACCGATCAGATATATCATTCTATTCAGGAAGATGGTGTTTATATATTCAAGCTCTCATCAGCCGATCTGTCGAATCCTTCATGCATTGGAATGCACGTTCTAAGCCTTTCGATGGAATTATTCTCTAATACTTCAGATGCGTTCCAGCCTTTACCAGCGCTATCCAGGGATCTAGGGATCTTCCAATATCGAATACCTTACCCAGGCCGCCCAGGTTATCAGGCAGTACAGATGTATGGATGTCTTAGATCCAATAACCTTAATAGCAGCATGCAACCGATCCTATCAAGGATAAGTGCAAAGAGAAGGGATGCTGCGGTTTCGGTCTCCCTTTCAGGGATCATCAAGCCCCATCAGCCCCATGATATCATTAGACTCCCTGTGTTTTTTCCGCTGTCTATCGAACGCCTCAAATATGTAATTCGTGCTGCTTATGTTATATTCTAGAAACCGCCGATTGATTGTTGTCTTTCTCTGTAAGACCTGCGGTTTTTATCTGAGTTGAATGTGTCAGTAAGCATCTAGTATGAGATCACCATCACCATCCTAACTTCGTAATCGTAGTTATCTATATCCAAAAGCTACCACTCAATTAATCTTTGATCATAGCCTTATTTTCTTCTCTTTCATAATGTCTTATACGGGATGCAGGATATGATAATGATGGGTATTTTTCTTTCTTTCGTTCAAGTAGATAGAGAATGTGATGCTAGAACGGGAGCGAAGATCGTAAGGCCCTTCAGATAGGTAACAAAAGTCCTTGCCAGGCTTTCTCCTTAGAGGAGTTTCGGGTTGACTATATCAATGTAACCATATGTTAAATAGGGGTGGATGTGTGCGAGGCCTTAAATAGTATGTCCTCCTACGTGGAAAGGCTTTCAGATATAAGGGTTAGCCACCTTAGTGCTAAGTAGGAGCAACAGTACGCACGCGAGTCTCAAGTGCACAATCTTCTTTTGATAAAACCGCAACTCCTGCAGTGTTCGGGATTCGAGCAGATAATACTATTATTATGGGTACGAAAATTCGGCTTTTGATCCAACTTCTTAAGCGATTTGAGTAGTAACGGATTGCTGTTCTCATCTTCACCATCATCATACCCTATGACTCCAAGTCATGCTCCATATAACATAGCAAGCGCTGGTAGCGCACATATATTCGAATTGTTCTCGTCCCGATCGTACATCCTAGGTCGGGTGTCGGTTGGGTTAGGCTTGGTTCGTAGCACTAGCACGTGTAATATATATCCAAATGTGTTAAGCCGATGTCCCAGCAGGGCAGGTCAGAGGTGATATTCCTATTTCGTGGACTATAACATCAACTTAAGGACTGGGGTTCTTTGGGTGTAAAGCTACCCAAGCCCACACTAACAGCATGTTACCTCACGATATACACCATTCAATATTTAGTTGGAGACGGGGGAAATTACCCAAGCACACCATCACCGATACTTATGGAGGTCATCAAATAATGGACCTGCGTCTTAAGTAGCGAGCGCTATGTAGGCATCACCTGAGGTCTTGACCGCGGAAGACACGGAAGGAAACGGTATATCTAGTCATTAGGAACAATCTCCTGCCAAGAATTCGATGCATGTCGGTACTGTATGTGATTCCTGCGATGCTCCCGTCATGAGAAGCGACGTGAATGCGGGGGATCTAAGAATGTATTGGAAGTTGCAGTGAAAGGTCGATCCCTAGATTCCTATAGGATGTGCGAGGTGGCAAAGGCCGGTATGAGGCCCAAATCGAGAGAAGAGGAGGATAGTACATCTTAGTCAATCACTTTATATCTACTACTATGGGTTCGCACATACGTATGTACTTGAACAGCGCACGGCCGAGTCCAAATGAGCCTTAGGTTGCTGTTATATGGTTGAGCCACGGATAAGTTATTCATGCGGGGGGAGTAGGTTTTTACCAACTCCGGCTATTGTTGAGTGAGTGTTGTATGTCTAAGCGAGAACAGAAGCAGTCGAGAGTGATGGCGAAAGAGGGGTCATCCATCCCAGTGGGAGGTTCTCTTAGACAAGCCACGAGTCGATATCAGAAAGAAGATCAAGGTTTACACTAGACCTCTTTCCCAAGCCCCTAAGTTTGTTTGAATGATACCTCTACGCGAGAACAAACACCATCTGCCTCCATCGCCTAGTCGTATCTATTCGTAATTCGCATCCCATTAACTCCTGATACCGATGTACTTTCCCAGAGTCCTTAGGGGCAAGAATGAAAAGCACGTCGGCTGGGTCGAAAGCCGTTCATTTAAAGTAGCAGAAGGCAGTGGCGACCGACGGCCAGATGTTCCTGATTGCGAAATGGGTTCACCGCATGACGAACTCCCTACCTCGGGAAGTGTACTTGGGCTCTGTCGCTTCCGTAATGCTGATATAGGCATCACGAAGATCCATGATGTGTTCATTCGAAGTAGTGTAACCCCTAGCCTTCCCGAGTTGCCGTGGGGGTCTAGGTTGGGAGTCAGGTGCCAGTCAAACAGTACCAGATGGATGCTGTGGTGTGTCAATAGAAATAACGAAGCCGAAGAGGATGGCCAAGCGCTGCACTTAGGGAGCATCAGCCGCCGGCATACACAACAGAGTATGCAGGCTAGCTAGACAATCCGTCTTCCTTGAAGAATAACTTAGTAAATAAGTCCATTCAAACTCACCGGATACCGCGTAGCCGTGGATGAGCGTACGCTGGTATCTCCAGACATAACAAACCCAACAGAGAATCAACCTGATTGCGGACGCGCAATAACGAACGGAAAAGGGATTCCCGATGTAGAGATACCCAACGCCTGATTCTCGGTGTTGCAATGGACTTAACTGCGCAAATAGACGCCTTATAATGGCTAGCAATGAAGACGCTCGCCATATCACCTAGAAATGTCCGCTTGAGAGATACCTCAGCACCGGATAGGTCAGCCGGTGCGTGCCAAGGCGATACTGATATACTGCATCCGAATCTCATATATGGCTATCAAACACTTTCCCGCGTGTACTTGGCCCCTTTCGGGCGAAGGCTTTTCACCCGAATGTCGAACGATTCTTCTATATTTGATCCATGTCGACGAGCCCTGATATCTGTATCAAGGGCCATAAGACGTTGGGATAAGATTGATAAGCACCACGTGCGCGAGAAGTTCAGAAATTCTTAAGCCCGAACTACGGACGGCGCAATGCTGCATGATAACCGAGTGCATTAGTCGGTCAGCGAACCGATAGCGCCTTGGATGTGACCCCCAAGGGTTCATAGTATCTTGCAAAGCCCTATCCGGTAGGAGTCTCGTACGCCTCTTCAGCCACAATATGCAGGCTGCAGGTAAAATAGATTGAGTGGCAGGCCACGGATAAACCTTCCGAGCCAATCCAGTCCCGATTTGGTACCGATTCACAAGCTCCAGCTTAGGAATGTAAAAGGTCCATGAGTTAGAACAAGAATATTAAAGGGAAAATCGAGAATGAATTCAGTCTGATGTACCCAGATGATCACGGCCGGCTTCGCGGCCCATGTTAAAATTGGCTTGCTGCTCTCAGAAATTTCCCAGTTGAGCCTCGTTCGATTGTCAACTCGGTTATTTTATGGCCGAGCCTAAGGAGAGGGAACACTGGTACAGGATGGAAGGTCGATCAGCCCCACTCCTTGCTCTCCTGCATGGCGAGGTGAGCAGTGCCGGGTTCGCGGTTGTGTTGGCCCACTATACGATCGAGAATCGCAACGACTAAGCTTGTTTCTAGAATACATCTGTGCATGTACTGATCTTGTTTCACATATATACGCTCTATGCCGAAGCCAAGTCGATTAAAGCAACGGTACTAATGCGAAGATGTCAACTCATAGAAAAGTGTCAGCTCTTTGGGATGTGAGGAGCCTCGCCGGGGTCTCATGTCCACCAAGTTCAGTTTTGATTTGGGTATTGTCCGAAATGACAGCTACAATTCGCAAACTGGTAGCTTAGCTAAGTAAATCATTAGTGATTTCGATCGGCTAAGAAATACGATCGTTGCCCTGTAGATGATCTAGACCGTAGCTTATAGTAGAGTAAGCTTTGAGTCCAAGCAATTAGCAAAACGATGCCATATCCATATGCCCAAGTGTAAAGTATATATCTTCATGGCTACTTTCTTATTATCGAAGAGAAATTAGATAAGGATGAGAAAGCGACAGCCTACCTCAGTGACAGAGTAGAGCGTGTGGTCGAGTATATTTTGATTCCTAAAAAAAGGAAAATAAAAATATACAGCTAAATAAGTCTCAGTAAGTTGAAGCAGGAATTGTATGCAGTGCAAGGGTATCTGTCGGAGATCTAAAGCTTGGTCAGACGGGCCGCCGAGGAGAGTCGGATTCGAGTTTGTAGCTCTAAGGCGGATCTCGGCGCGGTTTGCGTCATTATATCGTAATCCGGCTGAGCCGTCAGCCTGTTCCTAGAAATCCCTTAAGAATAACGCAGACTGCCATTAGGCGTCCCAATTGAATATCATACAAAATGAAGAGTCCCAAGGTACCAGCTTAGGTAGTAAGCAACACCATTTCCGATAGGCGAAGATACGCCGTAGCGATCTCGAGTGCCCGGGAATTCGGGTATTCATTTGTGACCCTGGATTCATTTATTTCGAGCCACAGGGAATTGACAGAGCTGCCAAGACTCGTTTCGACAAGGGGATCTTTATTGTACACCTAGGTGAGGCAGTCTCAGATTAATTAATTCCCTCGACAGATATCCTCGGATGATCATTAGTAAGTGTCTAGGCCAATATGTAGAAATAGTATTTGCCTAACGAGACTCGGAGATTGTACGTGTTTTCCTTATAGTCCACGGTGACTCGGATGAGTTGGTACTTCGTCAAGTATGTCTAGATTCATCGAGGTCTGAAGCTGAGCTGAACTGAAACGTTTGATGGAAATACTTTCCGCCGAAAGCATCAACATCGATTCTTGGTATCCGTGGGAAAGGAGCAAATTGGCATGTTGACTGTAAGGTTGTCCACGTGGAAATGGCCATAGGTTCGGATATCGCGTGTTTGTACCCTGATAAGTCGAGAAATCAAGAAGCTGTCAGTCCAGATTAGGATAATGAAATATGTAAAAGTTAGGTCCGGCATGTCTTGGAATTTGAGAAGGTATTGCTCAATTGCGGAAATAAGGTTTAGCTAAGACGAGACTATCATTGGCTGGCCGGCGCTTCTATCCTAACTTTTCCCGACCATATGTCGTCACGGCCCGTTAAGCCGATGCGTTAATCGGGTCCCTAAAGAGTGGACCCGGACCCTATTCCTTTTCTTAGCGAAAGAACCATCAACAGCGATTGGTAAACCTCTCAGATATTTTCCTAACCTAGAAATCCCTTCCTGGAACCTACCTATGCACGATCACTTACATGCAGCCCCGGAGCCCGCTACCTTGTATCTAAACCATAGGATCTTCAACGCACCATGCGACAGGCAATGCTGGGTCTTCTTGACTCGATTGAATTCCTGGAAATTCAAAATCCAGCTCTGAGAAACGATCTGATCTGCAATGGCTTGACATCTGTGTGAACTCTGCAAGAGTTCAGTCGGCACGCTCATACGCCTTATATGCTACTTTAACAAATACAGAGGACCGTACAAACCCGGGTCAACGGAAGACATATCCTTGACCAAACTTTTAGTAGAACCAGACTCTCCGGTAGTGTACAACGAGAGCTTGCCGGCACCCGAACTAGACTTAGAGTGGCGGCTATGTAGACGCCAATACTCTGTTTAGAAAGAGTCGCATCCACATTAGCGTCTCCGAAGCTCAGGATTCTCTGATTCGCTCTCGAATTGTTCTCGACTTGTTCTCAATTCCGTATGTCTCTTTTCCGCCGGCGGTCCTAACGGCCAAATCCTTCCCAAACCTGGGCCGAAGTGAGGTGACATCTTGTCCACCATACAGCTCACCCAGCCAGGACAGTGGTACAGGGCCAACGAATATACATCATGTAATAGAGGAGGGTCACTACTGATAAGTTCCCTCGGCCGTGGATCTTCCTAATATACAACCACTCTACCACGGTATTTATACACTATACACTAGCTAATCAGAATCGCAGTCGTGCTTCCGTATCAAACCAAAGAGAGTATGGGACTAGAAACCTCACCTATGACTACTCCACACTTTTTCAGTCCATGATCTGTTTTCTGGGGCGTTTCTTAACTCGCTAGGCCGCCTCGTTTGCTAGATCAACCCTTGTTCCCCCGTATTCCCCGTCCGACTGGATAAGACTTCCCGTAGCGGCCCCCCACTCTACTCGTGCGAGACCAGCGTGGGCTTGCATTTCGTTTCGTCTTTTCTCCTCAGCACCCTGAAACAACGCTGCTCCGGTCCGTCCCTGCCGATGTGGGTATTTCCTAGTTGGGACCATCAATATAGCGTCCTCGCAGGCGGACTTGTCAAGTGACAATGGTTGCACCAGAAGTTACCCAGAGATGTCTTCGAATTCCGGGGCGCACAATCTATCTCCACTCCTCACTCCTCGGCGGCTTCGCGGCACCTGCCTTTGATCGAGACTTAATAACGCTTGATAATATGTCGATCCTTTATCGGCCTCCTCAACTTCTATGTAGAGGCCCTGAGATGTCCGTTATAGGAAGTACCGTACTCTCCTCTTGGCCAATTTGGTCCTGCGTGGCGTTATTCGGGCTCCGTTCCCTTGCCTCAGCAGATGTGCCCAAGTTCTTCGTTATGTATCTCGATAGATAACTGTTATTACCTCAGCTGTGAGGTCGTATTTTCTTCTCTCTTGTTGATACATAAGACAGTCTGCCTCGACCTTGGCGGCTACCTTCTGAGTCGTGCTTGACTCATATAACATCAACCTCACCCCTATCGTTGTGGGGCAATAGGTTACCTTGGGACTGGGTCGTATAGGAACTTCGCTTCGCCCTACGAAACTCTCCATCGACATAAATATTCTCACGATAGTTTAGCTGTCGTAGTAGCATTTATAAATTTCAAACTTACCATCGGCTTCGTGGTTCTCAGAGATCAAAGCTCGGTATTGACCACACGAGCCTATTTCCCCGGAAGAACCGATTATAAGAGGCATAGCAAACCATTATTCAGCTATGGAGCATATCGATGACACACAGTTCAATGGGATAGACCCTGGCGCCTCTCCTTTCGAAAGCGTCGATAGCAACACGACTCCAGATACCGAATTCTCTCCTCCCGATAGTCCGATTCGGAAAACTGCCATCCTTAAAGATTGCCGATCACAGGCGAGAGAGAAATTAGCTCAGCTAACTCTCGAAGAAAAGGTATACGGTCTAGAAAAGCCAAGTGTGGTTAGAATTTCAACTGATCCATTAAGGTCTCCTTACTCACGGCTGCGGATTTCTGGAGAACGAAGGGAATCCCCTCTAAGGGCATCCCGGCTGTTAAAACGAGCGATGGCCCTAATGGAGCTCGAGGCGGCATTTTTGTCGGAGGTACCAAGGTTAGTATCACATTTCAGATTCTGAGGCCCTCGTCAATGACCCTTTTTTCGCAGGCAGCTTTATTCCCATGTGGTATCTCGTTGGCAGCGACCTGGAACAAGGATCTCTTATACACAGTTGGGCAACACTTAGCCGACGAGGTCAGGGCCAGATCCGCCCATGTACTCCTCGCTCCTACAGTTTGCCTGCATCGCCACCCTCTTGGAGGTCGAAACTTCGAGTCATTCTCGGAAGACCCACTCCTTACTGGCAAACTCGCCTCGAAGTACATCCAAGGCCTTCAGTCTAAAGGAGTTGCTGCGACCATCAAGCGTTTGCATCACCCGCTTGCTATCATTTGAGACATCAGCTGATGGTGATGTAGATTTTGTGGCAAATGAGCAGGAAACAAATCGGCTTACCGTCGATTCGGTGACGATGGAACGACCCCTGAGAGAATTATATCTCCGCCCATTCGAGATCGCTATACGAGAGGCCAATCCATGGGCAGTGATGTCATCATATAACTTGGTCAATGGGATACACGCCGATATGAACATCCACACACTTAAAGACATCCTTCGAGGGGAATGGGGATACGATGGGTAGGTAATCAGTCCCTTTTCAAGCATACCGTACATAATTAATGGTCGTGCCCTAGCACCGTCATGTCGGATTGGGGCGGCGTCAACTCAACTGTCGAGTCCATAAAAGCGGGATGTGACATAGAGTTTCCTTTCTCATCCAAGTGGCGCTTTGAAAAGGCGTTGAAGGCTGTCGAGAAAGGGAAACTTACGAAGGGTGATATAGACAGCGCAGCAGAGAATGTCCTGACTCTCGTAGAACGCACAAAGGGAGACGACATGTCGGCCGAAGAGGCCGAACGTGAGGATAACCGGGAGGAAACAAGAGCTTTGATCCGAAAGCTAGGAGCTGAGGGCCTAACTCTATTGAAGAATACCGGTCGGATCCTGCCGCTCGACCCTAAGACCACCAAAATTGCCGTTATTGGTCCGAACGCCAACCGAGCCATCGCGGGCGGTGGTGGAAGCGCCAGTCTCAATCCATACTACAATACAATCCCACTCGATAGTATCAGAGCAACCGCGCAAAAGGAAGTCGTATATGCCCAAGGATGCCATATTCATAAATGGCTTCCAGTCGCGTCGCCCTCCTGCACTGATAAGTCGGGTGAGCAGGGTGTTACTCTCGAATGGTTCAGCGGGGACAAGTTCCAAGGTGATGTCGTTGTCACACAGAGAAGAACTAATACCGACCTTTTCTTGTGGGACTCTGCACCATTAGCTGAACTTGGCCCGGAATGGTCTGCTGTTGCAACGACTTATGTAACGCCGACGGCCACCGGAAAGCATACGATCAGCTTCATGAGCGTCGGTCCCGGGAAGCTATATGTAGATGGAAAGTTGGCCCTTGATCTTTGGGATTGGACTGAAGAGGGTGAAGCGATGTTTGACGGCTCAATCGACTACATGGTCGACGTGGAAATGCAAGCTGGGAGGCCAGTTGAACTAAAGGTAGAGATGACCAACGAACTTCGACCGATTACGAAGCAGAAGATTTTCAATATGACGCACAAATATGGCGGCTGTCGCATTGGTTTTAAGGAGGAGGATCAGGTCGACTACCTCAAAGAAGCCATTGATGCAGCAAGAGACGCTGACGTTGCCGTCGTTATAGTTGGACTAGATGCCGAATGGGAATCTGAGGGTTACGACAGAAAGACGATGGATCTTCCTTCCGACGGAAGCCAGGATCGACTAATCGAAACCATCGTGAAGGCTAATCCTAGAACAGTGGTTGTCAACCAATCCGGGTCACCAGTGACTATGCCTTGGGCAGACAAAGTTCCGGCCATTATTCAAGCCTGGTACCAAGGCCAAGAAGCCGGCAACGCATTGGCGGACGTCTTGTTTGGTATACAAAATCCGAGCGGTAAACTGCCGGTAGGTGATAGGGCTCTCAGTATTTGAACTATCAACGTCAGCTAACCATGGTAGACAACCTTCCCACGACGGCTTGAGGACACCCCAGCATACCATAACTGGCCCGGCGAGAATTTGCGTGTCCTATACGGCGAAGGCTTGCATATCGGGTATAGACATTATGATCGCGCAGGCATCGAACCCCTTTTCTCATTCGGTCATGGCCTCTCGTACACAACCTTCGAGTACGGCCGACCGTCACTTAGCCGGAGGACGCTGACAGAGTCGGCACCAATTCATCTGATCATGGCGGTCACCAACACCGGCAACGTTGCTGGCTCAGAGACTATCCAGATATACGTCAGAGATGACAAATCGAGACTACCGCGGCCCGAAAAAGAGTTGGTAGCATTCGAGAAGGTGTCGTTGGACCCGGAAGAAACCAAACACATCATCGTTGCATTAGATAAGTATGCGGTAGGATACTACGATGACTCGGTACCGGCGTGGATCGCAGAGGAGGGCACATTCAAAGTCCTGATAGGGGCGTCGGCGACTGATATCAGGTGAGAGACCCCCGCTCCTCGCTTAATGCTCATCCCCGTACGACCTACCTATCTTGTTGATGGAGACTGACAATCACCGCCCTAACATCTAGGCACTCCGTCCCGTTCGAAGTCAAGGAATCATTCACTTGGACCTTCTAATTCCGCCCTCTTCCCGTCTTTTCTAAACGTAAGCAATAGCCTGAGTACACGTACGTGCCCTATTGCATTCGTTCCTTACGCGCTTAGCAGGAGCGCTATTGTCCTGCGTATATGGATCTTCGTTGGGTCTGATATCACAATTGGCGATTAGGCGTATGGCATATTCTCCAATTTTTTAAGATTCCCGCCCGGTGCTCTCTGTATGTAGAGTGCATCCGGGCCCATTGAAACATATAAGAGATATCGGGTCGCTGGTACACTCTTTTAATCGCCGCGGTTCTAAATTTGAACAAGTAATCGCATACGAATATAATTACTTTTCTACAGAGCCTGCGTAAGCTTTTGATATACTTATATACTATATCATTGCTCGTAAACACTTTGAAATATGATATTTAATTCGTCAGGTGGCATCGGTAGTGGACTGAGGGAGTGGATATGCGATAACCACTTGGAACTTGTATCTGAGCATGATCGTGTTGTTGTCACGTCATCTCTGGGCCTTTTCAACGTTCGTTTGCCGGATCTTGTTTCTCCCGCACATATCCAATATATGATGTTAAAAACATACATACCATATATGCGTGAGGTCGTGGCTGCATTAGGAGGGCAAGCTAGAAACCGAGTACTTCATGACTAATGGTGATGTGGCTCTACATCTAGATTAGTAAGAGCTTGTTAGCCTCCCTTGTAGGTCTTAAACATCTAGAATCATGGGTAAAATTCCATAAGACAATGTCTCAGCCAATACGACCTGTCATGTCTTACTTTTTTCCCTTGAAATTGTTTAGATACTGCTGCATATACCTGGTTAGGGTAGGAGGGTATTATCTCCTCGCAGCTCCGAACCAATAGTCACCTCAATCCTTTATGACATATACTTGGTAGAAGGCCACTAAGAATATTTCAGGTCTTTAGACTAAGGTTTTCTGGAATTTGAGTATTCGTTCAACTTAGGTATATATTAGAATGTCCGGCTACAAGATATCAATGTATGGAAGAGAAGCCAAAGCGAGATGGAGACAGTCCAGAGTTACACGAGGATCTGATTATAACAACGGTATAAGATCCGATAAAAGCATATCATCGTTAAATTACATACAGCCGGAGTCCGGCACCAAAGTGGACCGTGCAAATAGAGGACGCGTGTGTGTCGAGTTGTCAGTTCCAACAGAAAAAAATAAAGTTATAGCGTGCCATTTTAATCCGGTTAAGGTAATTGGGGGTGACACAACGCTACCCAAGTAAGGGTCTCTCCAGCTCGCCTTGCAAAAGTCCGTTCTTCAACCAGTACCCTAAATGACCTTAGCACCTTTTAACTTTCAACGTCTCAACGTCCCGATATATGTTACTTCTACCCGCCTCGAGGTCCAGAAACGGTATCACGTTCCTTGGTGTTTATACACTTATTTTCGGAATTATAGCACAGAAATAGAATCCTCCAAGTACCTACGCCTATTCTTGCGAATCAGTGCTTAAGCTACCTACCTCATATGGCTACCCGTATCGAACGCCATGGCGCCGCCTTATAGGAACGCCTACGTCTACGAGCTCAACAATTCCTACGACCCCTACGGGAATGGCAGCGATTTCCAATCGATCTGCGACGACATATATGCCAGCAGTAGAAATATAGTACAGCGAATATGGACGTACATAAACGGACCAGGTCGACACACGGCTTGGGGCTTGGCAGTAAAGGGGGGTCAACAAGTCCGGAGGAATTTGACGCGACGGCGCCTCCTGAGCTTTCCGCATGTGCTCGTAGTGCTTTGGATGCTTGTCATGCTCTGGGGTGAGCGATGGATATTCGCGAGTCGGGTACAGAGTTGCGACTGGGACCATTGGGAAGATTGGGTGAGTTTACGGGCCTCGGGCAACCCCACGACCTCCGGACCTTGGTTTGGGGGGCATGGGACGGTATATTGACATATTCCTATTATACAACAGCCCGCAGGAGCAACGCCGCATCGATTAATATTCGTCGCCGACCCCCAGATTATCGACCCCCACTCGTACCCCGGCCGTCCCTGGCCCATCAACCCTTTAACTGTCGTTATAACCGATAACTATATGCGACGGTCATATACGCAATTACAGAAGGTGCTACACCCGGATACCGTGTTCTTCCTCGGTGACCTTTTCGACGGTGGAAGAGAGTGGAAGACGGCGCATGGGAACTTCGACGACCCTGAGTGGGCAAAGGATCACAGACCGGCAGAGGAGAAGAAGTATCTGAAGGAGTGGCATAAGAAATATGGCGAGGATTTTTGGCTTCAAGAGTACATGAGGTTCGGCGACATATTCTACGAAAATTGGAAGCTTGGAGGTTTCATCCCTAGTCCGGGACAGCGAGGGCGAAAACTCATATCGAGTCTACCCGGAAATCATGATTTAGGTTTCGGAGCCGAGGTTAAGGTGCCTGTTAGGCATCGATTCGCCGCATACTTCGGAGAGACGAATAGGGTTGACGTGATCGGAAACCACACTTTTGTGTCCGTAGATACGGTATCTCTAAGCGCCGGCACGTCACCAATGAAGGATCAAATTGATTTACGACCCATCTACGGTCCAGCCCAGGAGTTCTTGAAAGAAGTTAAGGCGACGAAACGAAGAGCTGTTCAAAAAGAGGTGCGGTTCTGGAGGGGAGAAGTGGAAGAGGTGGCTTTTGAGCAAAAGGTCGAGGAGCTTAGCAATGCTGACTACAGTAATCCGCCGACGTTGGACCTAGGAAATGAAGCGCCCGATTTTCCAACGATTCTTCTGACGCACGTGCCGCTATGGCGAGACCCGGGAACTCCCTGCGGCCCGATGCGAGAGCACTGGCCTCCCACAAAACCGCCTAAGGGACAGACTGGACCGGTTATTCCAGACCATCGAAATGCTATCAGTGTTTCAGGCGGATATCAGTATCAGAATGTTCTAAGTATGGAGGATTCGGTTAACCTGATTAAGAGCATCGGTAATGTCAAACACGCATTTTCCGGGGATGATCACGATTACTGCGAGCTTGTGCATACGCCGGACCAAGAGAACGTCCGGGAAATCACGGTGAAGAGCCTCAGTATGGCGATGGGAGTGCCGACGCCGGGGTTCCAGATGGTTTCTCTGTACAATCCAATCGATGACCAGGGAAACCCCATTCCGGGGTCGCCAAAAACTACGCTGCAGACTCATTTGTGCCTGCTACCGACACAACTCTCGACGTATATGACATATGCCGTTTTAGGGATCCTAACTATCTTGATATTAATAGCGAGAGCATTCCTCGTTTCTGCTCTCAATCTCCAGCCGTTCGCTCTAGATGCCGACCAACGTTTTTCATCAGCTATCCTTCCGGTTTTCAAGGCGAAGGCGGAAAACGACGAAGGCTCTTACGACGCGAAGTCGGGCTCCCCGTGGACGTCATCGACCAAATTCCCGTCCGCCCGGGTGTCGTCCGCAAGGACACGAGGCCAGTCCATCTCGAGCGGGCTGAACCCGCAAGTACGAGCCGCGTCCCCCAACACCAAGGGCAAGGCCAGCCCGGGCAAATGGGGATGGGGCCAGAACAGGGGCCCACGGATAGAGATCAGGAGAGACTCGTACTACGACGACAAGGACCGGGCGTGGAAGCCGGCGACGCGGCCTAGGAGTAGGATGAGCACGGCCGGCAGAGAGATCTGGACGACGTGCTGGAGGGTGGCTTGGATGGTGCTGCTGTTCTTCGCTTACCTCACGTATAAGGGATGAAAGATCGATCGATTTGCTGAACGGGGCCCGCGATCGCGTGTACAATCTTCGGGGAGGGGTTTTGGAAAAGGGATATGGAAAGAAAAGGGGATTAACTCATTACTACTACTGCTGCTGCTGCTCCTAATGGTACCGTCCGGCGGAAATGAGATAGGTGGCGATATTCTAGTCGAAAGCAGATCTTATTTGTAAGCAAGCACCAGAGTTACCGAATCGGAACGAGATGAACATGGCACATATAACCTACGACCGGCGGAGAGTAAGCGAGATGGAGATCTTGGCCGATCGACCGAAAAGGGGGATATCTATAACGATCAGTCTTACTTGTTCGGTCCGGACGTATGACACGGGACGAGACGAAGCTAGACGGGACGGTGTCTGGTCTCGTCAGCTCTAGTCTAGTCTAGTCTGATTGGGTCTGTTCCGTTCTGTTTTGTATAATACATACACACATGCACACATGCACATACGCATGCACGGCATCCATGCGTATACGCCGTGCCTCGCGCCGCAGAATGTCGAGCCTTGTGTAAATTAATGCTAGGTGCGTAGACGAGACGTCAGGCTAGAGTCATAGCAGGGGCAGGATAGGGCAGGGTAGGGCAAGGGGTAATGGGGCGGATGTTTAATATACCACGAATCGAATCGCGTTTTTTATGCTTGACGTTTTATATTTTGACGTGCAGGAATTCGGCAGCTTCTAGGGTGCTTTTGCATATTACTTCATCTCATCTTATTTATTAACTAGGTAAGTTATGTATTGGCTTTTTCTACATAGTATGTTGCATTCCGTGTTGTATTCTGCAATATACCCTTATGTGCTAGGTAGTTAGGTAATTCAGTAGGGGTATCGGAGAGCCGCCTCCTGTACCAGAGTTGCGGTTTATGGGGTACAGCGCGGAGCACGCACGGGCATGGGGTAGGTATGTAGGGGATGGGTTAATGTGCCGTGGCAACTCTCCAACGTCGAGCTTCGAACTCCGCCCCGTCTACTCCGACACGGCCCGTACCAGGTCTTTCGACGGCCGATCCTACTACAACATATGGGTATTGAATGCAAAACCTAACCCTTGGGATCTTATATGAGACATCGGCGATGCTGATATAGGGCTGGGTATAGGGAGAGTTGGTTAGTAATCCGAGATCCACTATCAGATGCGAAGCATATTAGCTGTGTATAGGTAGTACAGTTATACCTACCTAGTGCTAGTCGCATGGAGAGAAGAAGCTCGCACTAGGTAATTTTCGATCTTAGCTTTAAACCTCCCAAATCACATTAGCTTTTAGCTAACCTACCTGGTACTAAGTGTTCATAAGTATTTAGATTCGCTTCCCCGGGTGTACTAATTCTCCCCGTACAAAACGCCCCAAGGCAAAAGTACCCCGTCTCTGGGGTCGTCGGTCTGACCGCGGGAGTAGTTCGGCCACCCCTTGCGTTTGCTCTCTCTCCCCCGTCCGACGCCTATGTTTAAGTCCACCAACCCGGATCCTTCAGCCTCTCATCTTGTGTCATTTTTTTTTTTCTTTTTTTTCTTTTCTCTCTTACTCGTTTATATATCCTACATATGTCAGTGGCGTCGTGCGCGTGATGTCCACTACACGCACAATCTCAGCCTCTGTTTCCTAGTAGTTATAGGCCTAGCTACGGATCTAGTTACTACTCGCTACTCGCTATAGGACGTAGGACATACATCCATGCCTAGGTAGACTTCCGATATCCCTAGCAAGCTGCATGACATACTATACCATACCAGGCGCGCATCTCGTGCATAGACACCCTAAAAACTAGCGGCTTAGATTAGTAGGTTAGGTACGGCCCTTCAGCACTATAACGCGCACCCTACCCTCCTAGTCAGTCTCCCAGTACTTGTCCGACCTACATGCGTATGGAGACTTGATTCTGCAAATTCCGGGGTCCGGGGAAACAAGCTTCGCTGAACCCTATACTCCATGTAGCACCAGGGGAGAATAGCCTAGGTATGTATGTATAGTCAGTGCGGTCACCAATGAGCCCGTCACGAGAAGTTGTTTGACAACCTCGCTTAGAAGAGCTGGAGGGAGCACTACCGACATGCATACATACGTCTTATCTACATACCCCATACCCTATACTCCGTTCATACATACGTACCTGTCTAGGCAATCCCAAGATGAAAATCACTTCTAGCTTCTCGCTAAGGCGTCTCAGCGCACGTATCTACGGGACGATATACGAAGTGTGGAGCTAGGGCTTTGCGCAGACCAAGAGATCATGTAGAGACGGTAATTACGAAGTTAGCAGCATGCAACGCATTCACATTCGCAAAATCACCGAGTACCTAGGTAGACATGCCCAGGTATAGACACCTCTATGCATGCAACCCAGAATTTTGGAATGTTTGAAACTTTTTTGATTCGCTAGGCGTAAACGGACAGACGAACACGACCGCCTATCTATCCGAGCCATGAATACGACAGAAACAGTTGAGGATTTCTCCCCCCTTTTCCCTTTGGGAATGCTAGTAGGTAGGTAATGTAGCCGTAGATCAGAGTACTACTGCAACACAGCGGCGGTGGCGCGGATAATGGTCCATAGATGATAGTGATGATGATGATGATGATGAGTTCCTCTACTAGGAAGAGGGAGAGAAAAAAAGGGGGGGCGGAGCAACCTATTGCGGCCCCGTAGCGACACGCCTCACGCCTTCTTTTGAGGCGATCGCCGTATTGTGCCCAAATACATGTGTGTGAACCGGTATTGTCGTCCCAAGTGATGTCACCTAATCATAGATGAGATGCTGCCCGTGGTACCGCCACCGTCGCCAAACCGAAAGTCGCCGTTATCCTGAAATTCCAAGTGTGAATGATTTCCCCGATAACCCAATGTTCCCCAGTTGCCGTAAACTCCGCCGCGTTGAACTCCTACGCTGATATATATCCGATATGACGCCAAAGAACAGAAAACTCTCACGCCTCCTTTTCCAGAAGGGGAGGTAGCAAAATAGCTGAAACAGGAACTGTCGTTTTGTGACAATCGGAAAGAAAAAAACAGATCCGAGCTTAGTAGCTAAAGTCAACATTGCCCATACCCAATTCGTTAATTATCTTGTCTTCTTCTGATTGGCTCTCACTCGGACTAGATTCGGTATGTATCGTTTGTATGCTCTCGCTTGTAGTCGTAGTAGTTCGGGACGCCTGTAATTCGTGTTCCGGCGGAGGGATACCGCTATCTGCGAATCCGTCATCGCGTAATTGTTGGAAGCTCCAACTCGGTTCGAAGTTTTTGCTCTTCCACGCAAAGGCCACTCGTTCATACATTTCGTCGATCTGCTCCAAACTGATCTTGCTAGTCTCGTATATCATGCCGTACACGAAGATCGCGGCAAGAATACAGAAAGCTCCCCACACGTAGAACACCTTGGCCCCCAAAGCGGCATAACCTCTCCCTTCCTCTACCATGAATGGTGTTCCGTAGGCGATACCAAAATTCAATAGCCAATTCGAGGCCGTTGAGACCGACATGGATTTTGCGCGGATCTTGAGAGGGTAGATTTCCGAGGTAACGACCCAAGCAACCGGACCCCACGAAGCTGCGTAGAAGAAAACGAATAACGAAACGAAGACGATGAGAAGTTTGGCCACCAACTGACTCTGCGAATCGCTTGCCAGGGTAGAAAATATCGCGATGATTAACTGGCAACATGCCATGCCCAATGCACCAACAATGAGCAATTTTCGGCGGCCCCAAGTTTCCACGACGAACAATCCGGGAATTGTCGAGACAACGTTGATGACATTCATGACGAGTGAGATCAAAAAAGGGTCCGAAACACCGGCACTGGTGAAGAATGTGGTCCCGTAATACATGATGAAGTTAATGCCGGTAAGTTGCTGTAACATCTGAAGGCCACAACCAGTCAATGTTCGGCGGCCGAGATGAGGCGATCCGATGAAAATATCTCGGTACGAGGCAGGTCCCAGCGCAAGTTCGTAATCGTGGTTCGCCTCGATTTCGGCGAGTTCTTCGACTAGGGCAGGATGGGTAATATCGAGACGACGAAGACGGCTGAGGGCTAGGCCAGCAGCATGTTTGTCGCCTTTCTTGATGAGAAATCGGGGAGTTTCGGGTAGGATGATTAGACCAAGACAAAGTACACAAGCCCATGTGAGTTGTAGACCCATGGGGATTCGATAGGCGGCCGGGCCATCGATTTTCTGGGTTATGAGGTTGATGATGGATGCCGCCAATAGACCAAACGTTATCGAAAGTTGATATGCGCAAACCAACGTACCGCGAATCCATTTCGGGGCCATTTCAGATTGATATAAAGGAACGAGAACGGATACGGATCCAACACCAACACCAGCGAAGAACCTATACATCGATATCAACATCTACGACCCGGCGTATCATCTCGGAGGAATCGATCGTGTAGACTTACCTTCCCGCTAGCAACAACGGAATAGCATCGGCGCAGACCTGAAAGATGACGCCGAAACAGAAGACGCAAACCGAACCGATGATCGATATTCGACGACCTATCCAATCACCTACAGGGGCTGCGAAGAGTGCACCGGCGACGGTTCCGGCACTTAGGATAGCGACAATGATGGAAGTTTGGGAGGGCGAGAGTTCCAAGTCACCGCGATCGTCTCGGTAGCCGGTGTTGAATTGAGCCTTGAATGATTCCATAGCAAGGATGCCATTTATCGTCCTTTAAAAATAATTAGGTTAGCATATCGCGCCGCGATTCCAATTCCATCCAATACATTCGAATCATTTAAACGCGATCGGACGGGACGGAAGAGGGTCATGTCGTCGTTGCTCACCCTGTATCGTATCCGAACAAGAGACCACCTGTTGCTACGAAGAGGCCGACCATGATGGCCGGGGCCGAAGAGCCGGCGACATTATCGGGTTTATGCCAGCCCATGGCTATCGCCATGGTAATGGTGTTTCGACGTCAAACCAGCGTTATGGGATATTATTTCGTCGCTCGATGTCGATGTTGAGGGTCTCGATCGGTTTTTGTGGTATCCCATTGATTGAGACTATGGGCGGGAATCGATGGGAATCGATAGGATAGTGGGTAATAATAGAGTGCGAGTTGCAGGGTGGAGAATAAAGGGCAGCGCTGGAGCGCGGCGAGAGGGAAAAGGCGGGAGAAAAGAACCAGAGGGTCAGGATCAGCACGACACTGGCAGAACGCAGAACTGGGGGGGAGACGCCGGGGAGCAATGGGACAGTGGGAGCACGAGAAAGAACGTGCGAGGGCCAAGAGGTCGACTAAATCTGATTGGTCTGAGGCTAGAGTGGATGGTGTCTAAGCGAGTCCAGCCATGGGGTCGCGATTCGACGCCCCCCGGGGAGTTGCTGGGAGCAGTGGGAGTTGCTGAACATTGAATTTGGATTTCCATCCTGGTCATCCCATCCTGCCTATCCAGACTGCCAGCATCTCGTTTGCTCTTTGCTGCAGGCCTTTGGTACCAGACTTTTAGTACCATGTACCAGACCTGCCAGGCCTATCAGTCAAGACCCGTGCAGCAAGCCACCTGCGCAGCGTCTTGTACTAGTATGTATGTGTCCCCGACTCTTTTCGGGCTAGCTTCTAGCTGGGCAATCGCTGCCACTCGTTGAATTGTCTCTGGGCTGAACCAGTTCGCCAGGACACTAGCCTCGCATAGGGATTTGAATCGTATGAGAAGGCCGCCAAAAACCACCAGCTTAAGCAAGCAAGGATCACTAACAGAACCACTAACAGCACGAGTACCTAAATATGTAAGTGAGGAAGAAGATATGATTGACGAGCTCCTATCCACTCCCATTCTCGTCGCTTCTCTCGTTCCGCGATGCACAGTTGCACAGTACCGTGAGTTGGGTGAGTGAGATGCGACTTTGTGGCGTTCCAGTCGCTAGACTCCTCCAGTGCTAGAAAAGCAATTCTAAACGCCAATCCGCAGCGCAGAGATACGTCGGCTCACAAGGCCGCGCCAGCCCGCATCTCAGGCGACATAGAAAAAGGATATACTATATGCAGTAGGTACCCGGCTCCGAGTGGTTGAACTAGAAAGCTGATGAAGCCACGCATAGAAGCCATGTACATGGTATGTTACTGACAGGTATTAGTAGACTCTTGGTATTTACACTCGCAGCTATCCATGTGCCAACAGACGACTCGGGTATTGAAATTCGGGCGACGGGAGGACGACAAAACTAACCCCCTGCCGCCGTCACGAACACCTTAGCCTCCTAAGCATTGTTGGAGGCTTTCAATAGTGAGAATTCAATAGTGAGGAAACGCTACACGCCAGTATCTCGGCTAGGTCTTGCTGGTCCTAGTAACTCCCGCAGGGTAGAAGCGAACGGTTTTCGCCTTTCTCCCGGGAAGGATTCTTAGTACTTTGCACGGGCAACCAAGTCGATACCTTGCAAATAGGTCGATGAATTTCCTTAACTGGAGCGTCTTTTAAGAATCCGTAGAAGGAGTGAGATAGTGCGATACGGTAGCATCGTCATACATCATTCCATTACACCTCAGCCCAAGGTTGAGGAACAGGGCGGCCTAGTAGGCCAATAAACATAATTCTCAGCCCGGAAACGCTTTGATCCATATTCTGGGCTGCATAGTTGTCTTAGGTGGTTGTAACACGGCATGAAGAGGGGAGAGCTGGATGTCGGTGATGTGACTAAATTAGATAATAATAAGCGAAGAAAGATTGTAATTCCTGCAATTCCCTAGCGTCATAAGTAAGCCATGGGGTAATGCTAGATGGACCAGATGAGAGAATTGAGAAATGGCGGTGATTCCACTGAAGTGGCTCCATTGGGACTAGGTTCCTGGGTAAGATGCGAAGATGGAAGCCGTCGATGTGATGGGATTAGATGGTTGACAGTTATTCAGGGGTCCCCCCTTACACGGCGAGCTTCGAATAGTCATTCTCGACTTACTATTCAGAGAGCTAAGCATGGTTCATGAACCTAGCCAGCAGTAACCAGCAGTAGCCAACAGCAGTAGCCGTGGATCACAAGGAAGACCATTTGCGGGGAAAATCCTCAAATGATCGCTCGACCCTCCTAGTCATCCCTTGTCGTCCCAAGCCTCCACGATGCGACGAGCAATAGTGTGGCAGCAAACGTGGAGACTCCACGCGAATCCAAAGCCCAAGCTTCTTCCATTTTAGGACTCACTCTAATTCTTCTAGTGTAGTTTTAGGGCACTATCCTTGGAATTTTTGTCAATTTTTCCGTATTGGAGGCTCTTCAGTTTGATGTTCTTGGTGATGGATGAAACTTTTGGAACCGAGTCTTCGCATTCCGAAATCACCTGATAGGCAAAGTATATCGATACCTACTACTATATAGTACCTAGGTATGTACATCGTCATAGATACATCGATGTGCACGTAATGCAAGTGTATTTCGAAGTAGAAGGTGCATTGCATGTCTCTTGCCAGATGCTCCTGCCCAGGGTCGAGATTTGGAATATTTAACCTTTTGCTAGTGGGTCTCAAGGTAAATACAGAGGTACTTCATTTATATCACCCGCTTTTTTGTACGTGATGAACTCGACTTAATAAATCTCTACATCTCAATGTTCATCCACTACCAACTACCAAGATACCAAGATGTTCGGCTTGGGCCTTTGGCGGTAAATCCCGGTATCCTTCCGATGTTTCTTTCGTACGAGTAGTGGAGCCACCCATTAGCGATTTTCTTTCCCTGTTACTGTCTAAAAAAGTTATAGCGAGGGAACTCCTATATGTGATTGCCTGTCGAAACTGTCGAAATACTGACCTCCCCCCACAAGAATATGAAGAACGCAAATACGGACTTTCTTTCCTTTCATAAGCATGGCATGAACTCGCTGTTTTCTAACGAGTTATTATTGCCAAACCCCAATACGTCTCACCATTTCGGCATCGGACTGATATCAAGCCGCCGTTACACTCGAAGGATCATATCCGCAGCCTCTGAGCCTCAAGCAGCGTCAAACTTGCGTATGTAGGTGTTATATTAATAATCGTTTCCACGCCATGAAGGTGAAATATGAATTCGAGCAACACCAGACACCCCCTAGAAGCCAAGACTACGGGGCCAGTATATTCTGACTCCGAAGTGGTCGGCAGCCAATCGTCCCCCGGTGTGGACGCAAGTCATATTCATCCAATTATAACACCCCATGCGCTATCCTCGCCGCAGCTGCGCAGGGCAATTAATACTCGATCCTGCGCCAGACCTGCGAACGAGGGTTGACGCTGCCAACTATTTCCTACTTTATGGTGAGATCTTACATGGATAACCACATGGGAGTAATACTCACCTAAGGCTAAAGTTCCACCGTGTCTATTCTATCACCAACCGCTCTCCCTATTTCTTGGATCAAGTCACGACGACGTAATTTACTTGCGCGGGTGACAGATGCAAACACTCGTTCTGGGCATTCTGGGCATTCTAGCCTAGATATCTATAGAAAGCACATTTCTGTAGGCTATTGGAACTATGTGCGGAACCCCTATGTGGGAGGGTTTGCCTCACCCGTTATTGGTCGCTGGGAAGACACAATAGGCGAGCCCGAACCGTATCGACGGGATGATGACGAGGCGCTGTCGGGTCCTGTTGCTGACTGGTTGCTCACAGATACATACGCCCCGTGTTTATTAAAAAGTATGCTCACGGCCGTAAGAGTCGGCGCCCCTGAATAAGACTTTTGATGGGACGAGTTCTTCGTAAGCATCCATGCCTCTTCTACAAGCCGGGTCTGGCCGGGTCGATTTTATGACAAAGAAATATCCTTCCACCGTCAAGTGACGACACACTCTATACATAGGCGCCCAGTCTCAAATCAAACATCAACGCAAGGGAAAGCGCAATTCGTGATTCGTGTCGTACGTTATAGCGTCTACAACCAGGGGTTACCTTGACGGCGAAAGTACCTCCACAGACTACCTACTCTCCCGATCACAACTCCCAGACCCAGGGTTACAACAAACGCGTCTACACCGTCAAGTGAGGCTATATATCGCGGAGTTTTATAGAAACTTTAAATCGACCTCATATTGTTCCCGCAATAAGTATACCTAGTGATAATCACAATTCACCATGTTTGCCGCTGCGCTTGCTTAGACATGCTTGGATAGGCAAGTACGTAGGATTCCTTTCCCGCTCCTACGCCAACGGGGTCCCGGACCGCGGCACTTCTTGGTTTCACCCGTATGGATTAGCGAGAGGCGAGACGAAAGGATCTCTCGGGTTTTGCTTTGCAGCGTCTCAGCGAGAGCCGTCATAGGAGGAGGTCCGAAGCTTACTACACTTGTGACCCTGGCTGTCTAACGGCCCTCTGTACCGGGTTTCTCATAACTCGGGATAGTCTATTTTGATGGGGAACCTTTCTACGATTTGATTCCGTAATACGTTCACAATGGATGGAAGTTTCACGTAGCTATCGACGTCGTCGCTGTGCCTTATATTTTTATTCCCGTGAAAGACGCACACTTCGCCTTCAATATCATGAGCGCCGCCCCTCGATTGCCGGCATCAGCGAGGGGAAATAATGGTCGACAACTAGTAAGCACGGCTGGTATGGCTACTGTGGTATGAGTACGACGAGCAGGAAAGGACCGTTAAAGATAGGTACTCGTCGCCGCCCTTGCAAAACACTCCTTACCTTAGGAAACGAAAGAGCGTTTCGAACTAGCCCTCTATGCTGGTTACGAGTATCCACTGTGAGCAAGTTCTAAGACGAAGCTATCTCAGAACTCGTCCAAATAATTATTCACGAGGCCAATTCAAGCAGGAGGACGGGTATCGTTAGGTTGCTCCCTCGCATTCATATGATGATCCACCACTCACCTGCCTCCCCAAAGCAGATGGACGGCTGGAACCAAACCATGGCTACCTAGACGAGTACCTATCACTCCAACAAATCACCGTCCCGACCTTAACGGTCATTAATCAACAACCGGCCACCTCCCCGCCGTCAGCAAATTGCCGCCTCGCCCTTAAGGCCAGCAGTGGTACGGATGCTGTCTAGCCGACAGTGCTGGGACGGGCCGTGGCTACGAGTGGCTCTTTGCAGTGGCTTGAGTCGGCTATACAAGGTCGCCGACGGTGAAGCCTACGGCGTCCTCACGAAGGGTTCCATACCTACTTAAGTAGGCATAGACACCTTCCCAGGGCACAAACTGCCGTTGGTTGAGACACGATCCACCGCTCTGCATATGGGCGTACCACGTTGCTAGTTCAGTGTCTTTTAGGGTTACTGATTTGGAATGCCGTATACATGTACATTGCTAGATATGAGGGTGAGAAAAGACGTGGATATGTCGATCTAGATGGAAGTATGTTAGTGTAGAGATCTAGCTATACGACTGCAAGGGGCTATAATATAGCCATATGCTGAGCCTTCCCATACTTGGGACTATTTTATAATATACTAAATCCCCTTATTGGCTATGAGTACCTATAGTGACCATGGAGAACCTATCTTGTCTTATAATGAGTGAAGTCTAGGAGAATACTTAAACAATATCAGGCTTCAAAGCATCAAGACAGGTACACAGACACAAGCCCTGCTGTAGTGCTCCTTGTCAACGGCAGTGTCCTTTTGACAGCATGCTAGGTTACAACACACAAAGAACTGTTAGTGAACCTTGATGTCTCACAAACTAGCGCACTACTATACTTCTAGCAGCACAAGATCCTAAGCCTCCTTGTAGTGCCCTATACGATTATCTTGGTGACCTAGATATGAAGTATTCCAATGCTTATCCTCCCCGTAGCTACCCTTTTAGTTATTTCCTTTTCGATTATTAGGACTTTGTACAAAAGGAGCATATAAACGTAACAGATATTGAAGTAGTTGACGAAAGGCCGTGTCGGGCAATAGAGGTACACATACGTGATAGACGTTGACAAACTCGTGCTAATCTCGAAGACTCGATACGATGTCATCAGGGTTGAATACCATACATGCCCGTTTAGAATTATCAAGATCAAGGATGCAAAGTTCAAACTAACCCCTTGGCTAGCAGCTACTTAGTGATGTCTCTGCTATCAGTATAGTACTTCGACAGTACGTAAAATCTCCAGCTTAAACGAAGGACAGCGAATACATACCTATAATAGCCTACTCCAGACCCTCAGCCCTGCTCCGTAAAACTTCATGTACTAACTACCTAGTTCGCAAGTACCTCTAGTCACCCTCTTTCCTTTTCCACTCCCTATTCAACCACCGCAGACGACAATCTCAACTTCCAGCACCTCATATCCTCACATCACATCACCAATCCGTCCCCAAGGCATCAACGCCACGACCCCTATCCCCATCTCTCAACTCGCCTTCCTCAATTCAATCCCAACTACCCGATACCTACCTCTACCAGACGGAGTCGCCGAACCACGTAGATATCCATATCCAACTCCGAAGTAAGGGATACAGCAAACCCGGGTTCAGCCCATTCAGACATCCAGGTCTCAGCCCCGGAATAAGATCTCCGCGGGCCGCGGCGGCTGCAGCTGTACGCGTCCAGCGCCAGACATAACCTCAGCCGTGGCGTGAGTCCTTTCCCGACGGGTCCCTGCGTAGATCCAATGCGGCTCACCGCTTCATGAATGCAGCTAGGCGTCTTATATCACGATCAAACTAAGGCAGACCCCTACTATAATCTACTCTTAACACAAGTATCATAGCACGAATATAATAGCATGAATAGCATCCTTAAATCGAGAAAAATATGATATATTCCTAAATGCAGCGATACATTCAACGTAAAATCCTAGATACTTATCAATACAGCCTAGACATCGGTGTAATGCGACAACAGATGCGGCAACAGATGCGCCATGCCAAGCTAATTTTACTCGTCCCTCGCGCGTCTCGTCGCGCGGGGAGGAGCAGTAGATCAAAAAGAATATTGCTAATGTAACAGCCGTTCCCGTTAATCCTAGAGCGCCGCCCGATAAAGGTATTTTTGCTAGCGAGCCTTAGAACTCGAGTGTGACCTCTTGGCCCTTGACACGTCCTATTACCTGCTGCGGGGCATACTTGGGAATGACTTCGTCGTCGTGTAGCATTTCGAACTCCTCCGTTGCGTCGCGACCCATGAAGTTCATGATCGCGTTAGGGCCGCCGGGATGCTCCTCTAGCCAGTTCGTCAAGTCCATAACCACGCCCTTGACGACTACCCAGAGGTCTTCCTTCTTGTTGTGCTTGGCGACCTCCTCTATTGTGAATTCCTTATTCGGCACCTCGAACTTCTTAGCGCTTTGGGGCTTCGCTGCTGGCTGGGATGACTTACCCCCTTCGGCGGTAGGGGTAGGACCCGTAGCGCTCGTCTGTTGGCCAACGGCCACTGATGATGAGCTTGATGCACCGCTTCCCCATTCGACGGACACCTTGCCCGGCTGGGATGGGTCAATGTGTAGGGAGATCTGGCCCAGACGTTGGGCAGCTCCGGTGGAAGCTCCCGAGAGAGCTTGCTGGAACAAGTAGTTGCTTGCAGAGTCGCCCGCAACACGACCATAAACAACACAGCCTAGGAGCGAGGAGCCACCAAGTCGGTTGGCACCGTGGACACCACCGGCCAATTCACCACAGGCGTAGAGACCCTCGAAGGGCTTCTGCTCCTTGTTCAGGACTTGGGCCTTATCGTTAATCTCGATACCACCCATGGTGAAGTGAAGGACTGGCTCCATCAACGAGACGTGGAAGTCGTCGTTGATATCCAAGGGGCCGTTGTGGAAGAACTTCTTGCCCCACGGATCCTTCTGCTTGCCGTCGGCGATAGCATTGTATGTGGTGAAGGTCTTTTGGAGGTGTTCGGGAGAGCAGCCAATCTCCTTAGCGAGTTGCTTGCCGGAGATCTTCTTCATCAACCCACGGCCGGAGTAGTGGCGAGTGTGGAAGTCCAAAGTGTTGGATGCCTTGGAGTTGAGGACTAGACGGATAGGGAACTTGCCCTTGTCCTTCTCCTTCCACATCATACCGGAGACGTAATCTCTGTGGCCCAGTTCGTCACAGAATCTATCACCATCGGCGTTAAGTAGCAGACCACCCTCGCCACGCAGAGCTTCGGCAGCCAAGAACTTCCACTTCGATCCGGGATCTTTGGGGTCGACAAGACCGGTAGGGTGAACTTGGACCTTGTCCATGTCGATTCCATTTCCTCCGATGGCCATCACCATCTTCTGGCCATCACCAGTGGCGTGCGAACCGTTGGTGGTGGCTAGGCCGATGGTGTCCGGTCTGTGTTTCTGCAATAGCGAGTTGTCGCCGAAGTCTGCGGCATAACCACCAGTGGCTAGAACGACAGGGCCGTCGAGCGTGCTGCTCTCGCCATTGGACTCATATGTAACACCAGTGACCTTATTGCCCTCCTTATTTAAGCTTGTGACGCGAGCCTTCTTGATAATTTGGACTCGTTCAGGTTCGTTCTCGGAAAGTTCTTCTAACCTTTGCATCAAGGCGTATGTGATAGCCATACCTGGGAACTTGGCATCGTGTCCTCTGTGGGTTCTCGGTTGGGAGTGGCCACTATCCAATCAATTAGTATATGTAGAATACAGTAGCGATACTTTTCCTACTTACCCGAGTCGGGAGACTAATGTCAAATCTAGGTTGAATACATCTTGTAGCCATTCAACTGCTGCAGCGGACTTGTAGGTCAGGACCTTGATGAGGTCGGGTCTGGCCTTGTCTCGGGCGGATTTCAGAGTATCGTCGTAAAATTGCTTGACGCTGTCCTGAATACCGTGTTCAACCTGTGTCCGGGTTAAGGCACCGTTGATACCCGAGGTGGCTTTGGTCGAGTTTCCTCCAAAGAAGCCTGAAAGATTGCTGTTAGTCTTCTAAGCTTGATTGAATAGATCTTTCCCAACAAATTCAATTCTTACCTTGCTTGTCAAGAACAACAACATTACCGCCGGCAAGGTAGATTGTATGCGCAGCACTCAAGCCGGACACTGCATGTGATTGTTAGCCTCTTTGTTGAGATGGAGATGACGTTGGCATTGGGGTGGGGAGGGCAATTGCAGCTTACAGCCACCACCGACGACGATTACTCTCGGAGCCATTCTGATTGTTGTGGTTTGTTTATTGACAGATCTCCTGCGATTGTTGAGGTAAGGGATGTAGAGGAAGCAGGATAAGATGAGAGAAAAAGAAGTTAATGAAGAAAAGCTCGAAAGTTTTTTAGATGGAGAAAAATGCGAAAGGAATGTCGGGCTTGATATTTCCCAGTCGCAACTGTTTTAGCTGACCTTCTGGGCCGAGAGTCGAGCTTGCCTGGACTTAGAATTACTGATGAGATGATTCGTGCACAAGGTGAGCCGAGGTCGAGTCTTAGAAGACTGGGGGTCGGTACCAAGGTACTTTGTATCGTAGTACAAGATATTAGTAGCTCTTTGCGGAGGTACCTTATTCATCAGTAGGTAGGTATTCTTAGAAAGATGCGATTCGCGCTATCGGACTTATTAGTCTCAACCAACCCCTATTTCGCATATCAAAAAATACTAGAATGATTCACATATTCCGTACTAGTCTTCGCCTGCCTTAGGTAGGTGTATTACATAAAGTCTAGCATTAAGGATACTCTCATTCAAGACTCACTCAAGATCCGTCGACTAAAACAAAAGGTACATGGTTTTCGCACAATGTTCGGCCGAGGAAGTGATGTCACTTGGAAACCCATGTCAAATGTACACCGAATTAACCGGGTAGGTACATTTGGGAAAGAATGCCGAGGCTACACTTCCTCCGCACTAAAAATGGGACGGTTTAGAAAAAGGGGGCAAAATCAACGGCCTCAAACTCTCTTCCCCACAGTCACGAGCTATGTTAGTCTTCTTAAACGTCTAGGTTCGCAGCGGTAATCCCACGGGGTTATGAGTTGAATTGCCTGATTACCAGGAACACTTGCCAGTAACCGTTGGGGAAAGAAGGGTTGACATTTGACACGCATGCTAAGTACCTAAGTACCTACACATATCTCGTACGAATAGCACTTGTTGGACCTAACAAGATGGATGCATGTGATTCCGCACCAAAAATGTCACTGCGCCCCCGAAGGACAAAGACGAAACCGGCGATTCCTCCACAAAAGACTCGCGTGTCAGATGATCACACTACGCCATTAATATTCCCCGGACTGGCCAGATTGGGGTCTCGTGGCAGCTGATCTAAATCCCAGATTGTTGGAATCGCTGGTAGTCGGTTCTCGAGTCGACATCTATGTATGTCAGTAAACAATTAAAGTGCAGGGGTTTGACATGTGAAAAATCCGAATTGCGGGTTGAGCAGAACTAGTAATAGATCCCTTGTTAAAATGTCTTAAAAACGTGTTACAAAAATAGCCGCGTCATAAGCTAATGCAGCTGAACGACGGCTATGAATGCTGAAGAATCGAAGTCCAACCAAAATCCAACTTCCGAAATATCCCACCTATGAGATACTCATAATTAGGTATGTAGGTGCGTAAGTAAAACAACAAAAACAACACTCCCGTCCATGACATCGTGTATAATCTTCTATATCAGGTATTCGTCTGTATCGTATTTCGACATCCTGGGTATCATAAGATTCCGAGACTCCGTCCCCGTTGTGCCTAATTCGTTTGAGCTTTAGATCACCGGTATAACAAGCGGCATCGTGGACTGTGGTTGCTGCGCAAGTCTCGCTTCGCTGAAGTCCATCATGCCCCATATCCGCTCAATCTTCCCGTCTAAGAATTGATAGGTGGCCTGTTCAGTGAAAAAGACGGGGTCGCCGTTCGCTACCAGACCGGCGTACTCCTTAACTGGGGTTCCAGAAAACTTGAGCCACACAGCCACGCGCTGCAATTTCTCATCCGCTACCAGCGTGTGAATCTGGCATTGCAGGTCTGGGATAGCTGCCATCGCGTCGTCCATGATGCGACGAGCCAGATTCTTGTTGTTCAGCATCTTCTCCGGCTGGTGGACGTACTTCGAGTAGGCCGTATCCGTTTCGCGGGAGTTGAACATGTCGACGTACGCCCTGTACACCTCCTCTAGCTGTTCGCGAGATAGTGGCGTCCGTACTGGAGGGACGGGATACTCGCTGATTAGGCTGGGCGCAAAGTCCGTGCCGGGGTTTGCCATCTGCGTACGCATTTCGTCGTCATTAATCACGAATAATCCCTTCGACAGTTTACCATCCGTGAACCAGATGAAACCGCGCTCTATGAATAAGACGTCTCGGCCCTTAGGTTGGTAGCCTAGGAGCGGCATCTCAGGTTTGAATTTAAGCCATAGAGACAGTGCGACGCACTGAGCACTCTCGTCGACCATGATGCTGTCCTCGTTGATGCGTACATCTCCTCCTAGTTGGGGAGCCACGTGCTCTCTGATGTGCGCCGCCCATGATTCAGGCGTATAATCGATGCCGTTTTGGTTATATGTCGAGTGCATATATCTGGGCAGTTTGTCCCATTTCTTCTCGTTGACGCACTTGGCCCAACTTCTGATGGTAGCGAGCAGTTGTGGAGTGGTTGCTGACATTTTGGTCGATTCGTATGCGTGCTTATGATAGATAGAAACAGGAAACCAATATTTTGGGATAATTCAAGCTTAAATTCCAGATGGTTTCCTTAGGACGCGGGAGAGTGATGGTGATATTGAGAAGGAAGATTCCATGCGACGCTGTGTGATATTGGGAGAGGCGGCGAATGGGTGGTCGCCACATACGCGTCGGGCATGACCAAGAAGTGACATTGCTTTCCAAGGCTGTAAGATGCGCGATAAAACTACACGATCTCAGCTCACGAAGCCACAATCCAAAATTTCATCACCTCGTCTACACCTCCTAATCGGATCCATCTCCCGATTCCGACCTCTGGTTTGCTCGGGGAATAAAAGAAGCAAAGAGGAGGGCGGTGTGACCCAATGATAAGTCATGTCAGACAGAAAATGCTCCACGCCGACCCGTTCTCATATTCCTTGTGGAAATGAAAGGTAGGTGAGATGATAGGCGGCGAGCAGTCAGATCAAAAGCATTTGAGTCACCAAAATCCATTTTGGCTGTTCGCAGAAACGTGACTACCATGTGGTGCCGGCGCTTAGACGTCATTGTGCTATCCAATACCATCGCAATACCGGTTGACCCGAGAGCAACCATTTCGTCATGTGGGCATGCCAGTTTTGGGTCCGGTAGCAAGGATGGAATAATCCCCTCTTGGACTGCGCGATTGGCGATTTCCTTCTCTACACGCATTATCTTCAATCTGTCCCAGCCATCCTCACCTTCGATAGCAAAGCTATACTGGGCTTCGGGTGGCGCGGGAGGGTTATCTCCTTTCCCAGCCGGAGTTTTGAGCCAGCAAATTATCATAAGCTCAAGGCCATTCACATGCAAACGTATATAACCAAAGAACCTTCTACCACCAGTTAGGAAAGCTGTGGCATTATAGTCGAAGGAATCCTGTGGTATCACATTCATAATTATGGGATCCGCTTCCCCCTGGAATTTGAAGAATATTGCGTCCGAGTATCGGTGCTCCGGTTGTATGAATCCCGTCCAACTTATGGGCATTCGCTTCTGAACGTAGATGCGATGCGGTGGTATATCCGAGACGCGATTAAGCGGTAATACAGCGAGCGTACTTGGCTCTCTTCGTATATACCCGTCTAAAGTTAGCATGAGTAAGATTCCATACGAAGCCGATCGAAATAGTCCTTTGGGGCCTGGGCCTATACAATCCACAGGTAATATCAAGCCCACTTCGGAGTTATACAGCTGAATATCGTCAAAACGAAGACCCTTGTTCGTGACTGCCAGCTCGCCGCGGAAAGTGACTTCATCGGGCCGACGTTCTATTTCGCGAAAACCAGCGAACTCACAGGGGTGCGTGGCTAGTATACCGCGATAGTCGTCAAACAAAGAAGAGGCATCGCCAGGCTGAGTTGTCCACGCGAATAGGGATAAGTCGTTAGTCTGCTTGCATATCTCCTCTTGAAGTCGAAGAAAAGCCTTGCTTCCTTCTCCATATAACAAAGGCATATTGATATCGAAAATTCCGAGTAGACAATATGCTGTATCCTCGGGTCGAGTAGCCCTTCTATTAGAGGCCCATTGCATCCGCGTCCCGATTGGCTGATCCCAAATCTGAGAGCCGTTTCTCAAACATGCGGTATTGATTCCGGTGATATCGGATAGAGGTTCGAGAAGCCATAAATTCTTGGTCTCGATGAAATCCCAACCTGCGTCATAGAACTCGACGTTCTTCGGCGCGAGTAGCTCCTGAAGCGTCCAGCATCTAGTAAACCACTTGCATTTTCCCAACCGCTCATGAGTGAGGTCTTTGATGCCCGCGTCATCCTCTCCGGGACCATGTGAAATCCCGTCAGGGTTAGGAGGCATATCAGAAAGGTAGACGAAGCATACCGCTGCTGCTTGGTACCATCTGTACATCGAGTTTATCGCCTCAGACAGCTCGGCGCTGCTAGTTTTGTCGATACAACAAGTATCTACCCAAGCATATTCCAACCCATATTTTTCCTTGGCTAACTGGCAAGTCTTCTCGATCTTGGTGAATCCGCGGGTGTTCCGGGCCGACGCGAGATCCGAGAACTTTTGGAAAGTGATTTCCTCATCTTCCCAGGTGTGCGATAATACAGCATAGGAGCCCTTCCATGGACTCGTGATATTTTTGAGTTCGAGTGTTTCGGTGTTGATGAGCCACATCTCTCCTTATTTGCAGCCTTAGCCGTGGGAAACATGAGATACAATTTCTTAGATATGTCGTTGCTATATGTAGTATAAACAGCCCTGTTATATAGGTCGCAATATTAATTGGCAAGACAAAGCTGCAGGCTGACCGGGAGAAGCATGCTGACACCAATGTGTCGGCTTTTCACCTTCGGTACCAGCGTTCGTAACATTTATCTACCAATAGACGAACCTTGAAAACACTATTTTGACGTTGTACAACCCCTGAGGTAACAAAATTAAATATCTAGCAGATTATTGAAGGTTGCTATACAGCCACTACCCAACGATGTGACAGTAGCAGTGGCAGTACCAACATAGCCCACAATTGTTATATTGTTCATCATGATAATATGTAGAGCTGTTATACATAACCCGTTCGGTGTATATGTTGAAGATACTTGCTCAGCTTTATATGTAACAAATTCAGGCATGTTTCATTCGTCTTAGGACTATTCTAAGACACACTTTAAAGAGATTTGCCCGGGAGACATGAAGGCAAGATATTGGGTTAATAGGAAATTAGGATATATATCTCCCTAAAAATTCACATGTTTAGATGCTCGAATTGAATTAATATTTATATTTACCTCTATAGTAATAGAGTTCCAACTTACATGTTGTTGAAACTGAAACTTTCTTCATCGAGCGTCAGGTGCTTGTCTTACCAGTGATGTCATCCGAGTCCCCACTAAACGTAAACCCGAGCCTGACGTACCACTCAGATAGTGCGACCTACACCCAACCTACATCTCGAGGAAAGCCATACATTAGTCCCTAAGCCCACAATATCCCACCTTCAGCTTTTCGAAAGATGAAGCTATCGACGCTATACACCATCCACCTGCTAGCCGCGACCGCATGCGCCCAACTTCCGTACGGCATCACCCTCAAACAGCCCAAAATGCCCCAAAAGCCGCTCATGGACCTCGGCCCCGTCGTGCCGCCCGACTCCTCGCAGCAGCCGGACGGCTCCAAGCAACCGTCGCCGCAACCGCCGCAGCAGGGCGGCGTGCTGATCTCGGACGTGATGGGGCGCGACCGCAGCATCAACATCTTCGCGGGGTTCACGCGGGACGTGGGGACGGTGTCGTCGCGGCTCGACGACGGCGCGCGCAACAGCACCGTCCTGGCCCCGCGCAACTCCGCCGTCGAGGCCCTGCCCCGCAAGCCGTGGGAGGACCCCAGGGACTACAATGCCCTGGGCGCGAACGCGTACGAGGGCGGCGACGGCCAGGATAGGGCGCGTAGGAATCTGATGAGGTTCGTCGAGGCGCATGTCGTGCCCGCGAGCCCGTGGGCGGAGAAGGAGAGGGTCAAGACACTGTTGCAGGGCGATAGGGAGATTTGGTGGGAGATGAAGGATGGGGTTAAAGTGGTAAGTTGCTGAGTTGGATTTGGTGGTGTTTGGAGAGGGGATGCTTACTAATGGTAACGCAGATACAACCTGATGGGATCGAAGTTGATAGCGTTGCCAGCCGAGTTGGCAATGGTGAGCTATGGATCTTGAAAGGAGTTCGGAATTACGCTTAATCGAGTACCTGGCGAGTTTGGGGCAGAAGATCATGGTTCTATCCGGTTCTATCTTGGCTTCATTACACGCGGCATAAGTATGGAGTTGTGTCTCTAGGGACGTTTGTCTTGTGTGCTAGTTATTGGTTCTATGAAGTGTATGATGGTCTTTAAGTTATCAAGAATGATTAGGTACTGTGCATATATGGGCTCGGCTTTTCTAAGTTTGCCTGGGGATTGGACGGAGTTTGGGAGGATTATGACATGTTATATCTAATATTTATCTTGATGATTAGAACCTAGGTATACCTTTTCTGATAGCATGGTTCGAGCAGTACACATCGCAATGGATACCATAGAATGACTACCTATGTTGGGGTCCAAGCTGATCATTTTATCCCTTTAGATATCAGTGAAAATTAGGAAGTATACCTGCTTTCATAGCACTTAACTTCTAAACAATAGAGTTCATTAAATGCTTTAACATAGGTACTAAATACATATATCGTTACGATAAGACATACTATACAGCACATTTACCTATTTTGCTAGTGTGCATCAACAAGCCAATGAAGATCGAGTTATTAGTCAAACGAGATATCGAGTTGCACGATCTCTGCCAGGGTCCCTAGATATTAAGCAAAGCTTTATTGCAATGATTTTGATCATGTCCTTATGTAGTTATGTTAAACCACAAGGTTTAGAGAACTTTACTATAAGGCAAGTTTGTTGGGAAGTCTGGTGACAATGTTCATAACGATAGATTGGTTTGCTTCAATGACGTGATGTGAACAGACTACGGCTGATAAGATAAGAATAACCTTCCCTTCCGAAACGGAACACGCCAGCTAGACGCTAAGCTAAATCAGGAACAATAAGAAATTAGTGGGTCACTTCACCAGGACAACTTATGTGTTTTCTTATCTGCACGTGATATTCTCATAGAATAAAATGGGCCTCATGCTTTTCCGACTGTTATCGCGCGTCGCCGATCGCACTGAGGAAAGTCCCCCAAAGCCGCGACAGCTTGATCTCATCTGTCTAGCTTTTTAACCTTTCCCACCACCAAGCTTTGTCGATATCACTTCTACTATTACACTTTCGTTTCTATACGCGAGACTCCATCCATGTAGGAAGTAAGTCTATTTCACCTTTCGAATCGGTAGAATTAATCTTTGTTTTTCTTGTTGTCTTCTCTTGGTTGGATACGATGGTCCTGGGATTCTTCGCTTTCTCCGACCGTCGATCTCCTGAGCTGCTTCACTGAGTTTCGTCCCTATCGACGCGCGCACATTCTTGTATCTTACATGAAAGGCCATCCTGGCTAACACAGTCGTCTCTTAGATCTGCGCTTTTGAAGAGAAATGAATGCGCATCCCGAAGACATGTCGCACCGCGACCGCGAGTCGGTCGAGCGGCACCAAAGAGAACAGTTTCCAGCTGGAACCCCTCGACAGAGCAACACTGCGTCCCTTCAAATCCACCAACCCGTAGCCTCGCGCCTCCCTGGCGCCATCCACAGCCCTGGTGGTCTACTTGCGACTCATGGAGGTTCAGGACCTCCTATTCCCCTCGGTGCTCCTTCAGGTCCCGTAAACTCCTTTGGTGGTCCATTGCAAGCCGATTCCAATCGATCGATCCCACACAACGCGCAGAATGCCTCGAACCAGATGTTCGGAGCTATAGGTGGACATAACCAAGGCCCTCCCAGCTCTTCTGCGCCCTCTAATCATCTATTCGGCGGTCCTCTACAACAAGATGGCAACCGCGCCTCTCAGAATATCCCATTTGGCAGCAGTGGTGGTGCGATTCCCGGAGGAGCGCACGCGATCCCTAGTGGTAATGCCGGTGGTATGCCACAGGGACAACAACCTATACTTAATGTAAGTTATATACACATGTTTAATTCTCGTCTATTTGGTGGGAGTTAGGAGGCAGTCTCACCCTGACTCCTATCCCTGTGCCGGCCGTATCCCTCCTTGTGCGTTTGGATCGCTGCTATTATCGCTGCTGCCATTGTAGGGCACATTCACATTACACCTTATATAGATATTGCCACTCTACTTCTTTCCTTCCACATCTTTCACCTTTCCTGCCTACAGGTATACAAACATTGTACATGAAAGAAACCAAGTTTAATGTCCTATATATCCTTTTGACAACTCATCATATACGGGATACCGTCTCTTCTCTATTAAGGCCCTTTCAACGTACTATCTCTGTTTTGTTTACCTACTTTTATCGAAGTAGCTCTCGGTTTATTAAGATGGACGATTTCGGTAAAACGCGTTGGATAGGTCTGGATCCAACGATGATGCCTTGGAGTTGGACGCCAAATGTTCGATAATCCATTGACTGCGATGACCGCACAGATACTGATATTTGATTGTCTATTTACTAATATACAGTCTTCGCAGGATGCCCTAAGTTACCTAGACCAAGTCAAGGTACAGTTTGCCGACCAGCCGGATGTCTACAACAAGTTCCTTGATATAATGAAAGACTTCAAGAGTCAAACGTTAGTTCATATCCTGAAATAAATGTAGAATAGCATAGGAGCTAACTTGTAGATCTAGTATTGACACGCCGGGGGTTATTAATCGTGTGTCGGAACTTTTTGCGGGGCATCCAAATCTCATCCAAGGCTTCAATACTTTTCTTCCTCCTGGATACAGAATCGAGTGCGGTGCAGGCAACGACCCAAACACTATTCGGGTAACTACGCCCATGGGAACGACGGTACAGTCGATAACAGGTAGAGCGAACCAAGGTGACGGCGCGCATGGCCAGCCGGGCACGAATGGACCATTTTTCAATCACCGCGGTAACAACTGGCAACAACATCCACAGCCACAACATAGCATCGAAAGCCCCGAAGCTTCTTTCAGCGCGCCCGTAGTAGCAAGTGGTCAGAGTCTATTTGCAGCCGGTCAAGCCCAAGGCTCAAATTTCGAAGGACCGGCTTCCGCTGCCCAGCAACACCGAAGTACGCCGCAAGTACAAAATAACTCGACTACACCGAACGCGCCTACAACTCGCAACGCACTCACTCCTACCCCGAGCGGCTCTCAAGGCGGGCCTAGCAGCGGCAACCAACAAGCAAATATGGAAAAGAGAGGGCCGGTTGAATTCAACCACGCCATAAGTTATGTGAACAAAATAAAGGTGAGATAAACATGAAGAATATGCTGCAGCTTCTCCTTCACACTCTTCCCCCCACACATAATAATGTGCACATTATAAAAATAAAAATAAAAAGTAGCCTCAATAGTGGATTAGAAGAATATCTACTGACCTGTGCGCCTAGAACCGCTTTCAGGACAAGCCTGAAATTTACAAACAATTCCTCGAGATCTTGCAGACGTATCAACGCGAACAAAAACCCATCCAAGACGTTTATGCGCAAGTCACCACTTTATTCAACACTGCACCTGATCTTTTAGAAGATTTCAAACAGTTCCTTCCCGAATCAGCCGCATCGAACAAAACCAACGGTGCAAAGGCAGAAGACGTCTTTGCTATGACGGCCGGCCTCACTCAAACCACCCCACAACCCAATCACAGCATGAGGGACGGCCAGAAGATGCCCCCAGTTGGAGCTTTTGCACCTCCTGCCAGTGCGAGCAAAGATAACCGAAAGCGTCCTCGTAACGATAAACAAGTTCCTCCTCCTGCAGCCGCAATGGCCGATAGCCCAGCACCGGGATCTCGCTCGATTCCTGGAGTCGGCCCCGTAAGCAAGCGTCCAAAACTCAACCACAAGCCCTTGCCCACGGATGCGCCGACCATTGAGCCGACACTTACCCCCATTCTTCCCGAGCCTTTGCCTCCTACCTCCTCGGCGAATGCGACTCCCGATGAACTGGGTTTCTTCGAGAAGGTTAAGAAGTACATCGGAAACCGTTCGACCATGAACGAGTTTTTGAAGCTCTGCAATATGTACTCGCAGAGTCTCATCGACACCAATGATCTGGTCCACAAAGCTAGCCAATTTATTGGCGGAAATAGCGAGCTCATGACCTGGTTTAAGGGATTTGTAGGTTATGAAGGTGTAGATGAGATCATCGAGAATCGACCCAGGCCTCCTGTCGAAAAAGTCTCGCTGAGTAATTGCCGGGCCATTGGGCCAAGCTACCGGCTATTGCCCCGTAGAGTGAGTATAATATTCTAATGCTTAAGGGTGGAATTATTTACTGATTGGTCTATTATAGGAGAAGCTAAAGCCTTGCGGCGGCAGGGACGAGATGTGCAACGCTGTGCTCAACGACGAGTGGGCATCTCACCCAACTTGGGCCTCTGAAGACTCCGGTTTTGTAGCCCATCGCAAGAACGCCTTTGAGGAAGGTCTTCATCGGATTGAAGAGGAACGCCACGATTACGACTTTAACATCGAGGCCAACGTTAAGTGCATCCAGTTGTTAGAGCCGATCGCCCAGCAGATGTTGAACCTGACTGCTCAAGAGCGAGAAACGTTCCAGATGCCACCGGGACTTGGAGGCTCGAGCACTTCGATTTTCAAGCGTGTCCTGAAGAAGATATATGGCAATGAGAAAGGACTCGAGGTTGTTTCCGACATGTTTACGGATCCCTTCGCTGTCGTTCCTGTCGTGCTCGCGCGGCTCAAGCAGAAGGATGAGGAATGGCGATTTACTCAGCGAGAGTGGGAGAAAGTATGGCAGGCACAGACAGAGATCATGCACCTCAAGAGCCTTGACCATATGGGCATCCAAGTCAAACAGAACGACAAGCGTAACCTCTCTGCTAAGCATCTCGTAGATGTCATCAAGACGAAACACGAGGAGCAGCGACGTCTGCGTAGCTCAAAGAATACGGTCCCTCGATATCAGTTTAGTTACGAGCTTGGCGATCGCGAGGTTATTCTAGATCTACTGCGATTCATGGTCCTTTATGGTACGAACAATGGTCATCACAGTGCAACTGAGAAGGAACGCATTGTTGATTTCTTTGAGTTCTTCATACCTCAATTCTTCGAATTACCCGAGGATAAGGTCCAAGAACGACTTCATGATATTGATCGCGAGTCTGGAGAGGAGGATACCGAGGAGCAACTCCCGGCAGAGTTAACCAATGGTCGTACCAGACGGAATGGAAAGAAATCCGACTTGCTCCGTGGTGTACTGGATCCCGGCCGTAATGGTACGAAGACCAGGAACCAGAAGGAGGATAGCGCTGCGTCTGGTAGTAAAGAGACGACACCCGATGCTGGTTCTGCAAATGAAGAGGAGATGGTTGACGCCCCCGATGATCCCGTCCCGGCAGAGCATTCTAACGAACGATGGCTACCGACTGTGCCGCGGGCGACAGTCGTGAAGGGTGATAGCTCGCTGCTGGATGCCGATGGCGAGTTGAAGGCAGATGGATTCTTCCCTCGCCCGTGGTATAATTTCTTCTGCAACCAGACCATCTTTGTCTTCTTTACTGTCTTTCAGACACTGTATAGACGCTTGAAGGCCGTCAAGGATAGCAAGAACAGCGTCTCGGAAGAAATTATCCGATCAAAGAGTAAGAAGCCAGCTAAAGAGCTTGGTATTGCGATCAACGAGATCAACTACTTTGACGAGAATGATCCTGCTTCCTTCTGGCCTAAGACGGTCGAGCTGATCGAGGACTACATTACTGGGGAGATCGATGAGAACCGTTATCAAGAAGTCCTCCGTCATTACTACCTCAAGAAGGGTTGGACTTTGTACACGATTCAAGATCTCCTTAGAACCCTATGCCGTCTCTCCCTCACTTGTACGAGCCCGGATTCAAAGGAAAAGACTCCTGATCTTATCAACCATTTCCTGAACAGCCGTCACAACGAAGAGACTAGTTATCAGACAGAGATCAGTGCACGGAAGTACGCAGAGAAATGCATCAAGGATGGTGATATGTTTGTCATCTGCTGGGTATGTATAATTATAGGTCTTGCTCCCTTACGTGGTCAGTCGCTAATATTTATGTCTAGTTCCCTCAGAAACATGAGGCTACAGTCCGTTGGTTGCAACGTGACGAGACAACCTTCTACATGGACGAGATGGAACTTCGCGAGAGATGGCAGTACTACATATCCTCGTACATGCGGGTTGAACCGACTGAAGGCGTTGCTAGGGCCCGTCTTCAGAAAACGGTTCTCGCCCGCAATCTCCCATCTAGCGAAGGTGATTCGGACGATGGCGATGTACCAAAGCCATTGGCCTATGATGAGGGGTTGATTTTACGTATCTGTCTGAATTCCAACAAGATCGTCTGGGAGAAGAACACATCGGAGTACTTTATCTATACTGCCGAACCGGAGGACGAAAAGGAAAAGATCGCTGCAGACGAGTACCGTCGTGCCCTTACCGAGCACCGCGAACAACGATTCAGAGAGAAGATGGTAATGAACAATTCTTGGATGCGAGGTAACAGCCAAGACGAAGTTCAGAAGGTCAACGAGAAGTTCCAGAAGTGGTTGAAGGATGGTGTCTCGCCTAATACCAACGGCCGAGGAGATGACGTCGACAACACGGAAGGAGTTGAATAAGTCGGGAAATCCCTGTGACTTTTGCATGTTCATTTCGATTCGCCTACGAGGCATATCTCAGGAGTAATCAGACGGTGGTGGTGAATTTTGATGATAAGCAAAAGGCATCATGGCAGGCGTTTGGCGAAGAACTTTATGCAGACGTCCTTTTTGCCTTTCATGTTCAGGCAGTCTCGTTTCTCATTTGCTGCACGATGGCGAGACTAGTACCGGCGGAATAAGCCGAGGTCGACTTAGGTGGACAGGATCATTGCTCCTATTTGCTGTTTTTTTCCCTTTTACTTTGCTTGTATGTACTATAGGACGACGAATTCACAAAACTTGGCATTTATCTTTAATAACTCTGCGTGATTATGTCTTCCTCCTTCTGTAATTTTGTTCCGCAGCTATGGTAAGTGGAGAAGATGGAACATGTTCAATCGCGGAGTACGCTATAATCTCACCTAGTACTTTACAATGCAACATCACATTAACTTATACACATATCTGAGAAAAAATTGGAATTATCTAGTTTGTACTTATTGATCCCCGATATACGGCGGATGGATGGGAAAAGGCATATGCGCCCCAAGGCAGTAAATGTCTATTTTGGGTCATCCCTCACGTTCGCGTAAATGGCATCCGTATATTCTCCGTCCCTCATCCCATCCACCCTCCTGATTTAACCGAGGGCCCTCGCCTCTTCCTCGACATTCCTGTCGAAACATACCGTCTGGTCCGGTTCAACCCAACCCAACCCAACCCAAACCCATCCATATCATTCATATGCGAGAATCTCTTCTCTTGTGGGTTCCCGTACCTTCGTCGTTGCTATCGCCTAGTCATTGCAGGCTCTCGATGACAATGGCGCTAGCACCACCACCGCCGTTGCAGATACCAGCAACGCCGATCTTAGCCTTCTTCTCGCGCAGGACGGTGGTCAGGGTCGTCACGATGCGGGCGCCGGAGCAGCCAAGCGGGTGGCCGATAGCGACGGAGCCACCGAACACGTTGACCTTGTCGGAAGACAAGCCCAGGAGCTTCATGTTGGCCAGCGCGACGACGGAGAAGGCCTCGTTGATCTCGTAGAAATCGACGTCGGCGTCCGTGATGCCGGCGTGCTTGATGGCCTTGGGGATGGCCAGCGCGGGCGCGGTGGTGAAGCGCTCGGGCTCGCGGGCGGCGTCGCCCCAGCCGCGGATCTTGGCGATGGGGGTGACGCCGAGCTCCTTGACCTTGGCCTCGGACATGAGGACGAGGGCGGCGGCGCCGTCGTTGAGCGGCGCGGCGTTGGCGGCGGTGACGGTGCCGCCCTGGGGCTTGAACACCGGGCGTACGGTCTTCAGCTTGTCGGCGTTGAGGTTCTTGACCTCCTCGTCGGTGGTAATCTTGACGGCGGGCTTGCCGCGGCCGCCGCTGACCTCGACGGGCACGATCTCGGCGGCGAAGACGCCGTCGGCGGTGGCCTTCTGGGCGCGCGTGTACGTCTCGATGGCGTAGGCGTCCTGCTGCTCGCGGGTGATGGCGTGGTCGTCGGCGCACAGCTCACCGGAGACGCCCATGTGTTCCTTTTTGCCGTAGGCGTCGGTCAGGCCGTCCTTCAGCATGCCGTCGACGAGGGTCTGGTCGCCGAACTTGGCGCCGTTGCGCAGCGTCTGCAGGTAGTGCGGCACGTTGGACATGGACTCGGCGCCGCCGGCGACGACGATGGACGCGTTCCCCGTGATGATGGTCTGCGCGCCGAGGATGATGGCCTTGAGGCCCGAGGCGCACACCTTGTTCACGCCCGTGCAGACGACGGAGTCCGGGATGCCGGCGCCGAGGGCGCATTGTCGGGCGGGTGCTTGGCCGAGACTGGAGGAAAAGAAAGGTGGATTGTTAGTTGGGCTCTGCTATGATCGATCGACTGATCTTCCGTTGGGTAGGGAGAGGGAGTGGGGACCTACTTGGCGGACAGCACATTGCCGAAGAAGACCTCCTCTACATCTTTAGGCTGGATCTGGGGGACTCGCTCGATGGCAGCTGTGGATGGTCGTGTGAGTTGACGATAGCTATGAATATGCTTTTACACAGCCTGGAGAGAGTTGGACATACCCTTGATAGCGTGAGATCCTAGCTGGGTGGCACTGAGACTCGACAGTGTTCTAGCAAATTCAGGGGTAAGTTTCATGGAACAGATGGTAAAAGGGGGAGGGGTTAGGGGTAGGGGAGATGGTACCCTAAGAACGAGCCCACAGGCGTTCGAGCAGCTGAAACGATATAAACGGTAGGGAGGCCAGACATGTTTGAACGGGATTAGATGAACAGGCACTAAAGGCGCGGGACGGTGCTTGAAGCTTGGAGGAAAAAGAAATGTTAAAAAGCAACTTCTACTCCTTACACGGTTATTAATGTATTTGTTTTCTCTAAGAAGTAAAAGTTGTTGAGCTAAGTATTGGGAACACAAGTAAATAAAAAGTTCACCGCCCCAGCTAAACTCTGGACCCCTCCTCTCCGATAATCTTTACTCGCGCGGAATTGGCCTAACAAGGTACCTCCCGAGTCCAAAGGCAGGGTCTTACCAAATGGGGTAGTGGGGTTGTCACCGCGTTCCTGAGATTGGTCGACTAGTGCAAGTAACCGTTGGTGGGGTCAAGTAAAGCCCCAGCGATAGACCGCTTATCGGAGAATGCCAGTCTGCCAATTTACTCGGCTCCAGCCTTGTCACTAGCCACTACAGATTTTGACTTTGCCACAGTTAAGGCCCACTATAGACCCACTCGATACGCGCTTCTAATCAGCCTTGCATCGAGATTCTGTAACTTTTTTTGACCGTGACATCAATCTTTAACTTTCACATCGCATAAACCCAATTGACCTACTCCCGACACTTCTCGACGCCATGGATGACCTTTATGATGAGTTAGTACTGCTAAGAATTCCTCAATTGTTCATTGACTAACAGCTTTGTAAAGATTCGGAAATTTTATCGGCGAGGATGCCGAAGCATCTGAGGAAGAATCCGAGCGTGGAGTCGACCTGGACGCGTATATCGACGACAATGTCCCCGAGGAAGCGCCAGAAACCACAGGGCAGGAATTGATGGAAATAGACGACGGTCCATCAAATGCGGTGATATTACACGAAGATAAACAATACTACCCGTCGGCGGAACAGGTCTATGGTCCAGATGTCGAGATATTAGTCGAAGAAGAGGATGCGCAACCGTTATCACAGCCCATTGTCGCGCCTGTTGAGGTGAAGAAGTTTTCTATCGAAGAAGAAGACCTTCCTCCAGTCCACTTCGACCGCAACTTCATGACCGATCTCATGAACTTCCCCGACCAAATACGGAATATTGCCCTAGCTGGAGACCTCCATCATGGCAAGACCGCATTCATGGATATGCTGGTCCTTGAGACGCACGATATCGCTGATAGATTAGAGAAGCGACAGGGAAAGAAGAGAGATGAGCAACTACGATATACCGATACCCATGTCGTGGAGAGGGAAAGAGGTGTCTCCGTGAAGGCGGCCCCTATGAGCCTAGTACTGCAAAGTACCAAGGGCAAATCACATTTATTCAACATCATAGATACCCCGGGTCATGTTAATTTCGTCGATGAAGTTGCATCAGCATTACGGCTCGTGGATGGTGTTGCGCTGGTGGTGGACGTGGTGGAAGGTGTCCAAGTCAACACGGAGCAGATCATCAAACACGCAGTGCTCGAAGATATCCCGATGACGCTAATAATTAACAAGATGGATAGACTAATACTGGAGCTGAGACTACCGCCTAGTGACGCCTACTTCAAATTAAAGCACGTTGTCGAGGAGGTGAACACCATCGTCGAAAACACTCGGCCCGGCTCGGGCGAGAAACTACGATTAAGTCCAGAGAAGGGAAATGTCCTGTTCGCGTGCAGTGAGATGGGCTGGTGCTTCACATTACAATCGTTCGCGAAGATGTACGCGGACAGCTTCCCCGGCGTGAATACGGAGGAATTCGCAAAACGACTCTGGGGTGATATCTACTTCAACCCGAAGAAGCGATCGTTCAGCAGGAAACCCCTGCCGGGCGAGCAAGGTGCTAGGAGGTCTTTCATACACTTTGTGCTCGAACCCATCTACAAAGTCTTCTCCCACACCATCAGTCAGAGTCCTGACGAGCTCAAGGGGGTTCTAGCAACGTTGGGCATAACGCTCAAGCCATCGCAATACAAGACAGATGCGAAAGTGCTTCTGAAGCTAGTCTGTGAACAATTTTTTGGACCGTCGACTGGCTTTGTCGATATGATCGTCAAAAATGTCCCATCTCCATTAGAGGCAGCTCAGCACAAGTTGGAACAGTACTATACTGGCCCCTTAGACACCAAGGTAGCCGAGTCTATGAAGAAGTGTGATCAGGATGGTCCCCTAGTGATACATATCACAAAGCTCTTCAACTCTGCTGATGCCAAAAGTTTCTACTCTTTCGGCCGAGTGATGAGTGGTATTGCTCGACCTGGAATGCAAGTAAGAGTTCTTGGAGAGGGCTATTCTATCGACGATGAGGAGGATATGGCTATGGCAACCATCGCGGATGTCTATATTGCTGAAACGCGATATAACGTCCAGACCAGTGGTGTCCCTGCAGGAAACTGGGTGCTTCTGAGCGGCGTCGATAACTCGATCGTGAAGTCGGCAACAATAGTACCACCGAAATTGGAAGATGACGAAGAAGCATACATCTTCAGGCCAGTCACACATTTCACCGAGTCGGTTCTGAAGGTAGCAGTCGAACCCATCAACCCGTCGGAACTCCCAAAGATGCTTGACGGCCTGAGGAAGATCAACAAGAGCTACCCTCTAATTACGACGAAGGTCGAGGAGTCAGGCGAGCACATCATCCTGGGCACAGGAGAACTCTACATGGACTGCGTGCTTCATGACCTGCGACGACTGTATGCAACGATGGAGCTCAAGGTGTCGGATCCCGTCACGCGCTTCTGCGAGACAGTTGACGAGATGTCCGCTACCAAATGTTACGCTATTACCCCGAACAAGAAGAATAAGATTACTATGGTCGCCGAGCCGCTCGACGACGGAATCGCGGAAGATATCGAGAGCGGCCGTGTCAAGATGCAGGACGGTGCCCGAAAAGTGGGCAAGTTCTTCCAGGACAAGTACGGGTGGGATCTTCTGGCGGCGAGGAGTATTTGGGCATTCGGGCCGGATGAGAAAGGACCTAACATATTGCAGGACGACACACTTGAGGTACGTCGACTAGTTTGCTGTTTTCCCCCACCCACTGTGACCTCGAAAGCTCGGCGTCTTACTACACAGACGAATCCTGTCGCGCGGAGTGTTACCTCGCGGGGTCCGCATGCGGCAATACCTTCGCGGGCCTCTGCAGTTATTCGTGGTTTCAGCCTCAGGATTCTAGAATTTCCCTTCTACGTTTGAGTGGCACCTAATTATTTCGGCAGGTGGATAAGACGCTTCTGAGAAGCGTGCGAGAGACCATTCGCCAAGGCTTCAGTTGGGCTACCCGAGAAGGTCCTCTGTGTGAAGAACGTGAGTACCTACATCCCGTCGCATTTCTATATTGCCATTCCTACCCAACCCCTGTGTCTCAACCCCACGGTTTCAACCACCACCCATCTAGAACGTCTGAGCTCCAAGCTGCTCGGACTGCTTTCTACATGTCGGCTGCCCCCAACATTCCACGTCGGCAAGGTCGTCGTCATTTTAGCACACGTTTTCCCATGCGCCAACGACATATGCATTAGGATGGTAGTAAAGTTGTCGTGCTATTTTTGGCATCGTATTTCATGCCACCCACTCCAAGATACCAAGTTGTTACTCGTCAATGACCGTGTAACCCGGCGTGATGGCAAAATCTGGGGATAAAGTTATCACGATGTGCAACTTCATAGATCCCGAGGCATGGCTACAACCCATGTCCATCCCGCTGCCAAGTAAGCTGCGGGATTAGGAACCCTGCTACTCCCTGCATTTTTACAGATTCGATCAGACTTCGTCAATCGATCCCATAAGGCAAAGTCGCTCCAGCCCACTCTTGCCTTGATTTGGCTCCAGGGGGTACGCGGCAACTAATATTTCTGCGGTCGCTGCATCACATGCCCTTATTTTCACATCATCGCGTCGACGTCGCTTTGACTAGGGATCTACTCCGAGAATGACCACTGATGCATCTTCATACACCGTATCCGACTTAGTAGTCTTACAGTACCACGCAGACGCGAATCAACAACATCATGACGTCGCAATTTCGTATAGATAAATTACTAACTTTGATACAGCGATCCGCAATACCAAGTTCCGCATCATGGACGTGTCATTAGCACAGGAGGCGATCTTTCGAGGTGGTGGTCAGATCATCCCGACGGCGCGCCGCACCTGCTACAGTTCGTTCTTGATGGCGTCGCCGCGGCTTATGGAGCCTCTATATGCGTGCTCGATGACAGGTCCCCAGGACGCAGTACCCGTGCTGTACAATGTGCTCGCGCGCCGCCGCGGACATGTCTTGGCCGACGGGCCTATCGCCGGGACTCCACTATACCGCGTCAACGGGCTGATTCCCGTTATCGATTCTTTCGGGTTCGAGACGGACGTAAGAATCCAGACCCAGGGACAGGCTATGGTTAGTCTTGTTTTCGATAAGTGGCAGAAGGTGCCCGGTGATCCGCTTGACAAGGAGGTTGTTCTACGACCGCTGCAACCGGCTGAAGCCCAAGCTACGGCGAGGGATTTCGTGCTTAAGACAAGACGGAGAAAGGGGTTGAGCGAGGACGTGAGCGTGGCGAAGTTCCTCGAGCCCGAGTTTTATCAGAGTCTGATGGAGAGTGGGACTTTGGGGAGCCCGTGAACGACTCAGGCTCGAGTTAGGGTTCGTTGAGAAGAGGTTAATGAAGACGACGCCATTGTACTATACAGTCAGAGAGTTAATTGCATCGATGGGCTAAAGGTAGTCTCACCAAAACTTGGAAGATGGGTATCAATGACTAGGTAATTAGTCCAGCACGCAGTATTAGTCTAAGAGAGAACTTACAAGGGGATAGTCGATGCCAAGGCTATACCTGGAATATAAAAGAGCACAGACGCACTACTTAACTTGTTCTTAGATACACTATTAAGTCTTGACGCGTATGTTGGAAGGGTCTTAGATCGCAAGTCAAGATCGTACAGGGAAGTCTATCTTTAATGCGTGATTTGCGCAAAATTTACAGGGTGTGCTGGTAAAAGAGCCTCTCGAGAACCCAGTAGAGAAGGCAAGGGGAGGGAAAGAGGTTGATTGGTCACAAGCGAGTAACCCCCCCCCCGCCCCCTTGTCCCGCGTCTGATAGGGCCTCGTGTATACGAGACGAGCCGGCGGCTAGTAACGGTCACGGTAACGGTGGTAGCGGCGGCGGTTACGTAGGCTGGGAATCCAGTAAACCCAGAGATGGGTAAAATCAGGAGTACATAGGTATTTCAGGTAAGAACCAATGAGGGACATGGGGATATGAATCGGATTTTCTCTGGACAACCAACGGTAAAGAAAAGCGCAAGAGATTTTACGAGCAACCAATGGTAAGGCGAGAGTTAGATGACTAGGCACATTAGGGGTAGGTAGTAGCAGAGCCAGTGGTAAAAAAAAACTAGGTAGATAGAGCCAAATTTGCCGGGTTTGTGGTATATGGTACCGTAGAAACCCCACGCGGATCGAGTGCGGTTCGGTACTCGAAGAACGACTTACGTACATACCTAGTAAGGACTTTTTCGTCGAGGTCTGGGCGTGTGAGAAGGGGTGCATGTTTGTCGTGTCAAGTGAGTTTAAAAGCGAGTTCAAGGCGAGTTACGCATAGCGGTAAGGGTAAGCGAGGAATTAGAGATGGGCTAGAGTAGATGTGATGGGTCGGAATGAACCGGATGCCGATATCGATGGTGACTGCATGCACTATGTATGTGCTATGTATGTAGGTAAGTCATGACAGGTATGTATGGGATAGCTAGGTAGGTTAGGGCTAAGGTAGGGGTAGGGGGTAGACAGGTGGATGATGGTGTCGGCACTGTAGAAAAGGGGGGGCCCGCGGACAGTTCCGTAGGAGGAAGGAATACAGGATGTGAAGTAACTTGAGGAATGACATGGCGGGATAGAACAAGGCAATACAGAACCTACGTAGATTATGTCTATGCGCATGTATGTATGTTCTATGTACGTATTTATAGGCAGATGGGTATAGAATCAGAAAAAGAGGTTGAAATAGAATAGGAGAAGATCTACGCTGTCGTCCCTTCCATACCACGCAAGTTGTTTCCTCGCTACGCTGCCGCCCGGCGTTAAATATATCGTCCAACCAACCGACTAGCAGGTTTTGTTGTCTAGTTACCTACCTACATAACCTAAGTAGGTACGGTATACACAGGCGGTAGAGGGGCAAAAGGGGGTGGTGGAGAGTGCCGTGGACCTTCTGGAAAGTTTATCGGTGTATATTTATGCCCCCTAAATGGATTAGGTGTGTCTGATGTTCTGTATGCCGGAGTGACTGATGGTTATGTACTGACTTGTTATGAGGAGCGGAATATGAGGAGTTGACATTGGAATGATGACTACTGGTATCAAGTCTGTCTAGGAAGTTTAGGGGTAGATGATCGTATACCAATCAGAGGATCACCAAGGTTTGAGGTGAAGGAATTTCGACAGGCTACGATCATCACGACAACGATACCAGAGGTATCCTCTTACCGGGATTAGAAGCTGCTTTACGCCGACAAGGTTGTCGCGGGTATGCAGAATAATGATAAGCACCACAGTGGCAAAATAGATAATGAGGGAAGAGTAAGGCTTTCGTCTCAAGTGTCCTTGTGCTCGGAAGCTCTGATGATTGCGGTTCATGATAGGCTCATGTTTCTTCTCTTCCAGCGGAAAAGCGACAGAATGGATATGTCGGGTGAGGAACGGCGAGATCATTGGTCCTACCATTGTCTGACTACCTCAGCGAAAGGGTGGGAGAGGTAGAGGCCTGAACTATGATAGGGGCGTTTCGACACAGCTCCCGAGATCAGAACGGCCATACCAAGCGGAATACACGACATCTAGGGACGAGCTATACAGAAGGATGCCTGAATATCATAGTAGACACTCGTTTTGAAAAGGGGCAACGATACTCAAGATTTTGTTCAAAAGTCCCTTCGGTTTACTATTACTCTTTTTCAATGACTCTGTATATGCAAGACTGTAGATGAAGCTTACTATCGATTGACTGGATTGAGGTCCTTGGAGGGGACCGGCACCGTCGGTTCCCATCCGCCAGTTGGATCGGAAGGACGCTTCCGACGTGCCTTTCATCTTCTGTAAAGCCAGAAGGCATAATTCTAAGGTGATTTGTAGTGGTATACTTGCATGGAGAGTTAAGACGGTAGTAGCAATAGCTATAATTGGTTCTGAATAATAAAAGGGGGATGAACTAGAGGGGAGAAAGATACATGCAATAACAAGCAGCCACATATTGTGAAGAGCCTGCTAAGACTTGCAAGATAGGCGTCACGCGTAGCTAAGCTCGTGTTGTTTCTAAGTTTACTTTCGCGTACCATAGGACCACGACTTGAGATCGACGAGATATGTATATATGGCGTTAGTGGCTAGATTCTGGTATGGTAGGATGGCTACGGACTAGGTTCTAAGTATGTTGGGTCTTTAAAGCAATTAAACATACGGGTCAAATAAGAGTTATACGCAGTAGATGTCGCCCACGTTCGGGCTCTTACCTCTATAGCTCCGACAATGACAGCCTCACTTCGTATCCGCCGTGCCGGGCAGCAGATCCACAGGGAATACGAAGCCCGAAAGGTTCCAAAATCAAGGTAAAAGAGTCGCTGATCATAACATGATTCACGTAATGTCTGGTATTGCTCGGGCTGGCAAGGGGCAATTGAACCGTTTCGGGTTTCCGTTTACAGAAACGCATTAATAATCTTTCTAGAAAGGTTCGCCTCGACGACGACGACTACGAGCCTAGTCCAAGCGCGCTCGGTAGCCGAATTAGGGCTAGACCCATCTGGAGAGCCCCATGAAATCTAATAACATAATTATTTTAAACCTAACCTTATCATAAACATATTGGAACTAGTCTTTGTTCGTGAAGTACCGATTTGTTTACATTCACAAGAAACTCTCGTGGGCTAGAGGTGTCTCGATGAACTTATTATTTGGTCCTATTCTTGGCTACCTAGCCAAGGTATGTCGACGTCACATAGACTGCCATAGACGGATAACTTTTAAGCTTTCCAAGCTTCATAAGCCGTGAGCTGCTTCTATGCCTATGAGATGGCTGCTGAGATCCATCCCGCGTCTGACAGCAAAGGCTCGGCGGTTTAAACCGGTTTTAGACCGGTGTGGGCCTTTTTATGATAGTTGCCATTTCTAGGCCTACCAAGGTGAGTAAAGCCGGCTTTCTATTCTCTGAGTGGGCGATAGCCAGACCGGTATGCATGAATTTCTTGTCTTCGAGAAGCTTGGACGAACACTTCATATTTCAAAGTCGACCGGAGTGACGTGGACATCTTGAAGAGACCGATACATAGGATCATCGTCAGTTTGTACTCCCATGTTGCTTGGTGTTCTATAAGCATTCAATGATCTTTTTAACCTTGGACTATTCCGAATGTAGATCAGTACTGGAAGGTGTCTCAAATGCAAGTCTCCAACATTTTGTCTAGTACTCCCTTGAGGGTGTCATTTTCTAATGCTGCTGCGACTCTTTCCTTGTCTGCTAATTGCTTGTTGACCTGGTCGTCCTGACTGTGGGTTCCCTCCTTAATCACGACATCCACCCGATAATTGGGGGGGAGTGCCTGTTCTAGCCTCACGCGTATACCGAGGCCGATGACGGTTGCAAGTGAGCAATGCGTAATGGTGGGAGTAATCTTGACGAGTACTTGTGTCAAAGTGTTGGGGTCCGCATCTACTGAGGGAGAGGGTGATATATGGATATCGGGCAAATTCACGACTGCTAACTGACCGAGCGATAACGGATGCTCGGGGTCAGAAATAGTAGAGATGAGATCTGCCAAATGTTAGTCATGTTTTTGGAAACACTAAAGACTGAAGAAGACGAATCCAGCTCGTTTTCTATGTTTGATCGTAACCAAGGGACGACTTCAAAACTAAAGGTTTTGACAGGTAGACGTGGGGACAAAATCATGCGACTATTGCATGGGTATGGGGTATCATGATGTGCGACATGTAGGCGACAATGAGGCACAAAGACGATAACCCCGGTAACTCCACAACCTCATCTCATCCCTAACCCAGATGATTTATGATTTCTGATTTTTGTAATGTTTTCCCGGATTGAAAAGATAAATTTAGACGCATAAGTAGGGTTGCCTTACCATATACCTCCTGCTCGTCAATGGGTTCCGCAGCGAATTCGTCGTCACTCTCAGTGTCATCTGACCAGGATGTACCAAAACCGTATAAGGAGTCTGATAGATATTGCGGTTTGCGCATAATGTCTAGGATCTTAGACTCGGCCGTTCTCTGCACTCTCCGACCCTTCTTGCGCTGTCGCGTTGGAAGTTGGGAGGTATTGAGGATGGTGGGATTTGCATTATCCTTCTCCATCTTGATCTTAGTAGTAGTAGTCGTGAGTCGTAATACGAGGAAGTCCCGTTCTTTAACTAGTCCCACAGGTAGCTAGTGTAAAAGCAGTATGTGATTCAGATATGTGAGAAGTTGTCGTGGCAAGAATTATTGTAAGTTGTAAAAAACATTAAACTTTAAAGATTCACGGGTCAGATGAGACAGTACGAAATACATCAAACATCAATGACGGGATGGCAAATTGGCGGGGCATTGCGCGATATTGTTTACCCGATATTTATCTTATCGATCTAATCAATTCATCTTTTTGTCAGCAACTTTCAATTCCAAATGTTACCATTGGCCCCTTGCTCAATAGAGAACTTGCAGAAGTTCAAATGAGGCTCATTCTCAAATATCAGATCCTTCATATCAATTTATCAAAATTTTCATCTACACTCTTCACTATTTTAATGCAAGACTTATATCTTCCCGCCACCCGTGATTAGTCGTCATTTCTTCTCTGCGCTAGATGGTCGATCATTGGCAAAGCTACATCAAAGCACAATCAATTTCTCCAGAATATTCGGTCGATCAATTGCCCCTGAAATTGGGAGCTGATCACCAGCCTATGCCGTCTTCAGCAGATTTTGACGTGAGCACTTGATGCAGTGCGATAGATTTACTCAGGGCTGGATGCAGGGGCTAGGCGTAGGCGGGTACAGTACCGGATATGTGATACAACCGTTACAGCCAGCTGCGAGCTGCGAGCTGCGGCTGTTTCACTGCTTCGAAATTTCATGCGCGACACGTTTGGAGTCGTACCTACTGTCGTACATACTTACGTGGAAAATCCCGTCGTCGCAATGTCGAAACATATTGTGATATCGTCGCTGCGTCGTCGGATGTTGGCGTCTACGTACTTCGCCCCAAGCTTTGTGGCGTATGCCTGACATACATACGTTATGACGGCATGAAAAACGCACGTCGTGCAGTCGTGATACTTTATTTTTTTTTTTTCAGCTGAACGCCACCTGAGTGTGGCTAGGCTCCCAGACACACCTGATCTCTCTCGATCTGGACCCTGTTGACCGTTCCCGCTCTCAGGTCCGGACCATGCGCCAGATGATCGACAGGTTCTCAGGCACAATCCCTAATATGTCGCATGCTCGGTCAAGTTTACCGGAAAAGGCCAGAAATACGGCAATTCTAAGGCTTGATTGGGAAAGCTTGTTAAGGATATGTCCATTAGTACGGAATCAGCCGCCTCAAGCACGCAGCACGCAGCACGTGTCACCCGTGGACGCGTATCGGGGAACTATCATTTGGTTCGAGAACGGCCTAAGAATAGTTATTCAGCCCTGTCAATGCCCTCATTTCCTCGAACCCCAACTTTCAATAGTGCGATTCTTTCGCATGAATTTCGCTTGAAGCCGTATTTCTAGAAGCAGATCATATTATGCGGCAATCGATCAAATCTGGCTATATTTAGACATCTTCACGAGGGCAACGCAACCATCAATCCGCCGCAAGAAAATAACATCATTGGAAAGCGAGGAAGAGCAACTTGGCCTGTGCACCTGTCCATTCGCAAACACGACCGGACTGGAAAAACTCTGGCAACCATGATGATTGATGACAATATCCTCACAAATCAACTAGTTCGATGAGCCTAATCCTCCTTCGGCAAGTTGGGACTGTAGGATTCCGTTGATTGGGCAGATCTCCGTGGGGGAGCGACCTAGGATGCTTCGGGACTTCGGGAGGTTGAATCCCTAACCCGATTCCACGTAGATCATGGGAAATTCCGTCGCGACCTACATTCCTACTGTACTGGTATAATACTACTAAGCGTATGGTACACCTAGGTTAGGGTTCTTAACCTGAATAGTAGTGCAGATGATAATGCATGCGTGAGTCGCATGGAAAGCCGAAAAAAAGGGGTCTATTACCTTCAATCGGCCGAGCCTTGCGTGGTAATGAGAAGGGGATGCGGATAAGCGAAGGCTGCTGCTGACGACAACCAATTAATATCGATTTTTTTCCAAGGACAGCAGCCCCGGAATGCCTGTCACTTTCTTACATAGCCGCTTCTAATTGCCTCCTGCAAATGCAGATGCAAGTGCTCACTCAGGTCGCTCGCTTCCACTCTTTGCAATATTATTGCAACTCCTTCCAACCAACCTGATCGTGACAACTGGGAACACACAAGAGCTCCCCTAGTAGATCTTTGGGTGCATGCAGACCTGACCGCTATTCCTTTAACTAATAATGCCTAGGTCTATCGACAGGTAAACAGGGCAAGCCTGCAGGGGGCTAACTTGCGTACTAATAAAAAACGTGAAAACGCAGAAACAAATAAGGAGGTGTTCAGGTCCCTGATGCTTGGGTTCGGGTTCGTCGATTGCTAGGCGCTAGAAAAGGTCCCGAGGTGTTTGCCGCTTGGCCATCCCGTCGCATGTATTGTGTACGGTATGTGTGCCCCTGATATTGTCGATAGGCAGGTTGACATATATCCACTTGTTGCAGTTACTACATACCCAAACGCATTGACAACCACACATCACATCGCGTCGAGTTCTGTATGTATGTGGCATGTAGGTAGGTCGGTATGCACGCACCTTGCAGCCCTATTCTCTCAGAGATGCATACATATCAATTCACCATTTACTATTTACCATGGTACTTCGAGGTCACTTACTATTCTCGCGATTACAGATCCGGCGGCTATTGAGTCGCTGCGGCACCATTTTACTTAAGGACTGCCAGTCTTACTTGTATGGGAAGGCTGGCTTTGACATCTGATGCGCTTGGTACTCCTTCAGACGTTTCATCCTATATTACGTCTCTTAATGTCGCTGATTTCAACGTACCGTGTGCCATGTTACCAAGTACCTGCATCGTTTCTTCTGGTGAGGTGGCGTCTCCCATAACGGGTTACATCCTATGCCGATTCTTCGACGGCGTCTATTGTGAAATGACAGCAGGTGGAAAAGGCTCTTATAACAGAGGTTTAGCTTTGAGATTCTACACCACTCCGCACATATCGAGACTAGCCTGCGCACTGGCGTGGACTACGAGTGCGAAGGATTGTCCAGAACATTACATAATTCGAAATGATTAAGCTCCTCATTTTCTAGCCTCCTGCCATGACTCTCCGTAGAATGGGGTTCCAATCTTCCTAAGAGTCTTGGTCTGCTGCACTAATGTACCTAGGTAAGCTAGATATGTACAAGACTGGAACCGAGTTATCGATGATACGGTACATGTGTTGAAGCGCGGTATTAACCCGCACCAAGACGAGTTTGGATCCTACGAACCAAACCCAGCGATCGACCTTCAAGTAGATTGACTAGCCACCCTAATATATTCGTACGAGCGTTCCATTCCAATCTGCAGACTAGACACAACTTTATTGATCCATAAGTCAATTGCGTATATGGCTGTGGACATCGTAAAAACGTCCCCTAGATACTTTACTATTTTACATAAATGTTAGACATACTATCTCTAAATACTTGCCGAGGTTGTCGTCAATTATAGACTATTGATATTAATTGCCCAGAAAAAAGGGGCTTTAAAGTTTCTTACCCAGTCTTGTGACGGTTACACAGATTACCTATCTAAAAGGTAGAATCACGTCAGTACCTAAAGTAAGTATCTACTGCATAGCGGCATGGCAAGCATGAAATGTACCTAGCATGGAATCTAGTACAGGCACGATACGTAATCTGTAAGCCAGTTTGGGGACCAGCAGCAGGAACCACGCGAAAGGCAAGGAAGGCACCTACAAGGTAAGGAAGTACAGGGCCACAGGTACACCTTGCAGACCTGGGCCAGGCAAGGCAAGTGCAAGACAAGGCATTGCAGGGTTGAGTAGGGAGTAGGGGGCTCCCCCAAAAGACCCCCTCCCCTTCCTCGGCCCCTCTCGAACTCCATAGTACACAATTAGTACAATGCAATACTTACAGGCATCCAATCGCCCCCATTCTTTTTTTGGTTGGCGCCTTCGCTGGGCTCATGGCATACAGCATGGTTCTCCCCTCATCTACCTGAATACCGGGTCCTTCCCTGCGAACAGCAAAAAGGCCCATTTCCAGCCCGCCGCTCGCTGCGCTGCTTGGGAGTTGATGTCTCCGTCCCGCCTTCCCTCCAACTACAGATCAGACCAGTACAGCGGTACGGCAGGTTCCTTAACCTTATCAACCTTAACAACTTTAACGAAAACCTTTTACCTTATTTTCTTGCAGTTGCGCATATATACATATTACATATATGTTATATATGTTATACCTCATGTCGTTTAAACCTGTAGCGCGCATCTAAACATTTTTGAACTCTTTCCTCTTTTCCTCTTTCTTACTTAATCAATCGCCTACTTTGCGCTCAACTACGCCCAAAGCGCAATAGCTGACGGTCGACGGGCGCCGACGAACTTAATTCCCTTTCGTAGTCGAGGTGGAATCGATGTTCAATTATTAACTTGGAGGATCATAGCTGGATCCGGCCATCGAGGGTCCCGAGCCCACCGAGAGAGACGAAGTAGTCAGTCATGTCGAATAACGATCAGTCCGTTCGGAGGCTGCTGCCTCAGAGCTCCAACTCGTCGTTGAATTCGTTCTCCTTTGCGCCGCAAACTTATCAGCCACCCAGGGAGACTCAAAAAAGTGCGATCCATGAAAATGTCCTATATTCGATCATAACCGGCTGTTCTAACCTACTTGTTCCGTAGACTATGTATTCGTGGACGAACATAACCGACATAAGCGGTTGAAGGGTATGGATATCAGAACGCTAAAATATTATAACGGAACGATCGTAACTAACTGGTTCATCCGTTGTTAGTGATGAGAGCATGCGAGGGCTGTAGGAGGAGAAAAATCAAATGCGATGCTGCGACGACAAATACTTGGCCGTGTTCGGCCTGTATCCGGCTAAAGCTCCACTGCGTGAGACCTAATGGCCAGTATGAAGGGTCGCCGACGGATTCTTATGAAACTTCGCAATCCGAGTATGAAATCGCGTCTGGTCAAAGTAGCTTTAGACAAATGTCTATGCCACAGCAACAAGCGCAATCTTCCATGATGGGCGCTCAGCCGAAGTCTGTCATGTATCCGACGCCCGGCCCTTATACTGATCACCAAGCCGTCTATCCTCCTATGCCATATGGAGACCCGCCACCACCGCCAAATCAACTTCAGTACACGG